CGTGGAGTTGTTAATTTATGGTTAATATACAATGGCTCGTCAAATAGAAGTGTACACGTCAACTATATTACGTGCACTCACATTACTTGAAATAGTAATCTTGGAAACTTATGAGAAAAAAGGAGATTATGATTAAAATTATACTTCTACTATCACTTTAATTCACTATAATCACTGTCATTCCCGTCGGCCAGACAGGACAGACCGACGTATTCCACGGTTGGAATATCTCCATCAACCAGAGAGGATGGGGGACTTTGATCATCCACGGTTCTGATCATTTTTCTGGATCTGGATTGCATCATGATGACAGCGGACACCAGATCCGCGAAGACCCTTGCATATCGAGAATCTGGTCTCGATCGCGTGGACCACCGAGGGGAAATGCCATGTGTTCCGACGTGAGACCGGGGAATTGGCATCCGCGAAATCCCCGACAGGTTCTCTGTACAACGTAGATCCGAAAGGTCCGTAGATACCTTTCTAGAATCCCGATTGATTTCAATCGGCAAAGAAGAGCTGATTCTGGAAAACAGCCCCGGTCGGCGGTGTGTGTAAAGTAAACCGGTTGGTTGAGAGTTAAGAGGAAAATGGATATGGCGGGTGTCGCCACCATAGCCCAATATCGCCCACTCACGAAGTCAGCGATCGACGGCGAGACTGAGTTGCAGTAGTGCAGCCGGCCAGCGGCTGTCCGATATCCTGCGAGCAATTCCACAAAAGCGAAGAGCGGTATCTCTGCTCCTCCCGCGTCAGGCGAACCTGCTTCCGCGCGAAGCTAGAAGGCTTCAGGGGGATTGTGCAGGAGGCGGAGCGACTGCCGTAGACCGGCATGGGGGCCTTGGCGAGCGATGGGTTCACCCGAGTCGGGTTATCGAGGGTCGCGCTGAGCTCGTAGCACTGGCCAACGAGCTGCTGCACGCCGTCAGTCAGACGGGATGCGCGCTCCTCGATATCGGGCCAGAAGGCATCGCCCCAGAAAGGGTCTTCGCAGACGGCTGTCTCGAGGGCGTTCAGCCAGCACTGGAAGCCGGAGCGAGCGCCCGCGAGCTGCGAGGCGACGGTGACGAATCGGATCGTCGGCTCTGAGTGCAGCACGTGCTGGACGATGCAGGCTGGACAGCGGGCTGTGAGGTACCAGTCGTGTTCTTCGGTGAGGATGCAGTTCAGCCAGGCGAAGGCGCTGCGGGCTTCGCCGCGGAATGCGCGTTCGGGCTCGGCGCCTTTTTGACTTGGGAGGGTACGGGCTGCGATGCGCTCGGCTTGGTGGTTGATTAGGAAGAGAGGGACGAGGAGGGTGTGGATGATGTCGCGGTGGAGGCGGAAGGTTTCTTGTTCGGTGGAGGTGCAGGAGTGTCGGTGGCCGGCGCAGAAGCTTGGTCGCTCCATACCGCATTCTTGGCGGCGGAGTTGTTCGCGCATCACTCGGAAGGCTTCATTGCGCTCTAGCTCGACCTGTTCGTGTCGAGAGATGTGGAACGGGGAGGCCATTTTGAATGATATGTCGATGGGTATGTATATCGGGTATTTTTTTTTTCTGGATCAGTGCGATCGGATATGATGGTATAGGGGCTTATAGAATCATGTCGATAAATTGATAAAACCAGGAACAGGATAGGGCTGAGTTGAAATAGTCCATTAGAGAAAAATAAGGACCGGATCCGGGCTAGATATTATATGGTGCTCCCCCCCCTTTGCGGAAACGTCATTTACAGTGTCTCCCGTTTTTGGTGAGTCCAAGGGAAAGCCCAGACGATCCTAATGGAGGGACCCACTAGCTGACGAACACTCTGCGTATGGCGACGATAATTGGTGGACATGTCGGAATGAAGTGGAGGAGTGGAGATTGGACAGAAGTCTGGACTGTTGCACTTCCAAGGAGGGATGTTTACAACATATAGATCTGTTAGAGGTAACATGTCTGCGCCAATTACATAGATATTAGACGAATGCGATGTTATTTCTACTCCCTACTGCCTACTACCTTTTACACCATCTCCCATCAACATCGAGATATTATAACAGCTAACCGGCTAACCTCCTTATCTCGCAAGGACCTCTTCTAGCCCTCCGTGGCGACCGCCGAAAACCGCCCAGTGGGGTAACGTGGCAGTCTGGAATTTAAAAAGCCTTCCTAGGATCGTATTTGGCGTTATTGCTAGTGATTTTCTAAAGTTATATGCATTAGGGGTCCACGAGACTATTATCCTTGATTTCTTCCTAGCCCGATATCTACCCAACGTGTCTTGTGAACAAAGAAGATAACCAAGGAATTTCTTTGAAAAGAAAAAAAAAAACCTAATAACCTGCCGATCGATGAGGTGCCGTGTGCCAGGTTTTGAAGGTAGGACTATCCTTCCCATGTCCAGTAAGAGTGGATATAAGGGTCAAGTCCAGAATAGGAGTGATTGACAGGGTTTAAGATGGGGGGATACTTGTCCGACATCGTGGCACAGTGATAGGAAATAGTTTTTTTATATCATAAACATGTCTCAAGCCTCCCAATGTTTTAATATTATTTTTATACGGCGTAGTATTTATAGGATAGGAGTGTGTTGTGGAACTCGGTATATTCCGGGTTAGGGGGCAATATTGGATTGATTTTACTTTGTACAGACTTTGCGCAGAACATGTTAATTTTAATTTCAATGTTTACTGGAGACTGCACATCTTCTACCTACTTGAGTATCTATATCTGCGGAGTACTCCGTCTAGATTTACTTACTCCATACTCCATACTCCAATTGTGCGATCTCCATGATGGGAGCTAGGGCTGGGCCCCAACGGGCTCGGGCCAGGTACAGTCAACAATCAACAGTCAACATTTGAACTTCCAAGGTTGTACTCCAGTTGTATACGTTGTGTACTCTAACACCTTTATTACTTTGTATACCTTGAAGCTTACATAGTAGTTAAAAAACCAAAGTATGTAATTGGAATGTAAATCGGGCCAGGAATGAATCACGCTAGAGAAATAAACACCCTGCAGATAATTTGGTTGCTACAGTCCCAAATCAAGGAACTGGCTTTTTATGTTTCAGCAGTTTTTTTCCCTCTTTCCCTTAAAATTGTTAGAATTGTAACTTTTTTGTTTGCACTTACCCTAATTCCTTCGTTGTCCGGGCAAGAGCGTCAAACTACATTCCAGAATTGAGAGATCCTTTTCTTCTCTTCTCTTCAAGCCATTGCTACTCTATCGCATCCTCTATTTCACTGTTACTCTCACAGAATTAATCATGTTGTCATCCCTGGCATTTTCAGCAGTGCCATTGCTACTTGCTGGCTTACACGCCACGGCAGTGGGCGCAATCCCGTCCATTTCGGCGGTCGGCTCCAAGTTCTTCTACGAGAACGGAACCCAGTTCTACATCAAGGGTACCTAGAAATCCTACACTGTAGGTATATGCCTGACTGACTCCAACAGGCATTGCTTATCAGCTTACGCCAAGTGACCCGCTTGTCGACACTGCCCAATGCAAGCGCGATATCGCCCGGATGTCCGAGCTGGGCACCAATGCTATCCGTGTGTACCACGTGGATGCCCATGCTGATCACAAGGGCTGTATGTCGGCACTGGCCGATGCTGGTATGGTTGATTCCACCTGGGCAATTCCCGGGATAATCATGCATTGTTGTACTGATGCGTCGTTTAGGAATCTACTTGTTCGTCGATTTGGACACTTTCAGTACCCAGATTGAACAGGTAGGTCCACTTTCTCCTCATGTGGATCATCTACTGACGATCGCAGACCGAGCCTCACTGGAACCAGACCCAGTTTGATCACTTCAAGGAGGTGCTCGATGAATTCCAAAAGTTCGACAACACTGCCGGTGTCTTGGTCGGAAATGAGGTACTCACTACCGCCGATGGCTCGGCTGCTGCCCCCTACGTCTTGGCGGCTGCTCGCGACATCAAGTCCTACCGTGATAAGAAGGGCTATCGCGAGATTCCCGTTGGTTACTCTGCAGCTGATATTGCCGATCTGAGACCCATGTTGCAGAACTACATGGCCTGTGCCAAGAATGCATCTAACCGCTTGGACTTTTACTCGCTGAACGCCTATGAATGGTGCGGTTCGTCCAGCTATGAACAGTCTGGATATAATATGCTGCAGAAAAACGCAACTAATTACCCCATCCCTATTTTCTTCTCCGAGACTGGCTGCAACACCCCGTCACCCCGCACCTTTGAGGACCAGGCTGCCGTCTTTGGTGACCACATGTCTGATACTTGGTCTGGATCCATCATCTACGAGTGGATTGAGGAGACCAACGACTATGGATTGATCAACTACGGGCCTTCTGTTGACGCTGCGACTGCAACCGCGAGCGGCATCGAGGACGGCTTCACCCGCATGGGCACCCCGACACCCGTGTCGCCTGATTTCAACAACCTCAAGTCTCAGTGGGCTACTCTGCACCCGACCGGAGTTGCCCTTTCCGCCTACCGAAAGAGCGCATCCAGCCTCACTGCCATCGAGTGTCCTGCCTCGACCTCTGGTGGATGGGCAGTTGACCCAAGCTCGCCACTTCCTACCTTGGGACAGACCTTTAAGAAGGGATCTGATTCCACAGCGACCGGTAAGAACGGCAAGGCCAGTAATACAGACGGATCTCCCTCTGCATCGGCAACAAAGAAAGGCGCTGCTCGCGCTGTGACCGTCGGCGCGCCAGCTACTGAGCGCCTGCTGGCTGGATCCTTCGTGCTGTCTGGTCTGCTGGGTGCCGTTGCCATCTGGCTTTGATTTTGTTGCTTTCTTCTTACTCGACCCTTGAGGATTGCGGCTCAAGCCATTGTATTGATAGCATCACAGATTTGGGATAGACGAGTTCGGCTAAGCCACTGCATGATATATTGGAGTGTGCTGTGTTTGCATACAGGTTATGTTATCCCAGGTCTGTCTTTTCACGAAGCATGAAGTGTACACAAGAAATGAATTATTAGTGCTGAATAAAGAACCCGGTCATTGGACCATCAAGACATTATCGTACATCTCCATCTAATTATTAAACGTCATCCCTTCTATCCCAGTAATGTTCATATCCAACTCTGGCAGATACAGCTGAGGCAAGGCCTGCTCCACGCGTATCTCAGGCTCTTCAAACTCCGAAACATCTTCTTCCTCAATATCGAGATCAAAATCTCCATCCTCAACATTACTCTCACTCTCACTCCCACTCCCAGCATCCCCAAACCCAAAATAAAACTCCGAAACCGACCCGCAAACCGATCCCGACTCCGAAACTTCCACCGGAGCTGAAGACACAAGAGAAACTGCACTCCTCCCACCCCCCATCTCCCGAACAACCTCCAACCCCCCATTCCCATCCTTCTCTTTCTCTCCCTCCTGCTTCCCCCGTTTCTCCTTCCCACAATGCAAAACCCCCATCCCATCCCCATTCCCCCCTCCCCTACCTCTAGTAATAGCATCCGCAAAGCCCCTCCTCACCCTCTTCGCAAGCGGCCTCTTCGCGCCCTCAAAATCAAGCATAGAACGCACAACAATCAACATCTTCGGCACAGCCCAGAAAGCACGATCAGAGCGTCGATCCCGTCGACACCGTTTCAAAGCATCGCCCTCCAGCAATGCAATCCACGACTGGACCTGAACGGCATTCCGCGCGAGATGGAAAGATGCATCTGCTATTCCGCCGCCGCGTCCGGCGGACCGGTTCCGGGCGCTGCGGTGGGCGCTGAAGGAAGGGAGGGTTCGTTTGTGCAGGGTTGTTAGGATGTCTAGCGTTGTTGCTGCGAGGGAGAATATGTCTGCTGGGGAGTGGGGGTTTGGGGGTTGGGAGTCGGGTTGAGTGGAGGAATGGGAGGAGGGTGGGGGTCTTGTGAAGGACGGGGTTAGGGATTGGGCGGATTTGGAGTGGCGGAGGGAGGAAGGTGGGTTTGTGGTTTGGGATGGGGGGAAGAGGGTGCTTGAGGGGGATGTTAGGGTTGATGTGTTTGAAGAGGAGGATGTGGAGGTTGAGATTATTGATGGGGTTGAGGGAAAATTCTTTGTTCTGCGGGACCAGAAAGATGAGATGCGGTGTTTCTTTTGTTGTGGTGATGTGGCAGTTGCGTCTGTGTGGGTGGAAGAGGCTGCTGAGGAGGCTGAAGAGGAAGAGGAGGATGAGAAGGTGAAGGAGAAACGGGATGGTGAGTTTGGTAGACCAATGCGGATGACTGTTCCTTTCGAGGCGGCTGAGTTTGGTCTTGCGTAGTCTGGAGAAGCAGGTGGGCTTTCGTTCAATGGGGTTAGAGCTAGACGGGTTGGCCGTTGTCTGCGCTTTGTACGTCCTCCCGAGGGAAGTAGTGTTTGTGCTGGCTGTGCTGGCTTGTGCTGGATGACAGGAGCTGCCGGACGAGTCCAGCGCTCTGGTGCAGAGTAGTTGTATGCCTCGAGGTCGTTGACATGTGGTGGAGTTAGAAGAGAGTCGAGTGCTTGAAATTGACCGAGGCAGATATGAAAGTTTGCGTCGATGAAGATGTTGGATGGGCGGATTGCGCCGTGGGAGTGGCCGCGTGCGTGCAGCCAGGAGACTGCAGATGCCAAGCAATGGGGCCAGGTGATCAAGATCTGGCGGCGTTGTTCTTTATCTAGCCGTTTGAAAGACATCGGCTCGTCTGTGAGGAAGCTGTATAGGTTTCGATCTGCCGTGGCGCCGGTGAACAGCACCGAGACACTATCGTCTTTCAGATATGAGGCGTAGACGGAGACAATATGCTCGTGCGACAGTGTTTTCAGGTTGCGGATCTCATCGAGAACCTCTTCAGACGAGAAGAAATATGGTGCACCGCCGATTTGCACTTGGGTTCGCATGTAGACTCGACAGACCGAGCCGGCGAGGACTACCCTGTCTACCGTATCATCACGTCCGTGTATTCCGCTGCTGGTGTTGGTGCGCACCGCCTCAACCGGGACGCCTTCATTTTCGGTATAGACGACATGCTCTCCCTCCGCTATACCACGCACCAAGAATCGCCATTGCGCATGAAAGAAACTCGCCTCAAGGGCGAGGTCTTCCCCATCGGGGGATAGGTGTAGTAAATCGACACTATGCTCTGCGATGGGTAGATCATCATCATCGCACGATTCGTCGACTAGCGCGAAGATCCGATCGGGAATGCCGATAGCATCGAGGATCATAAAGACACGGCCGGCTTTTGTGAGGATCCATTCCATATACGTCTCGCTGGTCAAACCTTCGCCCCAGTCCGGTAGTTCAAAGAGGCGGGGGATATTCTCTGGTCGCAGACGACCGACGATATACTTTGCGTCGAGGGTAGATTTGATGCGCTCCTCGGGCCACCATAGTGAGGTGTGTTCATACTGAGACATACTGGCATGACTTGCAGAAAGCGTTTGCAGATCAACGTAGCTGGGAGACCCGACATTTAATATAACGAACCATGTCACTCTTGACAATGGGGCTGTCAAAGCCCCATGTTTCCAGCTCGATGGTAGAAAGGCAGGAATAATGGACGGCTACTGGTGGAGAGCTTATCTCAACCGCAAGGAGGGTAATGTTCGATCAATAGCCCGGAGAATCAAATGGTAGTGCCTGTTTAGAGTTGATTTGGATCCATATACAAAGTACTAGGGGAATCCATAGCACTTTCGATGTAACTTGTTACAAGTAAAAATGTCTTAAAATTCATTGTTCTCACCCGCGCAGCCAATCTAGGGCTTCGGGCTTATCTTTGGCAACAAGATAAGAGATCATCGCGTGTCAACTGTCATATGCACTTCAGGAGATCTATTGTACCTAGGTACTTTATTCTACTTATTTTCGGGCAAATGCGGCAAAATAGCAAGGAGGTTCAATAATTGTATTCTGTATTCCCTTCAGGGGAACATGATCGACCCATAAATAGTTATGCACTCCGGATGTGCTCCGTGTGTATCCGTTGCATCCATTGCATCCGTCAGCGATCATTGCGGAGAGTTTTTTTTGTGAGATCCATTTCTTCGTATACCTATCTCCAGCATTGCAGTAATATTTTTCTTCAAAAGCCACTTCCTGTGCGGAGAAACTGTGGAAACTGGTGGCGCTCGATAATGACATTGACCAGCGCTGTTGCAGATAGCAGGAACCGGAATCAATGGAGCACGACCCCCGTCAGCCTCCACCGTTTGTCGCCCCACAATCTCATTTTGTTGTCGCCCTAACGCAGACCATCGGGAATGATCACTTGGACTAAAATTGAGCGGGTTATTCCCGGTGATGAGAGGACGAGAACGACGTAATCAATGTGGCTAGCGCGGCTGATAACTGCACGAGCTGGGTCTTATAAACGATAGGTCGGTCGCTTCCAGCCCATAGATTGGAGTATCAGAGTTGAGCCAATTGTCGAGAGACTTGGCCTGCTGAAGATGGTGGACAGACCTGCCGCGGAGATTGGAACACTCGTTTTTGAACACGATGAATAGCCCGGTTGTTTTCTGCAAGATCATACAATTGAGTAAAGATTTGCCGCGCCAGCGAAATTGTTCCTTTCTTTGTTCGATAACCGAAATAAGAGCTTTGGTAGACGGTGCCGTAGATGTATGGGTCCAGGAGTATATTGCGGGATTGATAATCGGCATCTCAGCCCTGGAGAGGCCGGAATCTCGGAGGGTGCCGTGTTTGAGGAAAATTGAGAAGAACTATAGGTTGAACCCATATTTATTTGTGATATACATGTAAGTACACTGAAAGATTTGTTCTCTCATTTTTCGCGTTTATTGACGTCAAACAAAGCCGAGCCTCGAGGTACCTGAACAACAACTCAATATCGCGAAAATCTCTTTAAATAACATTTATAGTAACAAATTCAAGGTTGTGGAAAATACCAAGGCGACACTATAACTTGAAATGAGGGAAGCAGGAAACGAACCCGAAGTACATTGGTACTTCATTCTACGTAGTCTATCTTATTACTCACATCTATAGCCTCATTCTATGAATATAGGGCAACAAGGGCTTCAAGTAAGGCCTATAAGTGAATTATTGTGCGATATAGCCCTGTCTACAAGAATACAACAAAAACAAAATGTCGAACGCTCCTTCTCTCTCCAATTCATCGGATGTCTTCCCTCACTCGCTCCTTCCCATTTAGCCATGGATATCTCCCCCCATCGCTCTCAACTTCAACTTCCCCCTCCGCTTCCCCTTCCATAATTATTACCCTTTCCAAGGACAGGGCATCCAAGTCGAATCTCCCAAAATGATTGTTGTCACCGGTGGCGCCGGCTTTGTCGGTTCAAATATTATCAAGGAGTTAAACAACCGTGGCGTAACCAATATCGTGGTCGTCGACGACATGACTGATGGATCGAAGTTCCGCAACTTGGTCCACTGCAAAGTGGCTGACTACATCGACGCAACTGCCTTCCGAGAAGCGATTCGGACTAAAACTTTCCCTCATCGTCCCCGCGTCATCTTCCACTATGGCGCAAGCTCTTCGATCACCGAGACCAACGGCAAGAAAATGCTCGACGCCAACTTCACCTACTCCAAGGAGCTCTTCCATTGGTGCAAGGACCAGGGAGTTCGCTTCATCTACGCCTCATCCGCTGCTGTTTATGGAAGCAACACTTCCTTCGCCGAGGAAGACTTCCAAGAAGCCCCTCTGAACGTCTACGGATACTCAAAGATGCTATTCGATCAGTATGTCGTCAAGAGCACCGACATTCGCTCTCCCCAAGTCGCGGGACTCCGCCTGTTCAACGTCTATGGACCCGGAGAACAGAACCGCGATACAGTCCCCAGCACCGTGTATCAATTCTACGAAAAGCGGAAATCTTTCAAAGCCATTGAGCTATTTGGAGAATACGCTGGGGTCGAAGCTGGTCAGCAGAAGCGCGATTTTGTCCACGTCCAGGACGTCGCCCGTCTGAACTGCTGGTTCCTTGACCACCCGGAGATCAGTGGTATTTACAATGTTGGCACTGGTATCGCCAGCAGCTTCAATGATGTGGCCACTGAAGTTGCTAGCCATTTCGGCAACCCCGAGGGTTACATCAAATTCGTTCCCTTCCCAGCCGAATTGAAAGGAAAATACCAGAGCTACACTTGCGCTGATATCTCGAAGCTTCGTCGAGCTGGCTCTGTGCTGCGTTTCCGTGGTATCAAGGAGGGAATTAAGGATTACATGGAGTGGCTTGAAAGTCCTGAGGGTTTGCACCGCTAATTGTTGCGCCGAACATGATTACACCTACCACTCTAGGTGCCTTCGAGAATAAGGTTAAGCTTTTATCGTGTTTCTGTCTCCAGAGATCTCTTCATATTTGGGTACTCCAAATATACTTATGAACATCACATGAGGATTTAACACGAGAAAAGGACAAAAAAAGGTGAAAATTACCGAGCTACAAAACGACCAAAAAAATTGAGATGATCAACGTCTTGTGTTCATGTCTGGATTGAGCGAGATTTCTTGAACCCTTTGAACAGACTCTCCACATCAAGATCAACTAGGTAGCCAGAATTTTCAATGGAACAGAGATTTTCAAACACCCGACATTCTTCTAGACTGTAATCATTGAGTGTTCAGGTGTGTCATCCATCCTATCCTTAAGGTTATTGCCCCTCGGCATCATATCCGGAGCCAATTAACCACAGCGGGGCATGATAGCGGCTTTCTTTTCGTGGGGCAATGAGCTGTCTCCAGATGATCCTGATCTTGACATTGCACTACTTACAGCTCATTACATGGTATCAATAACCTTAACAGAAAGCAGGCCAACCTTGCCAGCCAATGCCTGTAGATCAACTCGAACTCGAGGAGCCAGAAAGCATGGAATTCATCAACCAACAAATTGAGTCAATGGACTATGGACCTGTCGCTTGGAGACTGCTGGGGACAGGAGTCTCAGACACTCATTCTCATATCAACAGGGCCAATATGCATAACCGCACTAATAAGTGAATCCTACGCCTCCACTCTCGAAACACTCATCTTCACCCAAGGCCTAGTCTACGGCCTCGGCTTCTTCGTATTGTGCTATCCAATCCTCAACATAGTGAATGAAGGGGAGACTATCTAAAAATGAAATCCTAAGAAGGCATCTACAAATACTTCGAAAAAGTCCACCAATTGGAAAAGATATGACAAGGCCGCATAAGCGGCCGGCAATTCTTGTATTAATACAAACGAAAAAGAAAAGACAGAGTCAAAGAATAAAAATCAAAACAAAGAAACATGACCATGTGGAAGCTAACCGCCATGTTCTCGCAAGCTTGATCTAAATATCTTCCTCATCTCGTAAGTCGCGGGGATGGAGGCATTAGGCATAAGGTGCGCAACAAACTCGAAGTCAAGAAGAGCGACCATCCTACTCTCTTTATATATACATACCGGGGTCGTTAATACGAATGGAGATTTTCCTAAGCGTGATATCATAAAGTCGTTCGCCCTCCCGGTACTCCATGATGATTACGTAACCTGCCGGAAACAGGCTCGAGCATATGATTCGTCCTCTTCGTATGCATTCGGGGAAAGATAGTAGCCAGCCGGGTGAGAGGATATTAGGGATGTCAGATGCAAGAATATACCGATGTGTTTTGGAAGTTCTTTTTATCTGTCTTTTTATATGTCTTTTTAGGTATATATTAAGGGGGAGAAATTACAAACCGTATAGAAGACCCTTATATGTATAAGCAGGGATATATCGTCATGTCTAGCAACATGAAACCATACATTGGCTTCTCAATCTGAATACAATTGCCCTTTTATGCCTTGACTAAGTTCCTTGTCTACAAATCTTTGTTTGTGGTGTTTGCCAATATACATGCCCAGGTGTACCTACGGATCCACACCTATATAAGCATCCTTCTTTTAAATCCTTCTCTTGTATTCTCCTTCATCATTCAATTCTGACGTCCTCTGTTAATTTGTCATATATGTATATGTATATCCTGGATTTATCACAGAAAATTGATAAATTCAAAACTGCAGGAAGGAATCACGAGGTCGGGAAGATTCCATCTTAACTCGGGAATATGTGATGGAGGATGCATAGCGAGATACGCCTGGAGTGAAGCAATGCACCTAGCACATATCTTATCGACTCAACTTATCATATACCCATTCAGTTTGCTCTCACTTCTGACTTATTCAAACCCTCTCACATCTTCTTCTTCTTCCTCCATCCATCCCAACTTCCTCAAACCAACTCCACTTACCCTGACTTACTACTCACTTATACTATGGTGAAGTAGTCGCTGCATGTGAGTATAACCTTTGAGAAATCAGATGAAAGTCCTCAGAAATGATGAAAACCGACAGTTCTTTGCATGCAGACCGCGTACCAATGGTACTATGCCCAGAAGTCAAAAGCTGACTCGATCTCCCTGAACTGAAGCCCCCGACGTGAGAATACTATTTATCTACTAATAAAATGAATATAAACTGATAGAGAATAGGCTCAAGGAGAAGTTGATCTGTTCCTTGGTGGGCGCTTTTACCGTTACGACAACTGCCCGAAAGTTGTAACCTACAGGCAGCAACCCCTCAGTCCCCCTTTCTTGTGAATCAACGGCAAATGATGACAAGACCTACGACTTTGGAGGAATGGCAGTAGCAATTGATGATTGACGAAGAGTTCACCATTGATCAGAGGAAGGGCTTTGTCATATCCGCCACAACATCATCAACTCGTCAGCTCCGAACAGGAATTGACTGGGGATTGGATTCAGGTTCTTCCTGGAGCATTTGCACTGATCGTTGCGGATTCACCATGCCAGGTCCCGCAAGATCCCCGAGCTGCCAGCCAAAGCAGTTGTTGGTCCTTATTACGCAAGGTGATTTAGCGCATGTGTTGCCTTTGCATATCCAATCGTAATTGGGAGAGTTAACCAAATGGTTATCGACTACCCTTGGATGTTGAGTGTATGTCCGACATCGCCAACCCCAAGTCTTGCGCCCACTGTGCAAAGAACCACAAGGTTATAGAAATGCGAGAGGGCTGAAAGACTGTGGATAAGTCGTCCAATGCGTAGTATATTTCAATGCTGTAGCCAAAGGCTCTAATAAGAATCGAAGAAAGCTATGTACTTAGAGAGGAAGATAACTAAATCGGACATTGGTAAAAAAAAGGCGAGGTCTATCGCGTTCAATTAGGGAGTGAATAAATAAAATACAAAGAAGTCCCCATAGGACCGAGGATCTGAGTCAATTCCCAGCCAAAGTTCAGCTCAAAACCAGGACGAACCACTCCAGGGCCGCGAAGACAAGCAAGCACGAAGCAAAAACACGAAATCAATCCGCACTGTGCATATTTGTAGTAACAAGAGACAAGAAAAGGAAAACCACGAGGTAATCGTGGGATGGTCTGCTGGAAAACGCATCTACATCACCAAGCTGAAGAAAGCAGCGATAGAAGCCAGCACCAGACTGGATGCGATCGACAAGCTGGACGCCGAGTTGAAGACCGGGGATGCGCTAGGCGAGGCGCTTCGACTGGCGCTTCGACTGGCGCTTCGACTGGCGTACGGGTACCCGCTCGAGGTCACCCATGTTGCCGATGCGGGGGCGGGAACCTTGCCCGTATGTGCTGGGGAAGCGCCGCTGGGACCAGCCGGGACCAGACCGATAGTTGGGACGGCGCCAGCGCTAGTTCCAGTGTTTGTGACGAAGCTGACCTGCGGGACGGTGACGGTGTAGGTCGAGTAAGTGATTGTTGTGCAGGGGAGGGCGGGGGCGGAGGTGATGGGGACGACGGCGCTGGCGGTGACACTGGCGCCCGCGACGCTAGATGCGGGTGCGGAAGGAGCGACTGTCGGAATCAGGGTGATGGTTGAGGGGATGGCGGTTACGATGCCTGGGTTCTCGGGGACCCAGGTGGCGCAGATACCGGTGAAGTAGGACAGGGCAGATTGAATCTCTTCCTTGGAGGCGCCCCAGGCTTGGATGCAAGAGATGACTTTGCTAGTGAACTCGCTGTTGGGGCAGAAGCATGAAGCATCGCTGTTGGATGTGCACTTGGGGGCGAGGGTGAGCCAAGTGTTGATGCACTGAGGCACCGTATTGGGGCAAGGAGCTGAGGGAGCTGGGCTCGATACCGGGGAAACACCGGTGGGGACTGTCGGGGTGTTGCTGGCGGTAGAATGAGAATGAGTCTCAGTGGCAGCAGTGGCGGTAGTGGCGCACTGGGTACAGATGGTTGAAACGGAGGTGAGGGTCACTGTGGAAACTGTGTGGGATGTGGTCACGAAGGTGGAAGAATCCGAAGTGACGGTGTTGGTCACGGGGCAGGTGGTCTCGGTCACGTAAGTCACAACGGTGGTCGTGGCACCCTCGGGAATAGTGGGTGTAGAGCTGACGCCAACGCTAGATGAGACGACACTGGTGACAGCGGGACCCGTAGGAGCAGTGGTGCCGGCGACGCCTGTTTCAGAGGGAGCAGGAGTACTTCCGGCAGCGACAGAGCTGGGAAGGTAGGGGGTGGAGGTCAAGGTAACAGTTGATACTGTGCTCGATGTCGTGACGAAAGTTGACGATCCAGAAGTGATAGTGGCAGTCACAGGACAGGTGGTCTCGGTAACATAAGTTATAACCGTGGCAGTCGACCCTTGGGGAACCGCAGGTGTAGTAATAGCACCCACGCTAGAGGGGACCGAGCTAGTGACATCGGGGCCGCTGGGGAAGGGACTGGAGGCCTCCGCAGACGAAGAAGAGACAGAGCTTGATCCCTCAGGCGTACCAGATGGTCCAGTGCTGGAAACGACAGTGGTTGAAGCCTCGGGGGTACCAGACGGGGCAACAGTGCTCTGACCAGCAACAGATGTGGCGGTAGCGGAGCACTCAGTGCAGATTGTAGAGACAGTAGTCAACGTAACAGTTGAAATGGTGCTCGAGGTAGTCACGAAAGTAGAGGAACCAGAGGTAACAGTGTTAGTCACGGGGCAAGTGGTCACAGTCTCCCAAGTAACGACAGTGGTGGTGGCCTCGCCAGGGGCGGGAGTTGTGCTAGGAGGAGAGGAAGGTGCAGGGGACGAGACATCGGAGGTCACGCCGGGAGCCGAGGAGGTTCCGGCGGACGTGGAAGCAACTGAAGTGCCACTGGGGGAGAGGTGATCCAGCCGGGGAGCTAATGGGCAAGACGCCGCTTGAGCTTGGGCCGGCAGGTGAAGGTGTGGAGCCGATAGCAGTTGTGGTAGTCTGAGTGACGGGACACACAGTGGTGGAGATAGGGATGGTCGAAGTCACCACTGTGGTCGAGTCTGCTGGGCAGCTCACAACCTCGGGAGCACAGCTAGTGATGGTGATCTCGCTGGTCGTGTACACAGTTGAGGTAGTCATCTGGACTGGAGTGGTGATTGCTGGGGTCGAAGCGGCGGAAGTTCCAGCCGGTGAGCTAACAGGCAAAACGCCGCTTGAGCTTGAGCCTGCAGGCAGAGGTGTGGAGCTGACAGCAGCCGTCGTAGTCTCAGTGACGGGACACACAGTCGTGGAGATAGGGATGGTCGAAGTCACTACTGTGGTCGAGTCTGCTGGGCAGCTCACAACATCCGGGGCACAGCTGGTGATGGTGACCTCGCTGGTGGTGTACACGGTTGAGGTAGTCATCCGGACTGGAGTAGTGATAAGCGGGGTAGAAGCGGCGGAAGTTCCGGCTGGAGTCTCGCTCGTAGTGGATGAAATAGACGAAGCCGAAACCGAAGATGTGGAAACAGATGTGTCACTGGGAGGAGGAACACCAGCAGACGAGCTGACAGGGAGGATACTGCTCGGGCCGGGTACAGCAGGCTCAGATGGCGAGCTTGTAGCGGCAGGAGCAGTCTCAGTAACGGGGCAGACCGTGGTGGAAAGAGCGATGGTGGAAGTCACTACTGTGGTCGAGTCTGCTGGGCAGCTCACAACCTCCGGGGCACAGCTAGTGATAGTGATCTCGCTAGTGGTGAACACGGTTGAGGTAGTCATCTGGACTGGAGTAGTGATAAGCGGGGTCGAAGCAGGAGAAGTTCCAGCCGGGGTCTCGCTCGTAGTAGGGGAAACGGAAGAAGGAGCCGAAACCGAAGATGTGGGACCAGATGTGTCACTGGGAGGAGGAACACCAGCAGACGAGCTGACAGGGAGGATACTGCTCGGGCCGGGTACAGCAGGCTCAGATGGCGAGCTTGTAGCGGCAGGAGCAGTCTCAGTAACGGGGCAGACCGTGGTGGAAAGAGCGATGGTGGAAGTCACCACAGTGGTTGAGCCTGATCCAGCTGGGCAATCGGTGACAGTCGGAGCACAGCTAGTGATAGTGAACAAACTGGTGGTGAACACAGTCGATGTAGTCATCCGAAGAGGTGTGCTGACCACTGGGGTGGTGACTGGAGCCACATCAGAGCCTGGGACAGAGAGTGAAGGCGCAACAACAGAGCCGGAGCCAGCAGACACAGATATTTGTTCATATGGAACTCTGGTAACAGGAGCAGTGGTGACAAGGACAGGCGCAGTGGTTGTGGAACCAGGAGTGCAGTCAAAGCCAACGCTGTAGATGCCGAAACCGCAGCTCTCATGTTCACTATCGTCGGGCAGCTCGAAGTGAACGGACTTAGCACCACCACACTGGTCGTTGTTGACCACAGTACCAGCTGAGTTGCAGGAAGCGGTATTCCTGCAAGTCGATCCATCCGGCATGCTGTAGATGATGTGCAATTCGGTATCCTTCTCAGTGGCAACGTGGAAGTTGGTCACAGAGAAGCCGCTCTCGTCCGAGCCGCAGGCGAAGGATGGAGCCGAAGAACTGGAGCTTTGGGAGCTGGAGCCAGCACTGGAGCTAGAGGAGCTACCTTTAGAGACGGTACCGGAGATACATTTTTGAGTCTATAACCATTGTCAGTATGTGCAGATGAAAGAGGGGCATGCATCACTTACGCCACGCTTGCCAAGGCTAGAACCAAAGCCATTGCCGCAAGTGAAACCAGAGAAGGAGAAGCCGCCATACTCGGAGAAGGAGCCAGCAGCGAGGTCAGTCCAGCTGAAGCCCTTGCTCTGGTGGTCATTACACTTGTTAGGCGATCTACCCGGGCTGGAGTAGTATTTCTCGGAGCCCCAGTACTATAAGCACTCAAGTTAGGATGTATATCAAAGACGACAAGATATGAATTGAGGCATACCGCTCCGGTGGCCTGGCCAGAGGCCAGAAGAGAGAAAAACGCAATAGCCGAAGTGACCTTCATGGTGGAAGGGTATCGGTAATGAGTGTCGGAGAAGTGGGACGCAAATGGAAGATAGAATGGAAGGAAAAAAAGAAGAGAGAAGAAGTATGGATGAAAGAAACAAAAATGGAGTGATATAAAGGTCTGGGCTGGATAGGCTGCGATATAGAAAGCTAGGCCTCAATAGATATTGCGATATAAGCCACAATTGTACCGATGTAGGCAGCAAAGCAAGCAATTTCTATTAGTATTGTTGATGGGGCGACAATAACAAAAGCCTCAGTGAAACTGAACCAATATCAAACGAAAGAGGGTGGGACAAGGAAATGCGTATCCCTGAACGAGCGTCTTTGGTTGGAGACGGACCAAGATGGGCAAAAAGCCAGAAGGAAATCAAACAATGACGAGGATGAAAGAAGTCCAGGATTTGGGAAGAGTGGCGGTCTTTAAACAGTCGTCGAACCCAGGCTATGCCATGAACCTCTGCAGACAAAGAGTTGGCTGCAGCTAGCAAGCCTTTCTCTGCTGGCCCAAAGTATCCCGGCGTCAAGGACCCTGGTAAGACATTTCGTCAGAGAAAAGCGAGCATTCCTCCAATCGGCAGGAATCTGAAGGTACAGATGAAACGGTAGTGGCTGAAAAGAGGGCGAGCTGGGGATCCATCCAGAGCTCGGCGCCGGTTAGTACAGGAACGACCTGCAGAAGCTGGAGAAGAGCCAGTCAGGGCTTGCAGACTGGGGCTGTTGACCAAGGCGCTTGCCAAGGGGTCCAATCCCATTCAGCATGAGTTCATCCATCCGCCGTGGGATGTGACTGTTAGATCAGTCGACATTAATTGATGACCAGCCAATGAGCATCGCTGAGTAAAAATAGAGTATGAATATTAAGCGCTTGATCGGCACGGAAACTTGCATATGGCCGATGATTGAGGGGAGAGGGTCTTCGGGGTCTTCAGAGTAGGATAGAGGTTGGGTACAAGGATCCACGTGCAGTTCATTGACTTGGGGTCTTTCATCTCCCCATATCTTTTACTCCAGTAAAGGCTTGAACTTCCCTTTGACTGAAACTGACTACTTCCGAATTTGGTGTCACGCATTCAAAATAATTCAAATAATGCGACCGGTCAGAAAAGAAAAAAAATCCCTTGGCATCTCGCCCATTTGTGGCCCACTTTTTGTGTGACTGTATATGTGCTTATATTGATCTTCATGATCTGTTCCCTCTATTGTATGAGTACAAGCTCTTCCATGCGCCTTCGAAGCGCCGAGGTCGACGAATCAGAGCAAGGCTATGGGGTACTCCCACTTTGGGGCCAACGGTACTGCTTTTGTGTCGCACTAAATTGACTTTTTTATCTTTATCTTTGTTAGGGGTAAGCCCCTGGAAGGTCGAACGGTCGGGTACCTGAACGCTCCGTCTCACCATTTGATTCTTGATTTATGTGGATCCTATGAAAAAGCCCAGCGCCAACGAACCTGTCCTCTAGAGCCGAAACTAGTTTACTAATGGACTTGTCTAAACAGCTCGAGAGCTCGAGGGGTTCCTGTGTCTAGGCGTTTCAGTTGTTAGCTCTAGACATGCAACGGATGCCATTACTGTTACATCTCCGATCTAAGTCCGAATAATGTCCTAATTAAGTATGTCTAGCTTAGCCTCTACTCCTTCCTGAACGAACTATTACTCCGCAAGGAACAGGCATTGTGTGACTTCGGCTTTGAGGCATAGAAGTGCCGATATTCCGTATTCTTTCAGTCATGTTCCATCGCATTAATCGTCTATTTTTATTTTTTTTTGTTTCTCGAAATGAAAACAAAAATACAAATCATCTCCATCTCTCGGCGCGTCGTACGATGGCTTTGTCTGGCTTAAATTCGGGTTAACGTGAAGCGCTCAACTAAAAATACCGACGAATGAGATTTTAGCGCCACATGGGGAATACTACGCTGTAACCCTATGAGAACTGTCGGGGTCTAGACAGTCATATGAATATCTAGTCAAATCTCATCAGGCTCTTGATATTAATAAATTTGCCTCAAGGTTACCTTCTGGAGAAATAATTCATGTTGTGCAAGTGTGACGAGAACCACTGCGCCTAGGGTATTATTGATTTCTTGCCCATGCAGTGTTCGTTCGATGTCAAGGCTTGTCTGGACATCCTATTTATGTCTAGCTATGTTGTACTCTGCAATGCGCATTTGATTAAGGACAATATGGTCCCCCTCGATAATTTATGCTAAACATGGCGTTAAACGCAGGGCGTCCAATAGTTCTGACCGAATCCTCTTGCTACATGGAGTACGGAGTACGGAGTAGGGGACTTCACTACTAAATATGTGGCGTTTACTTCCATTAGGACCGAAGCCTAGACATTCAAAGTCTCGTGGGCTTCATTGTCTGGTACTTATGTACTCCGTAGGTTGCGTCTGATGCATATAACTTTAGAAAATGACAAAGTACAACTCTCCTCTCAAAACTAAGCATCTCTGCCTTGGAATATAATATCCCGGTCGACAGGTAGTTATATCGTTGGTTAACTTGACTTTCCTTGATAGACTAAGGACTCTTGTCTGGCTGTTTGAAAAAATCCTCCATAAGACCATGTAAAATCCTTGAACAGTCTATAGATCTAATGACTTGATTTTTTCCACTAAAGGATCTATATCTTAGACCCCATCATGGAATGTATACTTGCAAATTCAACTGAAAAACAGAAGGAACGTTCATCGCAGATCTATTTTGAGCCTCACGATCTAGTCCCACTTCGCTCTACCGCAACAACCTTCCTTCCAAGATCTATACATTGAACATGGAAGACGTCCTCCGCCCAAGCAAAGAAGCCTTTGAATACACCCTCCGCGCGAGCTATCAGCTATGGTCAACCCATATCAACACCAGTGATACCCGCCTTCCATTGGAGTGCATCGACCTGAAACCCCTTCTCAAAGACACGCCTGCATTTCTCGCCCATGGATTGATCCCATCGGACAAAACATTCTCATTTGCTTGTGCCAAAATCCGGGGCGATCTTGAAATAAAGGGGCAGTCGAGATGGCGGACGTCCAGAGCTGGAGCAGATTGCATAACCCCGCCTAAGGCCATACATTTGGGGCTTGGATGTCATGCTTTGGAATATGAGGGTTGGGATTGGGAGCTTGGGGATGGGTCGAGGGTTGAGGATACGGGGGTAGAGGCGCGGTTTGCCTCGTTGCTTTCAGCGTCCGCGCCTACGTCGTCTATGCCTGTGCCTGCTTCTATGTGTGTCTTGTCCCAAACCAGAGTTTACTTCTGCGGATCTTCCCGCTCTACCGAAGGATTGTGAGTATGATCTATACTCAGATCAGAAATCGGATAATCCCACTCGAAGCATATTTTGCTGGCTTCGGTCGGATGGGTTTCCGGCGAATGAAAAGGGGATATATCAGCACTCGTGGGTTATGGTTTGGGATGGCGAGGAAGAGGAGGTGGATGAACATGAGTCTGATGATTCTACGGCTGGTGCTCGAGCTGAAAGAGTTGAGGATTGGCTTGGTGGTGTCGGTAATGTCGGTGATACCGAGGTAGTAGTCGAGGTCAAAACTGAGGACTGTCGGTAATACCGCACAGATCGACCTTTTAGAGCCATGAATCGAGGGAGGGCTTTCATGAGACTCTCGCCTTATTAGGTCGGGCTCTCCAAATGTGTTGTCGTAGATAAAGTAGCCCTCGGTGTCAGTGGTGGAGGTTATAGCTCCATTGGTCATTACGTCCAGCGCTACCTAGGACAGAAGGGAATGGTATGGTGATTAAGACCAATGCGGACCTTGGTAGATCTCACTTGAATTAAGGTTTAGGTGGGTCCTGGGTGTGGAGGGTGTACATCATGAGGTCTGAGCTTCATGATGAGAGGATTAAGACCAAATGATTAATGCAAACCAGCGAGAGAATGTAATAAAAGTTTCAAATGTTTTTGATATTGGTAAAGGTAAATGTAAACAGCAACTTAATCAACCATCACTCGTTAGAACGCAAACCCGCAAGTTTTCAACTCCACAAATCCAAAGGTATCACCAGCCCCCGCGACAGGCGAGGGAGAAAAATGGCCAGTCAATAGATATGACATGATAATGAAATGAAAAAAAGGAAATCAAGGACTGGAAAGATAATCAAATATCAAAACGGATCGCTTTTGGGGTTCTCAGAACCAACATCGATCTTTCGCAAGCCAACTCAACATGCATGGCAAATCTAGCTCAATCATTAGGAGAATAGACTGGTCTTCACGATAGTTTAGTGGCAAGATGCAATACGACCAGAGCGAAGAGCCTGTGTGCTCAACGCAAGGTCGAGAGAGTCAAAGGCACAAGACCCTAATAATCGAGTCTGCCAGCGACTAGAAACAGAATAAATTGTGGCCGTGGTTATCATATGATCTTGGTGGTAATCCAAAAGTCGTGCAATCGTGAGACCTCAGAGAGGTGCTGGGATGGGGAGCTGAGAGCGACGTTGCTGAGCATCCATCAGCTTGCGTCGCACAGCCTCGCCACCTGCAATGCTGCTTGATTTGCGCTTGCGGGTGGGAGTTCGCTGGTCATTGTTCTTAGCATGCCGGAAGACACTGGCAGGACGCGCAGGAGAGTTTGCGGGCATGAACTCGCGGTGTTGAGGCAGGCGGAGGAGCGCCTGGTAGCGGTTATGGTTGCGACGGAAGGCGGTGACAATACCCTTGTCTAGGTGATTGAGGAAGCGCTCTTCGTTGTTGGGTGGTTGTGAGTCAGACGACTTGCGGCTGGGGGTAGGTGTTCCCATGGACTTGGCAAAGGGAGCAGCCATTGGGGAGACCAGAGCATCATCATCGGATTGCTTATCCATGTCCTCATCTTCATCAGAGGATCCATTGCCAAAGTCGATAAAGTCGTCGACGTTGAGAGCGGACTCTGGGTCATCTTCTTCATCTTCTTCGAACGAGCTGTCGATGGTGAAGTCCTGAGAAGGGTAGAATGCCTCAGGGGGACCCATGACCTGGCCTCCCGGGGTGAGATCATTGCCGAGAGCGGTCATCATGAGGTTGGCACTCGAAGCCAGCATTGGGCTGAAATCAATCTGATTGGGTGAGGCGAGTGCATCGGTGTCGCTCTCATCAACCAAGTGAAGTGTAGTCTGGCGAGGGCTGGTGTTGGCAGTTCCAGGCATACTGTTGGCAGCAGAGTCTAGCCAGTCGTGCCGAGAAGAGGCATACGCCGGAATAATGACAAGATGCTTGCCAGTGCAGTCGACCAAGGCTACTGGCTTGTGGGGGTCTGCTACGAAGGTTCCCATGATAGGCCCGCGGCGGCGGGGGATACAGTCAGTCTTCTCATCAACAGGGGCCAAAGAGTCGGAGGAGTCCCGGCGGAGAAGGGACCGAGGGTGGGTGATAGTTGCTGGTGGGGGGAGATCTTCGTCTGTGGTGTCACCATCGTCACCTTTTAAAAGGGGTTAGCAAAACTAAAACTGAGATATGAATGACCAATTATCATACTCTCGTAACCACTCAAACTGCCCTCGGAAGATCCTTCGGATTCGACGTGGTAGATGCTTCCATGGCCATAGTCGGCGTCGCCAAACATCTCTTCCGACTGCCGGCGGGTGTTTCTCTGGTAGTTTTCGTTGTCGTTTTCGATCATACGACGCAACTGTGGGTCCAGGCTGTCCTGTTGTAGGAAGTCACCGGGTATATCGTCGTCACTGTGGGAATCACTATCAGAGGACGAATCGGATCGCTCCTCGAAGTGAACTCGCCGGGCGACGGGAGTCTCGGCGGCTTCACTGGTCACCTGAGGTTCTCCAAAGGTGTCCATGGCACTGTAAAGGTGTTCTTCATCAAAGAAGGACGCAGCCGGTAGGAACATGTGATCGTCGAAGGAGTTGATAGCCCACCCATCATCGGCAAATCCAGTGCTGGGCAAAGGACGGTGGGTTTTCTCTGACTCCACGATCATCATTTCTTCCATCTTCTCAACGTCTTGGTCTTCATCTTCGGCATCTGTGATATAGTCTACACCGGCATACACATCATCTGAGCTATCATCCGAGTCATTGCCGTCATTGCCGTCACTGCTGTCACTGCTGTCGTCGTTCAGGACACGTCTTCTCTTATTTACCACGGATTGGCGCCCCGCCTTATTGTCTCGACGACGACCATAAGACGGGGCCCGGGCAGCTGGCTCTTGCTCGTCATCTGCATCTTCTTCTGAATCATCTGCCTCGTCGCTCAGGTCCCCGAGGGACGAGACCGAAGAAACACTTGAGACTGATGATGATGAAGCTCTCCGTTTCCTATCGGATGGCTGAGCATTGGCTGACTTTCGAGACTGATTGGCCTTCGGTGACATATCGAGATTCCGCATGATGTTGGACTCGGGAGTTGAGAGGCGGGGGTGAGAGTTCTTGGCGGAGCTTTTGGGAGCCCGCTTGGAAGAGTATGCACTCTGCGGCATTTTGTAATAGACACGTAGGGATGAATATGGATAGGGGTTGTTTTGCCGGAGTGGACTTCTTTGGTCCTTGCTTTTTGTCGTTCAAATGGTCCGGTCCGTTCCAGGAGGATCCAATGATGGAACGAAGGAAGAGGGGTAGATCTTCCTTAGGTGAGAGGATGGTTGTAGTTTGGTCCAAAACAGCGATCCGTTAAGGGGATAAGTCGAAGGGAGGTGGGACGTAGTGGAGGAGATCGGAGAAGCGGAGTGGAGGGGAGGAGTCCAAGGTTCTTTTTTTTCGTAGCCACGAAAGCACCCGCAGTCCTTTGCGGACGCTGTAGTGCGCCTTCTGGGAGTTTGCTAGGGGGCAATTCCAACGCCTTCACACGAGGCGTCGAAAGAGAAACAAATATCGTCAAGTAGAATTGAAGATCGGAGCTGCAGGACTGGGGAGCCGGCAGGGACAGGCTCCCCAGCGAGGCATTTACAGCTCAACGAAGGCCATTTGGCTGAATTCTTGACGATATGTAGTGGATATGTAGTGAATATGTTCAAGAGGGGTTTCAATAAGTTCAGGGAAATCCGAAGTAGATCAGTTGGAAGTGCTATGGGAAAGGGAAGAAGAATGAGAAGGACGGTCGTTTTTTTCCCCAAGTGGGGGACAGTTGTGATTGGCTGCAGAACACGACCGCCTATTCGTTGGCGCCGCTCACCGACTCTTTCGCGCCAATCAGCGATCGCCGAAAGTCGCAACGGGAAAGTCATAAACTTGATATCCACCTAGGTATTGACTTAAATCAGGTGGTTGCATTGAAATTATATTGGTATATTGGGTTTTATTGCTACTGATGTTGTGCAGTACTTGCATCAATTCGATTCACTGCTATTTGGGCTTGAGGAATATATCCCGGCAGGCCGGGTCGAGTCTGAACAAAACAAAAAACTAAAAACGTCATTAAAGATCCTCGGCGCAAATTTCCCCGGCAAAATCTTCATTGCAAACTATTCCAGTCAACCTTACAACATAGAAGCCTGCAAAATATAGATTGAGTCAAGTTTCGACTCAGCGCTGAAACAAACACCATGTGAGAACATTAGTCTGCACTGGACGTCAAACTAGAATATACACAGTGCAGCGGCTGACCCGTGCGGCATGTACGATGATGATTCATCCTCGGATTGGGAGTTTTTTTTTTTTTTTTTTTTTTTATCGATGACACATCCCCTCAGATGAATCATATTGTTTCGTGTTTGGACTTCAGAATGACCCAAAATTTCTCCAAAGCTAGGGGCTCATTGGTTCGAGCCATAAGATCCGGCCACTTCCACTTTTGAGTGGCAAAGCGCTCTACTCCATTCCGACCGGCTTGACATTTTTGCCCGTCTCCCAAGCCGGGAACCTACAGGTCTTTTTTTTTATATTTTTGCCCCCAATAGCTTAGCTGCCTAACTGACCTAAAAAAGACCAGAGGCGGTAAAAGGACAACATGGCCGAGGCTGGGCGCGTCTAACATGCATGAGATAGATCCATTGCTCTCTTATCTTTTCTGATCGGTGAGTGGGACAACCTTAGAACTCTATAACTATATATATATATATAGCTCGTTACACTTACAATGTTTATGTTTATGCTCTACGATCTATCCATGGATAACATTGCGGATAAGAATTATGAGGGGCAAATGTAGAACGGAAGATCTTTCCGATTCTCCCTCTTTTCGAATACATTCTTGTCCCTGATGTTCGGAAGCATGCAAGATCATCTCTCTGCCCCGCAGTGGCTGCGATTGAAAATTTTCTACTTCCCCTAACACCAATCAGACTTCTTAAGGGGAAACAATATCCCTAGCGCTAGAATTTTTTTAGTTGAAGCGGATCATTCACCGTTCAGATGCCAATCCTCCACCTGGCCACTTCGATGGTCTTCTAGCTTGCAGCCTTCCCCACTTCTTCACTCTTTCCATACAGTACGGACAATTTACGTGATACTGGTGTCGAGACTTGGATTCCGACACAGTCGGGGTAGATCAAAGCCCCTACAGTGGCATCTAGGTAATGATCGTGTATAGTTGAGTAATTCGACATGTCAAAATAGACCTACGGAAGAGGGAATTGAGGGTAGGGACCACGATCTCATAAATTGCTCCATATATCTAAATTTTTACCCCTCAAAAAGTGGTTTATTTTTCTTGTTTTGGCCCCATAATATGCAGCAAAATGGGAATATCATACGGCTGTGCATATAACACCATTTAATAAGAAACTGAAGTGATCTGCTAGATGATATACTACACTATCCGACCCCGCATCACTGATCACTCGCCTGTTTTCATAAACACGCCCATATAGCAATCATTAAATTAAGAACAAGGCCAAAGCTCTACAAAATGACTCGGGACCATTCTGTGACTTCCAATAGAAGTAGCGAAGAATACACCAGCTTCTGCACATCTTTTGTTCAACTCCTCCAGTTTGCGCATAGTCTCCAAGGAACTCTGATCGATCTCTGAAGGCCCGTAACCTTCAAGCCCCAGGGAAGTAAGGCGTGGTAGGGACTTTGAATCCATCAAGCGTTCGATTTGATCGACGGCCCATTCGAGCAGCTCGTTGTGGCAGTGACATAAATACAAAGTCTCAAGGGACGGCGGCAAAAGTGCCACGAGTTCTTGCGTGGGCTCAAAGTTCTCGTCAAGCTTGGCAAGCATTGATATAGAAATATGCAGATATTTCATCATATTAAAATCGGCAAACGATCCCATCCATCCATGATCGTCTTCCGGGGGATCCCACGATTCGCCACAGAGCCAAAACGCCTCTAGCGATGCCTTGTGAAGGGATATAGATTCTCGAAGCGGAGCTGAGATAAGATCGGGTCCATCTGAGATCATTCCTCCGCCAATATTTAAACGGAAAGTCTTGAGAGCCTTGCAAGATTCGATCCAGACACCAAATCCACACTCAGTGTTGGTCATATCGAGATCGATATCTGTGACTCCCGAGAAGGGTGTGATGCGAGGTTCTCCCTCTTCACGATCGGAGTCGACCATAGAGGATCCTCCAATCCTGCGCATGGCCGGGAATTTGAAGAACGGTTCCATGCAGCTTGCATGAATGGAATTCTCCGTATCAGCCCATTCGGCGAAAGCTTCAGTGAGGCGAGGAAATGCTGTGGTATCCTCTTTGGCAGCCTTCACGAACATATCCTCAACATATTCTGACCCATACGGGTAGCATATGCTGATCCGTCTTAAGCCTTTCAGCTGGGGTATGAGCAAAGCTAACCAAGCATCGGTATTTCCGAGTCGCAGTTCCTTACTCGGTTGCGTGGACCAACAGGTACCAGCGACAAGCCCGTAAATAAGTTCCTCATCATATTCAAATTCACAGTCGATATCCCCGGCATCATCTTCAGTGTCCCAACTCTCCAAGCGTAAAGATCGCACGGCGCTTGCCAACTGCGGCCGTCGCGCGATTGCATTGAAAAATCGACTGACTTGTCCAATTGTATGATTGCTAACATCACCAAGAATAACCCGAGAATAGAGAGTTGGGAGTAAGGCTGTGTACAATCGACGACATGATAGAACTAGGGAATAGCGGTCACGCTGATCATCCAAGTCTTCCGCAATGAGACAGAGTGTCTCCTCTGGGAGGTCGAGAAGCATCACCATGATGCAACTAGTAAAGCTTTTTGCGACGCAAAGAGATGGTTAGTTTCACTCAGGTTCAGCGAGGAGGCTGCCGTGTCTGCCCCAGGGACGCTAGGAATCACGAGGTGGGGGCGATAATTGTCTACAGCACTTGACAGAAGGCCTAACCACGGTCACAGTCTATAACCAATATTGAGAGAATATGGGTGTTGGTCCTATCACCGGGACAGTGAGCACTAAGAAGCTAGAGAAAGTAATGCGGGATATTTGACAGAAGAGGAAACAAGTGGAGACCGCCAAGAGCAACTATCAAAAGGAAAGCGGTTAACTACATGAAATCCGAGGTTTGTCCTTCGTAAGACCGAATGATATTAATTAGATTAAAATAACATAAATCCAACTATTTAGAGGCATGGGCATAATTCCCGGGGCAAGAGGTTTCATTTAGCAACCCCTCGATTCTGGGTCGCCCACTCAAATCCAAGGTTCCTTGGTTGATTTGATGAACAACCATGGTTCCGTCCATCGAAACAAGATTAAGGTGAAAAAATCCGACAAAAAGGGAGATCAAGTGCCAGGATAAGGAGCAACATCACTAGGCATAGGCTCTGTTTTGGCCCGACCGAACATAGACAAACGTGATTTCGACCGGGAAGGAACTGCCGCTGGCCGGGCATTTTGTTGGGTACTTTGTTGGCTTTCGCTTTCCACTTCGGCGGGTACAGCAGGTTCGACAGGAGCGGCCCGGGCCTCCTCTACCTTTCTCACACCTTCACGTATTTCATCAGACGAAGCGCCCGGTGGTGCGGTTGTCATCAAAGTCTCAGTAGGGCGAATTAGACCCTCGGATGTATCTTGGTTGAGCTTGGTGATCTCTTCTTCTGTCACCAGACGCTCATTCTCCAAACGGACTTCGCGTCCGCGTTTGTGGCAGTACCACAATACAAAGAGGAGGACTGAAGAGATAGTCAGCAAACATATTCATGCACTTGGTGTGGTGCTTCACTTACGGAACAATGCCAAAGACCAAAGCACATTCATGCCCATAACAGCAGGGAATCGAGCTCGCAAAAATGTCATGATGGATCGTAGCATTCCTACAAGAGCAGCTGGCTTCGACACAAGTTCCTTTAGACTTGGCATGTTGACTCCCATCTTCTCTGCAGCTGCAGCGGCCTTGCCCATATTCTCCATGTTGACGCCACTCTTGCCGGCGCGGTCGGCAGCAACAGCCAGCATCTCTGGAGCCAAGGTCTCGGTCCAACGCTCCGGAAGTTTCTCGATCAACTTTTGCATGGGACCAGGCAGCTTTGTATAGGTTTCCTGTAGTTGGCGATTGCCGTTGGTCAGCAGCATCTCCAAGTCATGATACGCAGTTGGGACTCCGTTGATCAGATCCTTGAGGATGAGCTTGAACTTGCGTAAAAGCTCTTGTGTCTCCTCGCTGATCGAAAATACACGGTTGTTATCCGCTGCCAGGTTCAATCGCTCCAGAATATCCGTCACGTCCTCAGCATCTTTATCTTTATCTGCATCTTTCCCGTTTGTTGACGTATCCAATGTGGTCGGAGGAGTCGAAGTTTCGGTCTGCGATTTGTTTGCATTGGAGGGGTCTTTATCCTATTTGGGCGAACTCGTATGTTAATACATACTCAAGCCAGATGGAAGGATCCGAACATGAACACAATTAAATATATGACTAACCTTCTCTGTGTTTTTCTTCCAAAACATGGCACTCCACCGTTTCTTCTTCTGTGGTGGCTTGGAAACTTCCGACTTTGGTGTCTCTGATCTTGTCGATGTTGCTTGAGAGTTCTTCCGTTCTTGCCTACCCTCCTCGCCAAGCTCCTTTGCTAACTCCTCTACAGGCGATGTAGGTAGAGGGATGTTTTCAGCTTGTTCGCTTATCGCAGGTTGCAGAGACACCCCAGCAGGGCTTTCCGTTCGGGGTTGCTCATTCTGTTCTGTTGTAATGGGCACAGATTCCGTTTGGGCGGTGACTTCGCGTAGGTAGGCTTCATCTTCCGGCGTCAGGACAGGCTTGGGGGCGCTGACCATTTGCGGCGAACGCCGTAGGTTCTTTATTTGGTTGAGATATTGCATGGCCATGATGGAGGTATTCAAGATACCAAGGACGGCAATATGGGCTTTTATTTCCTGTTCCTCGATGGGAAGTAGACGATAGGAAAAAGTAGGCCAAAACGAGACGGGCGCGTGCTGAAGGTAAGGGGACGCGCGCGCTGTCGATTTTAGTGATAGATCAACTTTCCCAAGCGGCTAGGTGATATGTCACATGAAATGATTCGATCAGAAGATGTGGCAGTTAACCAAGTTGCATGCTAACACCAAGCTTTTGTTTCGCTCACATGCCCACTCGAGCCTGTTCCTCGTGATGATATCACCGGTGGCTGAACAACCCCGCATGTGCCACCGCATCACTAGCACAGCCACATCCACATTTGCCCCATCTATGGACTTGGCACCATCCAAATTAAGAGAGCTCTCTCTTCATTCGTTGGGTAATGCTTTCTCTTCTACGGAGTACTTGTAGCTCTAATTTACCGAAGTCCATAATTGTGAGTCTCTCGTTTACTGAGCTGTGCGCAACTCGCTATTGTACTTTAGAGGAAATGAACCCATATAAAAACTATTCGTTTTGTACATCATGCTCATGTTTAGAAAATCAATGTTTCTATGTTTTCATCCAGGCACACACGGTTGAACTCAGGGCGTGAATGATGGATCTGCCGCTTCAAAAAATCTCATCACCACCATTGTGACTACTGGATACCCCATGATGACATCGTGCAATCCAGTTTTCAAGATTTCTTCACGAATAACCCCGTTATCCGTTTTCCATTCCACCATGGACCCGGCAGCTCCTAAATCTGCTTTTGAGTCGAGTTTCTTTTGTTCGAGGTCGTCATAACTGATCCCCGCTGGCATTGAAGCATTAACCGCATGCCAAAACACAAGTTGAGAATGGTTCCATGGAATGTCGTAGTCATCCTCGGCGTGAATAATCGTTATTCGGTATTTCTCTCCATTGCGCTCGTTTGCGCGGATATATTGCGCAATAGAATCCTTGCTCAGCCATTTGTCTCGAATGAATCGCTGAAGATATTTGAAGAGGAAAGGGAACCTCGCAACTGGCGACAAAATTGGCACGGTACCCGCGACTCGATAAGTTGAGACCAATGTTGCAATGTCCACAAATGACGCAACCAGCACCGTGCCTGCGAAGACTATTGGCGGATTCTGTACAGCAAGTTGTTTGGATACAGCGATGCTCACGGCCGTGCCCATCGACTGACCAAATATCAAAATTCGAGATGGAGGGATGCCTGCAACATTCATTGCCCAGTCCACCACGGCGAGAGCATCAATGATGAGCCCAGTTTCAGATAGTGACCCGGTACTCTTGCCAAATCCTCGATAATCAAATGTGAGAACATGGATTTTCCCAGGATTGCCCGCTGACAGCGCACGATAATTTGGGACCCGGTAACCTGAGGCGACGGTTCCCCCAGCGCCATGCATATGAAGTATCAAACGAGCGTCGGGGTCCTCCCGCAATAATTGAAATCCCACTCGGGACTTGATATCGGACACAAAGCCTACGGGCTCTTCGACAAGAGACATTTGATGCTTGCGATATAGTTCCACGGGAAGAATATGCCAGGCATATAGCCACTCACCGTCCGTCGTTCTGATGGAGAACGGAGTGACCTGGTTCTTCAAGAACCCAAAACTTTCGGGTACATTGAGGTCTTTGAACCATGTCATCTGAATTGCGTGCAGGTAAACGACATGTGATTGGAAGGTTGATGTGATGAGTAACCCTAGGAGGATCAAGTATAGCCCAACTCCAACAGCGACTGGTATTGACGCATATTTGAAGAAATAACCGGCTATCTCCCCAGCTGACATGTTGAGTCGAAAAGCGATAGAGTGATATTATTGCGACATGGAAGAGGGGATGTCTCAAACTGAAGGCTGGTGCCGCACACTAAATAGTGACATGCAGACACAATCCCATTGCAACCTTGTAATATGCATGGTGCGGGTGAAATTTTACGTACTAGTGGGTTTCTGCAAGTATAGTTGGTTTGGGAGCGTGATGTTGGATATACTGTCGTTCACACTAATAAGACCTGCCCTGTAGCCGCCACTAAATTAGGGCGGTTCATTTTGCAAGGATATGACCCACTTCTTTAACACTATGAGCTTAGTGGGGACTGTTCATATTCCTATTAGTGGTCTTTCTGTGCTTACTGACCTACTGGTGCGATAGGAAAGGCGTGATGAAGAGTAATGTGATATATTATCCATGTTATCTACATACAACATAGGTCGCGACCATATGGGACATGGGTGCTGTCTACATATCTGATCATGCCCAGGTGAGATAAATCCATGACTTCGCTGCTGCTTAGATACACGATAAAAGGCCCCCTATTCCCTCAAAGAGGAAAAAAGTTCGGACTCATGAACAACCTCTGCCGGACTACCGAAGTGAATGACCTTCCCGTCATCCATAACAAGAATCCGGTCGTATTCCACCGCCGCCTCGAGCCTGTGCAAAATTGAAATTGTCGTTTTATCAGGCAATCTCTCTTTGATCAGGCTTCGAACTCGTTGTTCATTTGCCATGTCAACACTAGAGTCGATAATTAGCTTGGAATTATCTTCTATACGAGGGAACCGAATGCTTCACTTACCCGCTTGTAGCTTCATCGAAAAGGATGATACCACCTGACCGATGACCCGCTTCTAGAACGGTGCGAGCCAAAGAGCACAACTGAGCCTCACCGCTGGAGAAAGTTACATCTTTTAGCAAAGCGGACAATCCTCCAGAACTCTCCACCTTTTCTTTGATCGCGCACTGGGTGAGAATATCCCATATGTTCTCGTCGCTGCAGCCCCCATGTGGATCCAGTGCGTCTCTCAGAGTCTCCCCTTGTAGATAAGTGTCTTGGGCAATGACGTGGAATCTCGAGCGCAAAACAGATCTGTTAACTCGAGAGATATCTACCCCGTCAATGCTGATCGTGCCCTTCCGGGTTTCGACAAGTGCCAGCAACGTGAGCAGCAACGTAGATTTGCCAGCCCCGCTTTGACCACAGATGGCAATGCTTTCCCCTGGTTGGATTTCAAAGGAGACACCATGCAAACTCCAGATCGGGCTTTCTGGCTCTGGGGTATAGCTAGACCACACGTCATGAAACTTGACCATTCCAGATGCGGGCCATGAACTCGGAACATCCACAGGGGAATCCACCTCCGGTTCGAGCGGGGTGCTTCTTTCGAAAGCCTCAATTCGAGCAATAGCCCCCAAGGAAACCTCGAGGGAGGTCCAGGAGTTAATTAGCGTGGTTAGTGTTTCGCCCAGCGTGGTGAGGTTCAGGAATGCAACACCAATGGCTCCGACCGTTGTTTTGTTACGGATCCCCACGGCCATACCGGTCACAACCACAGAAAGACCGGCCACGACCAGATCCAAGGTGAGTTGCAGCCAGCGCTGGATGGAATAAAGCAGATAGAAAGGCTCTTGCGATCTGTCCAGATCCTTGCGGAACTCCCGTTGCCAAGTACCCTGCCAACCATGGGCACGAATAATCTCCAGCCCTGTACACGTCTCGAGGACCTTGGTATGAAGGCTTGCTTTGGACTGCAATTCCTGCTGACGCAGTTGTTTTGAGGTGCGGAGATAGAAGTACTGGATGAGGAAAAGAACGATCATTACAGCTGGTAGCACGGCGATGGCATATACTGCTGCCACGGCGACTAGGACAATCTGAATCATACACTCCCATAGTGTTGTCGTGGTGTTCAACATATGGATAGGTAATTCCATATCGACCATCATTAGGTCTTGAGTGAACCGATTGAGCAGATCTCCTGAGTCGGTGGTGCTGGCGAAGTAGAATGTCGAATTTAAGACGGTCTTGAGTAGTTGACGGTGAAGCCCAACTCCAGATGCAGGGACAATTTTCATCATCATATGCCTACCGCCAAGTTAGCTTGAAAAGAACAACATGGGATGATATAGAACCGAGGCAAATATTACTAACCCCAGCCAGATCGCCATCATGACGAGTGGCAGCACCTGCAACATAGCGTATAATCCCAGCCAGTAGCCGACATTGTGGGTCCCTTTGTGGCTGTCCTCAGACCACCACTGCGCCCAAATATCTATTATGAGGTCAGTTGAATACCCTCATGTCAATTTATACGAGTGTCTACCTGGAAATTTGATGCAAAATGCGAACGCAATACCGAAGAAGAGGAAAATCATCATGTTGGCTGTCCCGATTGAGCCAAAGTATTTTCGATAGACTGTTCGATCCTTGATGCTAGCGACAACATCGTCCATTGGCTTCGCGGTAGTTTTGGACTTCTCGGCGGGCCTTTCGTGGCCATTCTCAGGCAACTGACATGACTCTGGAGGAACATTTGTATCGTTCCCACTGGCTGAAGTTGAAGACACAGGGGAGTCGCAGGAAACTAGATACCCAGTTTCATCAATTTGGTAGACACTGTCAACCATTGCAGCCCACCGCTCTATCGCCAATCATCAGTCCCGTTTTACATCCATGAAAATCATCACTTACCATGATTTGTTGTTTCAATCACAGTAATGCCCAGTGACCGCAAAAGTCCACGTGGTCCGAAGAGAGAGTCCCGTACATGTGTGACCGTCTTCTGATCCAGGGCACTGAACACATCGTCCAGGAGAATAATATCAGGTTTCCATGCGATCGTTCGAGCCAGTGCCTGAAGTATTAATTAGCTATCTACATCGCCGGCAAAGATAGGGAGGATATACCAGGCGCTGTTTCTCTCCTCCGCTAATACGAACGCCTCCACTGCCAACAGTTGCCTGGGCTGGCTGCGACTCAATTACATCACCTAGAGCACACGCGTCAATAACCTTGCGACGCCAGGCAGGGTCTTCTTGCGCGCATCGGAATGCATTTTCTAGAGCGGTGGTATTCTCTATCCAAGCAGCCTGACCGCAGTATCCGATTCGAGAACTGCCTAGTTGCACCGATCCTCCAGTACACTTAGCTTCGCCCAACAAGGACTTCAGTAATAGTGACTTCCCAGCTCCAACGGGGCCAGTGATGACAACGTGTTCCCCTTTGCGAATATTAAGAGAAATGGCATGCAAGTGGGGCTCAGTGGTCCATCCAAATTCACCCTCCTGTACGGATATTGCTGTATCTACAGGAAGTGCGGTGACCTTAGCAGACTTTGCAGAGTTGTCTTGCTCACTGGGAACATCGTTCTCGTTTTCCATTTGATCTTGGGAAGGATGATCCGAAGCCAGATGGCGATAATCAAACCTTTCTGGCTTTTCAAGAAACGCTTCGATCCGCTGGAAACACCCTTTTGCAGCACCAAGAGACGGAAACATCTGCAGAATGTGGATGAGCGGACTGGCCAATAGGGTGATAAGAATTAAAGAGGTAAACAGCCTTGCGGGGTCCAGGTTCCGGTGCTGGGACAAGGTGGTTCCGATATATGTGCCAAACACGAGTACGGGCGATATAGTAAGTGTAGTGTACGCTACAGCCAAGTTAGTATTTCCACGATGTAGAGGATACGTAACTCCTACATGATAGAACCCCTCCGACAATGAGTCTCCGAAATATCTTCGATGCGGCAAACTCTCTAAGTCGGAAGTCTTCGACCATGGTACCTGCCAGCAGCCCCGACCCAGTCATTCGAATTGCCTTCAGAGATGACAGCATCTTCCGTGTGGCAGAGACTCGGTTCTCGGTGGCTTTCATCCATCTCTGCTGTTGGGGTCCGGTTGACTTTCCAATGAAAGTAGATACCACGGTGCTGGCTGTCAAGCAAATCAGGACATGTTGCCACTAAGATGTATTTGAAAAAGAAACGTACCAAGCGCCAACCCTACGACCGTCAAGCTCGATGGCCCGACTTGTCGCCATAAGAGCCACGTAGCCAATGCAGTCTCTAGTAATCCTGCCCAAAGCTCATGTAAGAACGCCAGCGTAGTGGAGATTCGCTGAGCATCGCTGTTCATCAGAGTCAGTGCTTTAGACTCGTTCTCTTTGTCTTCTGGCAACCGAAGCACTTTGTTAAAGACAATGTCGACAAGCCCTCCACGCATACAAGTCACGGCTTTGTAGTTCAAATGCGAATACCAGCCTCTCGATATCTAAGGTTGACCGTTAGACCAGAGAGTCCTTTATTTCAGTTATAGTCTGTAGAGCTCACAGCAATTCCTCCATATACAAGGAATGAGGCACCGACAAGGCCATAGCCATGATTCTTGGGAGCAGATTCATCGCCCAAATAGCGTATCAGCTCGGTGGCGAGGAACGGTTGTGCAAAGGTGAATCCAGTAAGACACAGCCGAGGGATTATTGGGAGGAAGAGGTATCGACCTAGACACAAGAGAGCTCGGCCAGGTAGACCGAAATACGAAACTGAATGTGTTAGTGAAGTCTACGTGGTATTTGTGAGATCTGTAAAAAATGGTGACACAAACTCGAACGTCTTGTAGATATCCGTGAGAACTGAGTATCTAATTGTGCTGTATAGAGACTGCGATGGATCGGTCCTAGATCGGCCGCGGTCAGTGTACGTTGGTAGCCGGTCCATAGAAGACGATTAAGCCATAGGAATAGACTTCGTGACACAAAGCTAGCGCTCTCCTCTGGAGACTGCTTTGTATCTTCTAGGCCTCTTAGACGTCCACTCTCGAGTACCGCCATGAACAATTGCACGAGCAAGGCAGCAAGAGCAGCACCTGCCACACTGCGATGTGCCTCAAGAGACCAGTATGTGCGGGTCATGGCAGACCTGAGTAGAGCTGTGAGACATAGGTAAAAAGCAAGGAAGAACGATGGGCGGTTGGATCGAGTATGCTCATAATGAGATAAAATAGCGATTCCACACGCAGCGAGCAATGACAGCACGGCGGCGGGGACAGAAAGTCGCGTTGTTGCGCCCTGACCAGTCGCGATAAGGATGAGCGTGACGAGCTCAAGAACTGCAAAAGCAGAAACTGCGCCCTAGTCAAGTATGAGCCAATACTCTAGAGATATGTCACAGCGTATCAAATGTACCAGCTTGAGAAAGTACAAAAGTCCCCATCGGGCATGCACTGGCCGACGAAGCAATACACAGAGCCGTGTGGCTGCACCCATCAACAGAAGCGAGGACGGAATCAAAGCGAAGAATAGCTCTTCAAAGTATAACGTAAAGTCGAAAGCTCTCCGACAGGACGCAACTGCGGGACCAAAGGCCCTGTCTGCAGCGAAAGTGCACGACATGGAGCGTGGCCAGACACCGCGTCTGTGGAGAAAGCTATAATATGGAGATGTTTGAATTGTTGGAAGTCCATATGAGACAGAAAGGGGGAGAGAATCCTTGGAAGGTACCTCCCACAACACATGCTATACCTCTTTCGACCGGACCAAACAGACTAAACGGCCCCCAATGGGACTAATTTAGCCACCTTGCCTAAATAGGGCTAGACTCGGACCGTTCCAATGTTCCAAAGTACCCAACTTCAAGCTTCCAAGGCTCCAATGTTCCAAGGCTGTGCCAAGCCCTGGAGGTTCCTAGAGGTTCCTGCCCAGCCCGAACGCTCCACCCTCTTCGGGACCATGGCATCCATGGCATCCGTGGAATTCGCGGATCGTCTCTTTCATCTTTTGCGAAGGTCCTAGAGGTGATCTCTTTGATACCTATGCGATCTGTGATTGGCCGTTACATGGCAACTCCGTCGGTCGCCCGACAATCCTTTCTTGGCACGTCTACCTATAATATCCATAGGCTCGTACATCCTAATGTCAGCTCTTCGGTGTAGCTGGGTGGAATATGTCTTACCAAAGTCAAAGTAATCGCCGAATTAACGATTACAAATAAAAAGAGTACATCCGAATCTAACCTTAGCAGGGCGTCCAATTTGTCTCACTTTTGGAGACTAGATACATCAAGGCGGGGGTCTCAATATGTAGGTACTATAAGATCACTTTTTTCCATGCGTTCCTCATGCGCCCCACACAGACCCTGCACCATGTGACGCGTCTGGGGTACATCGGTGCCTGAATGCGGTAGTTCTGCAGCCAACATATGCATTTTCAAAGCCACTAGAAAAAGGACTATGGCATGCATTTCCGCTCTCACTTATCGGGAATTACCAACCTTAGAACTTGATGATTGACTACAGATATCCTAGCTCTTGGGTTCATATGTTGGAATCGAATGTAGCCATTGACGCCCAATTGATATTCGGTGTTTGGAGTATACGTACATACTTCAACACCAACATGTACGTACGTAACACGCGGGAAACTATATATCCATCTCTGCTAGTAATGCAGGTGTTGAAATATTAAAAGTGGGGAGGTTTGTCGACGGTATTCTTATGGATGGCTCGGCGAACACCGAAGGAACACTAAAGGTGGCATGACTGTGTGACCCATCTCATTTTTGTTTAAGGAGAAAAAAGAGGGGAGAAGCAAATATGTATCCATCCCACCTCTGCCAAGCGCGCACCTCATGCACTAGAATCAAATGGGTGAATATGGTATACCGCGGTCGACGCCAAAGCGTGACCATGTCGGGATTAAACTCGTATAGAAACTCGTATAGAAATTCGGCTTCTGCCTTGAAGGCTGCATATTTTAATTTATTTGACATCCTGCATATTCTAATCTGTCTCGTAACCCCGCAAAGCCAAGCACCTCGGTCTCCATCTGCCGAAACCTAAACTACCTATTGCTTCGGTTGAACGGGCCACGCTCCGCCAGGAACGGGAATAAAGCTTCCCGAATGGAACAGTAGCCCGTCTGTGCATTATCGGACTCACCGGAGGCTACGCGAAGTTCATCGTTTCAAACTTCAGGAATGTAAAGTAGTATATTCATCGGCATTAATTGTTGTAACATATAAGCAGGTTTATCCTTAATGGAGCTTTACAGGAAACGATGTTTGCAGAGTAAACACGACGAAAACGTCCACGGGTAAAAACATTTGAAGAGCCCAATTCAGCTCGGGATACCCGGATATAGTCACCGAGATGTTCCATTTGACCCCGCCATGAATCCTTCCTGGTGGAATATAGCGACGACCTTCATCAATTCGTGTCGATCGGAGTTTGATCAACGTTCAAGCTTAAACATATTCCGAAGTTAAAAGGCCGAGGCTGTTTAATTAAACACATGACGACCACCACGTTTTCCCCGCAAATATTATTTAGTCTAGCCGGACTTGGAAATAATTTCTACCTACGTAGCCCGTTTCCGACGCTAGCTTTGCCAAGTCCAAGTTTGATTGCTCAATATTATATTCTTGCTCCACACTGTGATGTTGGGTCCGAGTACGACAATCACTAGTGCGCCAGTTCAGATTCTGCCCGCAGTACAGATTGTAAGACGGGTATTTTTCACATCTATACACCAATATCGCACTCGTTCTTCACATAGTCTTGAAGTTAAAGATTGAGTCTACATATTCCTCGATGGGCGAATTCTTGATACTTGAATTCTCAATAGATAAATTCCCGATGCCTAATCGCTCCAGCCCTGAATTGCCTGTAGCCTAACTTTCTACTTCCATCATCTACTCATGGCAACCCGCGACGGGTATGGGTGGGGCGGGTGGACAGTGTCATGGGTAAGTTTAGACATTTCACACATTCTTCGCCGCCTATATTCTATATTTTGCAGCTAATGCTTCTTGTCCTTCTAGCTCGCACACTAATAAGGGGGTGATATTCAAAACAGGACATCTAAAAAGATCTAAGGAGACCCCCACGATCACATGCTATCACATGCTGAAGGATCTAGATGTCTTTGTTCTAAACCTTAAAAGGTTGGTTTACTCACCTAATTAGTCTGTATACATTATATAGCGTGAGGAAGTGGGTCTTGCTGGCTATACTTCCCTTCTAGAGGTTCTTTCTTCACTTCTCTTCATCCACTCCCTATTTCTGGTATTTTGAGTTGACTACAATCTGTGTCTGAAGACCTAGCACGTAACGAAAACCAATAAAGACTACTAAAATTGTCGAGAAGGAGGCACGTCATACATATACACTACGCCATGGGGATCAGTATAGACATCGAGCTTGTCCTTAAGAAATAAACTCCGATTCACTGAGAGTGCATGCTCCACCCGACCTGGAAACTAACCCAACGCCCCGGTCTAACAATCAGCCCAGGGTAGTTAGGGCTGCATACGGAGTACCTTAGACTAGCCTGTGTATGTACAACATAAGCCACTATGGAACACTAGAAGCAATCTCCGTTGACCGCCATGATCCCAATCCTTCTGATTTACCTGTGTCTCAGATCCAATTCGTCATACGTTATTTCCTCTGATTCCATAGCGTCAATATTAGAGATCTTACAAATTTCTACCCTTTACATCCATCAAAAAAGACTACCAAAAACGCTTGACAAGGCCGTATAAGCGGCTAACTATTCTCATACTCAATGTTGTATACTACTTTGAATTCTTGATGATTGAATTATCTATATTTTAAATACTCTACGCTATAACTCTTTGTTTAATTAGCACGACGACCTATTGAGTTTATTTATTATTTATTCAGCAGAAATAGAGCAATTATCTAGTCAAGTAGTGTCAAAATTACCTACATATGTAGACCTTTTAGAATTGAAATGTTTGTACGGAGTGGGTAATGAAAAGCCAGCGGTGAGCCAGGCGGTCAAATTTTACTATATGCTGTACGGAGTACTCCGTACTAGGCCCCCATTTCAGTGCTTCGAGACAGAAGGATTGGCATAGTGGTCCACGAGTAGATATTGGCAATTCTGATTAATTAATGAGGCTTTTTGCACATATTTTGTCTCAGCCCAGGCCCCATCTAATGTGAAGATCAAATGAGTCTTAGAAGCCCATAGGTAGTACTTGAACTTGCTGGAACTATTATCACCAGGCTGGAGAACCCGAGAAATCCGCGGATATTCCCCGAATGGTCACCTGTACATTCACCATGCATGATAGCTTTGGCTCCGTACTCTGAATTACCTGTTTGGGATATCATCCCGAGGCAACCCACCTGGCGCAGCTTCCGTCTCCCCTCTGCGGCATATCGTGTGCAAATATAGTGACAATGAGGACGTGGGAAGAGTTTGAGGGGTATCTGAAGAAGTATTTAAAGAGCCAGATAAACCGAGACAGTTTTCCTTTTTTCCATCCAAAGACAACACTCCAGCAGCCTTTCTACCTCAAAATCGGTCTATAAAATCCTCATATATTATTCCAACATGTTGTTCAACTGCCAATCTTTGCTTGTAGGGATCTCCTTGATCTCTCAAGCCCTTTCTGCACCACTTTTGGAGCCGAGGGCAACTGCTGGTATGTCAATTCATCACCCCATCTTTGTCCCGCTAGGCAGCTCTAACATTATCTCAAGCCACCGCTGCTTTCCCTGATTTGCACCGTGCAGCACAGCTTTCTTCTGCTGTCTACACCGGTTGTATCGGAAAGGCCTTCGATGTCACTATTACCAAGAGGATTACTGACCTCCTGACCTCCACCAATGTAGGCGTGGTATTTTTTCTACACACTAGCAAAAGACTAATTCCAATAGGGATTCGTCGGATACTCCACTGAGAAGAAGAAGATCTCTGTCATCTTGAGGGGCTCGACAACCAGTATGGACCAATCAATTCATTTCAATACCAGCTCACCATGCTAATTAATCTAGTCACCGACTTCGTGAATGACATTGACATTGCTCTCGTCACTCCCTCATTCTCGGGCGTGACTTTCCCTTCCGACGTGAAGATCATGAGAGGTATTAACAGACCTTGGTCTGCTGTACACGAAACTATCATTGCTGAGGTCAAATCGCTCATCGCGAAGTACCCGGATTACACTTTGGAGGCAGTCGGACATTCCCTGGGTGGTGCTCTCACATATCTGGCCCACGTTGCACTGGCCCAGAACTTCCCGGATAAGCAAATCACCAGCAATGCACTTGCTGCTTTCCCCATCGGCAACGAAGCGTGGGCCAACTTTGCTGGTTCGCAGCCCGGTACTTTGAACCGTGGAAATAACATTCTTGACGGTGTTCCCGTAAGCCATGGTTGAACCTGAGATGCTATATTAAAGTGGCTAACCATACAACACAGAACATGTACGTTAGCGGACTTGTCAACTTCAAGCACTATGGAACCGTGAGTTATCCTATTGAGCCCCTTTCATACCAATGTTCAATCGCTTACCGACCATGACAATGCACAGGAATACTACAGCTCTGGCACGGAAGCCACCACCGTGAAATGCGATGGGCAGCGAGACCGGTCCTGCTCTGCCGGCAATGGCATGTACGCTGTCACTGTCGGTCACTTCTCGAGCTTTGGTGTTGTGATGCTTACTGCTGGTTGCGGCTTGCTTTGAGTACCAAAATGGCAACGGAGGAATCTTCGACACGACACAAATCCCTTATTTTAGGGATAAAGTGATCTCAGATGATTACTCTCTCGCTGGCGAGGGAAATATATCTTCTAGTGTTTTAATAATTAGTTCATATTTATTTGTGCATATTGGAAGGTTGGTCATCCAACATGATCGGCTTCATGCAAATATATATCATTCGACGTCAATCCCCCTTCATCATGCCCTGTTAAGAACATAGATAAGTCATAACGGTACTCTTGGCAAATATACCCTGTAAGTTTTCATTGGTTCGGACTTAGCGCATCTATGGTGACTAGTGTGACGTGAGAATTTAGCGCCAACATACACAGCCCTGGGGGTTTCCCAAAGAACCAGCCACACAAAATTTTAGCTAAGCCTGATCCTGAGCCTCAATTAACAGGTGACTTCGTCCCTAGTCACATTTGATATCACCTGACCTCTACATTTAAACCCCCTCTTCCCATTTCCTTTCTTCTTTTTTTTCTTTCCTTCCACGCCTGCCGGAGTCGATAACTGTTCGCTAAGAGAGTCATTTCAGATTCTCGAATGCAAAGTCATCCCAGAACTGCGTATTCCTCGTCTTTTAACTAAGACTCGGGGCAACCATTTCTGTGGGGAGCTTCCAAGACTCACATGCTACGTGTGCATGACCTGCAGCGTCAATCCGTCTTTCTTTCGACCAACTCGTATCATTCCTTCCGATAACTACAAGTTTATTTCGTCATTTTTGACCATCTTCTATGGGCATATCTCGGCAATAGGACCCCTTTGCGCCGTTATGTTCAAGCGCTCTTTCGTATCTAAGGACCGGGCGGGTAAAACCGTCAAGGTCGCCAAGAAGAAATACGACGAGCTAGTTAAGGAGAAGATGAAGCAGAAAGTGGAAAGTCCCTCAATGGGAAGGTGTGTTATATTATTTTTATTATAAATGCAGACCTGCGCTCTCCATAAATATCGACAATCATTTCATGTGCTGATAATGTATCCCCATAGTCCCCTTACCAGCCCTATCATTACTATGGTTGTTGGCCGGGACCAGCGTCTCTTCGCCGCCCATGAAGATGTCCTATCCGTGTCCCCGTTTTTCAGCGCTGCTCTGAAGGAGCAGTTTCTCGAAGACGGTGCGAAGCAACTGACTTTGCCTGACGAGTGAGACAATCCTGCCTATTTCGATTGAACAAAAACTTATACTTGATATAGAGAACCTGAGATTCTGTCGTGTGTTCTGGAGTTTTTGTACAAGGGCGATTACTTCCCGCGCTTGTTGCGTGGGAAGCAAAGAAACTCTTGGTCACTCGAGAACGCCCAGGATATCAATCAAACCGGTGGCCGTGGGTCGAGCGAGCCGACAATGTTCCACTACGGAGTGGGAGATCTCGTTCTCCGAGATACGGCAGTGTACTGTGCTGCCGAGAAGTACGGCTTGGAAGAACTCAAGCGCCTTGCTCTCCGAAAGCAGGGTCTTCAGAGTGGTATTCCAGCCGACGTGATCTTGCGATCCGCTCGATATGCATATGACAACACACCCGAGTCCGATTCCCGACTGCGCGCTCATTACCTGGCTCTTATCATCCGCAGTCGCAAGACTTTTAAGAGCAGCGGAACCTTGCAGATGGAGATGGAGGAAGGGGGCAAGTTGTTCTTCGACCTGTTTGTGGCAATGTGCAACCACATGGACGACCTCTCGGAGCTGCGGTACGATTCAATTTCTCCTTCTCCTTCTCCCTCGCCCTAGCTCTCTGCGTATCCCTCTTTTACTGCTGACTGTCTTTTTCGATGCCGAGCCCTGAGTGCTTACACTCGTGTCTACCAGCACCAAGCGATCGCCGAGGTTTTTCTAAGCGGTTGTAACATTTCCTATGTACTGGATCGAGCGACTTGGATTTTGAAATTGAACAAGCGAGGCATCCATCTTTTGCACCAGAATGGCATATTGACAACGAACTTGCACTGGTCTGCGTTTTTGGTTTGACAGCACCTTGACCTTCGCTTCTCTCGAGGTTGGCCGCCCTTTGGTTTGAAAAACCGACCTTATTCGCTTTTAATCGGATCCACGGCGTATCTCGACTTGCGTTCAACCACTCTACACTCCTTGAGATTGAGGTTTTTTTGACACAGTCTTTGATGATCTGCACTTAGTATGCTGCTCTTATTTGTGACAGCGATTATGCTTTTGCCCCTAATTAGGCGATGCATCGTTCATCGCTTAACCTGCTCCTGGGCAACGCGACTATTTGGTGATGAGAAACAGAAATGAAAAAAAAATTCGGCCACCTCAAACGAGGAAACAGTAGAAATATATATTACGTAGATAGTGATACCGTAACTCATCTCCAAATATCTTTCGTCTTCGGGTTATTGCAAGCTCTTGGAATGAAGTAGGCAAGGCATGAACTGCGGGACTGATGGCATTAGGCAATTAGAGTCGACTGCAATCTATCCCACCAGGACGCTTGACATAATCTACTAAAGGCTCACCACCCTAGTGGGCTATTTGAAATAAGGGTTAGGTGAACAACATTGCGCAACCCAGAGCTTGAGATATAGTCCTCCGATAACACTTCTGTATACATATTGATAGTCCAGCATCTCGCCGTCTGAGCGATCTGAAATGTACAATTCAGTGCTGTCGGTCTGCACTGGTCCCCCGGCTAGCTTCTTGCTGCGCCACATATTTTGTCAGATGACATACATCCGCATGCCAATTATCAGGACAATACCCAGACTCAGGCAGCCCAACATAGCCGCGAAACCTGAGGGGTAACTTGGGGCTTCTTCTACAAATGGGGGCCTCAATTGAGGGCTACCAGCAATTACAGTCTCAAATTGTAAGGACATGGAAATGAACGGTGATGTATATAGGGCTAAATATACAGTAAAAGTGGTTAGATGGAGATCAATAGATATAAAGATGTCGGTGTTGACGCCTATGATAGTTGCCATATTTTTGCGAATTTTACAGGACTATTCTCAAGTGTCAACCTCCACGCAGTACCACCTAGCACGGAATACCGAAAGGTATACAATAGCCCTTGTTCGTCAAAGTTGATGGTGTCTTGAATGAACGATTGCATACTTCGATATTTTTTATTTTCCACTGGACCGCTTTTCAGACATTTCGTACAATCATTCTTGGTATGTGACCATTATACAAATGTTCGTACCCCAAATCCCTTCGGAAGCCCTGTGGACACATCACATCCATCATTGTTATCGTTGATAGTTTGCATCGAAGATTGTTCAATGTTGCGGGAACAGAAACAAGTTTATTCATACTCAATAAAAGCCCATCCGTAGCACATCAGAACTGCAGGCCAGGTTTCCTCGAATATCAATTGAAAGCCCATACCCATATTGTAGGTCCCTGATTTTGGTCACTATTCGCCAATAAAATTGTAGTCGAGTCCCTCAGATGAGTATCGAAACCCCAAGACCACCTGGGCAATATCCAGCATTTCGGAATCTCTTCGCCATAACGACATGGTTTCTTTAATCTCATGTACAATCCCGGTGACGACAACCTTGTGGTTTACTACCGCGACTATCATCATTAATTATTCATTCAGTCGTGGTTAATAAACTCGTCCATTTGCCGCCACATGAAGCTTCACCTATCGCTTATACCACCACATTATTAACGAACGACCTGGGGCTCGGCGTTTTTCCCAACGTTGATGGAGGTTTCAAAATTACCTATTCTCTTCCCGTGGACCATATAGCCTCTACATGTGCCTGCGAAGACAACACAACGTGAGTTATCTAGGCCTCATTGCTTTCTGATTCAGGTGACGGCAGGCGAACTATATCCGCGAGACTCGCCAACCATTGAATCTTCGTTCAGAAGCTCATTTCCTTTTTCTTCAAGGTCACTGATCATAATCTGGTATCACTTGAAACTACCTCCAAAAATTGCACAAAACTTGAAATTTGGGCGTTGTGATTTCTTATCACTCTACTTTCAATTCCATCACCAGCACCTCAAATATCCTCTTTCGGATTGATCGCCTACTACAACTGAAGACCAGATCAGTGAGAACCTCACTTCATTTTGTATCTCAAAGAACTCCCAATCGCGCGAAACCTTTTTCCACTGACACTGACAATCAATCACTTCCAGCTTCCGGCGACCAACATCAACAATCATCTTCTCAAAAGAGCAGTGAATTCTCAAACACTTCATTCCACGACAGCTCAACCAATATGGCGCCCCGAGCCTATCTTACCACTGGCTTGAGGCATCTAGGCAAGCCCCGCCCGCTGGAGCCCGGTGAAACGTTTGTTGTCCGGTACAAAAATTCCCTCCGACAGTACAGATCTGACGTTTGGATTGGCGTCATCCTACCTGAAAAGTTCGGACCAAGCAGACACATCAATCGCCGCCCTGTTGGCGCCCAGCCAGCTGAGGGCACTTGGGTGACCCATCTGAAAGACCGGATGTACTCGATGTATCTTCCGGGCCGGAATATGTAGTAAGTTTGATCTCTTTTTTCATATCCAAAAAAGACCCCCGAATTTGTGTTTTGATGATGCATATGTGTGCCCGTTGGCGTTTCTGAATGCTTGTTGATCTATATGTCAGTCTTTCTGACTACACATGTGCTTGTTAATCTAGTTATAATAATTGGAAGCTAACATGCGTGAAGCAAATGGGTGGGACTCCAGGACCTCTTTATCCTCAATGAAAAGACCATCAATGTCCTCCGGCGCGCCCAGAGAGAACCAGATGCCAAGATCTGGGACGATCTGGTGGAGATCATTCGAACTGAGCCGGGCCTAGAATTTTGGAAGAACATGTCTCTCCAGGAACTCGGCACCAAGGGTAAACGAGGCAAGGAACTTCGTCTCGTCATGCCGAGTGGCCAGGAAGACCTTGTCTCCTGCGGAGAAAGCCATGGTGATTCCGAGTCCGAGGAGGAAGATGAAGATGCCGATGAAGATGCCGATGAAGACGACAATGAAGATGACAATGAAGATGAACATCAAGAGGATCCATCGGATCACGTGAAGCCTGAAACTGATGTTGCACCTAGCTCATCTAATGAGCAAGCAACTATCAGGTCATTTTCTGACACACGTGCTGCACAGGGCGTTCAGTTCAGACAGACACCGCGGTTGTTCCAAGATGCCAACCCCACTGCATCTGCATCTGAAAAAACCCCCTTTGCAGACAGAGAGAGCTCTAGCTTAGGGAAGACACCGAAATTCCATCCATGTCCCCCTCTGATATCTCCCACTTCGTCTTCTACTCCTTCTCTCCCAACCTCATCGCCCTTCACTGCGGCACCAACCACCATGACTCAGACCACGGTGCCTAAGGTTGAGAATGATACTAGGTTTGTCAAGTTCTGATCTCGATTCTCAATTCGTAATCACTGACCAATATGTTTCAAATCTACAGTGCTAGTCCTAGTGGTAATCTTACAGATATGGCACCCCAGCAACCCGTTCCAGAGTTCTCAATCTTCGATTTGACCCTCAGCCAGGCTCTGAAGCACGTCTTCTTGAATCAGCGTGAGGCCGCCAAGATCACCGATATGTTTCTAGGCGCTGTGGCTCTCGAAAGACAGCCCGAACACTTGCAGATTCGTGAATACTTGTCCGATGGAGAATTTCCCCCTCGCCTGATTACTCTTAAAAACTCAGGCTTCTCCCATCCCACTCCATTCCCAGCCCTCAATGCTGACAGCAGTACTACCTACCGCCTGGTTGGTGACCAAATGGGAATTGGTCAGAACTTCAAACTGAACGGCGTGAGCAACAGCCTGGATCTGGAAAATGCCATTCTCGCCCTCGGAAGAGTGTACCTCCAAGCACGCCGTTTCGGCCTCATGGATTTGGTTTATCGGATTACGTTCAAGCTTCAAGTCGCCTGGAACTGTTACCCAGAGCTATACCAATCCAAACCCCTCCTCGAGGTGGCTTCTCTTGCTTTTGCCGGCCACGCTGAGTTTGATGAGGCTGATTGCGATTACCTCCAGTCGTGGTTAATTCACTTCATTGCCGAGGCCTCGGATTTGCTCACGTACAACGCCAGCGAGCAGTTCTGGTCGTTGTTGCGAGCCCATCTAAAGCTCCAAGACAAAGTTCTCAATCTTCGCACGCTGGCTCATATCCATAACCCGGAATTGTATGGCAATACGCGTGCCCTTCTCGAGAGTCGCGGTCTGGGAAACTTATGATGCACACTCTGATTGAGTGGGAACAGCGCAGATAACTTTGTTTCCCATAAGATCGTCTTAGCGGCATATTAAGCACATGAGTCTTCTCATATTTGCTTACTTGTTTCTTTTTCATTTTCTACCGGTTTCGATCTCGCATATTTACATTCTCAGTCATTCTGCTGATTTGCGTGCTTTTTGTTTGCATTTGCTCATTAGGGGGTTCTCGTTATTTCATCTTGCACAATAGGATTTCAATGGTTTGTCTTCTTTTGCTTCTGTCGTCAGGAGACGGAATGGGGAGGTCGTGCAAGCTCATAGTTAGCTTTTTTCAGGGCAGGTATTCTTATCCAACAATTTTCGTTCGTCTCCAATGCTCGTAGTGATAACCCTTTAAGCGTACCATATAGTTCAAGAGCCACATGAAGCTTGGTTCTTGCAAGCCATACCGACAAGAGCGTCTTGGCCCACATTTGAGGATACTAGTATGATATTCAGAGCTCGGATACTCGCATCATAGTGGTTCTCGTCTTCGAGGACCATCTGCCAAAAGACCTTGAGTACAAACCTCGTTGTTGTTACAAGACGTACAAGTGAAAGTTATTTCTTGAAAAAATTGAATTCGTTATGTCAACTCGCAGGCTAAACGATGGTGAGAACGACCCAGAAATGCATACAAACATGACGGTGCACTTGTGCAAACCAGCCATCGCTAAAGGGAAAACGAATCTCACGCCCGGAGCGAAAAAAAGGATGAAAACAACTGGAAGAATTAAAAAAAAGCGCAAAGCTGAGATTTCAAACTGGCTGGTGTCCATCGGGGTTATTAGCACAGGCCGAAACGAAAAGCAAAAGCACGCGATGGAAAAGGACCAGCTGAAACATGAAGCACAGAAAGTAGGAGATGGTATGTTCTAATTCACAAGAGTGCAAGATCCTCCACACAAAGTGAGACGGACTGGCACGAAGGCTAGGCGAGCTTAGAAGCCATCATCATCAGTTCCGTCGGGCTTGGTTGGCTTCAGAGGAGACTCGAGGGGCTTCTCAGTAGCGTCCTCAATGGGCTTCTCAATGGGCTCCTCGGCAGCGTCGACGATTGGCTCATTGGGAATTTCTTCGGAAGCATTCTCATTCTCGGGACCGTTCTCAGACTTCACGGCGGTGCCCTCAACGGATTTCTCAGTGGAGGCTTCGACATGCTCCTCGGAAGGTTCCTCAGCAGGCTCCTCGACATCCTGGTCAGCGGACTCATCGGTGACCTTTACGGCAGCTGGCTTGCGACCTCTGGTCTTGGGCTTCTCTTTGGTAGTGTTGGAGGTTTCAGCGACCTTGTTGACAGCGGTGTTGCGGCTGCGAGTTGGCTTGGGCTTGTTCTCGGAGGTAGCATTGCCGTTTGTCTTGTTGCTGGCACTGCGGGTGCGCTTGGGCTTCTCATCGTCGGCGTTCTCATCCTTAGTAGCCTTCGAGCCGTTCGTGGTCTTCGTGCCATTGGCAGCCTTGGCACGAGGAAGAGATTTCTTGGTCTCGCCGTTAGCAGGGCCAGTCTCGTTGTCGGCAGAGGAGACATCCTTGTCGACGGAAGAAACGTCGTTGCTCATGCCCTTCTTTGAACGAGTGGCACGAGTGGCCTTCTTGGGCTCGATGACAGCGGCGGTCTCGTTCTCGGCAGGGTCAACTTCGTCAGACTCGTCGTCGGCAACGATAGCCTCAGACGTAGCGGCTTTCTTGCCACGAGTAACACGCTTGGTGGGCTCCTCCTTGGGCTCAGCGTCGGCAGAGGCAGTTACGTCCTTGGTGGTCTTCTTGCCACGAGTAGTACGCTTCTCGTGCTCGGTGGACTCGGTGGTCATCTCAGCGTCAGCATCGGCACCTTCGTTTTCAGAGACTTTCTTGGGGCGACGGCCACGCTTCTTGGCCTCGACCTTGACCTCGGTTTCAGCATCGGGACTGTCTTCGTCGGAAGTCTTCTTGGGAGGACGGCCACGCTTCTTGGGCTCGACCTTGGCATCAGTCTCAGCGGCAGCCTTCTTGGTAGGACGGCCACGCTTCTTGGGCTCCTCGGGCTCAGTCTCAGCAGCGGCGGCATCAGCGATGGCTTCATCGTCATCATCAGTAGCTTTCTTGCCGCGAGATTTCTTCTTTTTAGCCGGCTCCTCGTCGACATTCTCGGAGTCGGTCAGACCATGCTTCTTGGCAGGAGAAGACTGCTCAGCTTCCTTGGACTGGGAGTAATATTAGTATCTCATATGACATGAGGATATAGAATGGAATCCACGAACCTCATCGGTATTGGCCTTGTTACCCTTGAGACGCATGCCAATCTGTCCAGGGCGGTTGCATTCAACATCCTAAGAAGTATTAGTCGAATTATCCACAGTATTTGAAGCCATTTTCAATGGAAATGCTCCAAGTATGCAGATCAAGGAAGGTGAACTTACCCCCCTCCACTCGTCATCTTCGACATGACCCACTTCGATGGCCTGTCGAATCTTGTCCTGGAGCTCGTCGCTGATTTCATCAAATCCATCCAGGCGATCGAAATCAGGATCCTCAGAGTTCTCGGTGAGGTCCTTCCTGACGTTCACGATTTGCTTGGGGGTAAAGCAACCCCTGAATGAGGTCAGTATCTGAAATCATTTGCTCAAGGATAGAAGCCATGAATGAGGACTCACCAGTGGCGCCAGGACCAACTCTGGAAGTTGGTACCGTCAATCCAGGTGCCAACACGGAGTTCTCCCTTGGGGATCTTGATCTTCTGTTTGACACAATCGGGGGCTTTGCAGCCAGCACGGCCTTGGGCGGCAATTTCTAATCACGACGTTAGCTGTGATGTCATGCAGGCTGTTATGGTTCCTTGCAGAAGATGTGGGTATTTTTCTCAGAAATGCAAGAATATACAAAGAAGATATCCATGAATTAGGGCACAACATCACATTTTCAGTTGTGCAACCAGGCATTCTCACTTGGCGCAATGGACATGCATCCATGGAGCATGAGAACACCAGTATGAAGGCATAGAAACATCCATGAGATGAAGTTACTCACCAAATCGGTAGGGCATTTTGACTGATGCTGGTCAATATGCAAGTGAAGGGAAAAAGGAGGTGTATGTGTGAGGTTAACGATGGTTGTGAAGTGAAGTAGGTAGTACCACCTAGGCAGCACACAGATATGCGGGTCACCAGTGAACAAAGCAATGAACAAAGAAAGTGAAAACTGTTTGCACAATGTACTCGTAGTCCGAAAATAGTAAAGTTCAGTGAAGTTGTTGCAAGAGTAAAATGAATGGAGTTTTACACGCTATTTAAAGCGAACAGCTGTAAGAAAGTCTTATCATGTCATCAATTATCTTTCCAGGGTTTATCCGAGTTTTGACTTATGCTCTTTCATTGTTCTCAGTAAACAGTGAGATATGAAAATGCTTCTTTGGGTTTGGGAAAGAACAATAATGTGGCTGGAACAAAGAACACAGAAATCTTCCCCTTGTTGCGTTTGTAGCGTGTCATACCACCCGTGGACCTTTTGGACATGCATTTCTAGCCAATCAGACCGCTTCTCAGCACATAATTAGATATTGTGTTTTTTTTTCCCAATATTTTTTATTGAAACACTACATTTTAAGTATAATTAATTAATTTAATTGACCTATATATACACCGTACGTACTAGAACTAAAAGGAGTCTGACGTTTTGGCCAGTTGATCACTTCTTTGGGAAGTGCTCGATGGTGAGAAGACAGTTGAAATCTAGAGTTCAAGTAGTAGTAAAAATTGATTTTCTTCTGTCTTAAGAGTTAAAGATTAGGTATTCTTCATTGGTAGGCAGCATTGAATTAGGACATGGTAAAACTTGCTATAACATTGTTGTAGCATGTTCCTTCAAGATACCGGTACAGTTGACATACTCCAATATATAGTTCAGGATAGTCAATAAGTATTGTGGGAAAAATTGTAGTTATAGCAAAATCAGGGCATCACAATATCTCATAGCACAAGCAACTTTCACAGTACAAGTACAACATATGTGACAAGAAGCGTCCTCGCCCACGGCTTGGAGATGTTGATGGGAGTCGATTGTATCATGATATTATGATATCTGGGTCTTTTGGTGTCAATTTAACAGCTCTTGATACTATACAGGCATAGGTTCTATGAGCATTTAGTCACGAGAATCTGACAAAATATGGAAAAGCCCTATCACCGTCATGGATATGTTGGTATGGTATTCCAAGCTGGGCATTCTACACTTATATAATTTCCGGCAGAGACCACTTTGGATATCAGTAACACAGCTCATGGAAGCAATCGGATTATCAGCAGCCTAAAAAGCATAGAAATAACTATCCCAGGCTAACCAGCCCTGGAGTATACAGAAGAAAATATTTGGACAGAGTGATCTGCCATGTGCTTATGCCGCTAACCGAAAGCGGTTAAAGTAATTCGACCGTTTGAGGTTGTCCAAATCTACATCTTGAGCTTGTTACTACCTACTACTCGCCGTTCTCGCTGCACTTGAGCAATCAAAAACCCACAAAACACACAGTGGTCGTCTCCTAGTGCCAAAAGGGAAGCCTCTTTCACTATCAGTCCAAAGGAGAAGACACCAATTTCTCCCACTCGCGCAAACCCCACCGATTCCACGCGGTCGCGTCACCTCCCCTCAACTCAAAACCCGCACAATGTCCGAACCAGGCCCAGAATCGATTCCCACAAGCGCAGATCCACGCAGCAAGCGGCCAACAAAACGCCGCGCCGTGACACCGCATTCCGAGGTCGCCAACCAGATCGAGACACTCTTCAAAGACCCGAGCAAAGACCTGCAACTACCGGATGTCCTGAAGCCGCGCACCGTGGCGTCCCTCTCCGCGCCCCCCGAGATCGTCACCAATGTACAGGGATCATCGGCCGGTGCGGGCTCTGGTGAATTCCATGTGTACAAGGCCAGTCGGCGGCGGGAGTATGAACGACTGCGGATGATGCAGTCCGAGGTGGATACCGAGAAGAATAATGAGACATGGGAGAAAGAGCGGGAGGAGAAGAAGCGCAAGGATGATGAGAAGACGGAGAAGAATCGGAAGAGGAGGGAGAAGAAGAAGAATGCGCGCGGGAAGAAGGGTAATGGTGATCAGATGGATATTGCTCCTGTGGAGAGCTCGGCTGCCCCGGGCTCGATGGTCACTATGGGAGACCAGGATGGAGGCGCTGTGGATGGCCAGGTGGCCCAGCAGGAAGTTCCTGGTGTCATTTTCCACGATGAGGACTAGTGGAGTCGGGTTCAAAAGCTGGCTGTGTACGATACGAAGATACCCATCTGGATTTGGTTTTTTTTTTGAATCTAGGATATTCATACAGAAGGAAGACAGCCATGAGGCAAATCGTGTAACATTATGTACGGACCTCGAGTCCAAGTATCATTTTTCTTTTTCGTCTATCAATCATTCGTCGCCGCCACCGCCGCCGCCGCCAGCGATCTGCTGGGCGGACTTTCCGCTGCAGATGTCGTCGACACGGAGAAGGAGACATGCGGACTAAAGAGAGATATGTTAGTGAAATGTAGTGCGTATGGAAAAACAGTAGGGAGCTTACCTCGACCGCAGTCTTGATGCTCTGAAGCTTGACGGCTTCCGGCTCCCAAACACCGTACTCCCTCATATCAACCAAGTTGCCAGACTCGCCGTCCAGACCCCAGGTGTTGTGGCCCTCGACGTGCTTGGCACGGAGACTGGTGAGCACACGAATGGGGCTGGCACCAGCGTTCTGGGCCAATGTACGGGGGATGACCTCCATAGCGTCGGCAACAGCCTTGTATGGCCACTGCTGGACACCCTCAACGGAGCGGGCAAGCTGGCTGAGCTTCACGGAGACAGCCATCTCAGTAGCACCACCACCGGGAGACAGACGAGGGTGGAAGATAACGTTGCGAGCAACGGACATGGCATCCTGCAAGTTGCGCTCAACCTCGTTAAGGATATCCTTGGAGGGGCCACGCAGCAGGATTGTGCAGGCCTTCGGGGACTTGCACTTGCGCATGAATGTGAAGTACTCATCGCCAATCTTCTCAATCTCGAACAGTCCACACCCGGTACCAATATCGGACTCCTGGATGTCATCGACACGGTTGACGATGGTAGCACCGCTTGCACGAGCAATACGGTTGTTATCGGTCTTTCGCACACGGCGGAGAGCTGTGATGTTGGCCTTCACCAGGAAGTGCTGTGCAAGATCTAGTAAAGCTCGTGGTTAGAACATGCAATCAATCACCCTAATCAGACCGCTTGCTTACCGGAAACACCCTTCTCGGTGATAACAACGTCGGGCTTGAAAGCCAGAATGGCCTCGCACATGTGCTTGACCTGCTCCTCCTCAATCTGGAGAATACGGTTCCAGTCATCCTCCTTGGAGATCTCAATGTTGGTTTGAGACTCGCCCTTCTTGTACTCCAGGGGGCAATCCAGGAGAAGAATACGGGGGTTTTCGATTCTGCGACGCATCTTGGGATGCGTGATATCCTTGTTGACCATCACACCGTCAATCACCTCAGAGTCCTCGATTTGACCACCGGGAACCTTCTCAATACGGGCGTAGCGCTTGATGTCGACTTCCTGCTTTCCACTACCGACATCGAAGGAGACGGTTCGCACAGCCCTCAAAGCGAGGCTGCACATGAGCTCTGACCAACGGGACACGAACTTGGTTCCGATGGAGGACTGGATAAGGCTGTACATGGCCTTGTCATCGTGAATGTCGACGGGTGTCGAGACCTCCTCCACGATCTGAAGGGCATCGGCGAGGGCACGCTTGAAAGCCTGGATGATAACGACGGGGTGGATGTTGCGTTCGAGCTGGGGGATGGCCTGGGCGAGCATTTCACCGGCTACAAATATCAGCATTTACCTCGAGTCTTCCGAAACGAATCTTGTCATACCTAGGATGATGACTGTTGTGGTACCATCTCCGACCTCCTCGTCTTGGGTACGGCTGAGCTCGATCATGCTCTTGGCCGCGGGGTGCGACACTTCGATCTCTCGCAAAATAGCGTGGCCATCGTTGGTCAACACAATACCACCCATAGGGTCAAGCAGCATCTTCAACATCGCCTTGGGTCCGAGACATGACCGAATGATATCCGCAACACTGGTGTTTATTGAATTAGCATCGAGCAGGGGAGAACACCGGAGGATCGAGGGATAGCATACGTCTTCGCCGCAGTAATGTTAGACATCTGTGCTTTCCGGCCAACCTGGCGCTCGCCGGAATTGGTGTCTGGATGATTTGTTAGCACTTAAAGGGGAGCAACTCGATGGGGGGGGGGGGGGTAACCTACTCATCACCACCACCGGAGCCTGCATATTGGCGGTGTTTTATTGTAGTTTGAGTGGAAGTAGATATAAAAAGGTCTTTATCACTTGTGAATATCAAAAAAATATTACACGAAGATGACAATCCAAGAGTTCCGACTTCAACGCTGTTCGCCCGCATTCCATCAAATTTCCAGGCGAAGTGGGAGCTCCCTCGGGCTAGTCCATATACGGCTAGCGTGTCGCCCTGACAAACCAGGCAAACATCTCCAACTCATCTACGTCTGAGCAACTCTACAAGGTTGTAGTTCAACATATAGAGTCGCAATACGGTCTGTTTCATTGGGTGTTGCTATACATATTCAAGCGATCTTTGAAAGAAGGCACATTTCTGAAAAAAAATAAAAAATAAAAAAGCTTAGGAAAACCGCCACCTCCGACTTTAGCATGGGAAGCAACTGTGTTACCAAGATTGATTGAGAACACCTTGCTGTACGTCAGTGGTTTCGTTGTTTTGTTTTATGATCTTCCGGATAGCACTCGCCGACGAGCCGATGGCTTCGACTGTGTCATCGGGCAGTGCCTCGAAGCACTCGACGTCGAGGGAGTCCGAGTCATCGGACATGTCTGAATGTCGAGTCTTCGTGGTCAACATGGGGTTTTCCTAAAGGGAATCAACGAGAACAGAAGGGGCTATAAAGCAGCCTGTAAGGAGGGTCGCCCCAAGTGTGGCCGATGTTCCAATCACTGATGTACTCGCAGCAGTCACAAGGTGAAGGCTTAGTGAAGGCACGGTGAAATTGTGCATAGTGGAAGAGATCTTTTAATCATCCATTATTCTCTGATTGCCCAAACTGAAAATCCTATATGGAGACTGCGATCGTCTCCAGATAGCCGTGGAAAAGGATGAACTTGCTCTCCGTGTCTTGCTTTTGCTTTACCGAACAACAAGATATCGAAATTGCAACTCGAGCGGCCATTTTCGCTTGGGATGGTAGGGCAATGGATTTCACATGACCCCCTTCGTCTGTGTAGCAATCCAGGCTTTGCAATTCGCAAAGTTGCCTGTCAAGTTCAGCTGCCACAAAGGGGCTAAGGTAGAGAGCCCCCCCCCCCCCCGGGAAAGAAAGCAAAAAGGTTGTCGCCTGCTGCACGAAGCTCTGATCTGAGGGACGACAAGCTCAACCGATACCGTTAGGGATAGGCTGAAGATCCCATCTCTCGATTGTTATCTTGCCCTTCTGTGGTCATGATGGCTCCTTTGACTTGACCCATGAGTTGTTTCCCTCGCCAGAAATGAACATCCAGCTCAGTTGTTGTCCTTGTTGGATCACTCTACTTAGAGGCCCAATTCGGTCACTTCTCGGTCTTCCAGCAAGTAGAGTAGTTGAGTTCCATGGTCAGTTTTCCTGTTTTGGCACTCGAACTTCACTAGGTCGATTCCGTGGTTTTGCACCCAAGGGGAGTCTTTTAAACGCTTTGGGTCCAAACAATGGAAACGGAGTCAAAGGTGCCGGCTGCAGGGTAGCAGCTGGCCAGCGATATTTTGAGAAAAATGGTTGAGAAGAATGGTTGCAAGTCTCCCATGATGGTGTTAGGGACTTTCCTGCGAAATTCACGAAATACTTAAGGAAGGAACGTTCATCAAGAACGAAAATTATATAGGAACCTTGGTAAACATGACGACATAACGAACACCATGGACAAAGTTGTTAGCTTACTGCACCAATGAGAATAGAAATGGTAATTAACCAAACCCCTATGAAGTAAATGTACAGGATCACTCCGCTGTTGCGTGAACGGGAATATTCAGATGCAAAATCATACAAAAAAGAGCAAGCACAAGCACGTGCTAACACAGGCCATGAAAGTAATGTACACTAGGCGGATTTTTGTTCAAAACTCCCGGCTCTCCCCAATATCACATACATCAAAAACACCACTCTCAGCGATATCATGTTTTTTCAGTGCCTCCTTGAGCTTCTTGGGAGGCTCAAGGACATCCTCCTCAGTAAGTACCCAGGTTCCCCAATGCATTCCCAATGCCTTTTTGCACTTAGTGTCTTTGAAAATGTGAACAGCATCATGGGGATCAGAATGTGCTGGACTGAAAATATGACGAGGAGCGTACGCTCCAATGGGAATCAAGCCAAGATCAAATGGTCCTCGGAACTCACCTACCTGTTCGAAGGCAGGACAAATAGGGAAATTGTACTTGGGGTCCCAATCATCCTCCCCTTCTGGTAGCTCGTCCACTGCCCTGTAGCCGGTATCACTGGATTGGAAGTTAGTAAAGCAACATTCTGATAGCGTGAAAGGGTTGGGGAGCTTATCATACCCAGCAAAATACACCTTGCTACCACCAGACTCAATGGCCCAGGAAGCCCATAGTGTCTTGTATTTGTCGAAAGGACTGCGCGCAGTAACATGCTGACAAGGCAGGCAACTGATGCGCGCCTTTATCTCTGCTGTGGCGGAAGCTTGGCCTACTGGTTCAACCTGGGTGTCCTTTCCCTCCTTGGGTGACATTGCAATATCACGTTCATCCCACCAATCCATCTCGGTTACATTTTTGATGCCTGAGCCGTGGAACCAAGACTTGTTGCCTAGTGGCGCGAAGAAGTGGCAATTGGGATGCCTTTTCGCGATCTCCGAGACAGTTGGGGACGACAGGTGGTCGTAGTGGTTGTGGGAGATGACCACCGCGTCGATGACAGGGATATCCTTGATCTGGCATGGAGGCTTAGTATAGCGCTTGGGACCTAGGCGAAATGGTCCGCAGCACGGCCCACAACGCGCTTCGAACACTGGGTCAAATAGTACTCGGAGACCGCTTGGGAACTCCACATAATAGCATGCATGCCCAAGCCATGTTGCGCGCAGCTTGGGGGTATCTCGGCTGGGAAGAAATTCGGGCTTGCGAACGGTCACAGTTGGCGGGTTGGTATCAGGTGTGTTCGCTTTGCCGTTCAATCGACGAAAGCTGCAGGTGCACGCGTTAGGGACTGGTTTGCTTCAATGCTCGACAATGATACCTACATCATCATTTGCATGATATCTTTCGAATCCATATCGCGAAAAGATCTATGATACGGCGTTGCTGGTTAGTCTATGCGACGAATAATCGAGAACCCAGTAAGTCACAGAGCTCACTTACTCCCACGGGTTCCTGAATCCATTCTTTGCATGATGACTTTTCTCCAACACATCCTCTGGGCTAGGTCTAGCCGGGGATTTCGCCACGGTCAGCGCATATAGCACTTCAGTAGTGGGTGGGCTGCTCATGTTTCGGATTGCTGGATGAATAGCGCGTTGGTGCTGTGTCCGCCGAGTAAGCGGGGAACGGAATAGAGGTCGCATGGGAGGTCAAGCTTTATAGAGAACAACCCCTTCATCCGGACACAGAACACAAAAGCGTTTTAGGGGGAGGAATGCAAGAAACAGAAAGTCATTTTAATTCCGATATCTCCGACATGGGGCCTTCGGCGACCCAAGAGAACACCGGGACCACCGGACTGTAAACTCATACATCCGCCCCCATATCGAATACTCGGAGATCAGTCAAGGTTGTACATTTTAACCTTGGAAGGTTGTAGTTCTTATGCATGTTCTCATCGTTGCTTCTTGCATGGGTTGCGCAGTGACATGCCAGTAGGGTACGTCAAATTCTCGGCCCGTTGTAACTCCGATATCTGCGCTTATCGATCTTCTCGGCATTCGCGATCTTCACGACACTGTTGATTTGGTATGGAGCCAAATGCGGTCCCTAGCGCTGCGCCGTCTGCGGGCGACCTGATTCTGCAGCAGAGAACAGAAGCACTAAATTCGGCGCAAAAAGGCGACGGAAGTCTCTTCTCGCAACTAACGAGTAATCCCTTGTTCACAGCGGTATGAAACCTGCCAGTGTTTCGATCCGAACCGATGTGCTAATATTGTTTTCTTCGTAGGGATTCGGCCTTGCAGGTCTCGGAGCAGGATTGACCCTAGCACAGAAAGGCGTTCGACATGGCGCTGCTCTTCTCCGCCGGCGGATGCTGGTAGACGTCGAGATCAGCATCAAAGATGACTCCTATCCGTGGTTTCTACACTGGATGACTCTTTACCAACAATCCCAACTCAATGCAGGCAAAGCTGCAGCGAATACCTCTACCTACATGGACCGATTCCTCCAAAAGCTCACACCCGGAATGCGCCATCTCTCCATCCAAACGCAGAAGGTCGAACATTCGAACGGAGCAATTCACACACACTTTTCGCTGATTCCGGGGCCTGGAAAACACGTTTTACGGTACAAGAACGCGTTTGTCTTTGTCAATCGTATGCGCGAGTCCAAGTCCCGCGACATTCAGACTGGAAAGCCATGGGAGACGATCACCCTCACCACGCTCTACTCTCAACGCCACATCTTCGAGGACCTCTTCACCGAAGCTCATGCATACGCTGCAAAGGGCCACGAAGGCAAGACGACAATATATAACAGTTGGGGCACCGAGTGGAAGCCATTCGGCAATCCGCGCCGGAAGCGTCCATTGGAGTCGGTTGTTCTCCACGAGGGAGTCAAGGAACGGGTTGTGGCAGATGTGGAAGACTTCATTTCAAGTTCATCATGGTATCACGACCGTGGAATTCCATACCGACGAGGATATCTCTTATACGGCCCTCCGGGTACCGGCAAGAGCTCTTTTATCCAGGCGCTAGCGGGTGAGTTGGATTACGACATTGCCATTCTCAACCTGAGCGAGCGTGGTTTGACCGATGACCGGTTGAATCATCTGCTCACAATTGTTCCCAATCGAACGCTCGTTCTGTTGGAAGATGTGGATGCCGCGTTCTCGAACCGACGTGAGCAAAGTGACGCAGATGGCTACCGCGGGGCCAATGTGACTTTCTCTGGACTGCTCAACGCACTTGATGGAGTCGCTAGTGCAGAGGAGCGCATCATCTTTCTTACTACCAACCACGTTGAACGACTAGATGAGGCGCTGGTCCGTCCTGGGCGTGTCGATATGACTGTCCGTCTGGGTGAAGTGACTCGTTACCAGGTCGGCTGCCTATGGGATCGATTCTATGAAGATATCGATACCGACGGGGTTTATCGCAAACTTTTCTTGGATCGGCTTCAGGAGCTTGGGTTGATTGAAGATGAATCAGGCAACAAGGCCGATCGATCTATTAACACCAGCGCAGCTGCTCTCCAAGGCTTATTTTTGTATAACAAGGGTAACATGGAAGGTGCGATTTCCATGGCGGAGGGTCTGACCTACAGTGTGCACACTGAGGCCTTGGGTCAAGACCAAGGGAAGAACGAGTAATTGTACACTATCATGTAAATAAGATCATTAAAATATATAGACATGCATTATTCTGGATTGACAACATTCTTAGACAATGTGGAAATAAGCTTATCCCGCAAGATCCAGCCGGGATCACTAGGGGTAAATCTCGGGGATTTACACTGATCCACCTTACAAATGTTGGTTTCTCTCACCGATAGTTAACTGACTAAATATGTCAAGTATTTAAGGATTTAATATTTAACTGTCTGAAACCCGTTACCCCTCAATTCCCCTCTATTATTCACCCCCACCCTAAACATTCATCATGGTTTACACTATCGTCGTCCGTATGTGAATACCCCTGCCATTGCTATTTCCCACGCTAACAACAGTAGACCTCCGCGCCAAGTCGGACGAAGAGTCCATCTCCAAGCTCAAAGCTAAGCTTGTTGAAGCCTCCAATGTTTACTCGAACGACAAGGAGACCCTCTCTTGGTTCGTGATGCAGTCTGTTTTCGACAAGCAGGACTTCACCATTGTCGAGCGTTACGTCCAGGAATCGTCGCAGGAGTACCACCTCAACAACCCTTACTGGAAGACTTTCGACCCTTACGTCATTCCTTTGTTGGAGAAGGATATGGATATGCACCGTCTGGAGGAGTTGGAGGGCTCTACCATGTAAATTACCTCGTTTGTACGGGAAATAAAGAAGAATTTAAAATAGACTTGCATTCAGTATCTTATTCCACGCTATTGACATTTATCTCAAGATCAACCTGTTGAAAGTCGGGAATATTCCTCAAAGGATCATAACCAAGAACGCTTTTCGTGCAATCGGGTGGCAAATTGGATACAACTTCCAATGCTGGACGATATAGCAACCTTGATTAAGCGCTTCTGAAGAGTTTAATCAATATACTATGCGACCCTTTAATTTGTGTCATCTTTTGTTGAATTTATCCATCTAAGAAGACCCGGAGCCGACAGGCCGAATATGCAGATACTAGGGTCAACAGGGTCAACAGGGTCAAACGAGCTTACTCCCCGACTTCTTCAGTGCAAAAATAACCAGCCAATATAATCTCCGGATTACGATAAATATAGATTCTCCATGGTCCAAACACCAATCACCAGGCTGCATTGAAGCGCCGCTACTGCAGATGGACGTGCCCATCCCAGGATGGGGGCCAATCACACCCCCAAGCGGTTAAGCGCCCACCGTATAAGCAGGGTTGTCACACATCTCGACAAACCATGTACTCTGCTTGGTCTGTCGGGATTATGTGCATATTCGGTGAGAATGGGGTATATCTCAGTCAAGACCCCCTGCTTTCGCGCTCTATCTTTGTTTATAGCATACTCCATTTGTGAAGATGAGTGACAAGATGAATCAATTTCAATTATTTCCTCCTCCATCGCCCGAGGTAAAGAGGTCTAACAATCCATTTCGCAAAGTCGGGAAAAAAACAGTAGCCACATCTGAGCCAGCATCTTCAATCCCTCTTGAGGAGATCAAGGATTCTGGCAAGACTGAATCCTTGCTGCTTCAGATCATCGAAGACACCCAGGGTATTCCACCACCACCACCCGGGGATGCTTCAAGATCTAAATCCCCGCCGGCTGTGGCGGGAGCATCTCGTGGTTCAAAATCCCCTCAGTCCACGCACAGTCAGAATCGTCAAGCCAAGAGAGTGAAGAACCAGGCCTTGCCTTCACATGCAAGTCAAAGCAGCAGCAGTAGCAGCCATCAAACTACGGCGTCAACTGTCTCTCCACAGTCATCGCAGTCGTCTGCTTCCTCGGTCCCGATGAGGTCAATGTTCCCCCAGTTCGATCCAAAACTGCCATTCAATCAGCAGGTATATCATCCACAGCTTCCCGAGGCACCACGGCCCTCCAAGTCCACTCGGAAACCTCCTAAGCTTACGCTGTCGACAAATACTGAGATTGATCATGTTCTCGGGCCAAAGACTGTGCCTGCGAGTGTGCTCAACTTTCCAACTGGTGCTTTGGAGTCCGAAGAGGTTACGTACTCATCCATGGAGGAACTGAAGATGCTATGGGAAACGGCCAATGGCCAGAGAACGCGAGATCTTGTTGGAACATTGAACCTTCGCATGACAAAGTAAGACTTCATTCCTATACATATGTATAAATACTAACATCTCACAGAGCGGGACCAGCTACATTTACCCTCGGAAACTCCCAGAACCCGTTATACACACTGCAAACGTATTCAACCAACGAACTCGCCCTAAGCAGATGCGATCCTTCTAGACCAAACCACGACGTACCAATTATGATGATGAGCCTCGAAGACCGCATACGCCGCGAGCATCCCAACGACGGACTCGTGACCTTACTTTTCTCCCGACTAGCAGCAATGTTGGCCATAGATCAAGCCGACGAGATCAGCAAGCAACACCACCTAACTTCCGCCGAGACAGCGGAAGTAGAAACCGACGCACTCAAACGGGCCGCAGCACAAGAGTCCTGCCGACTCTCCTGGAACCGTCATCGACGACTATACGAGTTACGACACCCCTACCTCTCAAGACACGATCCGCCCGCTCTTGTCGGCGCCGCCGGAATCCCACTCTCACCCGTGCGATCCCAGTCTTCAGGAATGGTGAACATCACAGTCTCCGCTCCATCGAGCGATGCCTCTCCTCGCCAACCGCCAACCATTATCGTAACTGGCCCGGTCTCTTCAACAGCACTGGAAGCCGCTCAGCAAGCTGCTAATGCACGCACATCCGTACTCCCCGTCACGGACCTCGACGAGCCGCTCGCATCATTGGACTTCGCTACGAAGACATTTTCGATTTCTCCGGCTGCTGTAATCGCTACTATTCCCTCTCTATACGCCATTGACTCTCTCATCGCTGCAATGCTGGCAGTCGCCGTCTCGGACGAAGCCACGAACCCTATCCTTGCAGATATGGTTCTCGGATCGCCGAAGTCGTCTAGACCACCGACAGCCCACAATCCCGGGCCTTACTCAATGCCTGTGTTCCAGGGTAAACTGGTTACGACGGTTGCTGAGCGCGAAGACGCAGTAGAGAGCATGAACTTGGCATCGCAGATTAAATCTGCGCAGAAGAAGTCCAAAGAGGCCTCGGGGAAGAAAAGTGTTTTCAATTTCTGGAATAGATCCCCTTCCAAGACGCAGGAAAATAGCCTGGGCTCGAAGAAGAATAAAAACAAGGAGGTTGTGGTTGAGGAGTTTGATTTGGAGAAGTATGGTCGATATGGGAATAGTTCGTCACGAGAGGGGAAGAAGTTGCCTGGAATTACTCGCACTATCTTGCGTATACTGTTCTTTGGCTTGGATTTGATTGTGAAGGGGTTGACACTCATTGTGAAGATCTTGGCTTGGTTGTTGGTCAATTCGACGCGGTGTGTGACCAGTGAGAAGTTCTAAGCTGGGCTTGAGACTTGTTATTCTTTATATCTGTTGATCTTTTTTTGGATTCTCTGTTCTGTTGGACGGTTTGGAAGCGATAGGGTTAGTTGTTTGGATCTTTAGTATACCCAATTTGATAGTTCTTCGCGGCAATGATGAGTAGTGTGCAAATGAGTTACTTAATTTCCTTTTAAGAACGAGAATTTAAATCCGCTATGTCTTAAATTATTTCCCAGGCAAAACGTGCTACCGATAGATATAGTTCATTTGATCTAATGACCCTCGCCCTCCCCCTTCCCCCTGCTGTTGCCTTTTCAATGACCTTCCCCATCCTTCTCTCGACGTGCAAGTTCCTTAACAATTGCCTCCTTCTCCAAGCCACTGTAACCAGATGCGCCATTCTCAATCTCCCGGTGATGATGTTTCAACGAAGCAGTTTTCCTGCTCCATAGATGCTCGCAGATATCCCGACCATCCCCAGCTTTTCTGATTATGTGCTATCGGATGTTTATGAACCGGATAGCTCACTTTGTGAACGTTTTCTCTTCTGCAAGAATGCTGGCAGGAGGACCCGGGGCTTTTTGGGTGTTGAGAACTTCAGACGTGGGCACCATTGAGGGACCTTTGGTAAAAATGGGTCGAAAAGATTGGAGGTTTTGGAATCAGGGTCTGTGACTTGCACCAGAGGCAAAATCATGATATCGAGCTGCACATCTTGATCACCGTCGTAGAAGCCGGGTGCAATTGGAACGTTTCCTAATTCCCAAAAATGGACGTCTGCCCTGGTGGCGTCATAGGTCGGAAGAGGTTGTAGGCAGTGGGTGTGTTCGACTCTTTTGAGCACACCATGATGGAAGACGTATGGACACAAGAAAGTGAGGTTGAACCGAGGATCACCTAGCATTGCAAACATTTATATTTAATGAATAATTATAGGATTCTCGTTATGATATAGAATAGCCGAGAGCAAACAATAAGTTTGTCAATAGCATTGGATCGTGAGAGGCAAACCCTTCCTAGCCAACCAGCCTTGTCGGGAAGACCGAGTAGTGGATACCATTATTTCTGATACTGGCTCCATGGGAGCTTGGGTAATGCACTATATTTGTGAATATAGGATAGCTAGTATATATTATCGCCCCCTGTCAAGAGGCCATTCTGGATTGGCCGGCAATGGGGCATAGCGAAAGATGCTATCAATCAATAAACAACCATGTCAGACGTGACGTTCCCGTGTATATAGATGGATAATGTGGAGTTGATCTTGATGAGTAGTGTGGGGTAAAACGGTATGTGCGATGCGGGACGATGGGTCTTAGGGCGATGGATAGCGACCTGGAGAATGGTGGCATGAGTCATACTACATATCGACGACATCAGGGTGTGAGTCAAGCAAGAGTACATCAACAAACTCTCCCTCTACCTAAGTTCGGGAAAGAACCAACCACCTCATCTCGTACGTGAGGCTTCATTATCGAGGGAAAGGCTAGGGCGGATTCATTCTTCGTCCAGCTTGAGGAAATGGCAGGATCTACGCTCTCCTTCGATACGCCCGAGTCGCTCAGCCCTTTCCTACGCCGGACAGATAGTGACCCTCGACCTGTTGTTTTGATGACTTGTGGAATAGCAGGCAAGCAAAGCAAAATCCAGCGGCAAGCTTTGGGTGGAATATGGAGCTAATAAAAATGTTATTAATAGGGTCTGGAAAGTCCTCGCTTTCTAAATGGATATTATACAATCACCCCTCTTTCAAGCGGCTGTCCATCGACTCTTACATATACACCAAATACGGCCTGTATGGTGTTGATTATCCAAAAGATAAATACAGCGACTATCAAGACGAGGCCCAGAGCGCTCTCCGAAATGAATTAGCGCGGTTGCTTCGACAGGGCTCTCAGAATGCAATATTAGATCTCTCTTGCGCGTTTCAACAGACTAGAGATCAATGGAAGAAGCTGATCGAAGAGTCTGGGGGGCGATGGGTGCTTGCGTATCTTGACGTCGATGACGATGAGTTGCGGCGGCGGGTCAGCGCAAGGAATCAGTTAACCGTTAAAGATGGCGATTCAGCTTTTTTTGTAACAAATGAGATTTTGGAAAGTTTCCTTACTGGCTTTGAGAGGCCGACCGGGGAGGGTGAAGTTGTTTTACGTTTTAATACTGAACTTAATGCGGGCACTGATGTATAAATTTTAGCAGTGAGGTGATATATTTTCTCCAACTTAGGTATGCGAACGCTTGACAGATATAATATATGCCTTCTATTTTTCACTTCATCTCGTTCTAAAGCGTATTTTGAAGTGTTAGAATTGGAGGATGAAGCATTGTGCATGATGGGGCCATCAAAAGGGAATTGACGAATAAACACGTAGTATTGTGGAGGCCAAGTGCCACTTCAGGTATTCTAGGGATCGATATACAATGGAGTTCTGTATGGAGAAACAGTGCGCGTGGATTCTTATCAAATGAGATAGCCGGGAGGGGAGGATAGAGAGAGTACATGGGTGTATGTATGTGAGATATGTGTAAGTGCTCGTGGGAAAGAGATGTGCTTGCTTGCTCTTCGTGGTTCATACTTTCTGACATCTTTGTTGGCTGTTTTTGTTTGGCGTTCTTCATATTGTCACTGATCTTCTAGCGAAAATAATACATTGGAACAGGCGAAAACCAAAATTGTGATAAAACAAAATGTCCATTCAAAGGACTAGTAGCTAGCACATTGAATGCTTCAAAGTGGTTGTATTTTCGACTGCTCGGATATCACATGCAAATATCGTCATAGCCCTAATTCAATGTCAATTCCAATTACAAGCAGATTTGGATCTGATCCCCTTCAATTGAGCGGCAGATTCCCTTCATTTAATACAATGAAGATCCATGAAATATAAAAATGAGACTGTCCCTTGATACTTCAATCCAACATTCCTCGGAGTATAAGGGACCTAGGGATAAACCAGGGACGCCACAGGGACATGGCAACAAGCGGATTCTTCCATCATTCCAGTACAATGAACAGGGCCAGGGGACCAAGCGTACATGGGACTGGTAGGAGTCAGACCAAAAATGCCACCTGAAGCTTATCTCTTTGGACAAGCACCGTCCTATCTCGGGAACCATCCACCCTCAGGATTCCTGGACGTCATAAACCTGTTACCCCCCCACCATTAAGGGATGAAGGGATGTGATGCCAAAGTAAATGTTTACTCCCAAAATAACTGACAGGAGAATGTAGTTGTACATAAAGCTCCGAATATCTCTCGACCCGGCGCTGTTCCTTCCATAGCTTCGCTCTCCATACTAGAATTCCCTTTCTAGTATCACTCCCTCCCAAGCCCCCAAACCTCTTCCCAAGAACCAGACAACAAATCCAAAATGCGTTTCTTCATCACCGCCTCAGTCCTCGCCGCCGGCGCCCTAGCCCAATCAGTCGAAGACTACATCAAGTGCGCCGTAAGAACCCCAACCCCAATAAACCTAGTAAACAAACCTAACAACCCCCAGACCGCCGCCATCGGCAGCATCGACACATCAAAATTCACCTCATGCAGCAGCAAAACCTCCCAAGAATGCTTCTGCGCCAACAAATCCGCCCTCGAAACCCTAAAAAACTCCTCCGACCCCGCCTGCGCCGGCCTCAACCTAAGCACTCTAACATCCAGTCTCTGCGACAGCCCACACAATGCCACAACCACAGCCACACCCGCCCGACACGCAAGCAAACCCATGGAACCCGCCAACAAACGGGCGTTCGCACCTGTGCCCATCGTCCCGCGCGTCGTCTACGTGACCGAGACTCGCACAGACTGTACCTGTAAGAGCACGCCGGTTCCCGAGAAATCGCTACATATCTCCCAGATCCCGGTTCATATCCCGGCATCCAGTAGTGTGGCTTCTGTGGCGGCGTCGTCGACGCCGGCTGGTTGGAAGCATGGTTTGATGGGTGGTGCGGCTTCGTCGTCTGTGTTGTTTGGGCCGCAGGCTTCTGAGGCTATGCCTTCGGCTGGGCCTTCAGGCGTTGATCCCACTCGTTTCAAGGGGGCGGCCGCTGCGGGGGCTTCCGTGCATGGGGGTGTTGCGGCGCTTGGGTTTGCGGCTGTTATGGCTGTCATGGCTGCTTTGTAAGTTGTCTGATTGGATATCTGTTGGGACGGTTGTTTGGGAGGGTAATTGTGATTTTATTTGCTTGGGCTTTGGGTTTGGTTTATATTGGAGTCTTTGCTTTTGGAGATCGATATTTCAGATAGTTTTGACTTGTGATAATGATATATGAAACGTAGTTGGCAATGTTATTGGTCGTGCAATATCTTCAATTAATTAACGTGCATCACTTTGTGCTGATCATTCATAAACATGGCGAAAAAGCGGACATAGACTCCGCGTATGGACATAGCGATCGAACCGTCGCAGTCGAACCTAAGACCCTTGCCTTGCGACTCTGGAAAGCTCAAGCGTGGACAGCCTGCTGAACTTTAGGGTAAAGCTGCACCAGCTTGTAGTAGATATCCGGGTGGTCATTGATCATGACCTGAGGATCCCAAGCCATAGCCACGAAGATAGTCTCAACACCACTACCAATGGGAGTCATGAAGATCTGGCAGATCTGCAAACCAATCAAGAAAGCGAAAGCCATGATGACGGCAGTGAAGTTACCATCCCTGTTGTACGCTGGGTTGGTGAACTGCAGGTAGAGATAGGCCAACAGCGCACAGACATAGGCGACAAAAGTCGACCCCATAGTCAACACCGGACCCATCAGACAGTCTTGCACGAGCGCATCAATTCCTCGGTCGCGCATCATGGACCAGGTATCCTTGGCAGCAGGGATATAAGCCTTTCCATACAAGGCGATGTGACAGAATGCGTAACGGTTGAAAAGAGTAACAAGCCAGTCCAGCAGGGAGATGAAACATCCCAAAATCCAAAGGAAGATACTGCCGACCAAGTTACCTTGTCCAGCCTCTTGTCGCTGCGCGACCGAGCACGCCTGCCGCAACATGTTGATGAACGCGATGATTAGGCTGCCAAAACTGATACTGCCAAAGGAGTATGTAGTTGCGCGACGGAAGGCGCCCCGGGTCGAGCCCTTGGGCATGCCGCCGGCGGACTTGCTGAAGAAATACCACGAGCCATAGACACCTGCGATGGTGGTATGCACTGTGTTCTTGATCCACTCGCTGACCCAGTACATGGCGAATGTGATGTAGACGACAAGGCCGATGACCTTCGCCCTGCTGCAGCCGCCGTTCGCGCAGGATGGGTTGCTGCCAGTGGAATCGGGCTCGTAGGCTACGTAGATCGAGACCATAGTGACCGAGAACCAGGCGGCGAAAGCGACTGTGACGATTCCGCCTATGGCGCTGACTAGGAAGATGTGTCCGTAGCCGCGGGCTACGTCCATGGCGGTCTGTAGCATAAAGGCAGTGAAGGGGATGCGCGGGATCCAGCTGATGAAACAGACGATTGCGAAGATGCCGAAGAGGAGGAATACGATGCCACCTCCATACTGCTTGCGCGAGATGTAGTAGATTCCCGTTGCGAGGGCGAAAACGATGTTGAGAATGCCGGTCGCCCAGATGAAGGTCTTGGTGAAATGTCTCGCACCCATGAAATAGAGGAAAGATAAAACTAAGGCGACGACGAGGACGAAAACAAATAGGACGAGGGTGTTGGTGTCCAGCGAGAAATCATTGGACGAGTCGTAGATCCCTCCTCCATTGAAGCCTTTGTTGGTGGCATACTTGTGGATGGTAAGTCCAGACACGGCGGCATAGCCGAGGAAGACAGCAATCAACTGTGTAACAAGTTAGTTAGGTTTGAAGGGGGTTGTCAATGCGACGCAGCCAAACTCACCAAGAGACCTGCCCACAGGTCATTCCACTTTGGCTTCTCGATCTTGAACGCCTGGTCAAAGCTGTATCCAGACTCTGGGACATCTTGATGGTACTGTGGCGGTGGTTTGGGCTCAGATGGCGGTTGCTGATAGGTAGGCTGCTGGTAATTTGGTTGCTGGTAGTTTGGCTGCGGGTATGGCGCAGGTGGATTATTTGGTTGTTGATAGTTCCCATGTTGCTGTTGCTGGTCATAACCATAGTTGGGTTGAGGCTGGCCCTGAGGCGCCTCGTTATAGTAGCTGGCAGCCTGTCCACTCATATCTGTGAAGCTGAGAGAAGGGAAAAAAGTGAAAAGGAAAAAGAAAAAAAAAAGACAAAAGGGGAAGCAAGGGTTTTTGGTTTTTACATTTGACTGGTGACGACACCAAAACGGGGACCTCCCGATCGGCAACTCAAATCAGCCCTAGGGATCGATCCAAGAACGCTAAAAACACTAAAAACACTAGTCAAATTCGAAAAATTCAGTTTAATGTTTAACAAATTTCTTTCAACCTGATTTAGTACTATATGTATATAGTATTAAGTCTTTGAAAAATTCTGAGCGTCTGTTTAGTATAGTATTTGACGAAGCTTTGATTTCATTCTGAGAAAGAGGATCCATAGCAAAATTCCAATGTAACTTGGATCCCTCGGGAATTGGAGAGCCGGTGGGGGGGATCGGAACTTTCCCATACATGAGAATTGTGAAATTGGTACATACCGTAGAACATTTAGGAGCTTAATTACCTAGGTACAGCCTCCCACTTACATTCTAAATATACCGCGTCTTTATCCCTTCTAACTCTTTGTTATCTCGAACACTCTTTACAACCCTGTCAACTCTCAAGCAACATTGAAGTTATATTTAGCCTCCGGCTTTGAAGGACTAGTCGAACTAAATCAACAACTTCTCCATCAGGAAACAGTGCATGAAATATTCAGCATGATACGGCTGAAGAATTCGCACTACATAGTCCATCCAATCGCTCTGCCACCCTTTGCAAATTCCCAGTGTTGATAGCGACCACATTACAATCTTTAACCATAATATTCTCAGGTCGGAGATCACTATGTGTGAAGGAAATATGTTGGGATCCAGGGAGCATTCCACTGAGAAAACTTTCATGTGACGTTTTGGCGCTCTTTTTTGAAATCCTCCTCGGATTTAAAGGGACCTTTCAAAGAGAGCTGGTGGTTAAACTAAAGTGGCCTATGTATGTATACATGGATACCATACCTTTATCAAGAGAAGTCGATAGATAGTGATTAGCAACGGGTCCATGATCAACAGAGCCAATATAGCCATCACATGCCAAATCACGCATCTCTTGGATGTAGCCCGTAAGCTGTGTTGAGATATGGGTTTTAGTAGCGACCTCGTAATTGTCCCATGCCGTGTCAAGTGTGTTGCCATCAGTCAAACTCGTGAAGATGTAGGTATCGTAAAGGCCTCCGTGGTCACCAGGGTCACGATCAATAGGGCCGTACGTATAACATGCCAAGGCTTTAGGCACGGGGATCCCTGTATTTTGTGCAATATAGATCATATTTCTAGCCTCGTTAAAGTTGACATGAGCGCCGATCTTGACGACCACTTCCAGTGAGATTTTGACAATAGTGACACCATGGCTGAAGATCAAGTTGCTCTTGTTTCGACGATACTCATCGACGGTTTCGGGAGGTATCAAGGAAAACCCTGGTGCCAAGTAGTGCACGTTCAACCGAGGCTTTGAAGTTGGAGATTGAGGAGCGATTGACATAGTGGAGGGAGTATTCTTGGTTCAACAGCCGTAAAGAATTAATTTAGGAGAGAAGAGCAAAAAAAGGGGCTCGTGCGAGGAATCATAGTTTGCCCAGCTTTTGTTTTGTCATATGATCCTATTACAGCCCTATAGGGATGCTACCAAAACTGCCCAGGTGGATTGCTTAAAATTTGAGAATTGCCAAGTCGGTTGCCTGCTTGGCACAGAACTTGGATGTGTTTGTAATTTCTCTGTACATATGCAAGAAAATAAATGCCATAAATGCTCGATTCCCCCATTTCGCCTTTCGAAATCAAGACGCCTATAATGCAAACAACTGCTCTCGCTAAACCTCGTCAACTTCACAATTATGATTACAGCCAGTAAGGAGATAACCCGAAGAACCGCTGTCTGAGAAAGATGCCCAACAGACATAGACGCCGGGATGATCATTCGCTTATCGAAATGCATGTTGTTTCAAGTGACGCCAGGAACCGACGACCCGGTGCTCGAGGCCCGGGATTGGTGTGCGGCTTCGGCCGGTGAAATCATCCGTCCCAGAATGAAGCTGACCTTTGCTGAAGGCTACTGATCGTCGCAACTTCTCTTCGCGGACAGCTGTCCGGCGTTGAGCTCGGAGTTCCTCGATACGACCTTGTCCGACGCGGTGCCGACGTACGAAACATTCATCCATCAACGTGTTAGCATCCAGCAGTTTTTTAGGGATGGTTTGGACGATCTGGAATGCTTCCATGGGGTCTGTCACGCCGAGGATGTCCTTTTCGCACGCTTTGAAGATTGCCAAAGACACGCGGAAGAAAGTCTTGGAGCCCTCATAGAAGAAAACATCCCAAACTCGGAGGGTGGTTTCTAGAGGTAAACTTCCGATGAAGACCGACATAAGCCAGTTGGTCAGTCCCAAGGTTATGTCCGGCAGCCGAGAGTTCACTGTCAAGGGAGGCATTTTGCCCCGTCCGGACGGGGTTCCTCCCATGGCAGCGATCTTGGAATAGATGCCCGGCATGGAGTCCCTCAGCAGGACCATGAGAATCCAGAGGTCAATGTTGGCACCCTCCAGACTGATTTCATGAGTTCCAGGCAAGTAGTCTGCGGCAATGATATGCAACATCCAGAATGCTTTTTCTTCGGGGAGGAAAAGAAGGAGCATTCCCGTGATGAAATTCAAAGACTGGGTATATCCGATCTTCGGGTTATGCAGCGCATAAGCATACAGAACCCGACGTAGGGATTGAATCATCTGCGTCTCCGTGGTGACATTAGAATAATTCGGATTGCTGCTGCCGGAATGTTCTGCTTGCTGGGTGGCCTCTGGTTTGAAATGGAGGTTGTCAGGGAATGTGCGGTGGAGATCACGCTCGATGTGCTCCTTATCGTCGTTACTCGGTGAGCTCATGGCCTTCGCAACAAGTTCATCATAATGGCCAAAGTTCTGGTTCAAAAGCTCGTACCCGCCGGCATAATAGAACCAAGCCGCACCTCGGAACTCTGGTGGAATTCCTTTACGAACAAATCGCTTGACCTTCGAAGACTGCGGCGGGAACGTTGTGGGTTGTGATGTGGGTAGCCCGTGTTCTTTGAGCAATTCACACCATTTGGCTCTCCGTTGCGTAACATGGTTGGAGTAGGATCCTTTCCAGGTCTCGTATTCATCCAGGGTTACATATTGTGTAGCTTTGCGAAATCCGTAATCGTCTCGAGGGCCGTTTCCAGAGCGGAGTTCGGGCGGCACTAACCCCGGAATAAACACTTTTGTCGAGGGCTGTCGTTGGTGTGCAGTATGCACCTCAGGCACCTCAGCTACCGGCGATGCGGACGGAGTGAAATCGCGCGGGGAGTCTGGCATGGCAGGGTCTGACGGGTCGGGTTCTGGTGGATGTTCTGGTAGTGCAGGCTCCAATGGTGTAAAATCTGGCGGGGATTCTGAGAGGAGGGGTGCTGTGGGTGTGGGTGCAGAATAAGCCATGTTTGGCAAAAACAATGAATCCGGCCTTGTGCCTTGCGACATGGTGAATTCTGGCATCGGGGGTATCGGCGGAACGTCGCTCAGCGACGGAAATTCTAGTGGGTGTGGTTCATGTAGATGTGAATCGCGTGATGGTGGGGGCGTTACTGATGGCGCTTTACTCCCTGCGTGGGATTTCGGCGAGCCAGGCTCTTCAGTCACGTCGCTGAAGCCATCGAGGTACATGGAAATCGCGTCTTCTACACTCATCCCATTGTCCATCCCATAAGGCGCGTCGGGAGTATCCGGTGAGAGATCGGTGATCGAGCTGCTCTTGGTTAAAACACTGCTGCGCTCTGTTCCGCTTGCCTGTTCAATGCTCGAGCGCCAGGTTTCGGACGAATTGACGCTTGGCCGGGGAGGATTTTCATCGGCGGGCCCGTTTGTTGGGAAGCATGACTGAAGCTGTCCTTGGGAGCTCATATCCTGTGGGCGGTGCTCCATAGATTCCTGCGTTCTTGGGCGCCTATTATTCAACCGGGATGTTGACATGGATATACGGAGCCCCCCTCGTGCAGGCATAGGTTTCCGATGCACCGGCCGTTCGAAGTCGTCTCGCGCGGGCCAGTTCGGGGGATGGGTTTCAGGTGGTGTGGCGTATAGTCGAGGGCGACCGGTAGGTCTAGGGGTCTTCCATTCGCCTCTCGTACCCGGCGAGGGGCCATGGTGAGGCGGAGTGGGTGGCCACGGGTATTCATGAGGATTGTGCGGCCGAGGCAGAGGCGAACGCGATCTCTGGCGATGTGTAGAGCGGGGAGAGTGTGGTGAGGACCTCGGAGCGGAATTTGCGGTTCGCGCGCGTGGGTCGACCAAAGACTCCAATCGGGGTGGGTGAGGAACTCTGCGGCGGCCGGGAAGGTCGAAATCAGCTGAGGGAGGCGGATATCGAGGGTTTACGTTTTCTGTGGCCATGGCCACGATGTCGCACCCAGTTCCCGCTGGACATTTGTTATCGCTGAAGGAGAGCTATCAATCGATAACCATAAGAATATTCAGGCCGGATAAAGGGAGATTCTCAACAAAAGGGAGTGCCAAAGGGCTAGAGAATGAATGAGGAATTTGGAGAAACGAAAGACAAAAGGTGAGAGACCAAATTTGGGAGACAGCCTGCCAGAGGACTGTGGAAAAAGAAAAGAGAGAAAAGGCGCAGTTGAAACAAAATCAACAAAGCCCTGATCAGGTTTAGTGTCAGGTGACGTAATATGGACAAAGGGGTTTATTTAACTACAAAGTACATCGTATTCATATAAAGTGGATTGGCCGTTGGATATTTCTACTCTATATGTTGTACGTATTTGATTATTATCTATAACATTCGCATTGTTGTATCACCTTGTATAAAAATCGACAGGTCGAAAATTCACGTGTCGATCAGGAACTCTGGACTTTTTATAGTCGCATGTTATGTGCATATGCATTTCATACCTTTTTCACCAGCTATATGTGTAGTTGATTCTTCTTATCTTACTGGCTACAACAATGATAAGTGGGAAAATAGCTGAGAAGATATCTAAAAAGACTTCAAAAAGGACTATCAAAATGGCCTACAACAAAGGCTGCACACGGAGTAAACGGCCGACAATTCTTGTTCTATTTTACTCCATAACCCCTGAATTTTAGACCAATTGAATATCTCAAATCAATATTTGGCCTTTCCCTCTTTTTACTTTGTACAACTCCCAATTCATCTGCAATTCATCTGCACATGGCCGTGGAATGTGGTTAGCCCGCTCGAACCCTTCCGTCTTCGGATAGCAGATGTCAACTGTCAACTATTTCAATTCGATCTCACATTGACGTTTTCGTATTAATTTCGAGATAGTATTTCTCGAAATGTCTCCCCGGAATAAGGCATGATTTACCAACGGGATTTATGTATATGTGCCAGGGGAGCTGCAGCTGCTGCATTATACTATTGACCAGTACCACCAGCAATGAACCCGTTTGCCCAATATGGCCATTGTCGACCCGGCGACCAAGCAATCTGCATCTTACATCCGTCCCAGTAGCTGGGCAGATGTAAGTATTATTTCCAATCCCCCGCATGTTGTGAAACCGTCGCTCACTAGCGTGATCTTTTTAATAGGGTCTCCGAGGAATTGCCGCTCTTTTTGTGGTCGCTAGCCATACCTGTCTCTCCTTTGCGACATATCTGGTCCCGCCATCTTTCGCGGAAACAGGAAAGTCTATTTTGTTTCAGCGACCATTCTTTAGACTGGTCATACAGGGCCAGGCCTGGGTGGCCATCTTCCTAGTGCTCCTCGGGTTCGTTAATTCCCTAAAACCGCTCCAGCTAGCCCGACGAGGAGCTACGGCCGATGCTCTCGCTACGCTTTCGACAGGCGCCTTCCGGCGCAAGTGGAGACTGGTCTTCCCTGCTACCCTGGTGACAATTTTAGCCTGGCTCTTATGTCAGTTTGGTGTCTTCCAATTGGGTAGAAGGGTAGATGCATACTGGCTCAGAGCGACAAGCCCTCAACCAAGCCCATCTTTGGGTGCTGCCGTCGTGGATCTGATGCGACAAATAGTGGGAACTTGGCTGTACGGAGAAAATGCCTACGACCAACCCCAATGGGCACTACTACCCATTTTTCGTGGCTCACTCTATGTGTTCATGACCCTACTGGCTTTGGTAAATACCACGCCACTTTTCCGCGTCTGTGCGCAAATGGTCCTATACGCCTATAGCTGGGCAACGCTAGATGGTATGTTTGGGATAATATCGCAATAATACTAAATATAACACTTACAAATTTTTACAGGTACTGTTGGTACAAATATTTTCGCTGGCATGATACTAGCAGAACTATCATTCTACAACCTGACAGCCCTCCAGCCACGCCTAATCTTCAAAGTCCTACCCTACGGCCTCGTCACCTTGGGCCTCTACATCTGCTCGTATCCCGATGAATACGCCGACCAAACCGCATGGTCTTCCCAGCTTGCATCGCTTGCCGAAATCATATTCCCAAAAGATGCCAACGTCAGCCGCTACTACGCCGGTCTTGGGGCCCAGATGATATGTTTTGGCGCGATGCTTTCTCCCTTCATGCGACGGATGCTCTCCCACCCCGTGCTGCTGTGGGTGGGGTCGATCAGCTTCCCGTTATATCTCGTCCACGGACCGCTAATGCGATCTGTTTTGGTTTATCTTCTGTATCTGCCCATGTCAATTGGCTTTGAGCCGGCTTTAAGGGCAGATGGAACACCTGACCCGGAATCTTATATTCCAACGCCGAGCCCATTCCGACTTGGGGTTATTTTGATTATGTTTTTTGTGTTCTTGCTCTATGTTGTCCAGCAGTGGACGAAACATATAGAACCGAAGATGGGTGCACTTACAGCTGACCTTGAGAGATTCTCCCGTTCATGGGGTAAGAATGGGGTGTGGACTTCAAAAGAGAAGGACGAGATGCTGCCTATTGCGTCCGTTCGGGAGTTAAATATATAGACTTTTCATTGGGATGGCTATTGTTTCTTGTTGCTTCGAGACGTTGGCATTTAGACTTAAGCGAGCTACATATGACATTATATATGAATTGAACCTTCTTGACTTTTATGTCTCTACGCAAATTTCGAGCCGCGAACATTTATCATGTCACTACCTTCACTCACTGCTATATGCCAGCTTCAACAACAAGACGCTTTTGCCTCACAAACCAAGCACCAACACTCCCATTCGGCACTATGATCATCAAGTTCAATCCAAAGGGCTTGAATAGAACTTGAAAAAGGTCCAGACATGGCAGTCAATGTTCACCAAAACAGCGAGGGATGATTTCATAGATCTCCAACAGACTGGTATTGTTACCAATGCAAGCGCTCAAACCAGCCCTAAAACGACCATCGCTCGCAACATCTTCAGCGTACGTGTCTGGAATCCAGCCTCAGAGTCATTCTCCATCTTGAGTCAATGTTCTGGGAGAAAAGAGTCAACATCCCTTCCTAATACCTGATGGCAGTATGTATAACATTTCGATCAGCACTATCGCCCCGCCCCGTAAGAATGCATCGCCATGAAGGGTTCGTTTCAACGAAAGAAGAAGAATTGGATGTAATGAACGGGAGGATTGTACTTCACTGCGTAAATCGTTATATATATATAAATAAACATGCTAGCTGAGCGGGGTTTGTTAATTTACACAATTCAGAGCGCTTCGGTAGTAGGATTAGTCGTGTATGAATGCTGGTCTTCCACCCAAGAGCGCAAACTATTGACCATGTTGATTGAGATTGAATCATTGATTACTGCTCTTGCCACAGTGCATGGGTCGGCGGCATTATGTCTTTGATTATTGGCACTAGACTGTTCATCCGTATGGGTTTGGTGAGGAATAAGTCCATACCAGACCCAGTCGCGTCGCGTTGGGTGTCGGCTTGCGCAACGCCAGTCAAGGCAGCAATCTTGACACGGGATTTGGTTTCCAGAGTTTTCTCGAACTCGCGAATTCGCCTAGTAGATTCCAGACCGTTCATGACTGGCATGGAGATATCTGTCAAGAGTATTAGATTGTCAAAGGACGTTCGGGTTGAGTTTTCAAAATCCTACCCATAAAGATCATTCCAATAACAGAGGAATTGGCCTTGAAAGCGTCGAGGGCTTCTTCTCCATTTCGCGCAATAGCATAATCGCACTTCAGCTTCTTCATAAAAGCAATAAGAATTCTGAGATTGATATCATTGTCATCCACAAGAAGAACGGTTGTTGGAATGTTTGATTCGGGGTCATTCTCTTTTTGGATGGGTGTATCGTGGCTCGTGGTGGCGGCTTCTTCAGATAGAGGAAGAGGGTCGTCAACATTTCCCCGAGAGAGTCTCAACGACTCGAGCGTTCCTATAGAGGGCCGGCGGTATGTTTCTGAATCTGCTACCACTTTGACCGTAGGTTGTTCGTTGACCTCTCCATTTGATGACGGGCTAAGAAACGAGTCTATTTCAGGCACATTGGTGCTCTGATCGGCTCGGAAGCTCGCTGGACCATCCGGTTTGCATTCTTCGCCCTGGGGGGAATCAAAGCGCAGCTGCTGACGATTAATACACGTTTGTATTGTTTTTGCCAACTTGTGCGGTCCGCATGGTTGGCTAATGAACTCGAGCACATGTGCATCCCCACGATTCTGAGCTTGGATAGACAGCGAGTGCGCGGTCCTCGGGGAGGGGCATATTATGATGACAGGCGAAGAAAATTGAGCACTTGGACTGGGCTCAATAGCCCTGATCTCCTGATTCCCTAAATCCAGATACTCGTATGAAGAGATGTAAAAGTCACAGTGGGCGAATTGTGTTTCTGAAGACCCAACTAAACGGACTTCCATAGAAAACCAGTCTTCACACAGTTTTTCTAACGATGTGTATAGAGCTGTGTCTGATTCAGAAGTTGCGAGACCTAAGATTCCAATAGTCTTCGCGCATGCAAGCTTTTGAGTCATAGTGATGGGAGAGTCGCTGTTCAACTTGTCGAGGCTGTCCAGAGCAGACGCATGATTAAGGGTCACAGTTGCCACAACTTCAGTGCCAACATCTTTTTCGGAGTTGACCTGGATATCACCGCCAAGCGATAAGAGTATTCGTCGTGTGATGCTCAATCCAAGACCATTGCCGGTTGTCATGCTATCTTCCTGCGAGAAGGCAGTGAATAGTCCATTTTTCAGAAAATCTGGGTCAATACCAGATCCGGTGTCCTTTACAGTCACTGTGACTGCTGAGCTTGTGACCTCGCCACTTGTTCCGAATTTAGCTGGTGAGGCCTTCATAGAGATGTAGATATAACCATTTTGGGTGAATTTCAAGGCATTCCCAAAGATATTCGTGAGGATGGCATGCCAAGCCCCAGCCTGTGTGGAAAATTTCCAACTGTTGGTGCGATCAATGTCCAAAACCACCTTGACCCCACCCCTTGTATCGGGATTTCTGCTATCCAAAGTAGAAGCGCCAGCGATACCCCGAAGAGGGGATCGTGAACCTCTGAAGAAGGAATAACCAGCGAAGACCGTTTCAACTGCGTCTTCTAAGGTAGCATCAAGTTCGACACAAGTGTCGACATCATCTTTTCCAGAAGGCGAAGAACGGCGGGCGGCGGCCACTTTCCGGTCGACAGGAATTCTTTCCGATCCGGGGGGTTTGGCGACAGAGTTTGGTCGAACGTCATTGATACTAGCATGCTCAAGGAGTTGATTGATCGAGCCTAGTAGTGTGTATGCACAAGAAGAAATCGTATGGATAAATCCTCGTTGCAGCGCGTCCATAACAGTGTCATTCAAGAGTTCTGCTGCTCCGAAAATGCCATGCAGAGGGGATCGAAGTTCATGACTGAGTCCTGAGAGCAAGTCTGATTTTGCTCGATCGGCGAAATGAGCACCGAGTTGGTGCACTTCTGCCATAACACTATTTCCAAATGTCAAGAGGAATGCTAACTCTTCATGCGAAGTGAAGACACGGTAGGGTGCTTTTGTCCATACTAGAGCCCCCGAATACCATCTACCTTTATGCGAATCCCATAAAGGCGAGAAGATGATGCTTCGAGACTGGGGAACAAGTTGAATCAAGGTGTGAGCATCCTGGCGTACAAGCGACTTCCGTGTTTTTTTGAACTTCTTGCCCCCAGGACGTTGCAAAAATCGTTTGATTATGCCATCACTAGTATCATCAGATGAGATGGTTCCATCTTCACCAAAATTGAAAATCTTTCCTCGAGGATATCGGTGCAAGAGGCCGCCGAGAAATGACTCTGATAATGCGATTTTGTTATCGTTCATCAACTGATCATTGACGCTAGAGGCGTTCGAAGTGGCAAATCCGAGTATTTCGCACGGGTTCAACGCAGCTTTGCCTGAGCTTTTAGCCTGTTCTGGATCAAAAGATACTTGATTTTCGAACGAAGGTTGGGGGAAGCTTCGGAATGTGGCCTCGTCACCCGAAGAACAGCTTTCAAAACTACTGCCTTCCGTGTCAGACTCAGCGTTGTCCACTAAAGCTTCCTGGGAGCCGAAATTGGCGTTGAAAAAGACAACTGCGTCAACTTCGATACTCTCGCGGATGAGATTGGCTGCACGTCCAAATGTTTCAATCACTTTGGCAGTATAATCATCCTTCGGTGATTGCTGCCTTGACAGATCGTTGCCGATTGCCATAGCAGCTTGAGATGCTTCTTTGAGTTTTGATAAGGCCTTGGCATCTCTCTTGCTGGTGGTCGAGTTGGAAAGTGACTGGTATTTATCTCTATTCCCTTGAAGGGTCTTGTTTCCAGGGATATGAAGATTGTATGGACGAAAAGTTAGGTGGCATGGTGTGTCCTTTTGACCCACGGCCTGAGTCACGTTATGCGAAACTTGCTTTTCTTGTTGTTCTCGATTGACATGCCCCTCTGTATGGTCCATCTGACCAAATGTGGTTTGTGAAACATCGGTGTCGAGAACCCATGAATTGCGCAGGCTACCTTTTCCTTCCAGAAAACTTTCAAGGCCAACCATCATGCGCTCACTGCGAAAATGCTGGATTTTTGAGTGACTAGTTCCCAGGTAATCCATTATGGTAGCTGCAATATCAACAAGGAACTGGAGTGACCCGGTGTCCACAGGCTCATGAGGTTGGTCGTCCAAGACCGTATAGGCTCCAATCACAACACCATTCGGGCTGATGATAGGACTCGATGCGAGAAATCGAATGTTAGGGAATCTAGTCACATATAAATGGTCCTTGAATGCGCTATCTTTGGTAAGATCGGGCACAACAAAGACTCCGTCCCTGGCGTTTAACGCATTTGGCGAAGAATCCATAACCGATTTACACAGGCTGCGGTCATATGACATAGTACAGCTCCCCACCCAAAGCTCATCTCGCGCATTATGGTCGCCATCGTTTTGCAGACTTAGGGTGCGAGTAGCTTCGGTGAGAACGTGTTGCTCGTGTCGACCGAAGAGTGAGATCAAAGAACGCTGCGCATCCAGTCGTAAGGTGCCCAGTTGGGCGAATGCCGTCAGGACGGTGTCCGCCGAGGATCGAGCGACATGTTCTTTTGATAGTGTAGTAGGCCCGATGTGTTGTATGGCGTGTGGTCTGAGATGGTATGGCGGTAAATACCTAGGGAAGCAAGGCGCACAGTTAGCCTACGGGGCCTTCGATCCAGTGTGATGGATCGCGAAGTCGATCGGCGAGTACAACGATGTGTTTACAAAAAAAGATGGTAGATTACTTATAGAATTCTCGCTCTCTGGATGTGCCAAAGTTGACATGATGCTTTTCTGCATGTTGTGATGTAATTGAACGTGGCATTGCGTCGGCTGCAAGTTCGGGACATTGAATGCAAGAGTGCTAAAGACAAAATATCTGCTTTCTCCTTGGAGGAAAGCGGAGGATCATCAAGACTGCACCGGACCTTCGGACTTCAGAAAAGAAGTAGAGAAAGAAAGAAGCCGAGCGGGGCACACTAAAGCTGCAGCTCGCAACCTTAGCTTCCAATCTTGGAAGGTTCCAAGGTTGACCCCGGCCTGGCCAATAGATTAGATAAGCGGTGACATAGATCGGGAAAATTTGGCAGAAGGCAGCCAATCGGGCTTTCCCGCGAGATTTAACCCTATCTCAAGATTGCGTTGTGATTGGTCAATTGGGAGTAGAAGCCACCCATGGATGTCGACGGGTGACTGCCCAATGTTGAAGTCTACAAGCCAATAGATGAGATCATGAGGCACAATATGATGATATTGTAATGTGGTGAAATATGGAGGCAAAATAATGGAGTTGAAAGATAGTGCTGGAAAAGCTTGCACGCATGTTTATTCCTAGGAGCCGTATGCCTACCCATGAGAGTCTCGCCCGTGAATTGAGATGATCAGCGAAAGTTCAAGGCAATCGACGGGCATGAGGACGAGTTTATGACTTCACGAACGACGTCGATATCATTTAAGAATGGGTATTGCCAAAAAGAAAACAGGAGGATCTTGAAAATGTACAAGTTCCTGGGCAGATGCTAACTGCATACTTCACTTGTGACTCACGTGCGTTGCGGGCTAATAAACTGATGTAGCAGCACGTACTATTATTCGATAGGTGCCGTATATTACTCCATATTCCAGACACGAACAGTGATCTGGTGATATTACTGACATATGATACTGCTATATTCCAGGCTGTGCTCAGCTACTCTGGCTAGGTATACCATCTAACTAGGATACTCGCCATCGGCGTCTAGTGGCTAGGTGTAACTTACAGTATTTCTATGAATCCCTAGATCATCACTTAAAAATGCCCGAAATTCAAGTGCTAGCTAAAAGACAGCTGTGAAGGCCAAGACCAACCCATCCTACTGAAGATCGAACCAAGCAAATACCCTAATTGCCCAAAATCCCACCGCAGCCCTCATCTCCATACATATCCATCACAGTAGAATAAACAGCCTAGCTATCACAAGACGAAACACGGAAGCGACCCATGCCCTTGCTCAAAGAGTGACCATTCCAGCCATCCGATGCAATTCCAATCTGGTTGCTGCAGGAGCTGTCGCTGTAGACAGGAAGAACACAATCAGACCACAAGCCGTTCTCCCAGCCAATGGTGTCACCGCCCTTGCAGGAGGACTTAGTGCAGCCTTTGTTGTTATCGCCACCCCACTGCTCGCTGCAGGTGCTGAAGATCCAGGCGTTGGTCATAGGGGGGACGGCAGCGATGGCAGCGATAGTGGTGGCGGTGAACTTCAATTTTTTGGAAGTTAAGGGTTAGGTTTGAGGGGTTTGAACAGGGAGTTGAAAAAGTAGATGTGGATTGAATGTTTGGTGTTGAGATTGAGCTTGAGGTTTGATTGTATTGGAGAGGATGATCAAGAGTGTAGAAGCGAGGACAAGTGGTTGTTTATATAGCTTCCTGGGTGGCATCAAGTCTTCTATTAATAAAGTGAAAAGATGTAACTTCATCGATGCCAATGCTCGTATCGTGCCGAGTGAGGCCAGAATAGAACCCATGACGAGATATCAGCATCATGGATAGGGCCGTGGTTCCAATCCTGAGGTCGAATACGATAACTATTACTAAGTACTTGGTAGATGACAGAGGCGATTGGTATGTAGTCCGCTGTCGATAAGGTGGAGTTGCTGAGATAGTGATGTCGATCAAAAGTGAACATAGTTCTCTTTAAGGTTAGAAGAACGACCAAGGAGTAGATCATCTAGAGACTCTCGTATTGTCGTCGGGCCCCGTCCTCCGATTCCGCGGGACGGGCCCGAAAGGCAGCGGCGGCACCGCGTCCGGTCCTCAAGCGTATGGGGCTTTGTCATAAGAATGGAGCAAAAGCTGTTTATTTCAAACCAAGTGACAATCAAAATGTTCCAGGTGACCACCATGCTGACCCGTACCTCCACCTCTGCCCTCAATAACTTCCAGTAGGCTTAGATAAGGCAGCCTGATAATTGACGTGACGGACCAAGTACGTATAATAAACCCCCTGAGGAAGCAACAGAGCCTTACGTTTATTCCTGCATATATGTTCTTTTATATGATTTCCTGTTATTGGATCATGTTGAATAGTCCAAAATACCAAAAGGAATATTGCATAATGGTCCCGCTTCAGGGTCTCACTGCTCCGCGGTATATATGCTCTGGCGCTTGAAATCCCGATCGAAATCAGAAATAGCGTGGTAAGGCGATGTAACAGGTGTATTGTAGGCTGGGAGATCAATATCTGTATTCGAAGTGGTAGTATCGGTAGAGTGAAACCGTCGATAGAGAAAATAAAAGGAATGCTCTACAGTCCTGAATACGACGCATCTGAGAACAGACGCGATGGCTGCTGAAACCATTCTTAAAAAAAGAGCGCATTTTTCTTCACAATCTGCCGTCATAGCGATTTGATAATCAGGCGGCCGGAAATAGCCGTTGAGGAATAGATTAGAGGGGAGTGTGTGATGAATGAGTTGAATCGCGGGAGGAACAGGTGTAAAGGCCTAGTGAGGCAACGTCGGGATTACGTAGCTTATTGATGGGCTGAGGCCGGAGTGCGAAGGACAATAGTCTCATTCTCACAAATACGCATTCACACCTATTCCCGAGGAAGATATACATGTAATAGCAGGACTACTAGAATTTACTATGATAGTTGGAAAATCTACAGAGCCGGTCGAGATCAGCTTCACCTTTGTTCTCTCAAATAAACGAAGATGCATTGTTCGATCTGAAAAGAAACAAGATTGTCCACGATGAAGGAAACAAAGAAATTAACACCGAAACAAGTAAAAACAAAAACGAAAGCACAGCTCAAATTAGTTCCCAGTCAAACAATTGGTATACAATAGAATTCTCATGTACTCTTCAACAAATTTCTTCCAATAGCCTCACTGCAGGGCTTGATGATATCCTGCTGGGCGGCTATCCATTCGTTCGTCCAAGCCTCCAACTTCTTAATTCCGGCCACAGCGTCCAACTCGCCGGGACTTTCATAGTCCTTTGGATTAGAGCCCTCTTTCTCCTTGGCCACATTCAATCTCCAATATTTCTTAATCTGGGGGCACGGGGCAAATGCGTCAACAAGATAGCGGAAAAGAAGATGGGTGCTTTCGGTGTTAGTTGCAACCGAGACAAAACTCATCATTGCGGCTTTGAAGTTGAATCCTGGCTGAGCGATGGCCACATTGGATGCCATTCCTGTACCAATGCTCAGGAAGCAGTCCGTCTCGCGAGTTGGGCCATATACACCGAGGACTTCGGTCCATAACCTGTGAAGGAATTTCAGTCATCATGCTCGTACAAGACTATAAGTACGCCAAACTCTTACCATCCAAGGGGATTATTGGCTAACAAGCCACCATCAACCAGTTTTACGCGGCCCGCCTGAAGAGGCTTAAAGTACGCAGGGGCGGCGGAGGTAGCACGAGCAGCCTGCCACAACTTGATATTCGCAAGGTCTGCGTCTGGTACCTCAAGGTCGTTCGTATACGAGCGAAGGAAGACAGGCCCTCGGTTATTACCGGCTTCCTCACGCACCGCCATTAAGAAGCTGATTTTATCAGGTCAGCTTTCACAATAGAAAATTAACTGAATGGACAGACAATCTCACATTTTGCAGGAATTCTCCTTGTCGTCCAGCAATAATGCGTTATCTGCGTCTTCCCCGGCTGGAAGCCTCTTTCGAAGCAGAGCTTTGATCACCTTCTCCAATGTCTCAGCAGAGTAGAATGCTCCTGTCGTGGCATATCGGGCTGGCTTCGTCACATGGTCGTGGAACCAGCCAGACCCAAACACCTCATTCATCAACGCGCTATACTCGTCCAGGCATTCCTGAACGGTCATCTTGAGGCGGCCGAGCATGATAGCAATTAACCTGATTCAGTCAGCACCACATAGTATATGACAAAGAGACTTGTCCCTCAGCTGTACGAACCCGCCAGTGCTGGTTCCTCCAATAAGATCAAATACCTCACAAGGCTTCTTATTTGGAGCACCTTTGTCCATGACTTCTTTCAGTAACATCAGCGATGAATAACCTCTCACACCTCCCCCATCTAAAAGAGTAGTTAGTCTCTAAGGATAATAGGCTGCATATCAGTTAGAAGGCCTTACCAAGAGAAAGAACACGGAGGGGTCGCTTTTCCTTGCCAGAGAATGTATCGGCTCGATCCCAGGCAGCTGTGATTGTAGGTGCGTATGCATTATTACTAGAGTTGACGCAGTTCAAGATCTGCTGCAGTGCGATGGTATCCTCCATTACCTGTGCGTAACTAGGAGGCTGCTCAACAGAGGTGGGACGTCCCATATCCAGTACAAGGCAAGCGGCCCTTCCGTACAGCTCCCAGCCAGTGAAGCGGGCACAGACTCGCACTGCAATAACATTGCCAACCTAATTCTATGGGTAAGTATGTTCTTTCCGAGGAGTTCGGTCCATTGACTTACCTCGAGCAGAGCCAACAGATCGTGCTTGCCGGCGAAAACGTCACCAGATAACTAAAGGCCACTGTGAGGTCCCATACAGCATGTTAATTAGATTAATGACTTACCCAGCCGTACTGTTCAGATCCCATATCATTCTTGTGACTCATCCAAACCAACTCAACCCCTTCTCTTTGCCTGGGGGAATCGGACGATTCATTCTCATAAATGGCTACCTCCAGCCATGTCCAGTTTCCAAGAGCACGATCATCCACCCAGCCCTGGTCGTGGGTATCTGCAAACAGCTGTATGCTCTGGAGAGCCAAAATGGCAGCTTGACTAAAGGGCTAAAACAGTCGTGTTTAGAAACTGGTCGTTCGGAGGTAGAAATTGCGACTTGGCAAAATGACTTACCGGTGACTTGAACCAGGTCTTAGTAACTATCTCCGGCCCCTCCGCAGATAGAAGTGGATCGTTTTCATCCCCCGGTTTCGGTGCGTTGACAACATATCGGCCCTCTGGGAAGGTTGAGTTGTCATTGACTGTCCGTGAGGGCAGTTCTTTCAACCCTTGCAATGAAGATGGAAAAGACATGTTGATCCTTGCAATTGTGCTATTCCTATGTGTGTCTTCCTTGATTGTGAATTGAGAATTCTGGCAACGGAGCTGGCGGGTGCTATTTGTATGTTGAAAGGTGGCACAGCTGGCAGAACTGTTGATAATTGCCGACGGGTTTGCTCTCGAGTCTTAGCGGCATTCAGACTCAACTACATCGCCTATTGTATCATGAATCAGGATATCACAATGCATAGCTCGGTTAACTTGTCTTGATAGAAGTCCAGGTGGTGTCACGAGGTCGGTGATATCCGGCTCTGGCAGGAATAGGTATCTGCAGTGCGTCAACTTTGTTTTTGACTAAACCGAATTTGATATTTGTCTCGTTAAGCCTTCCCAGACGTAGCGTAGTGGCGCTAAATTTGCCCCCGAAACCTGCTTTAGTGTGATTGTAACGGATGGGGTTCTGGATGGGTTCCACTCGCCTAAATATGTCAATTTCTTCTGGTGGTGTGGGGATTCTCCGCATAGTTTGCTAGCGGCTCCCAGCGGGTCCAGCGACCACATATTGTCGTATTCTCAGCTGCACAATAGCTTGGTTCTCCGGGGTTGCCGAAGCCTCTGAACCAGGCTGACTCTATTGCTCTTGGGGTGATAGTTCCTCTGACGACGTTTAAGCAGTTTGGCGTTATTTAATATGTCATCACATGCCCTTAACATTCGCACCACCATTTGCATAGGATGTCTGGCAAACGAAAGGTCAGATACACAGGAGCAGGAGTACTGTACTATGCCGACGTAAAGTCATGAATTCGTCACAACTGATCGTTCAAAGCAAATGCGTAGCAAGTCAGAGTGTGAAGAGAAATTAAGAGGTTTAATTGGTAAAGTTTAGAAAGCGAAAAGTCAACGTTGAGCTATATAACGAGAATCGCACAGCAATTGTAAGCAAAGACGCACTCTGAGACGGGTCATACGACTTAGAACTATAGAAGATGAAATTCAAGCAAACAAACAAACTCAAAGAGACAACGATTGGACCAAAATGTGCTTCAGTTGAAAGACAATCCTCCTCGCAGATAGCTACTCTACTGCTTCACCTCCGTATCGATTTCAACGCTCCAGACTAGCGCAAAAGGCTGGACATCGGCCATCATGGTTCCTCCTACTGCAACAGTGAATGTCACAGTCGCCTCTTTTTTCAGATTCTTCCAGACAATTTGTTCAACCGTGTTGACCCCGTCAGAAGGAGCGGGATCAATATTCTCCTGCTCACCCTGGTTGCCATATCGGACACGGCGGTCTTGACCTGGGATTTCAACAATTACGGACAGGTTAAGGTTGTTCTGCAGCAACGCTCCCGCAACATCTGTGTAAACCATAGTCACCTTCAAGGTTGAGAATGGTGTGGAATCATCCGTATAACGACCCATGTTGAAGGAAGTTGTGAATTGATCCTTCAAATCCTCATCCGCGACTTCACCTTCAAGAAAGTCGCGGTTGAGGGTCTTTCCCTTAATGATCATCGATCTAGCTAGATCGACCCGACCAAAGCCTTGAAGCTCTCGCTTATTTCCGGTGTCCACTGCACCGTTGATCAGAAGGGCCTTGAGTAGAGCGGCGCTGGGATTTGGGAGGCCATTTGCAATGAGCATCTCGCGCAGCACAGCCACGCATCCGGCAACCAAGGGAGTGGCCATGCTTGTGCCCGACAAGAATTGCCAAAGCTTATCATCGCTATTTCCAAATGTGCTGCTTAGTTGACAGGCTCGAGAAGCAGTGGACAGAATCATTCCTCCAGGTGCTACAATGTCGGGTTTGATCCGACCCTCCATGGTAGGTCCCCGGCTGCTGAATCCGGAGATGTTGTCAGGATTTCCTTTGACCAATCCCTTGGCATCATACACTTCACAGGTGTGATCTTGGGAAGATCGCAGATTCTCGCACGAGCCTACGGTGATGCAGTTCTTTGCAGCTGGCTGTGCACCAATGTGGCCCTTGCGGGTCGCTGCCTTGCCACTGTTTCCAGCAGCAAAACACACGACAAGGTCTTGATGACCCCAAACAAAGTTGTCAATCTCTTCTGAAGCATTGTTGTATGGTAACTGGCCTCTCCAGTCCCACTGAGGACCCCATGAATTGGTGTGAATTCGAGATCCATGGTTCTCATAGGCATCTCGCAGGAGGTCCCCCAGAGTCTTACCCGAGGAACCGAAAAGTCTACCGTTGTCTGCGAGGAGGGCCTGAACAACCAATGTTGCCTCGGGTGCAGCTCCTTGAATTGAGCCACCCATAGCGTCTGACTTGCCGTTTCCCAGGACTGACCCACAGACATGGGTGCCGTGGCCGTTCGTGTCACTTGTTAATTTTTCCCGTCCAATTGGGATAAGATCGCGCACTCTGTTGGCGAAAGCAGGATGCGTATTGGCCTTGTCGCCCATATCAAAGCCAGTATCAGCGACTGTGACAACTTGTCCTTTTCCTTTGTAACATGTAAGACTGCCAACCCCGGAATCCCCGATATCAGCATGGATGACATCTCGAGCGACGTTGTTCAGCAACGTTAGGTTGTGAACCTCCTCAATAGCCCCAACGCTATCAATCTTGGCAACCTCCAACAAGTCTCTCGGGGAAATTTGTGCTCGAATAATAGAGCTGTCTGCGCGGACACTCATATTCTTTGGAGAGATGCCAGTAATTTGACTGATTTCTTCCATCAAGACCTCAGCAGATTTGTCGGCAGCTTGATGCAAAATGAGGTCCACTGACTTTGGCTCGTCATGGGACTCATAGTTGCTTTGGGTCTTCAGGCTCGGAGGAAGCTTCAGGAGAGGGGAAAGAACTTCGACATTTTCAATGAAATCTTGTTCCCTGATGAGATCGATATCGGTAGGCTCGTAACGGCACTTGAAGGTATTGTCGCCAAGAAACTGCTGCACTTGGATGTGCAACTCAGAGAGAATCCGCTTCTTGGATCGGTCCAGAGGACCAGTCAACTTGACCAGAATGTAGTTCGAATCAGTAATACTGGGCTTCAAATCAAAGGTGCTGAGCGACGAGAACCCAGAATCCTCAGACAGGGAGAATTTGTTTCCGTTGAGGTAAGACATGATGAACCGATGAGAGTAAAGCAGCAGACGGCGATATCACAGAACAACTATGCCAACTCGAGTTATGGCCACCAGCCGGTATTACTCTGCGTCTTTATGTCGCTACGTCAAGCCAATATCATTGTCAATTGACTCAACTCGCTCTTCAGCGGGCTGTTCCCATGGCTGAAACCTGTATGGTGGACGCTGGAATTAGTGTGCTTGGACATTATTTCAAATTCTAAACTCGTTCAGTCGGATCTTTTGGCTTTCGTTGTGCAATTTTACAGCTGGGGGTCTATGCTACGGCGCCACAATATTCAGTCGCCTATTGTTACCCGAAATTCTACATAGGAAAGGCAACTATTCGTTCGTACCTAGATCGGGATTTGCCTCTTCTAGCAAGAAAAAAAAAACCGGGAATATGGCGTCCAAGCAGAATCACCTTGCTTTAGCTCAACCTTCTTGATGTCTGTCAGCTCACTGCTTAGATGCGTTGGATGGGGATGCTACCTACTACAGGGCCTTCGATAGAAGATACTTTTAGCATGGCTGGAATCTAAGCACAGGAATTACGGGCTCAAATTGACTGGCCCTCATAACATTCTGCGAGAAAGTATACTCGACGAGATCTATGCTTGGTGATATTCCATGCTTGGTGATATCCCCGCAAAACTTAATTTGAAGAAGGCGTGAAGTAAGCCAGGTATGCAAGGTCACCGGAGACCGCATAACCGACAAATAAAGCATGGCGCGACGGGCATGACTGAAAATAGAAGAACATGTTCGCAGTTCGCATGTGGGCGCAGCTCCCCCGAACATGTCTACGCAGGTACCCACTGCAGGCCCGGCCCGGGTATGATAACCACGTTTAGTACTACGGGCACGTGTTGCCCCGCTTCTCTTCACGCCACTGAGAGATATCACAATCTATCACAGTGTATCACATCAATCACAACCATCCCTGAAGCCAAAAGATACACACCATCTACTTTGATGAGTGCATCATTACGTATAGTATATACTAGCCGCACATCTGTACACCGTATAGGTATATCCTTGCCGATGTGATGGCTTTTCAGGGAGAACCCTTTCCCCTCTGCCTTGTGGATTCTACGGGGAGGCCGGCGGCTCTCGCTAAATATTACTAAGAGCTAAAAGAGACCTTGCATTGAGACCTTACGGCTATGGAGCTCCTGATCTACTACGTAGTTCTGAACATGCTCGCCAAAAATGCCGGTGAGACACAAGCAACCTATTCAGCTGTGACTGGCTGTCACTTCTCAAGCAACTTCCTGAAATGACGAAAGGGATCATGAGATATATCTCAGTGAGGAAGTCCAACTCGTCACTATGGTCGCTAGTTCCTATTCTATGAACCATCTGGTTGGCCCAAAGATACTCGCTAGAGATGCCTCAGATACAGCGGGGACTCATCTCAGCTGGAGCTTGCTTCCATTTCCCCATTGATTCTTCGGGAAGACCGGAGGCTGGCTGAGAAGAGTCGGGCGGTCACAAACGAGTGTGCTAAGGGCGGAAAATTGGATTGCAAAGGGGGATTGATGCTGGAGTAGCTCGCAGCAGAGTGTTCCTGAAAAGTGTATATAAAGTGCAACTTCTCTCACCCAGAAATGAACTCTGCATCCGCAATCAGTATCTTGAAAACAACCGCCATCTATTCAGTCCTTCTGAGTATTTATCTTATTTGAGCTCTTTTGCAAGCCAATTCTCTACAAACCTCAATCATTTTTCATCTTCTCCTTCTACATTCATCATGTCTGCCCCCGTCGAAACCCTGGACGCAAGCTGGAAGAAGGCCTTGACCAGCGATGTTGCTGTGCTCAAGTTGGCATCTTCCGAGGGTAACGTGGGTTTCCTCTCCATCTTCTCCGAGAAGACCCTCGTGAGCCTCCAAGCGGAGACCTCCTCTCTTCGCCAAGATCTGATGGCAATGGACATCAATACCATGTATAACAACTCGGACGTCTACCAGAGGCTCAGCCAGAAGACGACTGAGGGCCTTCAAGCTACCCAGAACGAGGTTGAGCTAGTCAAGCGCAGCCTGGAAGAGAACGCGAGTGGCCCTGACGCCAAGAATGACGCTGGCTGGCAGGCTTTGCTGCGCAGCTCTGTTGAGCAACAGAAGAAGAACAGCGATAAGCGATGGGATGATCTCCTCACTATCGGCCTCACGGAGATTGAGAAGCTTCCCCCAACGATGCGATCTGGTGCAGCAACCACCTACACGGCCGGCCTGAGTACCATTGGTGCTTTCGCTGGGAAGGTCATTGACGCGCTGAAGGGCTTTGTCGGCCGTATCAGCGAGTTCGTCACCAGGGCCTGGGAGAAGATCAAGGAATTCGGGCAATCTGTCTACAACTGGGCCTCCAGCGCATGGTCTAGCGTCAAGGGAATCTACGGCAGTGTTTTCTCTGCTCAGGGTCTCTCTACTCAGAGTCTCGTTGCTCAAAGCACCTTTTCATCTCCGAATTCGAACGGCGAGATTGCTCCTCGCACCCTGAGAAAGGTTCTTAGTAACGCGGCATTTAATGGAGCCGGCGACTCAGAAACGATCATGGTACCCGCCGGTTTGCTTCGCAGTCTGGCCGAGTTCCTGTGGTAAATTCGTCTGTCTCCAGGCGACTTGAATGTTTGATTCAAGGCGACGAATCAACCTGGCCGAGGTTTAAAGTGGAACAGTCATGGAGACATTCCAGATCCCTTCAAGTTGATCATTGTCGGACAATTTGCTGTCACTCAATTCTTGTGCTTTATTCTACTACGCTCCGTTAGTTTAATGGTTCCGTTAGCTTGAATGCAATATACGTATCTAGTTGTTGTCTTTATGCACTTACTGTTGGAAATTTATAGTATCAAATATTTATAATTTTGGATGGTCCCACTTCGAGAAACCATCTTGAATACCACTGCTGAGCCCCTCTCGTATCATATTGCTGGACGTAGTAAAGAATCTAGACACATAAACGGAAAAGTTCATGCACAAACACAATGCTCCTTGTGTTGTATATGCAAAATCTCATCGTGATTGCGCAATATGAGAAGGCCAAGCTCGCAGAGACCTGAGTGCAGGTTAAGTCCAAAAGTCCAATACCAATGCCTCATGTCGTTTAAACCGATACTTTCCCTGAAACTGCACCAAAAAATCAGGGCAATCATTTCAGATGGCTTTGATGCTTGGATCTGGGTTTCAGCTGGTCCATGCTCGCCTCAAAATGTCGATGTAGCCCTTTCCACGTGAATTTCGGCTTTCAGTGCTGACAATCAAGCTCATAGCTGGTTTTACAGCTTGGTCCTATACCTTTAAAAGAATAGCTCAAGCGCCTGTCTCTCTTAACAGAGTCTTTCTAAGCTACCGCTCTCGAAGTATTAACGCTGTGTCTTGCCTCGTTTAGCGCCGCTTATTGGCTTATCAGTCTTTTTCGATCCACGGGGAACAATATGGATACAATCGTACGTGATTTGTATATTTTAGCACTGTGGTAGATCTTGTTGCTGATCTACATTAGAACGCTCTCTAGACTATCGCGATATTAAATAAGCGAGCCGTCCGAGTGGAAGGGATTCTCTCGAGATACGAACGCGAGCTTGCTATTGGCTTGGGCCTGAACGAGCAACATCGAAGAAAACCGAGACCCCGTCCATGGAAAATAGGGAGCCAGCATTGGATGAATTGTAATAGCGCGTCCGAATTAACTCGAGAGTTTCGGCATTCCAAGCTTAATGAGAAATAACGGACACGAGCAGCTGGAAGAGCTGAAGTTGTCCTCCAGATTGAGGCAATATAGCCGCTCCGTGTTTCCGCTTGTCTTCAAGTATGAGGCCGACTTGGCCATTATTACCAGACCAAAACCAACACGTGCTAATGCTAGAGTTTATCCGCCTAACCATGTGGGGCCTGCGTTGCGATGACCGGGAAAGGCTGGTCAGTTATATATTTTTGCCAGGGTTAGAGTTCATATCTGATCATTTCTGTCTCTAGCTGCTATAAAAGATTCCTCATTAGACCGAATGCTTTCAGGCAATATGAAGTGCTTTGGGAAAAAGACTGGTGTTTAATTGTCATATCCAAATCAGTTTGTTTAGTCATTCTGACATCTACACATAGCCTGAGTCCGGATACTGTCGCCAAGGACCACTACCATTGACATGTAAAAATAGTCCCTTTGCGAGAAGCTCAACATAGCACGTGGACAATGTATAATGTGGACAGTGATGAAGCCGACCATCAACAGATCAATATAAAAAAGATTTTGCACAAATAATTGATCAGCGATTCTGGTTTCAAACACAGTTTAAATAATCAAGGATGTAATTTACAGCCGACGCAAGGAGCAGGTGGCTCTTTACCAAGGTAAATATCAGCTCTCGGTTCCCCAGCAACGTTCAAGTATCCCACAGCACCTTTTTCAAGACGAAATATGGCATGGTCCACGAGAGTATATGTCCCAGGAACGAGCATCTTCATATCGACGATGGTAGAACCGCCTGGAGGAACACTGACTGTTTGCACAAACTGCCCAGGAGGGCTAACAACGTCGCCATCACGATAAACCTTTTCAAAGTTGCTTCCAATGACGTGAAACGAGCTTGTAAGATTTGGCCCTGCGTTTCCAAAGAATATGCGGACTTTCTCGTCCACCGAAGCTTTGAGAGGCTTGTCTCGTGTAAGGGCAGCCTCATGTCCGTTGAAGACAACGACGCTTGGTTTCTCACGCAGCGCATTCGGATACGAAAACTCCACCGTTGATGACGGTTTTCCATCTTCCTCAATTTCAGGAGGTTCGTGATAGAATTCGCTCTGCATCACATAGTACTCGCGATCCACTGGAGGGAGGTCCCCTTCGATTGGCTCGACATACATGAGCCCATACATCCCGTTGGCAATATGTACTGGCACCGGTGCTGCTGCACAGTGATAAAAGTACAGACCTGGGCACATGAGCCGAAATCTCGCTGTCTTCGTCTGACCTTCTTCTGCTGTCGTCAGCGCGGAACCTCCTCCAGGTCCGAGAAATGCATGGCAGTCGATGTTGTGCGGATTGCCGGTCTCGTCAATGTTCGTCAGCGACAGCTCTACCACATCCCCCACCCGAGCTCGGATGAATGGGCCAGGGACAGTGCCGTTGAAATTCCATTGTTCGTACTTGTGCTGACTTGTCAGTTGTTTTACCTTGGTGGCAGTTGTCAACGGCACTTGGAGGAGAACGGGATAGTTTCGAGTGATCGGTGGAGGGACATGTGGTGCATATGTGAGCGCCGCATTCTCCGTTGGAAGGTTTTCAATGCCTTTAAATCCTTCAGGGGTATCGCAAGGACTTGAGTGTAACTGCACTGCTTCATTCGTCTGAGGCGCCAGGGTTGGATCCGGTCCTCTTACTATTTTGGTCTGGCCAGAATCCAGGCAGACTGAGCCCCGGCACCGAGAGTATAGGACAATACTGAAGGTTATCAATGCAGATAGACCAAGAAAGTAACTTGGACGAATGTGACCTGTATGAACGTTTGCTCTCGTGTTAGGCTGGCCCGTCGAGATAAACCTGGCCGATGTGATTTTAGCTTGGAAAAGTGATGATGACGATGATGTTGCATGGCATAACGGTAGAACTTTATTTCTTAGAGCGCGGTGGTGCCTGGCTGCCACCAGACTTGGGAAGAGCCTCGATGTCACGCGCGTATAATTCATCTCTCTTTGCACATTGCGTTGACGAAGATCGACGGATGGTTTCTTTACTTCGAAGTGAAACGCGATCAAAGCGTAGCGAGCAAATTTGGCGCAAGCTAAATAAATTGGTCACTATGGGCGTTCAAAGGGCAAAGTATCCAGTGTGTTTCGCCCGTATATTCTGAACACCTTTAAAAAGCCGAAGTAATATAATACGTCATTGTTATGATCTGTCACATGACTAAAACAAACTGTGATCGTTCTCTGATTGGACTCAAGCTCAGATTGCCTGAGAAGAGGTTTCTTATGATTTTATTCACCGTGCTCTGCTTAGCATTACGACACGCTTTTTGACCGAAATCAGGTTAGGTGATCTTACGGGATCCTCAGATAAATATAAAGCTTTCTAAATTGCTATACCCCTAGATCCTGGCAATTTATGGGGTTTCTGACTAACCCGACAAACATAGAAAACATATCAAATATAGTTCTCAACCTCATTTCTGACATTTCTGCTTATGACGTTACCGAGACATAAAATCGATAAGACATTTGCCTTTTTGGCAGTGGCGGCAGTACCTGTGTAGTGCCTGATTCACAGGCATCATTTGTCGGAAATGAGGGATCAGCCTGTATATTAAACTAGTCAGCGCGCCATGATAAATTGCAATAATCAGGTCTTCGAACGCGGCCACCAGGCGGCAACTTTCGATAGTTCAATTAAATCAGAGACAGCTATACCAATTCTGGTTAGCATACATAAAAACCGCTTAAGTTTCTATCAATCATCACTATATGTAAGTACGTTAATTAACTTAATACAGAGGAAGGTTGACCGTCATTAGCTATAGAAAACATATCGCAATACAGTGTATATATGTGTATATGTGTGTGTGTGTGTGTGTGTGTGTGAAATCATTTACCCCGGGCCCGTTGCTGAGCGATATACAGGTTACCGCAACTACCTATATCCTTATATGTACATATAGGGTGTACCACTGCCTGCCAACGAACTTAGAGCCTCGTTAAGGCATTCTCTAGCCAATTGCCGTTTTTACTATTACGCTGTCCTCATGACGCGCGACTTTGGAACCGTTATGACGCGTCCGCAAAGCCCAGTACAGCCTCAACCGTGGTGGCTTCTAAGATCCCGAGTCTGAGCGCCCTTATTAAAGCGGCGGCAGCCTAAATAGGAAAACCCCACCCGCCAGGGAAAATCCGGTACACATAGATACATATTGTAGAGGGGGCTTATAAGAAATGGCGGTGTGAGCTAAGCTGAATACGTGTATTTAAGTGCTAGAAGCAAGAGATTAGAAGAATAACCAACCTTTCTCCTACCAATTACCCCTTGGCTTCCTTCTCCTACCTTCCGCTATTCAAGAACCTGCCCTGGTTTTGTCTGGTTCGCAGACAGACATTACCCGCGTCAATGACAGCGCACCCCACTACAATATATAAGATGACCTTGAGGCCATGCTGCTCGCCCACATAGGCCTGCTCTTAAAACAAGAACTCTGTTAATATACTATGTTTAGGAAAATGCCAGATAAAGGATCATTATTGTGAAGATGTTTATCTTCCTGAAGCATGGCCCTGGATCTATTTCTGGAATTAGTGTTAACTGACAGAAATCTGGCTGTATGACAACGTATGGACAAAATCAGATATATTGGAATCTCTAACTAACTAAAATGACAAAACCCGCGTTTTCAACAATCTGGGCGGACATAGATGACTAACTGTAATATGCACTTTTGTATGGTATGGATGGTACCATGTGTCACATGATATTCAGGGTATTTTACCCTGTTTCCACCATGTATTCAATCTTAGTATTCGACACACCCCCCAGCTTTTGGAGCTTGCTCCAAGAGCTGCCAATTCCTTCATTTCTGGCCTTTCTTCAAAACAGCCTCTGTTTTCTGGGATGACTAATCCCTTTTCTCGTTGATCAGTTGACTGATCTCTCTTTCTTTCAATCTCTCTTCTTGTTGATTAGATGACTGATCTCTCGTATACCGATCATCTCTCTGAAGATCGCCTGCTTCTGCTTCGGTAGTGGCTTCGTGAGGCCATCTGCCGGCATCTCTGTAGTAGGAACCCAGTCAATGTGAACTCGACCAGCGCTGACTTCCTGTCTTATCCAGCACCGATTGATATCCATATGTCGAAGCTTCGTATGCATACCCGCCCCTTCCTTTGTGAGTAGATCGACTGTCTGCTGGTTGTCACACATAATGGACAAGGGGTGATCGGGTTTGAATCCTAATGAATTCAGTACTCGGCGCCACCATTGTACGGTTTTGCCGGCTTCTGCAAGTGCGAGGAGCTTAGCTTCAGTGGTTGATGTTGTGACGGTCTTCTGTTTAGACGCTTTCCAGTTAATTGGACCGCCATATAACTTGCAGATATAACCCTCCGAGCTTTTCCTATCTTTGTTGTCTCCAAAGGAAGCATCGCTTGCGAATTTAACTGACTTCGCTGCTAGTTGTAAACTGTGGTTTGTATGGTTTTTATTATGTTTTTGTCTTTGATCTTGATCTTGATCTTTATCTCTGGTTCTATATTTAATGGCCTAGAACCTGGTTTCGTATAGATACTGAATGATTCTGTCGATGGCGTCGACATGTTTCGGACCAGGATTTGTGAGAAATTTAGCTACTTTCGACGTGGCTTTGGCGGCATCTGCTCTCGTTGTTATGGTAGAGTACTGTGCCGAACTAACCTTCTGTTGAAATTGGTGAATTTGATATGCTGAAGCCACCCCTTCGAAGGGTAGCAATGGTTTAGTGCTGCTCATTGGTGAGCCTATTTTTCTTTCTGTAACCAGGTTATACCTGGTTGCCATGCTTTCAATGTATGAATCCTGGTATAACCAGAGCTTCTTCTGTTTCCGGTCCCGAATAATGCGTATATTTAGGAACCAACTGGTATCTAGCTCTCTCAATTCCCACTGCTTTTTTATTTCTCGATCTAGATTAGCAGCCTTCTTTGTATAGACTGGATCTGGGTGGTTTGCTATAATGATATCGTCCATATAAAAGAAGACGATGATACTATCGGTAGTAAAAATGTAGGGATCTTCTGGGACTGGAGTAAGCCCTAGTTTTACTAGAACCCTTGTTGCTTCTTGTTGCCACAGTCTGGGTGACAGACGTAGGCCGTACAATGCTTTATGGAGCAGCTAGTAATAGCCTGGTTTTTTAAAGCCTGGCGGGCACTTGGTATAAACCTTAGTTTGTAATGCTGAATTCAGAAATGCAGTAACAACATCTCTCTGCACTATGTCAAGGTCGAATGCTGCCACCAATGCAAATATAGCTCTCGCAGTTTTGACGGCGAGGGTAGCAGCTCTCTTTTCTTCTGTAGATAGCCACTGTAGATCTCCTCTCACACAGATTCTAGCTTTGTATTTTTCTAGGTAGCCATTAGCATCAAATTTGTAGGTAAATACCCACTTTAATGGTAAGACCTGTGTCCCTTTTGTATTCGGCGTTGGGACAAGACTGTATGTCCCTTTCTTGTCTAGTGTCCCGACTTCGAAGCCAGCTGCCACTTTGAATTCCTTGCTATGTGGATGGGCTTCCAATTCTGTCCAGTTCTTTGGCTCTGGTGGCAATTGATCTCTATGAAGCTTGTTATTCTGGTTGAATCTTGTTCTAATGCTTGTTGTAAAAGCATAGAGTATGCCAGATGGGTCTTCTTCTTCATTGTCGTTTCCTCGGTTGTTGACATCTACTAGAGATAGATATGTTGTATAGTCGTTGTCCACCCTTGGTTTCCTGTTTCTTCTTCCACTTCCACCCCCCTAGTTTCGATCGACGGTATCACTGAGATCGGATCTGGCGACGATGAAGGCTCGTTTTGGGTATATATTGATGGAACCGGGGTCGTATTCGATGGAATCGACGGCGATGGTGATGAATTTGATGAATTCGGCGACGGTGAGGTTGTTGGCAACGGTGAGGTTGGTGGCAGAGGTGGAGAGGATGGGATATCTGCTGGAAAGCTTCCTGGCAGGCTATCTATGCTTACTTGCTCTCTGTTTATTGATCCTAACATTGACTGTGGGGTCAAAGGAAAAATAGCATCTGTTTTTGAAAAGGGCGCCAATGGCGTTATCTCCCTGGTTTCTGTATCTCCATTTTCTTCAACCAGCTCTGCCTCGCCGGCGTCATTTCTGGCATCCTCGCCTTGTTTAGTATGCTTAGTTTGTTCGTATAGTGCGATCCTCGCTACTGACATAGGCATCTTCAACCTAGTACTTAGTTCAGCCTGGGCTTCTTCCATGGTGAGCACTATAGGCCAATTGACAATCCTATTAATGAGAGTGCTGACCGCGTCTTCTTCTGTAGGGATCGGCTTGCTAGGTGAGTACCGGCGGGATTCATTAACGATAGCATCTCTAACGACGTCTATCCTTCCTATACCGGTTGCTCTTCCTTTCTGCGGGAACCATACTTTATATAGGTTCTTCGAGATATATCCTATAAGATAGCCGATCTCTGCTCTTGGTGCCATTTTATCTGACTGCACTCGCTTGATAATTCGTGAATATACTAAGCTGCCGTATATCCTGAGATTTGACAAATTGACGGTTTGAATTCCATCTGGCGCGGCATATTTCATAAGCTCTTTCTAAGGGATGATCTATTGGTTGTTCATTTTTGTCGGGGTACGGTTTAGTATATATGCCGCTGCATACATAGCTTCCGGCCACAATTTAGGTGGAAGATTGGTGTCTTGGATCCAGACCCTTGCCGTCCTAACGATTATACTTCTAGATCTCTCGGCTGGACCGTTCATTTCTGGTAAGCCGGGTGGTGAATGTTTAATGGTGCACCCTTTAGCTTGGATTATGAATTCAACTTTATTACCAGCACTTCTTTCGTTATCATAGTGGAAGACTCTAATCTCAATCTTCAGCCAGTTCTTGATCAATGCTAAGAACCGCCTAACTGCCATCTGATAGTCGTTTTTCTTGACGTGAGTGAACACAAAGTGGTATCTAATACTATCTAGGTAAAAATGCGTCAACCAGATATGTCCGTTATATGCTGGTTTCAATTGAACTAGATCGAAGTGCACCCTACCGAGTACACCATATGTCTGTCCAATTCGGCGTCGAGATATCTGTCTAGGTGCATCTGCTAACTGGCAAGCTTCACATACCTGCTTCTTAGGGTTGCTTCCAGTTATAATGATGCCCTCTGTCATCTCTGCTAATTTAGCAATACGCTCTGGTCTAATGTGACCTAGGCGTTTGTGCTATGTTTTAAAAGTAGCCTCTGTTTTTGGCTCTTGTTCCGATTTCTTAGTGGTAAAAGCCACTTCTTTTTCCGGCTCTAAAAGCTAGGGTAGGTTTTGATCTTGATAGATGCTAAATACTGGCTTTCCGCCATCGATTGTTTTAATGCAGTTATTCCTGAAATTCATCAATACCCCCCCCTTCATTATCAATCCATGGGATATCAGATTACTATGGAAATTGGGAGAATATCTGGCATTCTTAAGCTCCATCTTGATAGGTTTCCCGTTGGCTGGGCTGACTCTATAGATGACTATAGTGCTAACGCCGTCTATTTTCGTCTCTGTGTCTCCCACCCGGACGCTGCTTTGTGCATTTACGAAGGTTTGAAATAACCGACGATCATTATATATGTGCACTTGCGACCCGGTATTAACAACCCATCTTTCTTTTGCTAGCTTTATGCCGTTTTCTTGGGTGGAGAGAGCTTTGGTTTGAAGAGCTTCTTTCTGTATACTCCTGGCTGGAATAGCATCTGTTGTGAAGAAGCTGAAGTTATCGATTTCGAAGGTTGCATTTGTATGCTTTGACTTTCCTTCCTCCTGTCTTTTCTTTTTAATGAAGGCTTTCTAGGCTGGGTTTGTATTGATGACGGCGTTATACTTTTTCTTAGCACCTAGGTTTGGCTTATATGTTGAAGGACGGTCGTCTTCATAGACGTCCCAGCATCTCCATGCAGGATGCCTACCAAGATTTCTACTATATGGGCATCGTTTCTTAGATATAGGTATGTCTTCCTGCCTAGCTTCATGCTTAGCTTCTTTACCCTTTGTTGGTTTAGGCTTTGCTTCTTCATGGTTTTGCTAGGTTGAGAAAGCCGCTTTCGATATATTGTTCTTTTGTGAACTTTGCTTTGCGTGGGTGATCGACTAGTGAGCTTTATACCGAGTAATAAGCTCACTGAATTCAATCGCCCCTTTGTCTTCGAGTCTCAATATCCATGTTTCATGGAAGCCAGGTGACATAACTGATATGGCATCTAGGAATTGAGTGCTAGCATCCTTTGCTTCAGTGATGCCTACCTTCGCACAACGAGCATGAAGGGTTTCCCAGTTTAATAGCCACATATTGATATCGGTATTTCTATCTAGCCCTCGGTCTAGATTTCTCCATTGGTGGCGAAGCTTTGTAAGGTATGTTGGATCGCAGTCTGGTGAGAATCTCATCCTCAGTTTTCGGAGCAGTTCATATGCTGAATCCTGAGAGATAATGAAGGCTTGGAAACTTGGGTTGATACTATTTCGTATAGCTGTTACCACAGTGCTTAATCCTCTCTTTTTCTTCAGATATTTGTCGTCTTCGCTCTGCCAAATCATCTGCTTCGCCTTTAGGGTTTTATACCAATCTTGATTCTGTTCTTTTGCTTTCTTTTGAACTTCTTCAAGATCTGGTTGTTGAGGTTGTATTAGAGCAGCTGGCTCTTTTTCTTGTGAAGGATCACATAGCTCCCAGACGTTGAATTGATCGGCAATTCCTCTGATGTTGGCAAGCCATGGTTCCCATGTTGTTGTGTCTTGCAGGATGACGCGGGCAGAGGCCGCGGAGAGAGTATAATCTGCCATTCGTTGTCTTTTTCGTAGACAGAAATCCGGTTTTTCTTCGATTCAGGGGTTGCTTCGACGGTGGGTGGTTGAACTTTCAACTCAGCATTGACCGACGACAGCGAGGTTTATTGATCTTAACAAATATAGATCATATTATTGAACGATTCCGGGCTCATAACTGACAGAAATCTGGCTGTATGACAACGTATGGACAAAATCAGATATATTGGAATCTCTAACTAACTAAAATGACAAAACCCGCGTTTTCAACAATCTGGGCGGACATAGATGACTAACTGTAATATGCACTTTTGTATGGTATGGATGGTACCATGTGTCACATGATATTCAGGGTATTTTACCCTGTTTCCACCATGTATTCAATCTTAGTATTCGACATTAACCCCCGTATAAATGATCGACAGGTTCAACGGCCCTAATATAGTAATATTTCCGGACGATCCATCTCGTATATTTTGAGCCGAGACTCGGGCTGAGCCCCTACTTCTCTGGACATCTCGTGTTCATGGGGACAAAGAAGCACGAAGCACATGTGAGAGATGCAGGACATGTACCGGGAGCAACAGGAGGGGCAGGTTCCTAGCCCTCCTGGCCTTTCTGTATCTTGCGAAGGATAAGTACGGGACTATATTTTTGCTATCTGTGAGGTACCTCGAGATGGACCTTTCATATGTGATGTGATGTTGTGCTTGATGCTGATGGTGGAGCTGAAGTAGATTTTGAGTTTTGTCAGAGAGAATTCACGATGTATGTGCTATATATATTGCGCTATAATATTTTTAGTGCCCCAGACACTGAGAGTATAGCAAAAATCGATTGATCCTAATAGAAACCACCTAGCCAATGCAGCTTCTACGTGTACATAGTCCAATATAGAAACCTTTGGGGTATGGGATTGGTCTGCATAGATTAATCCTAATGGCAAACATCGATATTCTTGAAAGACTAACATGTTGTCATTATCCTACATCGGATAATTCATTTTCAGTTATCAACAAGAATAGCCGGCCGCTTTTGCGGCATTGTGACGTCCTTTTGGTTAGTCTCTTTGGTAGTCTTTCTTTATAAGTTGTCTTTTTTTTAGATATCTTCTTCCCCTTCCCAGGTTTTCTGGGTAGACGGCGGAGACAGGCGGAAAATGGCTTGAAAGTTGGAAACGACTTTTCTACGTATAACGTTTGATTGATGATCAGTTGCATTTCACTTCAACACGGTCCGAAAAACAAAATAAATAAATAACTAAATAACTAAAACAGAACGCTATTACCAGAGGCATGCTTGACAGTAGCAAAGTTCTTACATGCTTACAATCCCGAATTAATATCCCACTTATCCTTGATATGTTGGAGCCACTCGCCAACCGGGATGATCTCCTCGCCAACCAGGACGTTACCCTCACCAACTCTCTGGCGCTGGGCGGCATCGTATGGTGGAACATGCAGCATTTCGTGATCCTTGTCACACATCTTTTGTTCGAGGGTCCCTTCGCGTAGCTTGGTGTAACAGGGCTCGTCAAACTCCATATAGTCGCACTCTCTGCACATATAAATATTATCTGCGTACGGGAAAGAAGTACCGCAGCCATCACAAGCATCCCACAAGGGCCCCTTGCGTTGCTTCAATGTTGCCTCGGCCTCCGAGGTATCTGAACTGATCTGCGTGTCGTCATATGGAACAATCAACGACCAAGCGGCGAGGCAGTCTGCGTCCTGGCCCGCGAACATGAGATATCTCGCCAAGCCCTGATATCCCTGCCAGTCATTTGACAGATCATCGTCAGATAGAATGTCGATATTCTGTTTGATATGCGTACGCAGGGCATCTTTCGCCTTTTGTTCGTCGCCTTGAAGCGCGTGGTATCGTGCGATAAGTTCTGTTGGATAGGTTTTAGAGCGCCCCACGCTGTATGTTGGCTTGAATGTGGCCAGCTGGTCCAACTTCTCCAGGTAGGTAGCTGCAGTGTTTTCGTCCCGCATCGCCTCATGGAAGCAGACGTTCGCGAGCTTTGTACATACGAAGCCTTTGGTGACTAAGACGAACCTTTCGCTGGGGGTTTCCTCAATCTGTAGGATGTCTACCCACTGGTCAATGGCAAATTGCCTGCGCTTGACGTTCTCTGAGCTATTATTGTAGCAAAGTTGTGCAAGGTTGTGCATGAGAAGCGCTTGGCAGGCCCGATGGAATATTTCTTGGTCTGTGTCGCCCTTATCGGTCGCCTTGGCGAGCTCCTCTTTAGCAGCAACAATGGCTACTTGGTAGCTTTCAAATATAGCATCGAAGGTCTTGCTATCGGATACCAGAGTGAGGATTGCCTCGTGATACTCGTCGTTGGCGTAGTGCTGGTGGAACGTCCGCGTTCGCCTGTCTAGACCGGTTGAATCGTCTATGGAGGCCTTGAGCGAATCAAGGAATTTGAGCAGGCCCTCTGAGTTCTTCTCTTTGTGGAAGCATATCATCATCTCCAACACCACGTCGTAGTCATTGGGGTCATGCCGCAGCATTTCCTCGTATATCGCAAAAGCCTTTTCGCTATTACCCAACTTCTCGTTGTACTTTGCCATATCGCGGTCCAGTTCTACCAACCCCCAATCATCATCGCGTCTGTCGCCACGCTTGATTGTATTCTTTGCGGCCTCTATCATCTCAATCGCAACCGCGTACTCCTTCTGGCAGGAATATAAGGTCGCAAGACCCCATTGCGAGAGCCAGTTGTATTCCTGGAGCGAGCACGAGAGTTTGAAATATTGATTGGACTCTGTGTATTTTTCGTACTCTCTGAATGTGCGCGCTAGGTTGCGGGTCTCCTCATATCCTAGACTATCCAGTCCAAGCTTCTGTCGAGCCCATTCAGCGGCATCGGAAATTTGGGAAGCGTCGACAGTTTCGAGTGTCGGGTCACTGGTTGATCTTTTAATTTGGGGGTTTTTGCGGTTCTCAATCTGATGAATCAATTAGCTGCAAGTCTTCCAATGTCAGAACAGGTGTGATATGACCAAGGACATACCTTTGTGATATATCCATGAATTGCAGCAAAGCAGCTGGCAAGATCCTCGTTATCAGGACCCGATTGCAACCAAACACGGGCGGTAAATTTCGCCATGTGCTCCAGAATATCTGCATCAGGCTCGGACTTGGAACTCAAACTTTTCACCCATTTCCTTTCATCATCAGGGATGTTTTTCGTCACCGCAGAGTCTTGAAGCCACTTCAACGCAACTTCAGCATATTCGTCCCCGTAGATCCAATCATGCCGTGGCCAGTGATCAGTTGGGTTCCACCATTTTTCAATTGTCTTTTCGTCTGTGAAGAGAGTGACCAACTGCGGACCAAGAGCCACCTTGTGTTGTGGTTGCGTCAGTGAAGGGTCCGCTTGCTTAAGATGATCGGGGAAATAATAAGACGCGTAAATGAGCAGAGGTTTTAATTCTGGAGATTCCTGGTGATGAATAACTTCCAAGCACGTTGACAGGATACTTAAATGAGCAGTGTCAATGTCAACACCGACCAGGGCCGTTTTTCCTTTGAGTTTCCGCTGGAAGAACTGTTCGAATCCAAATCTGGAGAACAGCTTGGGATCACAGACCGACTCCAAGAACCGACGGACGATCCTGACTTCGACTTCGGTGATATCGCCACTAAGGTCTAGGTCTGGTGCATCTTCGGCGTTATCGGACTCATCCTTGTTCCGTAGAAACTCCTCTATTGAGTCGGAGACTAGCAACACGTTCGAGTCACTTGGGATGATTTTAGTCGTAGGATGCGGTTCTCCCATGATCCGTAGGAGGGAGGAATATTGGTCGGTTATCTTTTCCGCCAGAGGCCGAAGAGAAGATTCCCCAGCCTTCAGGAAGAGGACTCCCTCTAGGGATCTCAGAGATCGGGGCGAAGAGGAGAAGACAACCCATGTGAGGAGAATATTCAGGTCAGAGATGTCTTCTTCGCTGAGTGTCTCGTTCAGGAGTTCAATCTTTCTCGCGATGGTGTCGGATCTCTTGCCTCCCGAGCGGGATAAAATATCCCTGATCTCACCAGGCCGCTGCTTTCCGCTGATCTCATGCAGCAGGAGGCCAATGTTGACGAAGTCGCCATGGGTCTGGGTCTTCAAATTTTGTAAGATGTCGCGTCGAAGAGAAAGTACCTGATCCGACGAGCCACTCAGAATCTCCATCTTGTCCATGCGGTCAATAATGAACTTCTCTACATCATCATTGTTTTCGGATGTCACATCGATTGTCGATAGTCCTCCCCCAAGCCAACCTTTAACTTTACTCATTGTCTCATTCCGTCCAGTGATAACAATGCGGAGGTTAAATTGTGACCAGGTTTCAGAGGTAGCTAGTAATTTCTCCAAAGCCTGGACAAACTCCTTCAGTTCGCTCTTCTCTATCTGGTCAATGCCATCCAGGAGTAGGAAGAAGGTTGAGTCGCTCTTGTACGACTTGGAAAAGAGAACGTCCCAAAGATTTCCTATCTGGTTGACACCAGTTGCTTTCACAGAGCTCACATCTTTGCGGTAAACAATATCCTGGTTGGCGACCTGCCACGCGAGGACCTTGAGGGCCTGGACCAAGGATATTTGTTTTTTATCTTTGTCAAAGATATGGTAGGCAGTGGAGATGCACCTCATATCATTTTCAGACTGAGATTGTGCTTCTTGTAGGTATTTGGTGATGCTCGCAAAGAGGAACGATTTGCCATGTCCCTCGTCCCCGGAGATGCCCAAGATCGAAAACGACGAATTTTCGGGGGTCGCCCACGCCGTATACAGTGGATCGCTCCGAAGCCACTCTCCGCTCCCCTGAACTTTGTCAGCCAAGAGAAGTCGCAGAGTCTTTTGAACGACTTCGAAAGCCTCCCTAGGATTGTCGAGACTGGAATCGATACTCTCCAGCAGCTTCTTTGAGGCAGTATCTGCATCTTTCTTGTTCTCAAAGTTGAGCAGCTTATCGACTGCCGCGTTGATTTTTCTGGTGCCATCCCTGCTCTCAATAATGTTTCTCTCGCTAGTCTTCTGCGACTCGAACCCTAGTGTTGCCCGCATCTGAGACTCGCGCTCAACTAGGGTGGCTAGGTGAGCCAGCTGGTCGCTCACGCCTTCGTCGCTGCCGAGGGTAAATACCTTGAGCGCGATGAAGATCTTGTGCCCCTTGAGAACTTTGATCGACAACGCACAAATGTCGACAAAACATACTAGCTCATCATTGATAATCTTGCGGAGGGCGACGTCGACCGCATCTGCGGGCAAGCGCATATAGATCTTACAGCGCTCTAGCACGTCGGAGATGCGGCAGAATAGCTCTGCCAGGCTGCTGAAAATGCGTTTGAATTTCGCTCCAGCGTCAACTAGATAAGAAATTGCATTGAAGCAGAGATCAGCGGGCGGAAATAGCTAAGTCATGATTATTAGAAACCCCACTGTTGAAGGTACTGGTTACTCACCATGCTTGCGCCCTGGGCAGCGATCCCACCCAGAAGCATGACAAATTTCAATGTCTTGCCAATCGCATCTTTTGCAGCCCTGTATTTGTTGTTTTTCTCATCATCGTCATCTTGCTTTGCACGAATTTGATCAAGGACTTCGTCAACAGAGAATTTCGGCGCTGTAGTGAGGTCGACTGTGGTTGTCTGCGCAAAGGACGTGCACGCCTTGTCCCATGCCTCTTGCAAATTATACTCGCCCTCGTCTTGAACCGTAGCCATTGGATGATATATCGGGCTTGGATTGGTCCGAGTCAAGCACGAAATATTCGTTGCCTTTTTCCAACTTCCTGGTTCTTCTCTTTGTCAATGGGAAACTTGGGAAAGATGAGATTGTGAATGGCGTAATCTTAAATATTACATTGGGGCGGCTGAAAACTCGACCCCAGCGAAAAGCGGCCGGGGTATTCCTTGGAGAGGGGTCCGGCCTTTCCAATCCAATGGCCATTTTAGATGTGTGCGTATCTGCTGACAGCAAGAGCATACATAACCTTAAAAGTATGCGCCCGATAGGTTGTCCAGTGCCGTTGAGGTTTCCACTTTCCTGTCGATGCTAGCCCGAATTGGCTTCATGCAGGACCTATACGAGGCATCCACCAACCGTGTAAGTAATCGACCGTATGAACCCGGTCTCCACAGGGATTACCGGCTCATTTATCAAGACCAGCAGTGAGTTTCCAGGTGGAACGAACTCTCTAGGATAGATTGAACATGACTCGCTGCCATATTTAATTCGTAGCTGAACTGATGTTTGATTTTGCCTCGCGGTATGAACGGGCCATCCCGAGCGCTCTCGTATTAGACCCACCTTGCTGGAACTGAGGCCTGTTTTGTCAGGCCTACACATGAAGAAATGAATCTTCGAGCGCTCCAATGATCTGAAAATTTAAGAATATTAGGAAAAGTCCGATTGCATGTCTGGGTGGCAATGTTTTCGGACTTCGATGTTCCAATCCAAGATATGATCCAAGTCTGGACTACGTCGATTGTCCTCCAGAGAACCGCACTGGTCAGCACTGTGAAAAGGATTAACAATCCATGGGTGATTCTGCAGTTGCCTAATGTGTTCGATTCTCGAAGTCCCATCGTCAAGCCAAAGGCCATCATCGTAATGTCTGTGCCAATTGAAAAGGCGAGAGGTCGCGCTCCAGGATTGGTTATCTGCATCCTCGCACTCTTGGGATTGTCAATACAGAGCAACAAACATTCAATTAGCTGCACCTTACTTTGGAAGATTCGGATAGCTATATCCGAGCGTGTCAAGCCCATCTCTTTCATTGTCGTAGAGCGTGAAACCATCTCTGTCGACAAAACATTGCGCAATCCGAAAAACACCAGATTCAAGCTTGAATTGTTCGCTCGCTCGAATCTTTTCGCCTGAGCAGAACCCAGAAATTTGCCCATGACTTAGGCATGTGTTTGTGTTCGCTGTGAGCATAAATCTCAAGACTGATGTTTTTCTTCGCTGTAAATCCAAAAGGAGGGGCGACACTCCACGGCACCGGGGCGTCTGGTCGGCAATAGAAAGAGCATCTGGAACTCTTCCACTCGGGAAATTGGTGACTTGGTCACATAATCGGGGTGATACATCACTTGTAGAAATGTTTGCATTGTATTTGTCCAAATGGCAGAAACAAGGCAGATGGGGGGTAGTGCTTGAGGGACATGTTTAATAGTGGGGAGGCCTGGTCAATAAGTATAACAGAATACAATAAGATGCTCAACTGGGGTTTTCTCCATGAAATCGTATCGAGCAGTTTCTGATAATCCTGTTTAGCAGGTGTGAGAGCTTTTGTGATACCTAAAGATGTAGATCCAACTAAGTTGCACGGGATAGTTGGATCAAAAAATGCACTGCAGAGTAATGAATCAATGGCATTTTGGGTAGCACTTAGGTTGATCTATTTATCAATTGTTCGGAATAAGTCATGGAATGCGGCAAGGTCTTTTGTAAAGGGGTTTGGGTTCGGGGGCCGAGAAATTATTATGCGTGGAGATAATTTTGGGCTAGGTATATTCCGCGATAGAAGCAGCAAGACAGAGGCAAATCCAACCATCATTTCTCTTTCGAGACCACCTGAAACGCAGAAATCCAAGAGAATATTAAAAGCAGCCGATGAATCTGGCAATGACGGAACCCATTCGTAGCTGCTTTTGCACTATATGAGTAAAATTACATAAAAGAGAATGTGTGCTGATTTAGATACCTTTCTTTGTAACTTTTAGCGTTGCCTCGTAGCATCCACGGCGAGTATAAGCTAGCCTGTCCTCTCTTCACGCGAGCTAGCTAGTGACCTTGTGTGATGACTTCCCAGAAGTTCTCAATCATCGAATCGCAATCGCCACTTTTATGGAAAAGGGCACACTTCTTCGATATTCGCTTTGTAGACAGAGAGCAGCGGAAACCCAAGACATTGAAGACATTGGAGATAATCGATAGGCTTCCACTGTTGGCGGCAGTTGGGGTGATCTGTAGTTTGTAGATGCAAGGATGACCGTAGGACAAGCAGTTACATTTTTTCCACCTGTCAAGGCGATGTTCTCGGGAGGTTCGTGGAAGAAAGGGGGGACATTCTTCACCAGACCTAGAAATGCCTCCAAATGCATGTCTAGAGAATTAATTTCTCCATCATGCCTGGATGCTGCTTGGCTCCAGGATTCTAGACTGGCCTGGCGACATGATTGGAACTCATTCTCTGGCGGACAAATACCGTCACCAGGGTACCAATTTTCATCATCACTAGCTGGGGAATTCGGTACGGAGGTCGACTTCTCTAGGTCGTAGTCTTGAATGGGATGGCTGTGCTGGCTGTGCTAGCTGTGCTGGCTTTGGGATTCCGGTGCGTCCATTTTCTTTTCTCAATGAGAGACTTGACGAAGAAACTAGAAATCATGAGAGACCGACAGGGTGCAATATAGAGGCGGTGAGGTGGAGAGCTTGGGGGTTCTGGGCACCCAGAGGCCCCTGCCGCTGGGTGCCTATTTTCAGCTGGGTGAAACCCCAATCGTAGCGTACTAAAAATTTGACAGCAGTAGTATGGGGCATTCATTGTTTCCCGCAAATGTTTGTTATTCTAGTTGTAGGGAATTTGTAGTCCAGTCGCGTGAAATTCTAATATATATCTGGTACATTTCCGTATAAGAGGCGGCTGGATAATCTAGCAATAAAACTTCACTAGGTAGATGACTTTATCTAGTATGAGCTCTTTGTTAAGAATTACCGACTCCCTAAAGGGGGAGTTGTGGGGGGGAGGAGAGGCCGTTCTGATACGCTTGAATAAACTGTTGCGAGTCTCCTAAAAGGCTTTTAGGCCGGACTCATAGACAGCGCGAACCGTATAGATAAGGCTGTTGCTGCGGAAGGTTGCCCCAAGCGATCGACACAGCACCCATTTTGAACATTATTCTCATGGTATTAGAGATAGCCAAAACAACAGGGCGCTTTTATATGTATAACTTATGCAAGTCACGCTTTTGCTAGTGTTTGCATTGCTTACAGTGCTGAAGCATGTCAAGCCCTATTAATGAAAATCAATGGGAGTTCTCAACAGAAACCAGAGGCCATCGCCATGATATTACTATGTCTCGTATTAAATATTTAAAACCTCACGAATCATGGCACAGAGCGACGACGCAGCCGGTTCCCTCATCATGGTGAAATGATTGGCATGCTTTATCGCAAAGGTACTGATATTCTCGACGCCGATGAACTCGTCCCACCCGTTTGGTCCAAAGTCGCTTCTATTGTCCAGAAGCCAGTTCATGCCACGAGGATCGTCAGGCTGTGTTTCGGGGCGTGAGTCGTCCGGATTCTTGCACACTCCGTCCCTGGCCCAGATGATGGTGGTTCTAGGCGCCGAGTCGGGCTCGAAAGGCTGAGGAATGTACCGGTCCAGTGCCTCGATGAAGACGCAGAAGTGCTGGAAGAGCCAGTCCGGCGGGGCGTGGGCCTCCTCGCCCATCTCGAAGGCGCCGAATATGCCCGAGTTCTCTAGGAAGTCGTACATGCGCTTTGGAAGCTTGCCGAGGCCGATGGGGTTAGGAGAGTCAATTAAGGTGAGACTCTCGACAACCTCACCCTCGGCAACGAGCTGCCGCGCGGCATCAAATGCCGAGACGCCTCCTGCCGACCAGCCAGCAAGGTGGTATGGACCATGGGGCTGGCGTCGACGGACCTCGTTAATGTAGGAACCGGTAATGTCCTGGAGAGCGCAGTTAAACTCCCGCGGCTTTGTGAGGTACGGGCTGTTTAACCCGATGACCCGCAAGTTGGGCGAAATTGGCGGCAGTGTGACATAGGAAGTCGCCGAGCCAGCACCATCAGGAAACAAGAAGATGGTCTTGGAACAGTGTTTTGTCCCCTGCAGCAAGGTGGATGTCGATCGAGGAATCTCATGGACAACAGGCTTGATCTCGTCGTGTATAAAATCAATAGAAGGATTCTTTCCTAATTCGGCGGGTATTTCGCCATTCGTACTTGGGGTTGTGGAGGCAGCCCTAGATGTGGCGCTTTCTGTCTCCGATGCGGAGCTTGAAAGGCTGTCGTCAGTGATGCCTGCAAAAACGGTGATAAAGCGTTTGAAGTCCTTGACCGTAGAGCACTCGTAGAACTGAACGGCTGGAATATCCAAGTCAAGCTCCTCGCGGAAGTTGCCCAGAATGGTCAACGACATGAGCGAATCCACCCCCAAGTCCGCCAAGAAAACAGAGTCAGTAAGCTGAGCCAGGTCAACCCCAATCTCATCAGCAATAATCACCAGCGCCTTCTCAACAAGACCGGAGCAAACATCAACAGGCGGCTCCACTTGGTCAGATGGTGAAGCCAAGCCAGAACTGTGCTTGGTGATGAACGGGAGAGCTGGCGGGTTATAGCTAGCAGGGTCAGGAGCAGCGAGCTTGGTTGTCTTGGCCTTGTCTGTCAAAGGGTTGGGAAGAAGCATTTCCAAGACCTTACAAGAAACCTTCTTGAAGGTAACGCCCCCACAGATGGCAATGATGTTGCCATCACGAAGAACATGCACATCACCACTATAGGTGGAGTCGTCAGAGCCAACAGCCTGCATCTTCACATGCGTCTGATAGTGCACGCCACACTGGTAGGGCTCGGCCAGGTGCAGGTAGCGCCACCCGTGGTTGACATAAACGTAGCCGTCAAGGTCTAGGGTATCGCTGCAGTTCATGATAAAGCCCGTGAGGTGACCCAGGCTGTCACAAATGTATGGATTGAGGGCAAACTGATCATTCCCGGAGGGCAGGAAGACCTTTGCAGTACCCTCGAGGCCCGCAGTATCGAACCAGACCTGCTGGATACCCTGGAAAGCAGGCCCGTACTGCACCGCGGTAGAAAACATCTTGTACAGCATACCACGGTGCATCATATGGGCAGAACCGCCACCAACCCCTTGAGTAAGTTGCGCAACACTTCTCTCGATGAGATACAGGTGGCTCTGCCAGCTCTCGCGGTATTTCTGGCGGTCTTCGATGACGACATCACATACTGCATGAAGAGTCGCTTGTTTTCCAAGCTCGTTCACGCTGTAGACCTGCATTGAGCCGTACATGCTCGTCCAGCTCACCTCCAATGATGCCCTAAGCAGTTGGGGGCCGCTCTCGTTCACAATGAGGGCTTTCTCAACAGCCATGTTATTGATAGCGGGAATGTAAGCATTCATCTCGGGCCCACGACTCTCAATGAGGTGTTTAGCCATGGTGAAAGCCACGTCGGCAAAGAGAGTCTAACAAGCGGAACGAACGTCAGCATTTCAGTTATGTGGAGAGAGAGAAAAAAGGAGTTAGCTTGGACTCACCGAAGGAGCCATAGTCAACCCGTTCACACGATGGTTCTGCGTAATCCTTAAGAGAGCCGGGTCGTGCATGTCGGACTGAATTGTAATGGAGCTTCTCTTTGCGCCAAGAGTCTGTTCAACGACATCGTGAACGGAGTCGCTTAGCCTGGTGGATTTTGACTGCACGGGCATGGCAGCAGCTGAAGGGGCCTCCACTGGAATGTCACCCTTAGTTAGGCACCAGCTATAATTGTACTGCATCCAGTGGTTTGCAAGTTGCCAGCTGTACTTAGGAAGAGAGAGCACCTTGCGAGAAGACGCAAAGTCGCGGTGATATTCATCCCAGTTAACAGACAATCCGACGAGGTGAAGAGCGCATAGCGAATCCGCCAGAGTTCTAAAGAAGTCCTCCTTGCGACGGAGGGAAGCGCAGCATCGGAGGTCTTGTCCGATGATAGACTTGACCATCCTTGTGAGGATCGGGTGGGCTCCGATCTCAATGCATATGCCAGCCCGGTCCATTATACCGTCGGTCTCGGCCATCTGAATGGCGCCAAGTAAATCGACAGTTTCACGGCAGTGGCGTCTGATGTACTGTGGCCCAATCATGTCACCAGAGGTGACCACCGCACCCAGCAAAGTCGAGACCATTGGCAGTACCTGGTCGCGGAATTCCACGCGCGAAGCCAGCTCTTCGAGCTCGTCGAGAATAGGATCGACCTGAGAAGAGTGAAAGGCAAAGGGAACTTCTAGCCTGTGAAGCTTGTAGCCTACCTGGGTGAGAATCCCACAGAGGGCATCAATATCGGCATTGGGACCGCTGAGGACAGTATCCTGCATGCCGTTGATACAAGCAACCTCAACCAGCATGTCAGAAGGAATCTGTTGTCTTAGCTCATCCGCTGCTGCCTTCACGGCAATCATCCCATGCGTGTTGGCTGTACATTTTCTCTCGAGGAGAGCCGCTCGGTGGCCGCAAAGGTAGATAGCATCATTGACACTGAGAATACCCGACAACTGAAGGGCGGCATACTCGCCTAGGCTGTGACCAATAACATACTGCGGCTTGATGCCGAGATTCATCCAGAATCGGGCCAGGGAGATTTGGATAATGCAGGTACCGAGCTGGACAACGACGGCAGAGAGTTTCTCAACCGGAACCGTCCCGTCGACCAGTGGCAGAATGGAAGGCAGGCCCTGGAATTTCGCGATAGAGTCGAGTTCGTGAATGTCAGACCGGAATGAGGAGAAGTTTTTGTAGTAGCCGTTGGCCATGGCAGTTTCCTGGGCTCCCTGGCCGGTGAAGAGAAAGCCGACTTTTGGAGGTACTGCGGGGATCCCCTTGATTTCGGCAGCAACGCTCGCCGCCGCGGAAATAGACCGCCGCAGGTCTTCCAGGCCGTTGGTGACGAACGCTACGCGGTGGCTGTGGTGCACGCGACGAGCGGTGGTTGTGTAAGAGAGCTGGGAGATTAACTCACTCTCTGGGGCCCACGAGTTGGCAATGAAACCTTCTAGAGTCTTTAGGTTTTCCTCTAGGGCCTTACTGGACCGTGCCGAGACCAACACTGTATAGTCCGTTCGCGTGTCCGCGGCTTGGTGGTGTTCGAGTTCAGAAGCTGTAGGGCCATCCTCTAGCAACAGCGAAGTGTTTCCACCTGCCGCAGAGAAGTTGTTGATTAACGCAATCCTCTTGCCGTTCACAGGACGAGGCCAGTCCTCCTCATGTCCCAATGCGATATGCACACCACGGAAATCGAGATCCGTAGGGAAGCTATGGTTGATCTTGGTCTTAATGCCACAATGAGGGGGGATCTTGTTCTTCTGCATCATGAGCAGGACCTTGATGACTGCAATGACCCCTGAGGCAGACTCGGCATGTCCGATGTTGGCTTTGACAGATCCTAGATAGAGGCCCTTATCCCGGGGACGACTGTGGTCGAAAGCAAACGAATTAAGTACTGAGCGCATCTCCACGGCATCCCCGGCTTGAGTTCCCGTTCCGTGCATCTCAACGTAACTGACATCGTGCGGGTGGATTCCGGTCTCGCTCAGAAGCTTCTTGAACAAGTACTCTTGTGCGTCCGCCAAGGGTCTAGTAATTGAAACGGATTCCGCCGAATGGTTGGTGTGCGCACCCAAGATAATGCCAAAGATGGGGTCGTTATCCGCGATGGCATCCGGAAGTCGCTTGAGGATGAGAGTCCCAACACCATCGGCTCGACAGTAGCCATCAGCACTATCATCAAATGCCTTGCAGTTTCCCGTCCGCGAGAGAAAGTGCCCACGGTCGAGGCCGGCAAAGTTGTCGGGGTTCGTGAGGACATTGGTGCCACCAGCAATTGCGGTGTCGCAATCGCCGTTGACTAGGGCATTGGTAGCAAGGTTGATGGCAGCGAGACTAGAAGAACAGGCAGTATCTACAGCGATGCTGGGACCTGTAAACTTGAAGAAGTAGTTGACCCTACCGGGAATGAAAGCACGGTTGGCTCCCGGGATGTAGTAGGTGTCGATATCCTGCGAGGAATTTACCTCACCCCAATCATTACTTGTCGTCCCATAGTAGACACCAACGCGGCTCCTCTGGGTCGAAGGGGTCCGATCAGGTACGACTCCCGCCATCTCAAGCGCTTCGTATGCAGTGAGTAGGGCCAATCGTTGCGCCGGGTCCGTCTGCATGGCCTCCTTAGGAGACATGTGGAAGAATTTGGTGTCAAAATAGCCTGGAGTCTTGAGCCAGCACCCATACTGGACCTGGCTAGTGTTCTTACGCTGGCCAGTAGGATCATAATGATCTCGGGCAAAGCGCTCCTCGGGCACCGTCTTATGAACATCGAGGCCTTTGGTGAGCAGATCCCAGAACTCATCGAGGTCGTCTGCCTCCGGGAATCGGCCACTGAATCCAATGATGGCAATTTTGTGTGCATCCTCTGGAGCTGCCTGCGAGCATTCTGGGGCCCTGGTCTTCTCCTTGGCTAGGTCCTCCAATGTACGACCGATGCGTGTGGTAGCACCTCTCTGAGACAAGGAGTCTGTGAGGCTCCGCGCGGCCAGAGTGTTGACTGGGGTGATTGTTGTATCCTTGGTCGACGCAATTTTGAACAGCGTATCAGTGACGCGGTCCATCCGGATCTGTTGTGCAAGGGCGCTTTTGAGGGTATCCTTCAAGAGAGCTCCGAAAGAGGTCTGTTCTACAAGAGCCCCTGAAGCGCAAGAAACCAGAGGAATGATCACCTCATTGCCCAGACACTCGATGCCCCTGAGAGTTGAATCCAGGACATGTTCAAGGTCGTTTTCAGAGTATGCCAGGGGGCAGTGATAAGGACCGTAGATGGGGGCAGGGTGCAGTCTCTTGCCGGAAAATGCTTCTAGTGATCTCAATGTCTCGAGCACGGCTGGGGGACCGCTGACAGTTGTGAAACCTGGACCGACAGCGCTGATATACGGCTGCAAGGCTGTGGGTAGATTCTAATAACATGGGTGAGTAGCAAATCCAATATTAATGAATGGTCTCGGTGGCTGACCTTGTCCGCTGAGAACATTGCTAAAATCTCTGACACAAGGTCCTCCTGGTACGAAGGCAGAATTGCAGACCAGCTTGCAGGTGTCGAGTAACCAAGAAGCTCGGCTCTCCTGTAGACGTGCATTCCAAGCCGGAAGGCGACGATAACGGCCTGTACACCTAGTCTAGATATTTCGAATACATTTGTGGAACAGCTGATTGCAGCAGCCGCAAGGGCTCCGGTGCAAATACCGAGGAAGTAGGACGGACTAGACGGGGGATGCTGTTTGCCCGTTCGAGCAAGATAGCTTTAAAATAGTCAATACAGCACGAACATATTAAACGTCGAGTCAAACGTAGTAACTCACTCAATGTAGTAGCCTATCTCGTAAACGCATAAGAAGCAACTATCCAGAGCCGCATGGGTTGTGCTCCTCCCAACCGCCTCCACGAGCAGACCGAGGCTATCTGCCTGTGCGATGGAGTTTCTGTCGGTGGGTGGTAGTGCGCGTGTCTCGCGTCGAATCGCTAAGAATGCTGCGTTCAGGAATGATGCCAGAACTGAATTGTCTTTGACCAGCACAAGACGTTGCAATTTGTCAAGTACCGCAATGCTTTGGTCACCAAACACGTATATATCTGCCGAAGATGCCATCATGAAGGATTGCAATGAGATTAACTGTGGAAAGTAAGTAGAATATCTGCCAATTGGCGTGATCTCGTGGTACTTTATATACTCACCGTCTCGCTAAGCTTATAAATTGGGATACCAACACGGTCACATTTTCATTTTTCTCTGATGAGGCGCTAGATCATAATCCGCGACGAAATCCCGTCCGAAAATTCCCAGTACGCCTCGCGTTCTGCTATCCTTACGAAAATCTCCGAGGTTCTGTATATTAGATAGTGACAACCGCATATGCCGGATCCACCACATATGCAGGTAAGTAGGCAAAAGTACGACCTCCGAAGGAGTCCGAACCTGATGCGGGGGAGCTAAGACCGAAATAAGCAATATAGACGCAAACCCAGCAAATTAGGCTTGATGATGGCCCAGTTCTTGGATTGAGCAGTTCCCTCTCCCAGCAGGGTGGATCGTATCTCACATCAACGTACAACGCATCATGCAAGATTGGTAGGAATCGTGTTTTTAGCTTATCATGCATTCAGTTCACTTCCTAGCAGACTAATGTGACTGTCTTCCGCGGACCGCGTCTGCATGTGAGTAATGAGGATAATATTGTGCATAGCTTTTAGAGCGAATCGTAACACGATACAACCTTGGAAAATGAACAATATTTTAAATTAATGACAAGCCTCTCTTAAAGATGGCAATACTACACTAGTCTAATATGAATAAAGTTCCAAAGAGAAGATATATAAATGAGTAACAAAGGGTTCGACTGAGTATTGACCTTTGGCACTTCAAGTCTAACCTAAGATACTTCCACCAATTTGTTCGCCTCTTGCACCAGGCCGACAAGGTCCTGAATCTCGCTTTGCTCATTAGTCGGTGTTCCAATTTTTCTTTTCTGTTCCACTCCTACCGCTGCGCTAGTTGCGCTACGGCGCCTTTCCGTCTCGACCTGCGCCGCCTTTACTGTCTTGTTGTAGAGGTGTCCTCGAGCAGTAAGCTCAATATCCTCCAGCACCGGCGCGGTCGACAGTGCCATGAACGCGCGCAGAAGCCAATCTTCATCGCTTAGGTTCACCATGCCCTTGACCATGGCAGCGGCTGGTCCCGGAATGCAAAGCAGTGCACTGCAGACCATCTGAGACCTCTCCGAGATCATGGCAGCTGACTGCGCTCGCACCTGGGCATAACTAGCCAAGGCGGACTTGACAGCCTCGCGCGATAGCTTCTCACCAGGCACAGATGCCTTTCGAGCCTCCATCAGCTTGTTGACCAAGACGGCGCACGACTCTATGGCCTGGTTGGCACCTTGGCCACCTGCTGGGGTCGTCTTGCAGGCCGCGTCGCCGACGATGACGGCACGGTCCGTGTGCCATCCTTTTGCCACGCCTTCCTCAACCGCAATCTTAACAGCCACGACTCGGTTCTTGAAGAGGTCTCCGAACTTGAGCAGTGGTGTAACTCGGACATGGGCGACGGCCTGGCAGAGTGCTTCGGCCTCAGCCTCAGTGTATCGCGGCGCATGAGAGAGCGGGATGTTCTTGTTGAGGTTCTCAAAGACGAACCAGAACACAACACCGTCCTTACCCGTGAAGCCGATGATGGTCTCCTGTTCTCGATAAACGGCAAACCTCTCGCCAGGGGCAATGCCCTCGGTAGGCGACGACATTCCGTAGACGGTGGAGAAGCCGATGCCGATGTCTAGGGTTGAGTAAGTCAATGCTATGGTGATCTGTACACGAAACTCACAATCATCTGCAGAGCCAATCTTCTCGGGTAACGAGGAGTCGATATGGTCTCGTACGACACTGCGTATGCCGTCCGCCCCGACAACCATGTCCGCCGTGGCGGATAGACCACTAGAAGTCGTAATAACGACATGGTTATCAGTCTCTTCGATTGAGATCACACGTGCCGACGTCCTGACGCATTCTATATGCTGTATGCGGTGCACCATGATTGGAAGAAGTTTTGGTCGTTCTATAAAGGTGACGGGGTATCCGATCCTACGGGGTGGTGCGTATAAGTTAGACGAGGAGAAACTTGGCAAAGCGCATGTGCGATACGAACTTCTCGCGGTACTGTCCCATGACGCTAGAATCAGACATCATGTTTCCCTCACTGTCATAGGAGAACCACCTTCTGAGGGGTATAGTAGCCTGCTCGATGTCTTCCACGAGGCCTAGCTGGTCAAGAATGCGCATTCCGTTTGGCTGTAGACCAATACCGGCGCCTCTGTCCGACTCGAGGGTGTCACGACCCTCGAAAAGAATGTAGCTGATCTTGAGTTTCTCGAGCATCAAAGCGAGCGTAACGCCAGCTATGCCCCCTCCAGAAATGGCGACTTCATAATGTTGGTTTGGAATAGCCATGATGTTGGAATTACTGATAGCCGAATTTGTATTTTAGCGTGGGAGAAAAATTCAAGTCTCATAACGCGGTCGAGTAACTTTTATGCATTTCCCGGTGCCTCGGAGATCCAATGGAGCATAAAGAACTAGATACCAGCACTTGCCAATTCCCTTGGGTTCCACGGTGGCCTTGAGCGGGCTGGCATCGGCGGCTGGTTGAATGTGGGCATGGCCGAAAATATCCGAATCTTAGAGACATGAACTCGGCCTTCGCATCCCAGCGTGATCCGCTCACGGAGCGCGGAAAACTTCGGTTTTCAAAAGACAGTCGGAAACGCCTGCTAAGTATATATAAATGTATATGTCCACGTGTAGTTGCATCATCAAACATTTTACTGAAGAGCAATATCCTCTCCAGATTTCCCTTGTTGTCGCCCATCCAAGCAAATCACTACCCCCCATACGATATCCACATTCAAGATGGCTATGACCGGCGTTACGAATGGTGCAAACGGCGTTACCAACGGCCACATCACCAGCTCGTCACCACTGGAGCTCCTAGTTCGAGGGATCGACAAGCAAAGCAAGGTGTTTACGGATTACCTTCGGGCTAACGGGCTTCCCGAGCCAAGCTTCGAGCGTGACACACCCATCATCAACCTGCCTCCACATGTTCCCGAGGACATACAGGTTGCCAAGGAGCAGCTCCTGGACCACGCACTACAGATCTTCCAGCTTGTCGCCGGGCCCGGCGAGTATTTGCAGAATGTTATCACCGGCGTGAGTCCGTCCCTCAACCGATCCTTGATGTGATGCTGATTTATTTGTCGGTAGTACCACTATATGGAAATTATGCGGTGGATGAGCCACTTCAAGATCTTTGAACTGGTTCCCCTGGAGGGCAATATTTCGTACGCAGAACTGGCGGTGAAGGCCGGCGTGTCAGAGCTGCGGCTCAAGTCTCTAGCCCGCATGGGCATGACAAACCATCTCTTCGCTGAGCCCGCACTGGGCTTCATCGCCCACTCGGCCACATCTGCAGCACTGGTCACAAACACTAGGTTTTCCGACCAGAGGGTGTGGATGACCAGTGTCATTGCCCCGGTCATCGCGTCCATGGTCACTGCCCACGAAAGATGGCCCGACAGCACGGCACCCAACAACAGCGCTTTCAGCGCCGGCTTCAACACTAACCTCGGCATGTACGAGTACATCGCTAAGCAACCAGAGCTATATAAGCTGTTTGGGCGTGTTATGGATGCAGTCGCCAGCAGCCCCAAAAGCGACCTGAAGCACCTTGTCAGCGGTTTTGACTGGGCCAGCCTCGGCAAGGCCAAGGTCGTTGATGCAAGTTCTTTCTCCCTAATCCATCCTGGGTATATTAAACTGACTGATTTTATCGGAATAGATCGGCGGTAACATTGGCCACAGCTGTGTGACCCTGGCCAAGGCGTTCCCCGACTTGGAGTTCATCGTCCAAGACATCCCGCATGTCGTCGAAGAGGGTATCAAGGTCGTCGGGGAGAACAGCGAGGCCAGCATTGCCGATCGCATCAAGTTCCAAGAGTACGACTTCTTCAAAAAGGAGCCCGTGCAAGGGGCCGAAGTCTACCTCTTCCGCCAGATCTTCCACAACTGGGACTTTGAGAATTCAGTTAAGATCCTGAAGAACACGGTCAAGTCCATGAGCGAGGGCTCGCACGTGGTCATAATGGACTTTGTCATTCCCGAACCCGGCATTGTTTCCTCGGTAAACGAGCGCGTGCTTCGCTCTCGCGATGTCGGCATGATGCAGCTGTTCAACTCTCTGGAGCGCGACCTGGAGGGCTGGAAGGCCATCTTGGAAGCCGTGGACTCGAGACTCAAGATCAATACTGTGAACACGCCCTATGGAAGTTTCATGTCGGTGATTGATGTAGTTCTGGGATAGGGGCTTTGAAATACGAACGTTGCTGGGGGCGGGGCGGGGTTCATGTTAAATATTGAAGAGGGGAACGCTCAAGGCAGTATGCTCTCTGGCATACGGGTCGATTCAGCACTCGCAATTCAGCTTCATACCAACCAAGCATACAAAAAGACCTGGGACATCAGTCCAGGAAGTGAATTCAGAGAGGTGTAGGAGTGTGTATTGTCAATCTGTAACTATCTGCTACTTTAAACCTCTGCACATTGGTGCTTACATAACTAAACTCCAAAAAGAAAGGCAGGCAAGGCTAATGGGTAATGAGGACTATGTCCCCCACTACAATACATATAACTATAAGGTCGATAAGTCCGTTGTGCGTAAGGAAGTTTACATATTTTGGGAATAAGCTCTTATGGCTAGTTCTGAGGCACTTAATGCACGTTATTCGAGTCTGCTTTTTTGATTAAATTCCCGCGTAATCGTGCCAAGCGCTCAACATCTTCCGTGTGTTGTTGGTGCGCCCAGCCAACGGTAATTTCCGAGGTTGGGTACCTTTTGTATGGGCAAGCCGTACAAAAGATACAAAAGGGACAACAAGCCAGAACCTCCATATTACTTCAAAGATACTGAACATTTCTTGTCAATATCAATACTAACAGAATTAAAGACTTTTGAATTAACATACTCAGATATCTAATTTCCCTAGCTATCCAGGGGGTTGAGATAATGGATGTTGTGACTTCTTGTGCGGTTGGTATCTTATATGGGCATGCCATACAAAAGGTACCAAATCCTACCATCATTCTGTGGAAAATTATCGTTGTCTGCCACCAACACTAAGGTGCTGGGAGCTCGACACGGTTATTAGAACACTCAGCAGATACAAGTAGGTTAGTTAGCTTGGCCATAATCGTTCCAAGCCCCCAACACCACCTTTGAATACCAATCACCTAGCTATACCTACATGTAGGTAATCTCTATCATTGCAATATAACTATCTACTTTTTCTCTTTGAAAGGCTCAAATGCGACAAGCGATTTATTCGAGCAAACGAGTCGATAGAAGTCGGTCGGTCAGCTAAAATTTGCCCTACACAGGGTCGCCTTTAACATATGTTCCTTGGCACAAGGTAGAGTGATCGTCACCGTTCAAGAGACATCAAAACATGGCAACCTGTAAATCAACAATTTTATGTGACAAAACCTCATAAATACATATGTGACATTGAAACGCGTAAACCCCTTAAGTAGTCCGGGCGTACTACAGGGTAGTATGTACTATGTACATCTATGGATGTATCATGCAGGCAAAATACAGGCTATTTTACCAGTAGACCATAACAAATACCCTGGGTTCCTGTTCAGGGCTAGGGGGGCCATATTCCTAGTTCGACATATCATCCAAAATAGGCTAGCGTACCTCAATAGTACTAACAGTATGCGATATTATGCGACTATGCGAGACCGCGAGACCCCACTCGCTGAGTCGGGTTCGCTACCTTCGCTCAACAATGACTCTAGGCAAGCTGGCTTATATAGCCCCGAGTCGGACATCCTCGGGACATTTCCAGTCGATGCATCGGTGTCAACAAGGCAACCAGGGATTCAAATAACTGCGCTGAGTACGGATACCCAGAATAGACACTAGCACTAACACACAAAGGAACCCCCTCCCTTCTCACACACGCGTTTCTTCGTCGCTCTCCGATGTCATCCCCATACTTTTCCAGCGTCCTCGTCTTCGGCGCCACTGGCGAAGTCGGCTCCGCCGCTGCCCTCGAGGCCCACGCCCGCGGTGCCCGCGTCACTATAGCCATGCGAGACATCGCCAAGCACAATGAGTGGATCTCCTCCGAACAGGAGCGTGCTGCCGGCCTACAGCGAATCACCGCCGACCTGACCATTCCTGAGGCCGTGACACGCGCCGTTCACCAGACTGGAGCCCAGGCGGTCTTCATATACGCGGTTCGCTCCAGCGACTTGATGCGTGGCGCCATCACCGCGCTCCGGGACGCTGGCATTCAGCACGTCGTATTCCTGTCAACCGGACAGGTGAAAACCGCGGGGGCCACCAAGGATGACATCCGCTCCATCAAGTCCGACCACTTTATCCCCTGGCAGCACGCGCAGATTGAGAAGGGACTGGAGGAGATCGGTCTTCCGCACACAGCACTGCGAGCGGGCTTTTTCGCCAGCAATCCGCTACGGATCTATCTCGATAGGTCTGTGGAGCCGAAACAGGTTAATCTGCTAGCGCCAGAGGTGCTCCATGATCCTATCGACCCGGCGGATATCGGCAGGGTGGCTGGTGCCATACTAGTCAACCCGCGACAGTACGCTAACGGCTACCAAGCGACGAATGGGTCGACTCCCCGCAAGGATATCATCTATCTCAACGGGCCGGCACTGCTATCGCAGGCTGAGCAGTGGGACATCATCAACCGGGAGCTTGCTGCGGCGGGGAAGTCCCCGGTCAAGGTCAACCACGTCACCGTCGAGCAGTACCTCAAAAACCTGGCTGCGCTGAATGTCCCGCATGTGGTGGCCAAGTCCCTGGCTAAGTCCATGGTAGAGACAAAAGCGCTGTACGCGCTCGAGGACTTTGAGAAGCAGAGGGGCAACGTCGGGCTCCTAACTGACCGGGAGGCGACGAGCTTTGAGGATTTTGTGAAGAGGGAGATTCCAAGATACTTGTAGTACTGAGATTGAAGTAGTCTTGGCAGTAATTGTCCGGGATGCAGTGGAGGGGTTGCGTACATTGATTGGCATTCACTCTTATAGCGACACAGCAGCAAGTTCCATGCCAGACAACTCCTCTTTTAATTTGATTTCTTTTTCTCTAGCTCGTCAACTAACGCAATTACATACCATTAAGCCATATTATACATTGTCGCACTGCCATATTTCTGTCAATTTTGTTCAAGTTTTGCCATTTGTTATCTCGATTATGCAAGTTCGTTACATATATGTACATTGTACATATCCAAGGAAAGGTTTATACCGCTCGCCGCATTGCAAACCACTAGCACTACGTCGGTCACCAGGAAACGTCATGAACCACGTACAGCCTTGGCTACAACACATCAAGACAACCTTGAAGGGAGCTCAAGATCAATGCCTGGAAATAATAAGGAAATGTCACCATCACCATCTGCCCAGGACCGGTCTGGAAGGAAGTCTATGAAGGGGCTAAGCGTTTCGGTGCCAAGTAGTCCCCGGAAAGCACCTGAAGTCCCCTTGCTATTCGGACCCGAGGAAAACGCAGACAACGAGGGCTCAGGCGTTGGCATGGTACACATTGTGGGCTGTGACGTTGCGTACCAAGCGTTGGTGTGCGTCGTCTCGGGATAATGGGACAGAACTTCTGCGGCGGGCGGGCACGGGGTAGGGTCATAACACTGAGCCTTCCGCCCAGCCTGTACTGGCCGTCCCCGATCTGTCCGTTGCATCTCTCTCACATAGCGGGCCTTGGCCATAAGCCGCCTGATCGGTCGCCAGAGGGCGAGGCGGCTCTCGTCTTCTTGATCTCCGCTGGTTTTCCATGCGTCATAAACGGTCGTGACGCAGTCCCACGCGCGATCGCACTCGGGAGAGTGAGACCGGGCGCATAATTCGGAAAGTACAAATGCCATTCCGCCCCACTGGATGTGTGTCGTTGAGTACCAGGTCCATTTCGTAATGTCTCTGTTTGTTAGAAGCATGCCCGAGACTTCTAATAACTCAATGGAAGTTCGGAACAGCCCGTCGCGCATGTTGTTCTCTAACTGGCCAGTGCTGGCTGGTATTCCGGGGAATAAACTGCTCTTGGTCTTTTTGTCATCTGCTTGATTCTCGCGTGACGCAACAGAATATTGTGTTGTGAGCCAGAAGCGTGCCAGGATGATGCGGGCTACCGCTGAAGACAGGAATTGGAAGGGCACGGAGGAATCGCAGATGCGCAGATATTTGTTGCGGAAGCTCGCCTCTAGGTTCTGGATCAAGACTCGGCATTTCTTGGCAGGTTCTTCGGAGTTATCTGCTATTGCAGCATTTCTGCTACCCGGCAGTCTGGGCTGCTTCTGCTTTATAAGACCTAGCTTCCAACCTGTCTGTATGGCTTCACACCGGATTAAGGAAAGCGTCATATCTGTCGCGTGGTCCCATCTCTCAGCTGGAGGCTCTACCATGTCAGGCGACAAGTCAACATCGTTGACGTGGAGGGGTGGCTTGGTGTCCGAGGCAAAGTGCTGCGCGATAGGCTCGTTGCAGTGATACTCGGACGAGCGGCTATCGATAATGCAGATCTGCCACCATAGGCGCCTACGCAGCTCTGTCTCGAAGGGTTTGAGCCCGAACGCCGTCCCATCACGGTGCAGACCCATGGTTCGCGCAATGTGGTAGATGAGCGATGTTAGCGACCAAGCGGCGCGCGAGTCGTCCTCGTTAGGTAATGCAGATAAGAAGAGCACTGCCGCCTGTAGCATCGTCATTCTCTGGGTGTTGAGCAGGTTACCACGAACAAGTGCTTGTTGTACGGCCAACCGGTACCTCTCTAGGGCAGCTTCACGCGTCTCATGGAGGATGCCAAGACACTGTTCTGGAGTAAGACTAACCACGGCTGAGTAGTGAATAGCACAGATGAGGGTCTCGGTATGCTTATCAAGAGAGTCAAGAGAAGCAATAGCGTCCCAGTAGACGTGCGTCAACGTAGGCATGTGGAAAATGCGGACTAGTGGCGCAACATTCTCTGTGAATGCGGCGAAAAGCGTGACAGCCTGGGTCAATGGAGGGTGGAGATGCTGGAGGGAAGAGGCAAAGCCGAAGATGGCGGCATTCAGCCCCATCTGAGAGGAAGCACAGCTGGCGGCAGTACTGGTGGTGGATGAAGAATGCGAGGAATATGTTGACGGCGCCGGATCGTGGACCTCATCTTCGCTCGCGGGCTCAAATAAGAGGTCACGGAGTTCCTCAACCTAACATTGCCGCGTTAATATATAAGACGCGAATTTTAACGACGGAGAGAAGGACTCCAAGAGTACCTCATTGGACAATGTGACCCAAAGGGCATTGTTCACGTAGTAGCTTTTAGACTCATCAACCTTAAGACGACTAAAGTCTAGATCAAATGGATGGGTCTCGCTCGCTTCTCGGGCGTGAGAGGTTTCTTGAGCCTGATGATTCTCCTGGGCTGACGTTTCGTTGTCAGCAGCCGGTTGGCAAGAGCGTTGGTTTTATAGACCCTACCAGCTGCACCAAATTGGTTGATAATACTCTCAAGGCGGGACAGACGTTCAGGGAGCCGGGGGTCCACGCCGTGTCTTGGTCTCTTAGGCGCCCTGCCCCGACCGGGCGGGTAGACACAGTTACCTTCGGACCGCAGGCAGTTGGAGCACCGTGGAACCTGGCGGTCGCACTTGACTCTGCGCTGACGACACAGGTTGCAGGTCCGCACTTGCCTGTGTGGGGATGACAGACCTAGTGCAGATGAGGAGGTTTCAGGCATTGTGGCCATATCGTTGCAGTTGATAGCTGTCAGTGGAGAAAGGTATCCGTTCACAGAACAGAACCTCCTTGTTATCCCGAGGGATTCTCAAGATAGATACGAGACACTCAAGGTAGGGGGCGTGAGCAGGATGTAGAACTGGAAGGGAAGGAGAGCTGGAGAAGTGAGGTGGGTGCGGCCAAGCCTGATGTTCCCGGGCCGCGCTGATCTCCTGGTGGAGCTCGGAACTCGGGACCCCGCATAGCTTATGCGAGACACGTGGTGCAGCGAGCAACACTATGCGAGACCGAATGCATATCTTCAATGTCGGTAATATTGGTGCTGCAAGTCCTAATCCTGTAAGGGAGGGAGAAAATATTAAAGTCAACTAGAATCTGCAAATATATCTAACCTACATGAACCGAGTATACAAGGGCCTTTCTACATTTTGAAGTCCCAGAGCTGCATCTGTTACTTGATCTATACACTTGGACGGTACCGTTTCTCCAACCAATACGCAATAATACAGGCTACCTGATACTGAAAATGAGTGAACATCCACCACACGATTTCGCCCCAGACGGGAACGAGGACTTGAAAAGGTCCACCATGGGAGATGGGAGCTCCTTCCAGTCGACGAGCATGGTGGGATTTGACGGCGACATGGATGGGTTGAATCCCCAGAACTGGCCCATGGGTAAAAAGGTCTACACCACGGCGTTATGGGCGCTGACGACATGCTGGATCACCTTCGCGTCCGCCATCTACTCGGCTGGCACGGCACAAATCAGCCAAGAGTTTCATGTTTCGTACGACGTGGCCAACGCGGGCACCAGCCTACTCATATTTGGCTTTGCTATTGGTCCTATGCTTTGGGCGCCGCTGTGCGAGGTGTATGGGCGAAAATGGCCTGCTTTGGCGGTAAGTTCTCCAACCATCCCACCTTCCTCCGGGCAGGGCCCCAGTTATCTTCTAACGCGGAACTTTTTGGATCTTGCAACAGCCCTACTTTGTAAGCGCTGCCTTCGCCTTCGGCACTGCGACGGCCAAGGATATCCAGACGATCCTCATCACACGCTTCTTCGCCGGTGTGTTTGGCAGCTCTCCCATATCCATCACTGGCGGCTCTATCGTTGATATCTGGAGCCCCCGGCAGCGCGGAACGCCCATGGTGTGCTACGGCATTACCATCGCGGCGGCACCGACCCTTGGGCCAATTATCGGCGGGGCCTTCATAGCCAGCGGGTGTGGGTGGCGCTGGACTGAATATCTAACAGGGATTGTCATGATGGTCCAATTTCTCCTAGACGTTCTCTGGCTGGACGAAAGCCATGCTGACGTGCTCCTGGCTCGGAAGGCGGGCGGATTGCGACGAGCTACGGGGAATTTTGCACATCACACCAAGGTCAGTGGTTCGTCGACTCGTCCCGTCTCGGTTGTTAGCCTAACAATGACCCTTTCTTGCTTACTTTGCCTACCTATAGTGGGAAGAGACGAGGCCGACCTTCGGAGACCTCCTCAGCATCTATCTCGTCCGCCCTTTTCAGATGCTTCTCGATCCGATTTGCCTGTTGTTGACTATTTATACATCATTTGTCTATGGTAAACCAACCTAACCACCCCCCCCCCCCTTTTCCCTTTTCTCAACAACAACCAAGCCCTACACAGAACACAGATGGATAAATGCTCGCGAAGAGAGATTTCTGACTCTGTGGGCAGCAATCCTTTACGCTAGCTTGGAAAGCTTCGCCCTAGAATACGGCCAGATTCGGGGCTGGGGCCCTGTCGTCTCCCAACTGCCATTCCTAGCTCTCCTACTTGGGTGCCTGGTCGCCGCCGCTGCCAACATCTATAACAACATCTACTACGGGAAGAAGCTGGTCGCAAATAATTTCAAGCCAGTGCCGGAAGCGAGACTGCCGCCTATGATGTATGGTGGCTTTGCTTTCTCTGCGGGTCTATTCTTGTTCGGATGTAAGTTGCAGTGCCGCTAGAGCTGCTCTATGTGCCCTTTGTCTGCTGCGCGAGATTAACCACCGTATTAATAGGGACCACCTCCGAGCATGTTTCAAGTCCGTGGCCATCTATCGTCGGTGTATTTCTAACCGGTGTTGGCTTCACCACCATCTTCCAGTCATCCCTCCAATACCTTGTTGACACCTTCACCCGCTACAGCGCCAGCGCCATCGCCGCCAACACCTTTGTCCGATCAATGGCGGCAGGGGCCTTCCCACTCTTTGTCTGGCCCATGTATAAAAGGCTTGGCATAGACTGGGGTAGCACCATCTTTGCATGCGTTAGCGTGCTCCTCTTGCCAGCCCCTTTCCTCTTCTTTAAGTGGGGTAACCGGATCAGGGCCTATGGCGAGTTCAGCAAGCCCTCCGCATACTAGTCTAGCACCGCCCACGCCAATCTAGTTAAGACACACATGGGCCCGGGAATCTGGCCACGTATCCGTGCCCAGTGATCCGTGCCCAGTAATCCGCCCCACGTTACATCGGGAGCAATGGGGCGATTACTAGGCACGGATATGTCGTTGCCAACGCAGCGCCGCAAGTGAGAGATATGAAGGAGCCTAAGGGGCTACCCAGGGTTCTCTCATACGACTTACCAGCAATGTTCGCAAAAGATTTCAGAAATGAGTTGCAGTGGCGTCCATGACTTGCAGATAGAAGTAGGGGTTATCGCAATACTAGATGTTTACAACGCTCACAAGGGTTAGATTGCTAGAGACACATCCTTCCTGCTTGTACCACGACCTTCGTACATATGTACCCTATCGGCCCGCTACCCAGTCCGGTCCTAGCAGTCGCTCACACATCCATTCATCCTTCTCCAAAAGTGCAATTTACTTCACGGGCCTCAGCATGCCCCCATATAGTCACCTCTCCATGCGAGCATCGTGTGATCGCTGCCGGTTCCACAAGCTCAAGTGCGTTGTCAACTCCGGAGAAAGTCCCAGCAGAAATGAGTGTGCACGATGCATCCGGGCCAAGGTCGAGTGCGTGTACAGCAAGAGGGCGCCGGCAAAACGCCAGAAGACCGTAGTGTCTGAGGAGACCTCTCAGACTTTGAGCCATGAAGATATTGGCCCTCCCACGCCGTTGACTGACCCTCCTAGTGCTGGAGAGGAAGGCTTTGGCGATGTCGCTTCGTCACGTACGAGCCCTTCAGAGATCCGGGCCATGTGCAGCACCCCGCCTCACCAAGAAAGGGATGCCCACTCATTATCTACCTTCGACAGCCCCGCACTGGATCAGCCAGTCGTGCCAGCATTGAGCACCGGCGGGCAGGTTGTCTCCGTGCCGTTAGACACAGCACTACACCAATTCTTGTTCAGCTCGCATACACCACAGTCTGTCCTACAGCAGGTCGGCCAAGATCTCGGGTTTGGCTTATCGACCACCCTCCCACCGTCCATGCGCGAGAGTCAACAGCCACAGGCCCACAGTAACCTCAACAACCCCCACCCCACCACATTCACTCAAATCTCGAACCTTGTGGCCGATATCCATAAGACACTGGCCTTACTCACGGATAACTGCCGCGGTAGCAAGTGTCCCAGGTTCAACTTCCGCGAGTACCCTATCGGTACCGTTCTGCACCTAGCCCAGGACCTCATCGACATCGTCTCCAAGTTTAAACCCGCCCGTGAGGCACCCACAATACCATGGGAACCCATTGCGTCAGATATATCCACCTCCCACACAACATTGGCACATTACACGACAGCGGCGTCGACTGGTAGCGACTCGCCCATCTCGTCCTTGCTCAATCAGGACTTCTACCCGGACCTTATATCTCCTAACCCGCCGGTCTCATCCACACCCCGCGGCCTTTACAATGCCATGGATACCCCAACCAAGCTCCTGGCTATGGGCTGCTACTTCTCCCTACGGCGGCTCTATTACGTAGTGTTCACGCATTTTGAAGGCTATTTAAGCACGCTGCGGCAAGCGCCGTCCTCTCGTGGACTACTGGCGCATAATTTAGCCAAGGGGAGGAGGCTTCAGATCGGCGAACTGCTCTCCACGGATGAGATGTGTAGCAGTATCAAGAAGGCGGTCAGGCTAATGTTGGAAGTACTGCAGTCTGTAGACGACGTTCTCAGCCTCCTTGGTGCTGTGGGCACTTCTCGAGGCTGCCGCGAAGCGGATTCATGTGGATTTCCGAGGATACCTGTGGCGAAGGCGCAGGATGAGACACTATTGGTGTATGGGGACCTTGTGGGAGCTTTTGCGGACCAGGCTATTATGGGAATTAACAGCTCTGTACACAGTGAATTGGATGGGCTGGGAAGCAAAGTACAGTCTCTTGAGAGGATGTTGAAGGAGAGAATGTGATGGGTTATTGATTGATTGATTTTTATCGAACCGCGAGTGTGGCCAAATGTAACTAAGCAGCAACTTTCGGGACGTGAGTACGTTTCCGTACGTAGAGGAGGAGTTATACGTAGTTACTATTTTAGACTAGGAGGCAGTCACAAAAATTCAAATTGTGGTTGCCCAATTTCCTAGGTGGACCTCGCTGAGACATTAAATGCTTAGCGTCGATGTCACCCGCTACTGCCGCCGTATCCGGATATCCCCGATACGCTAAACCATGAACGGCCCGCGTGCCCGGAGACTGATTGGAATTATCTTGACCCTAGAGACTGTATTTGATTTTCCGAGACATACACCACTTGTTGTCAAGGATACATAGACTCTAGTGGTTTTCGCAGGATGTGATCTTGCGCGTTAGGTTCACTCCCTGGGGGCAGGTTACGTGGATTGAGCAGAGCAGGGATTCCTAGTCAAAAAATGATTGCTGGCGTCGGCTTTTTTGACCATTAGCATTCCTATAATTGGCTTGCGTTGTTATGAGCGATATAAATTTCAACCCAAGGTATTCTATCTTATTTTATGGACAATCCTCGTAGCATGTATTGGTGCCATTGACCCTTCCGATTCAGTCCTAGTTTATGAAGTGCGTTAGGTGTGAACTGGGAATTGGTTGGATGAGAGCGATTTAATGCCTATCACTAGCACCGGAAAAGTACCATCCGGAAATTTAGAGCAAATGGCTTGTAATCGGACCCTGCGACTAAAGAGCACTAACGAATCTGCTAGGCATGTGTTAAAATCGGAAACGATTCTCATGCGGAGACTAGAGCTGGGCTAGCTTTGCTCACTAATACACCTATGAGTGGCGTATTAGTGAGACATGTGGCATCAAAATAGTTAACTTGACTGAAAATAAGAGCACAAAGTGCTGCCCTTGCAGGAATGATGAGACCAGCGGCTGGGTGATCAACTAGGGGTTAGGAAGTTGGGTTATCTACCTATTTCAGAAACTTGACACATGTCGTTGCCGCCGTGGCGGACAAGAACACAAATGCATCTGAGCCGCCCGCCAGCGCTGCAGGTCATCGACGCGGACAATCCTTTCCTCTTTGTAGTATTTTTGAATGAGCTTCATGGTGGTCGAGGGCAGGGCCACGATATATGTGGCTTCTGCCTGTCCTAGTGTACAGCGCACGCAATAGTCGAACCAGGCTGCCAAAGTCAGCTAGAAGCATGAATGAATGATTATCGATTCACCTATTCTGTTGGCTCCATCAAATCCAAGTAAAACTCGAGACACGTCAGACTGGTGAGTGAGCCCAATACACCTAAATACCGGACGCCAACGAAGACCTCAAAAGTCAATATAGGTAGGCCAGTTTGTTGAGATCAACATACCCGTAACGAAATTGATCCTAGTTTCGTCTGATTGGGATATATAGCCGGACAGGAGTTTAACAGGCGCTGGAAAAGAGATTGAGTGTTAGGCATGTCCCTATATGGCGTCGATACCTGGTGGACCGAAAGTGGGAGACTGGGCAAAGTTGGTGGCAAAGCATTTCCCTTCGACCTCATATTTTCATGGAGGTCCTCATATTATTTACCAGCTTTGTCTTTTCCCAAGCAACACAAAGTTGACGTAAATAGAGTCTGCGGATGAGGAGAAAAAAAGCAGCTTATGCTTTCTCTATAAATACCGTCTATTTTTCTCGGTTCCCTAATCGGCTGCAAGTTTATACACCAACTCTCGTCGCAAGTGACAGCATTCTCAATAGGTACCGATCCTTCTTTCCTTCCTCTCAAGGTGCGAGGTAAAGTTTCGAGAATGTGAGCCGAAAGAGTTCCAGGAATAATTAGCATTTGACCAATGTTGACAAAATAACGGGAATGTATGAACCAAAGAATCAAATGCCTCAAATGCCATCACGGATAGCAAATGTCGTCTGATATCAGTGGTACGCTTTCTAGCGGTGCGTTGAGGTTGAGACCGGGACAAACTAGGGTGCGTTTGCACCCCTCTGGTGCTGGTTCGGGATGAGGGAATTTGGGTTCATTTCGACGGCGCCTACGGTGCATCGATTGCCCTCTCCTAGACCAAACGCCATCTTGTGGACGGGCTTGGCCGGGCGGATAGTATCTCCTGGGACGGGCATAAATGGCTTTTCCAAACCATGGGTTGTGGTATTGTTCTAATGTGCGACAAAAGGTCAGATTTCGAGAGTTTTTCCTGGCCTATGGCTTCTGCTCTTCTGGTTAAAGAGAACGGAAGAGGCGGCAGAATTCAAATCAACAATCAGGGGAGTGCGTGTTGATAGTGATGACCGGCCCTCAATTTGATGAAAACCACTGCATCGCTTGGCTGAAGAAAGGCCAAAACTTTCGGTTTCACGGAAACCCATCAGTCTGGTTTTCCAGACAAGCCAGTGTAGGTGCATGAGCAACTCTATAACAGCGAGGGTGAAGCAGAACACGACATTCAAGGGTCATTGTCAGACAAGGTGTCGTTGTTGTCCTTGTCGTCTTCCCGAGACAGGTCGGTGGCTCCTTGTACTATGGCTTCTATAGTATATCAGTTGATGTGTGTAATACCTCTGATTTTTGCAGTCCAGTCTTTATCCAAGGGGGCTTTGTATTCCGCTGACATACCGTACTTGTGCGAATTGGGGCAAGTCTATTTCATAGCGCTAGGCATCTTCGTTGATCAGACGGTCTGGGTTCGGGCTCAGAGTGCGCTCTCCAGGTGCATCGGGGCAAGTGAGAGAGTCATCCAGCCGCAGCTCCAACTTATCTTTGACCCCCATTGAATCCAGCCGCGTTGCATCCCACATGACATATCCCCGGGCCACCATCTCACGCTTGAGCCAACATTCAACACTAGTAATGTGTGCTCCATCCCATGTCGGCGTCCACCCCAGTGGTGGATAGAACCATTCTGGGTCTCCGACCTCGTCACCCTGAAATCTACCCAATCGCACCCCTCGTCCATTGAGATCTGATACAAAGCTGTTTGAGGATAGCGTCTTTCTTGAATGAAGCAGCTGAATGTATCCCCCTGAGCAAAGCATTCTTTCATTGTGTTGATGTCGACTTTTTGATTCGACCAGGTGGCGTGAGAGTTATCCGATCCCATGAATAGCAGGCCATGTAGGAGTCCGAGACCTCGCGCGATCGTCCCATATAGGCTGCAGAGTTATATTATAAGGTAGTGTTAGTTGTACAACAATTAAGCATGAATGTGGGTACCTGGAGTGGACCTTACTTTCAACTGTCAGGCGTTGGGCCCATTTTTGGGAGTTTTGTCGGTGTTGTCGGAGTGGCGCCTGTCCGTTCCAGTTGACGGGGAGAATGCTTTCGTAAGTTCCCATCACAAAATCGTGTACACAGACAATCTCCTCGACTTCCCAAGGATCAAAGAGTGACTCAAGCAATGCTGAAACCTCCAGTTCCTCGTATTCAGGGGCGCTTTTGAAGCTCTGTCCGTTGTAATCAACCGAACAGGTTACAGCAAAGCTGAAAGCGGTAAAAAGCACGCAAGTGTATTTCCTCAATTTCCCGCAAGTTTTCGTTATTCCGATCGTATGGAATCTGCAGTCCACTGGCAAGAAATTCCAATATGCATCTTGTGTATTTCCGTACAAGAGGCTGAATGATCCGGTAATGAAACTTCACTATGTAGATGCTCGGAAGACTGCATAGTGTGTCAAGGATTCGTGTTGGACGTTTGATATGAACAGCTTTATTTGAACCAAAACGTGGGTTGAGTTGGGATAGGTGAAGATTAAACATATGGCAGGGAGTTGGATGAGACAATTAAGATCGTAGGCATGGCAACAGGATAAAAAAGCCTCCTCATGTTCTAAAAGCAAAGGTCGAAGAACCCAGTTGTCTGAGACAGCAATCAAAATGTCAATGTGACGGACATGGGGAGTGAAATGAGTTGCTAGTTGCTATTACTTGCGGCCCATATAGAGTGTCCGCAGCTATGTTGGCCCCTAGTGAGTATAGTGAATTCATGCAATTTTCAATGCCTATACATATTGATGGCCCATCTCTTTACTCAGACCTACAATTGATCCCCTAAGCCTGTGATAGACCGATGTTGGCCTTAGGTATGTCGCAAATATACATCTTTCATCATCATGCACAATTAACCCCATGATCAATAACCTCACCACTCAGCTTTTGCAACCTTACCAGTCTTTTCCCTCGAGGGTTTTGAGGTCGTTGCGAGTACACATTGTCGGTTTCCACAAGGTGGAGATGGCAGATTGCATATTACTACTACCCGAATTGAGTGAATCTTGCTTACATTTATGCCTGTTCGAATTTTCCGGCCAATTCACAATTCAACGGGCAATTGTAGCCCAAATTCCAACTCAACATCGACTTGGGGAACTACAGCCGCCGATGGTGCCCAGATTACCCAGCCAGGCGGGGTTGGATATCCTCCGCGGGGTATTCGCATGCGCCACCTCGCAGATTGTTGCGGTCGCGTAACAGGTTCGCATCAACCTTGTATTATCGCCTAAGTCTTGGTTGACAGTAGCACCACTCCAGGACCCGTGCAACTTGTCCAAGTCCTTATACCCTTGGATTATTTTCCTCATGGCCGCTAGTCAACCAAATATCGGCATCCCGCCTGAGCATGAAGCTTCGTTCAAAGCATTCACCGAAGCTATTCAAGAAAACGGAGTTTTGACTCGGCCTGAGAGTCTAGAAAGCCGGGATCTGTGCTACGGATTATCAGATCCTCCCACGCTTCTGTGCGTTGTGTATACGAACCCTAATTTTGCCAATTGGTGCTGACCCCACTAGACGGTTCCTAGTCGCCCGCCAATTTGACCCAGATGGTGCTCTCAAGCAATTCCAGGAGGCATGCAAATTCCGCGAAGATAAGCATATCCTCAGGCTTTACGATTTAATCGACATTGACTATTTCGAGCAAGCTCGTCAATTTGTGAATATGGATTGATTTCAAGAGTTAATAATTAGCATATACTGACATGCCCATATAGTACCCTCACTGGAGTGGTCGTAGGGACAAAAAAGGGTCGCCTATTTTGATGTTCGACGTGGAATATCTTGATAGAGATGCAGTTGCACGTTGGGAAACCACGCGCAAAAACAGTCGCTGGATATACTCCCAATCAGGAAAAGACGAACCACCAAATCCCGACATGTTGCAATTGGCCACTGTGTACCATGACAATCTCATTCGGTTCATCCTTCCGCTTTGCTCGATGATGACAGACAGGCCGAACCCGTCAGTTCCAGTCACCAATTCGATCTGTGTTGTGGATGGAACGAATTTGGGCCTAAAGCAAGCATGGGGGTTGCGGTTCTTCGCGCAAGAGATCAGTTGGTTGTTATCAACATGTTACCCAGAGACTATTGAACGTATCTTTGTAGGTTGCTGATTCATTTTGCCTGATGGTCTTGCACCCGTGGACGCCTACTAATGATTATTATAACAGCTATGCAATGCGCCCTCGTATTATAGCACTATCTGGAGGTACCTGAAGGGCTGGGTTGACCCTCGAACTGCAGAGAAGATCCAAGTGCTCGAGGAGTCGGAGGTCCTTCCTACCCTCAGAGAGTATATCGACGATGCCAATATTCCAGCCAAGTTTGGCGGTAACTTTCAATTTACCCATGGAATGCTGCCAGATCTTGACGATAATCTCCAGCGACTTTTGAACTCAGATTCATCGAAATCCCTGCCTCCTGGGCCCTTGAAATGGATCCAAGATTCAGATGGTAGACAAACTGCATTGGCTGTTGGCAGCAGGGCCGGTTCTGAGAGGAGCGATAAGATCGCAACACTTGATCGAATTGGGCAATAACTTCACTGAATTGGTTGTTTTGGAGACCGATAGAATATTGTCGGTGGATTCCGTATTGTAAAAATGTAGGGTCCAATCAATGGTATTCAACTCTCTGTATTTCTGTATCGGCTCTCTACACAATTTATATGGAGCCTCGATTACATAACATAAATTACGAAAACACATAGGATTAATAAATCCTCCGGTATGCCGGTGTTACTGCGCCGACACACCCCCTCAGCGATCCCAGTATGGGATTGCTGGACCCTGTAGATCTGCTTCCTTCTAGGCTATTAGATAGCCTATGTCCACCATCCTGAGCATCCGTATGAAGCTTTCATGCTTCTGTCGAGAGAGTAATTTGGTGAGTCCATCGGCAACCATGCTCGCCGTTAGAACCCATTTCACCTGAATGCGTCCCTCTCTAACCTCCTGTCTCAACCAATGGCGATGAATATCTACATGTCGAAGCTTCGTTTCAAACGCCGTGTCCTCGCTTGTTAACAAGCTAATCGTTCTCTCGTTGTCACAATCGATTGTCATATCGTGGGAGGGGATAAAGCCAAGGTGATCAAGGAGTCGACGCCACCATTGAAGCTGCTTTCCTGCCTCTGATAGGCCAAGAAGCTCTGCTTCGGTAGTTGAAGTTGTTACGGTGGGTTGCTTGCTAGCTTTCCAGTCAACTGGACCCCCGTATGCCTGGCAAATATAGCCTACTGAGCTCTTTCTGTCAGGGTGATCCCCGTACGAGGCATCACTTACAAATTGTACCGAGTCCATTCCGGCACTTACTGCTCCAGCACTGTACTCAATTGCTAGGTTCCGGGTAGTATAGAGGTAAGAAATGACTCTATCTACCGCTTCATAATGTTGAGGACCGGGGTTGGTAAGAAATTGCGCTAGCCTAGCAGTTGCTTTCGCCGCATCCGGTCTCGTAATGGTGGTGGCATAGCCGGCAGATCCAACCTTTTACTAGTAGAGATGGATCTCTCTCGGTGTGGCTACACCTTGGTATGGCTTCAATTCGTCAACTGGTAGTGGTGTATACATAGGTGGACGATCTGTCAAGTTATACCGGGTAGCAATACTTGTCATATAGCTATCTTAACATAGCCAAAGCTTCTTTTACTTCCTATCCCGAAGGATTCGGATATTAAGAAACCATGCCGCTTCTCCATGATTTGTAAGCTCCTAATGCGCTTCTAGATCTCGCTCTAGTTGCTTGGCTTGTGTCTTTACAGAGAGATAGCTTGCAATTAGGATATCATCCATATAGAAGAAGACTAGTAGCCCTTCTCCAACAAAGACGTAGGGGTCTTCTGGTGCTTACTACAACCCTAGCTTGCGTAGTACGCTAGCTACTTCTTATTGCTAAAGTCGTGGCGAGATCCGTAAGCCGTACAATGCTCGACGGAGCTTCCAGCATTTGCCTGGTACTTGAAACCCTTCTGGCATATGCGTATACGTTTCTTGGTCTAGCTTACTATTTAGAAATGCAGTGATAGCATCTCGCTGGCGGAGATCTAGATCAAAGGCAGCTACTAGTGCAAAGATCATCCTAGCGGTCCTAGCTGCTAGTGTAGCAGCTCTCTTTTCTTCATACGAAATCGTTTCAAGATCTCCACGTACACAGATACGGGCCTTTAGCTTTAGAAGGTAACCGTCCTGGTCAAATTTGTATGAGAAAACCCATAGTAAGGGGAGGATCTGCTTTCCTCGGTCCCTTGGTTTCTCAATCACTTCAAATGTCTCCTTCGCACTTAAGGAGTTGATCTCTTTCCTCATTGCTGTGAGAAAACCTCCCTAAAACGGATGGTTCATGACATCTTTCCAGTACTTTGGTGGTGGTGGGAGATCGTCTCGATGGCGTCGAATGCCTAGTTTCTCGGCGTACAAGCCAGCTGCGAAAGCATGTAGTAGAGCCGGTGGCTCTTCATCCTATACTATAGTGGTTACATATGCAAAATCATCATCTTGTCTTGCTCTACGTGTTCGACGACCACTTAGTATATTGCCGGCATCTATATTGCTGGTGATCTCCCTACTTGGTGCTAGGCTTGGTGCTAGCAATTCTACCTGGAGCTATCTTTCTAGCTCGTCTTCTTCAATGGGAATAGTTTCATTTTCATGCTGCTAGGCCTGGTCCCTAGCTAGCAATTGATCATCTTGATCATGCATATCCACCCCCTAACCCGGACCAGTACTCGCTTCTTGCGGCGGCGTGATTAGTGGTGGTGGGTCCTGATCATCCGGAAAAGCACCTGGTAGTGCTATACGTGGCGGTGGATCTTCCTAATCCTTTTTATGAAGCATTTCACCCGCTTGCGCTATATATAGAGCGCTCGGTGTTAGCAGATATGCTTCCTCATTCACCCCCTATAATGGGGTGGTATCCCGTTGTATATTAACGGCGTCACTTGCTTCCCGTATTCCACCTTAGGGATCATCCTCTGCCTCGTGATCTTGCTGGTTGTCCTATTCCGGCATACTAGTCTCTTCTTGACTAGTAATCTTATGGTTGATCACCTAGGTGATCTCTTCAACGGTGAGCTCTTCTGGTTCTCTCACTAGTGGTAGTGGAACTAGTTGAGATCTCTCATACTCGGGTAAGTACTTGCGTCCTTCATCAATAACTGCATCTCTGATATGCTTCACCTTGCCAGTGTGTGGAAACCAGATCTTATAAATGTTGGAAGCGAGATATCCAACCAAGAAACCAACCTCTACGCGAGGATTAATCTTATCTGACTACACTTGCTTTTCAATCCTACAGTATGCTAGGCTTCCATACAACCTAACATTTGCTAGGTTAATCCTCGGCATTACCGGCGCAAATTCCTTTCTCACTTCCTCCCATGGTATCAACCACCTATTCTCGGAAGCAATATATGATGGTGTACGGTTCAATAACCATACGGCGGCGCTTACAAATTCTGGCCATAGATCTTTAGGAAGCTTCCCTTCGAGGGCGAGCATCCGCATACGAGTAATGATTATACCGCCAGATCTCTCGGCATAGCCATTCATCTCGGAGTGGCCGGGTGGAGTATGATATATCAAGATACCATCGCTTGTCAAGCTATACTCCGATGCTTTGCCAGCTGCTACTTCATTATCATAGTGAAAGGCCTTAATTGGCAGCTTCCACTGATTCCTTGCTAGCTATACAAACTGGTTGATAGCCACTTGACATTCAGGCTTCAGTTCGTGCGTTATAATCCAATGGAATCTCGGTCCTTCTATATAGAAGTGAGAGATCCATCGATGCTTATTATACGCCGGTGGCAGTTATATCAAGTCAAAATGGACTCTTCCAAATCGTCCAAAGGTGCGTCCAATTGGCCGTCGTGATATCTGCTTTAGTGCTCGCCCAAGATGACAGGTTTGGCATAGTGATTCCTACTCCTCCGTCGATTTCGCTCCTTTATCCTCGAGGACGACGCCATCCACCATAGTAGCAAGCTTTGCTATAGTCCGTGATTCAATGTGGGCTAGGCGCCGGTGCCATACCTCGGCGGAAGCCTTTGATTCCTTCGGCTTCACTAATCTCCTTTGTGTTGGCTGCACAGCATATACTTGTTATGGTGGAGCTTCACCTAGCTCGTCAAAGATCCAGAGATTGAATTGATCCCATAGGTTCACATAGACGACAGGTCTATCGTTTAGATCCCGTATACAATTCGTACGTTAGCACCAAAGCCCGCCTTTCTTCTTCAGCATCGCATACGACACGAGATTCGTGTGGAAACTAGGTGAGTATAGAGCATCACTCAATATAATCTCCATCCTTCCTTTAACTGGGTGTCTCCCAATTAGGCGAACCTTGCCTCTGCCTAGCACCTGCGTGGTACTATCTCTAGTTGTCAAATCCATAATATCTGCTGTGAAGTCGACAAATAGATCTCGATTATTACAAACGTGCGTGCTTGATCCGGTATCAAGAATCCATCGATTATAGAGAGAGAGATCACCGGCCTTTACTACAGATAGCACATGCTTGCTAATCTGTATAGCTTCACCTAGCGACTTGCCTTAGTGCTAGCAGTGGTGCTGGCCGTGGTGCTGGCCGTGGTGCTGGCCGTGGTGCTAGCCGTGGTGCTGGCTTTAGTAGGTGGTTGCGAAACTGACTTGGTTTGCATACTCAGTCTGCTTAGGCTTAGCATCAGCTACCACCTTATCAACCCATTTCTTCCAGCCTAGGTCCTTCTCTAGCACCTTCTTTACTCTCTCCAGCTTCTCTTTATATGGGATGAAGCCTTCTAGTCGGGTGGCTTCGTTCATAATCCAGCAAGTGGCAACCTTATACTTTGAACCAGATCTCCCACATAGACAATCTCTCTTTTCAAAAGGAAGCTTCTCTTGCCTTTCTTGCTTTGCTTCCTAGTGCCCTTGCCAGGTTGAAAAGGCGCCTTTCGGAGGAGTGGTCGAGGTGATAGTCTTAACACCTATCTCACGGTTCATTACGCGAAACGATTCGAGAAGATCTCGAGTATCATACGCCTTTTTATCCATGATAATCTCCTAGTATTTGCCTTACCACCAGATCGGTAGTACTTCTTTCACAGCGTGTAGGAAGTCCCTATTGGCATCTCCATCGTTAATACCAAGGCTGATCGCCTGCTCCCTTAGCGAATTCCACTTTTGAAGCTATTGCTCGATATCTCCCGTCGGCTTCTACATCGTAAACACCTTCCAATTCATTCGAATCTCCTCCTCATACGCGGTCGATCTTACGAAACGAGACTTCAGATACACAAGTCTATCATACGGAGTACGATATTCTATCAGAGCGAGGTGGTGCATTGGGTCAAGATACGTGAGGATGTATTCATTTACATCACTCAGTCCCTTTGCTTGTTTCTCCCACCGTGCGTTCTTCACTTTATACACGTCCATTCGATCTCGCCAGACCCTTCGATTCCTTTCGTCACCCTCCTCAGGGTATTCCGGTTCCACCGGTTCCTTTAGGGTATCGGGTCGTTCGGTTGATAGGGTATCCGGGTTACAGTGGTCCCAGACGTTCTTTTGCATTGCATATAACTGCACCTTTGCAAACCAGGTGAGCCATTGCGGTGCATCCTTCAGTTTTTCGCCCTTCATGGCGGAGAGGATTGATGCTGCCTCCATTGCTAGATGCTTCAATGTTTTGAACAATGAATCAAGGGATGATAGCTTGGTATAGCTTCAGGGTTGCAAGACAACTTCTAGCTGCGTGCTAGATACTATATACCGATATAGTAGTCTTATTCAGTGCGAACCGGGCTCATAACTGTCGGTGGATTCCGTATTGTAAAAATGTAGGGTCCAATCAATGGTATTCAACTCTCTGTATTTCTGTATCGGCTCTCTACACAATTTATATGGAGCCTCGATTACATAACATAAATTACGAAAACACATAGGATTAATAAATCCTCCGGTATGCCGGTGTTACTGCGCCGACAAATATATGCTGCCTCAGGCCATTGATGCCTCAGGCTATATATCATGCCTGAGGCAGCAAATTCTTCTCTGGCTGTTAGTTGGGTCCAACCCTCTTGTGTATTAACTTTTACGCTTCGGGCTGTGGAGATCAACAATAAACGGTGGAATGAATGACTATATATCACGTCCAAAGAGAAAAAAAGGAAGAAAAGAAAATTCGAAAACCGGAAACTGAGTTTATCTTGTTGCGACCCGTGGACTTGACGATGAGGTCATGTAACCGTAGGTCCAACCGCTCCAACCGCCTCTTGGCAAATTAAATTGGCCCAATGGTGCACAATAATTGATGTAGATACTTGATATATTATCCTGCCTGTTACCTTGGAATATTCTGTGCTTTATATTACCCACATATCTTTTTCAGAGCATATCGGCGTGAGATCAAATAAGATAAATTAAGATAAAATAAGAGTTGCAGAGAACGTGTTCCCCACTAGACACGGGCAAAGTGGACGATCTCTATCTCCAAGCGACCAGATGGACCTCCAATGGGCCCCCCAACCTTGGAAGTGACCCACTTGGCCCACGCTTTCTTTGACTAGGATTTCCCATTCCGGTTAGGAAAGTATGGATGTCCGTGTTTCCCGTCAGATAGCGAGGTTGAATCTGCTTTTTCTTCACTCTCTCCTTCTGCTTGATCTTCTGCTTGTCCTGATCAATGACCCTTTTGAATATGAATGAGTGAACTTCCTATACCCGTGCGCCCCTTATTCGTCATACCTTAAAACCTTGGTCATCACGACGAGGCTAGTACCCACCGGGAAATTAGTCCTAGGGGGCGGTATGATCGCATCGAGCTGCCAGCTTGCGATTATCACGGACGAAATTCATACAAAACCAAGCTCCAAAGACTGTTGAAAAAATGCCTGCTTTCAGCATGCCACATATGATGACGACATTCAATTCGCGCGCAGGCCGAGTTGCGGTGCTCGCAGTCTTCTGTGTCCTCACCCTTATCTGGATCTTGCCCAGGCACGAGGCCTCAGTATCACCGATCTTCTATGCAGGGGATGGCTATAATAGCAGTCATCCCATCGATGCTCTTATCAATACAGCAGAGACCGATATACACGAACTCCTCGCAACACAAGCGCACGACCTTCAGACCGCTGCACAACAATACCGAGCGCGCCGTGGAAGGCACCCTCCTCCTGGATTTGGGGAATGGTACGAGTTCGCAAAGTCAAAAGACTCATTGATCATTGAGGAATTCTTCGATCAGATCTATCACGACTTGACTCCATACTGGGCTCTCGAGCCGAAGGAATTGCGGCGACAAGCTAAAAGCATTCCGACCCGTATAACCGTTCGCAACAAAACTGCGATATTGAAAACCGATGAGCCAAGAAATTGGATGGACTCGTGGTATGATCTGGTCGCAAGATTGGAGGGTGGCCTTCCCGATCTCGATATGCCAATCAATGTCATGGATGAGACCCGGCTCGTTGTACCCTGGGAGGAAATAAACGAGTACGTGCAAAAGGAGCAGGCAAATCGCGTTATGACGAAGCCGAGCCTTGTTATCCCCGAATACATGTCTTTGGCCGATTCGGATCATGAAGACCTGGGAACTTATGATCCTGGGTTTGCAGTTCCCGGCGAGGGAGGTTATTGGGAGATGGCTCGGGTTGGCTGCCCGCCTGGAAGCCCTGCACGCAACATTATCCTTCCTAAGGTGGATTTCAGTACTCCTCCTTGGGAATATGACAATTTTGAGAGAATGTCATACCACGGTTATGTATCAAATTATACGCTGGTTAAGGACCCATGTGTGCGTCCAGAAATGCAAGTTTTGCATGGTACCTTCCTTGAACCAATCTCTGTTTCAACGTCGCACAAACTGATGCCCCTGTTCGGTGGGTCCAAGCTTCCCATGAATAATGAAATTCTCCTTCCCCCGGCGATGTACTGGGCACAGAATGACCATTATTCCGGTGGGGAGAAGGAGCACGGTGGTCCCTGGGAATCGAAAGCAAACAAGGCTGGATGGCGAGGTGCTGCTACTGGAGGCCGGGCTCGAGAGCCTAACTGGACGGGCTTCCAGAGACACCGATTCATGTCGATGATGAACGCGACATCAGTGTCTCAGGCTGAGAAGAACCACAGCCACGGTATCAACTTCAGACTTCCAAACTATGCCGATTACAAGTTGAAGGGCGACGATTTTATCCCCCAGCTTCTCGAAGAGCATACTGACACAGGCTTCAACCACCTGGTTTGCACGCCTTATAATGAAGCGGACCCTACTTGTCCGTATCTCGATCCATACTTCGAGGTCGCCCCTGGCATGCCAATGAAGGAGATGTACAACTTCAAGTATCTGCCCGATCTTGACGGGAACTCCTTCAGTGGCCGGTACCGCGGATTTCTGTTGTCCACCTCCCTCCCCATCAAAGCTACTATCTACAATGAGTGGCACGACTCGCGACTGATCCCTTGGGTACATTTCGTCCCCATGGATACCACCTACATTGACATCTATGGAATTATGGCTTACTTCCTCGGCGGCCGTGACAAGGAAGCCCATAAGATTGCCCTCGCTGGGAAATCTTGGGGTGAAAAGGTCCTCCGACGGGAGGACATGGAAATCTACACTTACCGACTTCTCTTGGAGTATGCCCGCATTTGTGATGATCAAAGGGAATTTCTCGGTTACGTCGATGATCTCAAGATGGATTGATTGCGGCCATTGGTCTCGGTACGCATACGTTCAAATCGACGTCTACGGTCGACCCTCCAGAATCCCTAACAGGGTTGGTTCATCGGGCATGATCATCAAACTTTTTTCATAAACGAAAACATGTGGTCTCGCCTGGGTCCTTACTTGGCTCCTCAGCATAGGAATCCCCGACTGCTTGGGCTTTCTCGGCTTCGCCCTCTTGGCACTGGCCTTGATGTCTCCACCCCGACATTATTGGCCTTTTCAGACTTCGGTCTTTCTCTTCGTCCCTTTTTATTCTCTACTATATCCCATTTTCATGTCATGTTTGTTTTTTCTTATTGATGATTACTGATACCATGCCAAACTGCTTTTCTTGGCTAGTGTCTGATGTACATAAATAGATGATTTCTGCCAATTATGATTTGTTATTCGTCTTCTTACATCCTTCTCTACACACAGAGAGAGAATTCCTACATTAAAAAAAAGCACTGTACCCCACAATCTGGCGCTCTAACACGCCTCACTCCTTCCACTCATCTCTACCAAGCCTAACAATATCAGCCTGTTCCAGAACCCAATAGTTCGATGGGGCTTTGCCCTCTTCAGCCACACGGGCAGCTGCTACAGCTGCTCTACCAATAGTCGTTTGGTTTTGACCTGCTCAGGCCGGGTTAGCTCTGAAACTTTGGAAAAATTCAAGTATTGTTCAGCACAGCCATACCAACTTTGTCCTGGACACCCTGTCCCAGCTTTTGAAGGCCTTCCACAAACTTTTCTAAAAGAAAAGACTTGGACTCCTCCCTTCCGATAATCATCCCCGGTCTCAGAATGATAGCATTGTCAAAACCAAGCTCCTTGATGGCATCCTCGACGCCAACCTTCATCTTCGAGTATGGAACCCAACCCCACAGGAAGCTTCTAGTGCCTCCACTAGAAATATAAATGTACGTCTTCACGCCTGCTTCCTTAGCTGCTCGCGCATTCTCGACACATAAATCATGATCGATCTTCCACTGATTCTTGATGCTACCCGCCGTCGCTTTCGTAGTACCAACTGCGTTGAAAACCATTGATGGCTTGGAGGACAGAGATGAGATCATGCCTCCCCATTTTGAGGTGTCGCTTTCCTCGAGTGCTTCAAGCTTAGCTGACTGTGCTTTGGGGAGTCTCCTGGAGATAGTCTTCACAGTTGAAAATGCGTCTGACGCGAGGAGTGTAGCCAGGATCTGAGATCCAACTGCCCCCGTGCATCCGAATACCGCTGCCGTAGTCATGGTGGAGGTTTGTGATATGTTAGCACAGTCTTGAGAGAGATGACCTTCCAAAAGAAGGGAGAGTGTGGTCCAAGCGTTTGCATGTTCCCGCTCCCAAGTCGGGCCGATCTCGATGGATGACGTCATCTGCATCACCCACCTTGGCACCTGGGGCAGCTGGGTACTCTTGATATATTTCGAGATCAGTCTCCAATGCATCCTTCTATATCGATGCAGATACTATTGTCGGATTGTCCTGCGTCTCGTGTTGTATCGACATATATTAATAGAACACGGGACGGCCTACTTAGTTGGGCTCAGGCGTTCCCATTGAGTCAACCACAGACCATGTGCTGCTGACTGGAGGTTGCTTGTTTTATTTTAGACCTTAATCTCTTTGATTGGATTTCCACCGTTTTGTCCATCTTGAAATGTCTTAGTTTTGTTACTGGCACTTTGGAAGAGAAGCACAACCTCTCGCAAATCTGACGCCCTATGCGGGATTTTCTGCCAACCTCGCGCCCTTCCTACAACATGTCAGACTAACCAACTACCACGTTCGCAGGTTAGGTGAGAGGTTCGCAGGTTAGGTGAGAGATATTTAAATACCAAAGCTCTTCCCGGTAGAATTCACAGGTCATAAAATTTGATCATCGTGAACATCTCTCCAGCGAAAAATGAACGAGCTTAATTTTCGCGTCGCGACCGAAGAAGACGCGACTCAACTCCAGCAGTTGGTGGAATCTGCGTTCCGCGCCGAGGACAGCAGGAAAGGCTGGACAGATGATCTAGGTCTCTCATCGAGCTTTCGCCTCGATGTCAAAGAGGTTTTAGCCATGATCACCAAACCGGACAGTGTCATGTTGATGGCAACGAACAATGAAAATACGCTCGTCGGCTCAATCGGGACTTCCAAGCGCGACGCAAACCACGCTCGTATTTTCATGCTTGCCATTGACACGAGCCAACAGCAAGGTGGCATTGGGCGACAGGTCTTGGCATACGCTGAAGAGTATTGTCAACGGACTTGGGGTGTTACGACGCTAGGATTAAACGCCCTTTCGAATCGCCAGGAACTTATCTCATGGTATTCGCGACGTGGATACAAAACTACGGGCGAAACGACGCCCTTTCCTCGTGAGAAGTTCGAGAACTTGTTGTTGCCAGAGGATCTTTGTTTTGTTGAATTTGAGAAGGTTATGGAATAGCACCTGCTGCACAAGCTACATAAATTGGCCACATGCGCAAGTGGCTATATGGAACCTCGGGATGTGATTTTTCTTTTGGCTACGACGTGGAAACTACGAGGGTCCCGGTTGAACCTGCCTATTGTCACCATGGGCACATTCTGGACCTCGAGCGCAGGGAAAGCTCGATGAATGGAGGATAGGTTGGACTGAGCGGCTCCGAGAGGATCCATCCATGGATGGAAACATGCAGACTAAGCACTGAACTTCTCTGCCCAAGTACATACATAGTATAGGACCCAGGCTATTGAGCATTGCAATACACTCATCAGCGCTTCCTAGATTTGGTCCACCAAAAGGGACAAACTTACATATTGTGAGCTCGGCTGTGCTACCCTAGGAATCTTTTCTTTCTCTCTTGCTTATCTTCAGCCCAAAATGTTTCATGTATAACTTCAAGCGCGCAACATAGAATCATCTAAGTCTTAAACGTAAGTGTAAGAAGGCTCAAGACGGGGCATCAGTAACAAAATCACATCATCAGATGAAGTCCTTAGATACGTTGCGAGAGAATGATAGAAGATCACTAGCTGTGAGCGCATTGTACTATCACACCACCAAGGCGAAAATAAGGGCTACAACGAGTCACATTGTCGGTGATTATCTCCGACATGCGGGGTGTTGTTTAGCGCTTTGCTGTCAAAACATTAGAAGGTTCCTCCCGGATGATGCAAGTTCATTGCCCCCTTGTTAGGGTCACTTCATTGATTCTTATTGGCCGTTGCACACACTTGTGTAACACAGTTAACCTTGCTAGCGATTTATTAGGACTGACACAGGGTTTGAAATTCCCGGCAATTTCCGATCTGGTGCTTCTGTTTAGCTGTATGCATTAATTGCTTCTCTTTTAGAGAAAAGACGCTCGATCGGGAATTTCCAATTCAATGTAGGTTGTGGAAATTATCATTGGCATTGAACATGATCAGGTGGCATCATAATAGCTGACTTTCTTTCCCTCATAGAAGGACCATCCCCCTTTGAAGTTCGTGGTTGCATTTTGCGGGTTTACATTTGGAGACCCTCTTTACAAGGACTTATATAGTCCAAAGATATAGACACCGATCTTTCTTGCTATTGCCAATATGGATGTAATAATCGCTGGATCTGAATCCCTGAGACTTCGTGATTCAAGCACAAATACTGATTTGTACTTTTTTGAAGGGGCACATTATGTCCCGCAAGGTGGGAGCTTCTTGGAATCTTTGGTCCAGTTCATTGAAGATGCTTTAAGAACTAAAGAGGACCGAGAGGACGATTGGGAGGATTGTGGAGGTTATTGAGTTTAGTGCTTTGTCCTGCTAGTCAGTACCGCGGGATGAACATGTCAAATAAACCAATTTTCGGTTTAACATTGTTTATCATATTATTTTCTGTATGTGGTTGGCTCAATATGTTGCTTAGCAAAGCGATATGTCCCTTGGCTCATTGGGCACGTTCCCGTGTCTTGCGCCTGGATTACCCTTTCATGTCCATCAATTTTGAACACTGTCAACATGGACATACCGGCGATGTACATGTTGCATACATATAATGTTGAGCAGTATGGTCAAGTCAAATCAATTGCTTTTGATGACCAGCTAGACTGGAATATTTGACGGATATTCAACAACTTGAGCAGTAAAAATGGTGACAGTTAATCATGCCATCAAGACTGGAAAGGCAAGCTGAAAATAATGGTAATTGGCTTGACCCAAAAGATCATTCTGAGACTTTAAAACCGAAGAAATACAATTTTCCGAAGCGAAGCTGGAGGATTTCTTGCATAGATGACAATGATCTCCAGATAAAGCTATGCCAAGCTTTGGAACAACCGTGGATGAAACAAAGTTTATCACCTTCCGTTTCACAGCCTTAAGAAATATAGTACTCAAACAATAACTTGATTTTATCTTTCACGTAGTTTAAATAAAGAGCCCCACAACTGAGTCCAGCCTCTGGGCTTGACATGTTTCACGATTAGTTGGGTTTGCTGCAGATAGTCAACTGGCTACTTGGTTGCCTTCTCCAAATCCGCAGCCCAGAGAGCCGCGCCAACAGTGTTCGTGAATGAAAATGCGATCGAGGCAAATGGTATCATTTCCAAAGCAAAGGCTGCAATTCCAAGTCTGAGGGGATAGTCAGCATTTGACCGGACAGCAGCCGGGGGGAAAGGGAACAAGATGGAGTTTACGCACCCAGTGTACGCGCCCTGGTTCTTCTTCACCCACTCCTCTCGCATAGTAGAGTCCCAGCCCTTAAGCTGGAAATATCTAGCATGAAGTACTGGTCCTGCTCTTTTTCCCTGCATGAAGATATACAACACCGTCCCGACTACAGGAATGAGGTTCAGGGGGAGGTAGAGCAACGATCGAAGCAACGCCCGCGGGTTCAGCCGCGCGAGTGGTCGAGTGAAAATCTTACCCAGTCTAGCCACTGCATCTTTCCCTCCCGATCGCGGTTTCACCTGGCGTCCTTGTGCTACGAGTGGCTCCTGGTCACGCGCGACTAGGGTACCATCGAAGGTGTCGATCAGGGCGTCCTCGACGAGGAATGCGCGTGAGAGGGCGTTTGTTATGGCGGAACTTTCGCCAAGAACGAGGATAGCTGCGGAAATAGCAGCCAATGGGCCACTAGTGAAGGCCATGATGGCCATCTGCGGCACGTACGTGAAGAAGAACATGACGGTCGTGACGCCTACTCCCAGCGTGATAGTTCGGCCGGCACGAGAGATAAAAGGGCGCCATAGGTCTTTATGGGTTGCGAAGTAGATGATTCCCTGAAAAGACCCATTCATTTGCAATTAGAGACGGTCGGAAAGAACTCTCCTTGAGGGGCATAGCTACTTACCTTGAATGGGTACAGGTATGCGCCAGACATGATCACATCATGGGCAACTGCTTGAGTGTTTTTCGCCTCGGCAAGCACTGCATCTTTGATCTTCTCGGACATGGTGTAGCCTACAAGTTTAGCAGCATGGGGTGGAAAAGAATGAGTTTTGGAAACCGTCCCGGGTGGGAAGGTGACGATTAGATTATCGATAAGAGAATAGCCTCGTGATGACGTCATTAAACGGAGCTTCCAAGGTTAGAAACGATACTGGGAGAACATCCGCCATCTACGTAGGCAGGCTTTCTTAATTACTATTCAATGCCCCCAAATAACAGTAGGTAGGAAGCACTCCATAAGACCCTGAGGCTTAGTACCCGACAGTGATGTATGATAAACTAGATAAGTATGAGGGCCCTTGACCTAGCCCATTTTATAATGTAGACCACATTTCTGTAGTGGGGTAAACTTATAGATTGCACTATGTACTTAAATCAACAGGACCTGCAAGAAGAAAACCCTTGTCAAGAAGTGAGTTGGCCAGGAATGTTAGTGGGATTATTTCCCAAAGGGGTTCCATCCTCCAGCCACCATATCGACCACCCTCTTAGTCGCTTCATCCAAGTCCTCTTTAGGTAGCCCTAATGTATCATTCGCCAACTCCATTGTCCCTGCAAAATCGGCTTCCTTGTTGCTTGGCGAAAATACACCCCCATAAAGCATTTTAGGAAACCCCGTGAAGACACCCTTAGTCATCTCCTCAGCGCCGTCTGCAAGGCGCTTAGCGACACTCTCGTGAGTAATCTCCCAGTCAGAGTCTGTGGTGCCCAAGACACGATGCAGACTATCGAGCATATCGCGTTGGGAGACGCGGAAGCTATTGATCCGGACTTCCTTGTTCTTGAAGTCGACAAGCGCAGGGGTTGCTCCCGACTCCGGCAGGCTGAGAAGAGCGGCCAGCGCACGACCGCATTGGTCCCAAGTGCTGACGCTAATGATTCGAGAGCCGTCGTCGAAAAAGGTCACCTTCCGGTCTTTGATCGTGAAGCCAAACCATTGCTCGCCGATTGCCAGGCTCCATTCGTACCAGAACCCACATGGCAGTGTCACTGAGGACGAGACACCATTTTGAGCGTCATCGATTCGAGCGAGAACGCGCTTTCCGTATAAATCCCCGTCCTTCACGCCTTCGGAGCTAATGGGGTATCCGTACGCATTGGGCATGATGTAGGGGACACCAGCCTTTCCGGCAGCTGCGGTAATCCTAGCATGAAGCTCGTCGGGGGCTTGGACGCTCAGAGTAATCACAAGAAATTGTTGGCCATTCAAAGCTTGGACAAGTGAGTCCTCGTCGTCGTAGTCAACTCGAACAGCTCGAACTCCATCGGGGAGCATTCCCTGACTATCTTCACGGGTGAGAGCTGTGACTGTATGCTGGCCCGTTTGTAGAAGCGATTTAGCAAAGGCTCCGCCAAGGCGGCCGGTAGCCTGCTGATGGTTAGCAGTTGCTCCTCAAAGAAAGCCTGGCAAAACATAGGGCATGAGTCAGTAGACCTACTCCGACAATGGCAACTCTTGTGACAGGCTTCGTGGACATAGTGAAAGAAATGGTTGATTGGAATGGGTTTGAGTTTTGTCTTACAGGTTACGCCCATCTGGTTTATATAGTCATTAAATTCCCGGAGTAAGCGGAGCAGAGCCCCGGCCCCGGAGCCGGGAGATAGTCGGAGAATGGAGCTAAGCATCGGGGTTGAACAGATAGTCGGAGAATGGAGCTAAGCATCGGGGTTGAACTATCACCGATCGTATTCCTTTTGGTCCCAAGGCCCCATATTTGACGCCTCGACCAATAAAAAAGGGGGATTGATATTTGGACTGTACTGCCTAAAAGATCAAGTGTATATTCCCACCGCCTCCCGATCGGGTGCGACACTGAATTCTGGCATACCTTTCTGCCACTACAGAGCTCTCTGCCATATTCTGCCACCACCATGTAATTCTGGTTTATGTAGTAAAAAAATACTATATTTTACTGACAAAAAATCGTACATTCTACCTAATTCCTGTCTTGAAAATCTACATATTGATTATCCTGCCCCCCCGCGCGCATTTTCCTCCCCGTCCCCGTCCTTCGGTGCTTATAGGTTTAGCACTAGTTCCACGTCCACGTCCCCGTCCCCGTTCCCGCCCCCGTCCCTGTCCCTGTCCCTGTCCCTGTCCCCGCCCCCGTCCCCGTCCCCGTCCCTGTCCACCTTCCTGCGAAAGCATATGTTCGAATGCTGATGATTCTCGCCGGGTGGATCGATCCTAGGTGAGAGGATCTAGCGAAGAGAGGATATCCTGGGTGGGGTCCAAGAAGGCAGGTTAATAGGTGTAAACCAGAATTGGAATATCAATTTGTTTGGTTTAGTCCTATATATGTATGTACGGAGTGTTATATGATAAAAGTGACTTAATTTTGTATAGGGTTTACATATAAATTGTAAGTATCTGCTCTCTTACTACTATTTCATGGGTAGTTTGACATAAAGGCTGTGAGGAAGACGGTCTATAAACCCTCATTTTTCAGGCGGGGTGACAAATATCAATCCCCTAAAAAAAATGACTCCATCTATATTTATATTAACCACGCTGGAGTTAACGTATAATGAACCTATGCACGGCGAAATTCGTTAGCGGAACAGAATACAGTTACTCCATCAGCCCATGAATTAGATGCTAAACCTCCGCTTATGTGTACGGAAAGGGCCATGTACTTCTTCCTAGACAGCTAGGGTATATGTCGATATCTATATTTCAGCTGCTTTCTTTTTTGGTGCTGCGATGGCAAAGGCCCACACTGTTTATGGAGGTAAGTCTAAATACATGTTTGAGTGAGGTCAATTCTCACTTACCCATCCGTAGTTATCACACCGGCATTGCTCGTAAATTGGGCAGCTGAACACGGAAACATAGCCTTTAGTCTCCCACAGCAACATAAAGACTTAGTCTTCCAGAAGACACTTACTGGACCCCTTCCATACCGAACACCACATGCCACAAAGTTTCAAACACCCACCCAACACCATAGTCATCAACAAGCGGCACACTCTTCTCGTTCACCCAAGTTAGCATACGGATATAATCGCGTTTGGGTCGCTGCCAGATGCGGGCTCGGCTGACCGCAAACTGGGCACAGCAAATTCCCCCAATGTGTTCTGGGACATGTGCCTCTTCCCCGAAAATGTCTTTATATATACTAGGAAAGTTTGCACGCGCATCATTCTTGTCAATATCTGCTTGTGTGGGGCTATGGGGATTGACGTGAATCGGACAGCCTGGGTTATTCGCACAGCGCAGGTTCAAATATCCCATAGCATCCACAGCTTCGCGGCGTAGACTGTGCAAAACGCTGCTTGTTTGGGGACCAAATAGATCGTTGTGCCACTGCTCGGGGTTGGCATGGAGGAAAATTGAGTATTCGGGAAGCTCGTCGTATAGGTCGACAACGAACGAAAGATAAGCGGAGGCCTCGCGGCCACGAGAGGAGTGTGCGACGAGTAGCTCTGTCTCGGGGTTTTGGTCCATGGTGTAAATGAACGGAGTGTTGTCGGTTCTGACCATGGGCATCCAATTAGTATGGTTGCCTGCAACCGTGGGTTTTACTTACTGCGTTTGAAGATAATCACGAAGCCATCTCAAGTCATCTGAGCGTGTCTTTGACATTACCAAAGCCACCTTTGTTGAGTTTGCGTCATAGCTTTGGGTTTTCTTAACAAGTTCAGAAAGCGCTGCAATCTTTTCTATCTCTTCTTCTGATTGTTCTACTAATGTCAGCATTGAGCCACACTGAATTTGATAATGTAGCTTCGTACTCGGATCCAAAGTTTCGTCCACGATTTGGACTGAGTGATAAGCATCCAAATGACCGAATTTGATAATCACGAGAACTGCGCAGGCAAATATCATGAATCCTGATAATATGGGCTGATGCCTGATCCATGAGGCTATCGATCTCTTGAGTCGTGCCGGATATACACGGCTTTCGGATCTGCTGTGGCCACACTTATTGATGTTCATTCTGAAGTTTTCTGCGATCGCGAAGTAAAATGAGAGAAGGAGGAATTATTTTGATTTCCTTGGTTTATGACCTAGCTCGCAGACCTTAGCTCCCAGGGCCGGGTTTGCGACATGCGCGTAGGACCTGTAATGCTATGGCCTCCTTGGAAGCTTTGTATCCAACTGAAGCTCCACATATGGTTTAACTTGACTGGTTTGGAGGATTTTGGCCAGTCATTGACGAAGCTCAAGATTCCATCTCCATACGATTGTCGGCCCCACTTCTTCCCTTTTTCAGCCCTCTACATTGTAAATATAGATTCCAACTAAGTATGGAGTACCCAGGATTGAGATCAAAGATTCAATACAACATAGACGACACAAACCGGCTATGATGATGCAGGCCATATGCCATGTATAAACTTGATGTTTCATTGGTCGCAATAACTGCGTACGTGGCTCGCCCTTGCGTGGTGGACGGTCCCTTGCCTTTGCTGTTGCTATATCACCGAAAGAGTCATTTACCCGGCAATCATTTTCTGACACATTTTCGTCTTTACTGTAATAGCGTGTCGGCGTTCATCCAGTCGAGAGCACCTGTGCAGCCTTTTGTCTGCTGCTATTTGTTTTTTTTTCGCGATAGCATCATGTCCTTATTCCGGCAGCGATGAACGATTAACAAAATCGCAGATAATGGCCACGATTGTATCCTCAAAAGCAAAAAGGAGGCTCTCTGGGATTTTGGGTGGTCTCCTTTGAGTGAAATCCCGATTTTATGGGACGTTTTCTTCGTGTTTTGTCACCCTCCCCAAGACCCGTAGACGGCAGCCTCATGGCAGCGGGCGGGCAATTGAACTGGGGTACAGATTTAGTCGGAGGTCTCGTTGATCGAAGCTCAATTGCTTTGGGCAATAGAGAGGCTGGTCTCTTTTAAGAACCTCGACTCCGTATATGCGGGTTGTTGAAGAAGGATAGAGTGTTTGGATGTTCCTGGTGTTGATGTTTTGTGAACGAGATGGATGGGGCAGCAAAAATAAATGCAAAAATGGGGACCTTTGCAGTCCCATCAGATTTGAAGTTCAATGCGAAGGATGCGTCTACGCGTTAGGCGTCAGGTGCGCCAAGATTGAGGCCTGATACTCAAGGTAATAATAGGCAACCACATCCGGCAGCCACTTCGATGCCTCATCTTTGATTGAAGAACATCGAACAAAAATCAAACCTTCTCATCTTCGCCTTGTTTCCCTAGGTCTACTGTTAATACTCCGCTTCTCCGCCCGCCATGAATACTTCTATATATCCAGATTCAAAGACGGCGGTGTCGCTGACAGGTCCCACAGGGGCTTTTCTGGTCGAGTTGCTGATCTGGAACGGGTCGCCCTTCAAAGATCACTGGGCGCACTTTGTTCGGTCGCATGCAGACCCTGATGTCGGCGTAAAGATACACGCGACCGGCAATGTGAGAAGTGGCTTCGAGTTTGAAATTAAGCGCAGTGAAAACTTGCAAACAACCGACGACATTCCGTCGACAAGAGTCCCGCTACAATGGGTTGATGCAAGTTATTTTGATGGGAAGGCTATGCTTAACGATGGAGAATACAAAATCGACAATGCGCCTGTCTGTCGCTTCGAGAGGAGTGCTTACCAGATCAAAACTCCAGGGAAAAGTCTGAACACAATTAGTGACGATGTGAGTCTCTAATGCAGCTGCAACCCGGCCCCCATAATGCATGCCATGGGTGTGTCTGCCCTTAGAGCCACACTTGCGAGAATCCATATATGGCTCTTTATTGCTTCACTGGGATGTGTAGGCTAATTCGGATGTTCTAGCCCAAACCAGGCAGGAAATTTATTCAGAGGGATTGCCAGACATGGATTGTCGAGTCTGCCGATCAACTTCGTCGCACATTTTGAGCAATGAGGTTGTCGCTTATCTTCACATAATTAAACAGTAATGGTGGATTGAACCAGTGCTTGAGCCGGGTCACTTTTCCTGACAAAAAGCCGCTTTGGATCTTATGCGGAATTTTCCCTGAAACGTTCACTATTCTGTCGTCGAGCTGTCAGTCGGATAGAGTCTGTGAGAGATTCACCCTTAAATAGGGGTTTCCTGACCAGGGCATACAACACTTTGGGCACCCGCACGCGGACCCTGGTGACGGCATAAAGTTACTCAGTACATGCGACCACTTTTGGTTTTAGTGGACGTGCTCGCTCGCTTGTATTAGCGAGCTGAGGCGAGTTGTTCTGGCTGGTATTGGTTGTGTTAACTGTGGCCGCCCCGCTTGGGCTCATGTTCTTAATGCACATCGTTTTATTTGTCCAATAATACTGCTTCAGACATGAAGATTCTGACACAGAATCTTGTTCTGCAGGGGCATTGAGAGTCAATTCAAGGGGAAGTGGATTAAGTCTAAGCGGAAGAACAAAGCGCTCCAACAAGAGTAATCATCGAACGCTGAAAGGTTCATCACCAACGCTGCACCGACGGTATCCCTTTCTCGGGTTCCCCGCATCTCGAGCCGAAGTGCCACATGTCCTACATAAGTAGGGATAGACAATTGCTTATTTTGTGACGAGAAATGGGGTTGCTGAAGTGTCGATCCTAATTTCCGACCTTGAACCTCGGGTTCATGAAGCATGTGCACTAGTCCTGTTTAGTGCAGTAGGCATGTACACCGCACACCACAGTAAATGATCAATATACACGAGAACGTATGAGGCAATATCATGCGAGCTCATCGAATTTTGGATTGGGCCGCCAATATGCACCTTCGCAGACGAGGTCCGCATGACAGAGAATTTAGAGCAACTGAGGATGGCAATGGCTTCTCTTCTATGGTGACTTATATTATAGTAGTTAGGTACAGCATGCAACAAATGTTGTAAAGAGAGACAAAATAGAACCCGAGGTACTCCGTATGTTGTATACCCTTCATGATCTCTATTTCCTTTTTCTCCATAGAATCCAGAGAATCCATAGAACACAAGCCCCTATAGTGGAACCTGACGCCACATTGACTATCTGAGCCGTCTTGGAAATATCGATGCAACCTTCTATATTAAATCGGAAAAATCTTCATCGGAACAGCTTTCAATAACGCACTTCCACAGCCATGGCGATGTACATTGTATATTAGCTGCATATGCTCAAAATGATTGGTCCTCCAAACATTCCCCTTTACCTCGTAATGTTTGCTGTTGTAGCCCCCTACAATAGCACTCGGTGATCATGTGAATCCCGACTTCATCCCGCGACAGCCGTTTGATGGCATCCATTGACATGTACGATTGCTTCAAACATACCGAACGCAGTGCCATCATCGTCGCGAGGATGCACCCCTACATAGCATAGGTGGGGGTTTTACGGTGGGGTCAGAGCCAGTCGCGGCCAATAGGATATAGGAGGCTTGAAATCAGATCGCCAAAAACTCAATCTCGCGGGACTATTGATTCCGGTTTTAGCAACAAAAAATAATGGCATTGTGCTAATAATTCTCCAGCCCTAACACGGGAGCTGCGGTATAAAGACAATGAACCTCGGCGTCCTAGTCGACTTCCTTTCGCTCATTTGACTCGTCTTATAGCTTTATATTCGTCATGCTTTTTGGTCGCCTTCTCGGCGCGGCCGCGTTTTCTGCCATCGTCAAGGCTGTTGAGCTATCGGGCTATGAGTACATCGTGGTTGGCTCTGGGGCAGGAGGTGGTCCTTTAGCGGCGCGACTCGCCTTGGCAGGTCATAGCACCCTTCTTATCGAAGCTGGAGATGATCAAGGAGCGAATTTGAACTATACTGTTCCGGCTTTCTCTGCGACAGCATCCGAGGATGAATCTCTCGCATGGAACTTCTACGTCAAGCACTACGCCGATGAGTCTCGGCAAAAGCTCGACTTCAAGACAACATACGAAACTCCCGACGGCAAAGAGTACACGGGCTTGAACCCACCGGCCGGTTCCACAATGAAGGGCACACTTTATCCCCGTACCGGAACGCTTGGTGGCTGTACCGCACACAATGCCCTCGTTACCGTCTACCCGCACGATTCTGACTTCGAATACCTCGCCACACTCACTGGAGATGGGTCATGGTCACCCGACAATATGCGCAAATACTTTAAGCGCATGGAGAACAACCGCTACCTCCTCCCATTACTTAAGGGCCACGGCTATCATGGTTGGTTGAGCACTGAGACCGCGCCACTAAGTATTGTTTTGGAAGATCCCCAACTTCTAAGCATGCTGCTTGGCGGAGCATTTTCCCTAGGCAATGTGACTAAGTCAGTTTTCAACATCGGTACCCTACTCGCAGGAGACGCAAACTCGGCCGCAAACCACCGCGATACCTCACCTGGATACTATCAAGTCCCCCTGGCCTCCGATGGGAGCTCTCGTAACGGTCCTCGCGAGTTCGTGACTACCGTTAGGGATGCGAAAAATGCCGACGGGTCTAAGAAGTTCCCACTTGACATTCGTATGAACTGCCATGTGACCAAGGTCACCTTTGACGAGGGTACCCCTCCCCGCGCTACAGGCGTCGAGTTTCTAGACGGCAAATATCTATACAGCGCTAGTCCCCGCTCCAAGACCGCCGGCAAGGGAACACCAGGCTCAGCAGCAGCTTCGCGCGAAGTTATCGTCTCCGGCGGCGTGTACAACTCGCCTCAGATCCTGAAGCTTAGCGGTATTGGACCAGGAGAGGAGCTCCAGAAATTCGGAATTAAGGTTATCTCCAACCTTCCCGGCGTGGGCACGAACCTACAAGACCACTACGAAACCGCGGTGCAAGGTCATGTCCCAAAGAACTTCACTGCCCTCGATGGATGCACGTTCAATCATGGTGATGATCCTTGTCTCGACCGCTGGAATAAGCCAATCCTTGGTAACCGCGGTATCTACTCGTCCAATGGATTCGGAGCTGCGATGCTCTACAAGAGCTCCGTGACTGCGGATAATAGCTTCGATGTGTTTGTGTTCGGCGGCCCTGTCAACTTCCGTGGATACTTCCCTGGATACGGTGTGAATATCACCGAGCGCCATGACTGGTTCACTTGGGCGGTCCTTAAGGCTCATCCTCGTAACACAGCCGGGACTGTGATGCTTCGCTCTGCCGATCCGCTCGATATGCCCGATATTACTTTCAACTACTTTGACACTGGCTCTGGTGACTATAAAAAGGATTTGCAGGCTATCACTGAGGCTATTGGTGTTGCGCGTGGCGCCTTCGACCGTCAGTTGGTTGATGTGTCTGAGGTCCTTCCTGGTGACGATATCCAGACCGATGAAGAGATCCATGATTACATCAAGAATACGGCTTGGGGTCACCATGCTTCCTGTACTTGCCCTATTGGAACTGATGACGATCCCATGGCTGTTTTGGATTCTAACTTCCAAGTTCGTGGCGTCTCAGGCCTTCGCGTGGTGGATGCCTCCGTGTATCCCCGTATTCCCGGAACGTTTACTGCTCTTTCCACTTTCTTGGTGGCTGAGAAGGCAGCTGACGTGATCCTAGACGCAGCTAAAGCGAGCCAGTGAGCTTACTTATTTACTACCGTTATATTATAATCATCACGAGAGCGGGGTTCAATTCTTGAATACGTAGTGTACATATTTGATCAATGTCTGCCCTTTTGAAAAGCGGCAATTAATTCTCAGCCAAATTCTTTCACTGAAATTATCCCTTGCCCCGACGAGTTCTAGCGCTCAGCAATAATTTTGAATTCATGGTCTCTCTAATGCAAAAATAAAAAGGTCATCTCCCTCTTCTTGGAAATCACCCACGATCTTGAAGCCACACTTTTCTAGGACACGACAACTCCCAGCGTTCCTCTTCTCGCAAAGAGCAAATGCTCTCTCAGGCTCCGCTGGACAATCATCTTCGCCGTCAACTGTTCGACGCGCCAGATTCCACCACATCTTCAACATCAATTGCAAAGCCTCTGTTGCGTACCCTTTCCCCCAAGAAGATGGATGCACTGCGTATCCAATCTCAGGAAATGGATCTACTTGGCTGACACTGAGAGATCCAACAACTCGTTCCTCTGTTTCCGGGATTGACTTGTCCACAATGGCATAATGAAATGAACGACCGATGATATCAGATGGACCACTTGTGAACACCTTGGTTGCCATCCATTCACGGGTTTCTTCAATTGATTTGTGTGGTGTTTTAGGGTGGCTAATACAGTTAGCATGGTGCACATTCCTCATCAACGCCTCCAGGCGATGATCTTTGTACTAACTTCATTTCAGCTACTTCGGGCCGGGAACGAATAGCGAAAAGTGCGGTGGCATCGGCGTCGGTAATTGGCCGAAGAAGAAGTCGGTCGCTTTCAATTGAGGGCCCTGGTGATGGGACGATCACGTAGGTGGGTTGTTGAGGTAGGCTCATCTTGAAGGTATCTTGTTTCTCGGTATTGCGGAGAATATATTTCTGAGAAGGTTGTAAACAAATTAAAAGGGAAGATTGGAGGTTAGCGCTAAGCCAGTCCTGGAGCCCGATTGACTCAGAACTCAGCCTCTCTATATCGGCATCCTGGGCAGATACTGAATGAGTCACTCTCTATGCCTTTTTGCACGCTCTATATAATATACACTTTGTAATTTTCCATTAGCATTCCCAACTATAACAGTTTGAAGCGAAGCAGAACTTTTTATTTCAAGGTAGTCACGACAATACAATTGTTTTCGATGGGGTGAAACCGAGCCCCGCATCGCCGGCCACTAAGCCCTAAAACACCAGGCAGGCCGGAGTCCGGTCTCAAGGCGCTCTCATTGACCGGCCCGGTTGAACGTCAGGTTCATGGTGAAATATTGCAATCCATACAGGACGAAAGGACGATGTATCACAGGATCTGATTCGCCAACATGGTACTGATCATGACCACAGAATATTGAGTTTCCTGAGGCCGCGTTTCGGCTTAGGCTCCGGCTCAGGATTTTTGTGCCAGCTTTCAATGAAAGGCCGAATGGGAATTGCCGCCAGCGGGATGATCTTCGTTTTTGCCCAGAACTTGTAGGCAAAGTACACAATAACGATGAACGGCAGGTTGAAATAAGTCGAAACGAATGTTGCAGTACTCCAATGACCGCGCATAAATGTCGTAAACCCTCCAGTGAAGAACAGAACAATGTATATGACCAAGGAGATCCAAGTGATGTATGGCTGAAAGGGTGCCGCCCACGGGAGCTCCTTGAACCGATCAATTCCCTGCTTCTTGCATCCGTAGTAGAATCTAAGATAGACAACGCAGATGCAGATCAAGTTCACTAGAGTCGAGATAGAGACAAGGTTTTGTAGCCATGTGAATACTGTACTGGCCGAACTGGAAAGACTCATATATCCAAGTGCCATGAAAACACCATAGAGCGCGACAGCGACCCAAGGGATACCGAAGCGGTTGATACGTTTGAAGACAGCAGGGGCGTGACCCTGGGTTGCCATACCGTATAAAATTCTGGAACCGCCCAAGATATTGCTGTTCCCGGAGGACCATGCCGAGGTGAGAACAACTGCGTTGATGATTGATGGGACAACCTTGATACCAGCATGGCGGGCTGCGATAACGAAAGGGGACTGCGAGGCTGTCCCTGACGAGCCCAGAAGGTTTGGATCGGCAGACGAAACGATCAGACCGACCATGAAGATTGTTATCACGTAGAAGAGCAATATGCGGATGAAGATACGTCGGGCGGCCATGGGGATAGCGTGACGAGGGTTTTGAGTCTCGGCTGCAGCGAGAGTAAAGTTTTCGATACCAGAGTAAGCGAAGAGAGCATTGTCGAAAGTTTTCCAGAACCCTAAAAACTGGCCAAGGGACCCGCCTACTCCCAAGTACTGGACGAAGGGGCCATAAGGGGCTTTCCAGTAGGCAAATCCGATAGACGTGTTATTCGGGGCTCCGCCGCAAGTAATCACCTATAAAAATGGATTAGCACGCAAAGTAAAGCACGTTCCCAGCCTGATGGGGGCAATCACCAGAGCCATTATGTTTATTCCTATAATGAGCATAATCTTGAGGATAGAAAAGCCGAACTCGAGCTCTCCATATACGCGAACAAAGACAAACGCAGTGGAAAGCATGAGAAACCCAAGCACGGTGATCCATATTGCGTTGTTGACTGTGACCCAGAATTCAATGATAACAGCTGCAGCAACAATTTCCGACGGGATCGACACAGTGTAGGAGTATACTTGGTTCCACCCGTTGGCGAACGCTAGCGCGGGGTCACAGAAGATCTCTGCGTATCGAATAACACCACCATTGAGAGGTACCAGGGCTCCCATCTCACCAACTGCGAAGACGACACTTGAAACGGTAGCACCAATGATTGAATATGCCAAGAACGCACCCAATGGTCCAGCTTCCACAATGGCACGGCCCGAACTGAGAAAAATACCCGTCCCCACAGTGCCGGCGAGGGCAATCATCTGAATGTGTCGCTGATGGAGGCCCTGTCTGAACTCGCGAATCTCCTTGAGCTGGCCCGCGGCATTCTCTATGTCGCTATCGTCCCTCATTTCGGCGTCTTCGTAGCTGGGAACTTTCGAGTTGGACGCAATTGGGGTATTAATGCCATTGACGTCCTTCAAAACACCGTTCGTTATGAAAGGTGACATTGAAAACCTCGTTGCGTGACACAAAATCTTTGAAAGGAAAGGACTCAAGCTAAGGAATAACAAGTTATTATTGCTCGTACTTTTGCACATAACTAATTCTTCTCTCAATTGCGAAGATCGTGGCCCCCGGGCATAGTTGAACAATAACAGCTACTTATAAAGGGCCAATTTGCAATCCACATCTTGTCGTTGGCTAATAAACCCTTTCCCATTTTACAGCGCGGCTTTCGCGTAAATCGAAAAAGAACGAAAAAAGAAACTTTTCAGCGGGGTTTAAATAGGGCATCTATTTACTCCCGGGGTCCTCATCTGCTGCCCAGATGTGGAGCATCCGAGGCCAGAGTGGGCCACGCTTTGTCAGATTTGGATTGATCCGGGACTATCGACATATGTATCCATGCGTCGTGTTTCAAAATCCTCTATCAGTGTTGTATGGTGGTCCCATTCAACGGCAATGGGTATTTTATATTGCAATATGGGCTGGGAAGCGCGGTTTAATGAGGATATAAAAGCAAAACAGAAACATGTTACAGTCTCGACTTTTCTAATGTCGAAGATGTAGATTTTATGCAGTGTAGCGAATGATCTATTATTGCATAGTTAGTACTGAATCTTGCGGACAAGAAACAAATTGTCGCACCCACTGTATGAGCCAAAGGTTCCAAGATTGATGTAGCCTTATATGTGGCATATACTAGCCTTTTGCCCTTTCTATAAGGCTTCTTTGTTTGTCTCTTCCTTTAGTTTCGCCAGTTCAAGCGGTGTCAAGATCTCTTTGCCTGCCGGCATTGCACCGCGGTATTTGCGCCGTGATTCAGTAATATGCGAACAGTATTGATGCGGTCTCTGCTTTTAGAGCCCATCTGATTAAGGTAGTGATTAAAGAGGGGAGAGGCAGCCCAACACAGCGCGTCCACCCATCGCAATCAGCTTGCTCCACCGCTTGGCTCCACTCAGAGGACAGTTCGAGCCGAGACAGGATGTATTCCACTGTGTAGGCATTGCCATACTGGGCTGCCCAGTGGAGACAATTCTTGCCGTAGGCGTCAGGCGTCATCATGTTATCCTGGAAAGCAGCAGGACGGTATCAAAATCTTCGATGCCGCTAGCAGCGGCGAAGTGAATCGGCAGCCTTCCCGAGACAGGATCAACACAGGCTGGTGAAGGGCCCGCATCTAGAAGAAAGTCAACCAAGCTTGGGGTAGCTGAGAAACATGCTGTTGCCAGAGGACAATAGAATGTCGCCGGGACTAGCATTCCCACAGACACCCCCGAACGGACGAGGTAACGAACGACATTCTCCACCGAAGATGTAATATCGTGACGAGCATACTCACTTGGCAATAACGCCGAAATTAGCGGCGTCTGGTCCCATGTGTTAGGCGATATCAAAATGGGATCAGCCCCGTGTGCTAACAGAGCCTTCACGCAATCCAGGTGTGATCGGCGACATGCAGAGTGCAGCGGACTCTTCAAATAGACAGAAACACAATTCACCTCAATCTCAGTCTGGGATAATAGCAAATCGCGGAAAGGCGCTGTTTCAAACTCGATCGCACAATGAAGTGCTGTTTCCCCGTGGCTGTCCACTAAGTTTATATCCGCGCCGGCGTTAACCAACAAGGTGAGAGTGTCAATGTCCCCCTCTCCTTTCGCGGATAAAAGAGGTGTACAACCTTCAAAGTCCCTCTGGTTGAGATCCAGCTCCTCTTTGAGCTGCAAAAGGAATCGAGTAACATGGGGAGCCCGACAAACAGCCAGATGAAGAAATCCCTTTTCAGTGTCTGTGGTAGTGTCTGTCACGCTAGCACCACCTTCCACCAGGGCTTGTAATATGTTTTCATCGCGTTCATAGTCGACTGCAATACAAATCGGAGTCCATCCGTAGTTATCGCGAGTGTGCAGATCAGCACCGCTACCGAGTAGGGTTCGAATGATATGAACGCTTCCGATCTTGGCAGCATAAAAGATTGGCGACCAGCCTTCCTGACCGGGTGTATTAGGATCAGCGCCCGCATCGAGCAATAATCGTAGAATATCTGGTTTATCGAAGGCGGAGACAATGATCGCTGGCCTCTGTTGATCAACATGAGTCAATTGTGGGTGATTGTGTAACAGTTCTTCGACGATTTCCGCACGTCCTGATCGAATTGCATGATACAACGCAGATTGTTGCATTTGATCCACATTTTTGACATTGGGTTCTTGCTTGTCGCGATTGTCCGATAGTTCTTGGTGGTCAGTCTCCATGGCGGCTTTGGGCGTGATTCTCTGGGTTGTGCAGCAGTAGCGCGTTGTACCACCGTTGGAGTTGCTCGGTCCGAAGGATTTCTCTGGACTTGATGTTTCAAATACCGTGCTTAGACCAAACTTTCTCAAAACGGTGTTCTGGATCCGAGTTTCAGTGGACGTCAGCAAAAGTCAAGCCACCACTCGTATGGAATTAGCGCCACCAGGTTATGCAGTCACATCCCAAAGGTATGACCCCTCCACATCATCTCCTAACTTCTTCAATTTGATCTCTGAAGTACGCTGTCATCATATAATTACACTTCCAAGTTAATGGCTTGCTCAGAATGGTCGTCTCAGTAAGCAGTTGCACGTGGGGATGTGGAATTCTGTCCGACCAATCTCGCCCGCCGATAGCTGAGCGTGATTAACCCGTTGACTTAATACATTTATTTGACATTAATCGAGATAATACACAAGGTTTCCGAGTGCAACTACTCGATGAACACTGTATCTAGTAAATAACCGAAATATGACCAAGTAGATCCTTCAGCCCAAGTCTCCTCGGACACGACTTCATTTCAAACTGATGGCATCAACACCATCATAGGGAATTCCAAAAGCCTCGAGAAGATTGGTTGCAGCGGTTTCACCCGACTTGTAAGCACCATGCACGCAGCCATTACCAACAACGGTACAATGCTCACCGGCGAACTGCAAGCGACTGGCTTTGTGGTTTTTCAACGCATCAACCAGCAGCTGCGGCTCATCTCCAACCTTATCGGCGGAGTAAGTCCCATACCCAGCCAGCGGGTCCTGGGTCCAATGTGTAGTTTCAACACTGATCAGGCGGGGCAAAGCCTTGTAAGGTTCTGTACGGAATAATTTGAAAAGCGGTTCAAAAAATAGATATATCTCTTTCGGATCTTCCATGTTCTCGATGCGCTGTGTCAGAGGCTCGGCAATTTGTACGCACAGCTCTTTGCTGCCCGTCATTATCCATAGGTTGATTGTCACGGTGGCGTAGTTGAGGATATTATCATTCTCCCCGATGGAGAATATGCTGGGGCTAGACTGCACGGATGACCCAGACGAAGTATCCGATTCCTCTAGTGGTGATGGATAGAAGACGAACTGGTCATTCTCCTTTGACCAGAAGACTTCGGCGAACTCGAAAAACACTTTGCCCAAGGCGCCGTAGCTGAACTTGGACATGCCCTCTTGGATGTCACTCGGCAAGGGCGGGTTGAACGAGATAAGGTTGTGGTGATAGACGCCCAGTGGGCTAGTCATGATAACTGCATCTCCCTCAGTGATCCCGATTTCTCCAGCAGCATCCTTGTACCGGATTCGAGCTGGCGCGGTCCCGTCTTCGTTCCACTCCACGTCCTCAACATGGTGGTTGAGTCTGATGATGCTTGGATCACTTCGGAGAGGCTCGGCAGTCCAGTTCACAATCCGATCATAGCCGCCCTTCATATATAGATTGCGCTCGGTAATGAAGTAAGAGAGATGTTTGGACGATGCTAGATCCGTACTAGTGCCGATCCACAACTCTACCTCGCGGACAGCCTGCGGAGCCCAATCACGCTCATCTTCGGTGATGAGCTGGTGTTGGAGAACGAATTCTTTCGCGAATTCGTGGACAGGACGGTCCTCAGCGTCCGGGTTAGTTTCGTAGAACCATTCGCAGTAATCAGCGAACTCGTCTGCAACTTTCTTAGCTTTGAACTGGGATCCGGTTCGGCCTTCTCTGGTGAAGTACAGAGGAACGCCATCATCATAATAATATGGGATAGATAGCTGGGGAATGAGTTTCACCAGGCTGTTCTGGGAAGTTTCATGCATCCAAGCGGCGCCTGTTGACTATCAGCACATCTCGTTTGCTCTCCCACCCTGTTTCAATATCTGTTTCAGGTTTGTACCGTTATCTTACCAATATCTCGAACATGGTCACCCTTTCGGCTGGTCAAAATTCTTCCACCAATGCGATCGCGTGCTTCTAACACCACAACTTCACAACCATGGCGGTGCATAACAGCCGCGGCATGCAGACCAGAAACTCCAGCGCCCACCACAATCACCTTCTTGCGCTCCGACCTCGCTGCGTGTGTTCCCTCGATCAACTCCTTCGGAGTCACATCGAACGCAACCAGGTCGGAGCAACAATTACTAGGTTTTATGGGATTAATGCCCGTGATGGGAGAGGAAAGGTGAAATGATTGAGCCATTCTGAGTTGACAAGTTGACATTCGATGTTGCAGTTTTGGTAAACGGGGATCGCGTTGAACAGAAGTTGAGGGGGTTTAGGCTTTGTTATCGTAGTGGATAGCGACCACAAGGGACCTTTGCCAAAGTCTTATTGGCTTTTATTGCCAGCAGAAAATTGGCCATCTTGGTGATTTTCTAGGCTGCCAAGGTTTCAAGCTTATTATAGCGTAATATTAATCAAATAAATACTTCTAGTCACATGGATGAATCTCTATTATATATGGGAAAGTAATTTTGTATGACGGCGAATTGGTTTGCGGGTAAACTGACATTTATACCCATGTCAAACAACATAAAGGATATTGAGAAGACACTAAAAGGAAAATGTAATGGGATCGTAACTATAACGTGTATAATATCATCTTAAACAAACATGATATTCACATTATCCAAGTCCCATATCATTAATTATGAAGGGCATATATAAGCAGCCGACTATTCCGTTCTATATGAATGACTAGCCCACTATAACTAGACCTATAGAAACTTCTCATCGCCTTGATCAATTGAAGCAATCGTCTACCCAGTCCCACCCGTCAAGTGTAATGAAAGTCATAGCTCACTGGTGTGTCTACAAGAAAATCGAGATTATTGAGTTATCATGCCTAAATACCTTTGTATGGACACGCCATACAAAAGGTACCTACATAGTAATTTCAGGGAAGGTGAAATTTTGGGGTATAACGAAACAGCAGGCGGGGGAAGACGATCATAGAAATTACTTTGAAGGCGGAGGCGCAAGCGGTGAATCCTAAAAGCTAATAGGACCAAAATCCTTAGTGGTCGCTGCGCGCTGCGATAGGCTGAGGGGAAACAAAATTGCAGTTGTATTGGTTCCATGTTTCATTGATATCGTCACTTTCATCAAAGAACGATTTTCTCGTGATCCCCTTACTGATTCCTCCCTCCTAAATCTGATCGGACCCGCATTTTGTCCCGCATGTACCCACATCAACCTACAAATCAGAAGTGAGGTTGGGCGCAGTTGGCCGGGATTGCCCACGTGAGCCCCAAATAACGTCCAATCAGATCAACTATGTAGATAACGTTCCAGGTCATGGAGCTGGAGTTTACCGATGTGTTTGGCAATAACGGCTTTCCAGGACGGATCTTGGATTAGGTTGCAGGTTCGTTAGAGATTGTGACAAGCAGTGAATCATTGTTCATTCAACAGTATAAGCGGTCAGAATGAATTTTTCGGAAAGAAGAAAGGAGGAAAATAGGGAGAAATATAAACAACATTCCAATACGGAGGGGAGGGGCGTGTGACTCGAGCTTTCCCAGCTGCATTCCCAATCAGTCACGTACCCCAAGCACTTACTCCTGCACAAATAATACATATACATTCCAAGTTTGCCTTCACAAACTGCCCAGGTGATCTTACATCATTACACAGGAGGTTGACACATTAGACCTCTAAGAATCATGTACCTTGTACTTCTCAGCGAGAAGGTACCAACTTGAAAAGCCAAAGCGAGTCATCGCGGTTTAATATTTCTGCCCCTGCAAAAGCTAGACGTTGCGACAAAACAGTCCTTCTGACAATACATCAGAGCTAGCCTGAATAAAATCACTTTCAAATTCAGTCCAGCATCTGTCACGGGTTTATAGTCCCCCACAACCTTATACGGCGGCTTTCTCTGATGAATTCTTCACAGGACATCCTCGTGCACTAGGCCGAGTCCTCAAGCAACCCATCGAGTAGATATAAGAGAGGTGATAAGTCCATGAATGTCAGATAGTTTGATGTCAGAAGGTGGTATAGTTGAAACTTTGATCCCAATAAGCATGGAAATATACATGGCCCTAGCTCGGGGAGGTGGAAAGATACGCGACATGTTCTCTCACCTAACTACTGCTATCTGCTGGATACGTAAACAAAGGCTTGATTCGAGGACGTGGCACATATTCGAGCTTCCCGAGGTCAACAACCTGAAGTGTTGTCATGTAGCTGTTGTGAAAGTCCTTAGTCGATATTAGTGTAGAAGCATCCAAAATAAACCAATGTCCCCACCTCGGTGTAGTATAACGCCTCAAGAGGGATTCCGAACTGATTTCCATGATAAAACCTTCTCATAGCAGCTAAAGGTGAAAACTAAAAGTTATCCAAAGGGTAGCATAGTAAAGACCTCGGGCATTGGCCATTTGAGACGCCGCTTTTCCACAGACAGGGCCTGTGCACATATTGATAACTTGAATACAGCGCCTGGTTGGCTACCATCCATAATAGCTCAAGTGGAAGTCCGATAAACCTTTGCCTTAGTGTGTTCTGTCCATCGTCCTAAGCTTTGGGTTTTGATGATTCGTGAACTAGAGATGACGGGTCAACTTCTCCTAGAAGTTTAGTCAACTCAACCGCGCTGGTTACGGATGTTGAACCAAAGCTATTCTGAGTTGACATTTTGACATCCGAGTTTGAAGTTTTGGAGTAAATAAAATCACACAGCCAGAAGTTGAGGCTATAATAGGCCACTGAAGTACACCGCAGCTGTCTGAAATAGCCCTGTGGCCTCCTCGTTTCCACCTTTCAAGTATAGATAATCGAAATCAATCTGATTAGATATATAAAGTTAAATTACAAATACCTAGGTAATAACAAGGGGACTACATATGTATTAAGTTGTATGGCCCGTCCTTGGAAATGCTTAGCCCATTGCTTGTCTCCTCCAGGACTGCCCCACAGGAAAATCGAAAATTCTTATCTTCACAATTTTTCCCTTTTTTTTCTTTTTTCCCCTCTCAGAGACACACTCTCTTTTCTCGGTAAAATGTCTCCAGCATGACTGGCTTGCCAGGTCGGGTTTTAATCAGATTCCGATTTTGAATTTAGAAATGGAAGAGGACCTACAACTCAATGGCACCGAGCGCATTTGCGTTGACGGGGAGGTCGCATTAATTCCCTCGCCCACCAATTCTCCAAATGATCCACTAAACTGGAGCAGCTGGAGACGGTACTGGCATTCATTTTTGGTCCTTGTGTTTGTTGCCCTGACAGCGGCAACCGCCAACGATGCCGGCAACGCTGGAAATGGCATGAACGCTGATCTGGGTATCACCTGGGACCAGATCAACATTGCTGCAGGAGTTTTGTTTGTCGGCATTGGATATACCACATTGCTCCTCGGCCCAGCACCTTTCTTATATGGAAGACGTATCTCCTATCTGATTTGCCTGGCGTTTTCCGTCATCGGCTCCATCGGGCTAGCCCGCACACAAAGTGTCGGGGACAACATTTGGAGCCAACTTTTCGTGGGCGCCTCCGAATCCTGTGCGGAAGCCCTTGCCCAGCTGTCTCTTTCTGATCTGTTCTTTCAGCATCAAAGAGGTCTGGTGCTGGGATTATACGTTCTTGCCACGAGTATCGGTACATTCACGGGACCCTTAGTGTCCAGCTTTATCGTCGACTCTCCCATCGGGTGGAGATACGTGGGCTGGCTTGCTGCAATCATATCCGGGGGCTTGATCGTTGTCTTTTATTTCACATTGGAGGAAACATTCTTCGATCGGAACAACCCTATTCACGGACATGATGCGCCTCCTGTCAAGGCTGAGCCCACCTTGAATGACGTCCCGCTGGACAAAAAGGACAAACCGATTGCGAGCGTGCAGCCGACATCCTCTGACTGTGAACTCGACGAAGAATGCGGCCAGGAAAAAGGAAAGACATATTTCCAGCGCATCGCCCTGATCACCCCATCGCCAACCCTGGTTGGGACAGGCTTCAAGCAGTATTGCCGCCGCCTGTTGCACACGCTGCGCGTCTTCACCTTCCCCGCAGTCCTCTACTCGGGCCTTCAATGGGGTGCCCAAGACGCCTGGCTGACCTTCTACCTCACTGTTGAAGCAGACAATTGGTACGGGGGACCCTGGAACTACAGCGACGCCGCAGTGGGCATCATGAACGTGCCGACCCTGATCGGGTCGGTCCTCGGCTGTATCTACGGTGGATGGTTCTCCGATTTCTTCGTCATGTGGATGGCCAAGCGAAACAAAGGCATCTTCGAGGCTGAGCAGCGTCTCTGGCTCTTGTTGCCTGTTGCGTTTATCGGCCCTTCTGGCCTCATGCTATTCGGGATCGGCTCGGATAAAGGCTGGGACTGGCATCTGCCGTATCTTGGACTGGGATTCATTGGTTTCGGCTGGGGTTGTGCAGGCGATCTTAGCATGGCATATCTCATGGATGCATACCCGGATATGGTGCTGGAGGGCATGGTCGGTGTGTGTGTCATCAACAACACTATTGGTTGTCTTTTCACATTCACCGCCCAGAATTGGTTGGATGCTCAGAGTCTTGCACAGGTTTTCATTGCGATTGGCGTCTTGAGCTTCTGCTTTATTATGACTACTGTCCCGATGATCTACTGGGGCAAGAAGTGTCGGAAAATGACTCGGAAGCAGTACGAGGCTTTCCTTATGCTTCGTGATGGACCTTCTTAATTGAGGGTATGTCTGGCTCGCCATTTTGTCAATAAATTCTCATAATATTTGCAATAATCTGTGTGTTTTGGGGGCCAAACTGAATAAGAAGGGCCGAGTCTGCCCTGACTTGAATTTACCATTTCTGCTTAGCTGCACTAGCTAACCATTCCTGCCTTACACTTGCGAGCCATCTTGCAGTGGTGTTGGGCTGTAGCAGAGAAAGAAAGGGGGAAAAAAACAGTAGAGTCTTTCTCATTTAGAACATCTTTGTCAATTGTATGAGCACCAATCATCTTCGTGGTCAAGTCTTTGATGCCATGTTTATGAGTAATTTGGAGACTCCAACGCAACTCAGACATGGCGCAATTAGGGTAATCTTAATGCCCCGCAGAGGAAAGTAACTATCAGGTCCTCACAATTGTTCGGAAGGTAGTACTGTACTCCAGACCAAGTCAATATGCGTATGTCGTTCGTCAACACTTTAATTTGGTCGGGACGCAAACTAAATGACACCCGTGGACATTTCCATGCAATGAATAATAAATTTCAGAAAGAATATCGACTAAAACTTCCAAGATGCCAGAGTCGGGTAAATATTCTTGAGGCGTACGTAGTCCTCCCGCTAGTTCCCAACCATCTGGGGCCAACTACGCAAGCTGCCCCGTCATCCTCCATCCAAGCTTTTTTCAGATGGATCACCAATTAATTTCAAGTCCACACCTAATACATACAACTGTTGTAGCGATATTCTATACATCCACATGTCTCTCAAGCCAGCTCCACTATGTTTTCTATCTACGGGCCCAATCGTTATCCCCCGATGTGGTGGCTGGATGCATTTGCGTCGTAGTCGATGTGATGTTCCAAGGTTGAACATATCAACGCACATCTAAGAATAAAACTAACGGACCCATGTTTATGTATCTGTTGCCCTCGCTTGTTCGCCGAGGCTAAATCCCACTGCTTATAATTCCTGGGGCTTCGCAGTTTTCCTCAATTTCTGTTGATCGTTGTGTGCATCTATTACTTCACTCGTTCACTCTATTGCTCTACAGGTTTCAATATGGTTTTTAAGTCTTACTACCAGTGGGCTACTCTCGCCCTGGCTGCGACTGTTGCTGCTCAGACTACCACCAGCTGCAACCCTACGAAGAGTATGGACTATCTCATGTGATACGCCAGGAAATCGCACTGACAGTTCGTTTCCAGAAACTTGCCCAGCAGACACCGGCCTGAACAAGTACCGTCTGAACACAGACTTTACCTCTGGATCTCTAGGTCGCTGGAACACCACCGCCGGCACCGTAACCAGCACCGACCTCGGCGCCAAGTTCACCGTCTCCGAGCAGGGTGACGCCCCGACAATCGAAAGCGAATTCTATATCTTCTTCGGTCATGTCGACGTCAAGATGAGAGCCGCAAACGGCACCGGTATTGTCAGCACCTGGATCCTAGAGTCTGATGATCTCGACGAGATCGACTGGGTGAGTCCACCGGCAGCTGAAGCCACCAAACCCCATCCTCCAAAAAAGAAGCAACCGCTAATATAAGAAATAGGAACAAATCAGCACCTATGATACTGAAATCCAAACCGACTACTTCGGAAAAGGCAACACAACCTCCTACGACCGCGGCACCACCGTAACCGTCTCAACCCCAGAAGAAACTTTCCACACCTACTCAATCGACTGGACCTCAGAGCGCATCGAATGGCTCCTAGATGGCGAAGTCGTGCGCACACTCGAATACGCCGACGCCGTCGACGGCACAAACTACCCCCAATCACCCATGCGCATCCGCATCGGTATCTGGGCCGGCGGCGACCCGGATAACTCCGAGGGCACGATCGAGTGGGCCGGCGGCGAGACTGATTACACTCAAGGTCCTTTCTCCATGTACGTTGAGTCGGTCGATATCATCAACTACAACCCGGCTTCCGCGTACAAGTACACCGATAAGACTGGCGACTATACAAGTATCAAGGCTACCAACGCTACTACCTCGACTAACTTGAGCTCGTCGAACTCGAGTTCTATTATTGCTTCGAGTAAGACTTCTACTTCAAGTAAGACTTCTGCTTCGAGTAAGACTTCTGCTTTGGCCAAGGTTAGCTCGTCGTTGGTTGCTTCTTCGTCGGCGTCGGCTTCGGCGGCGGCTTCTTCTATTAGCTTTGTCTCTGCTGCGCCGGTTTCTTACTATACTTCTATTTTTGCCATGGTTGTCGGCTCGCTTGTTGCTGGCTTGATTCGATTTTAGATGGTTGTGTTGATGATGTAATAGGTCTGGGTGGTTTGTCGGTGCGACCTGGTCTATAGATATACGAATTATTCTTATTTTCCAACCACTCCTTTTGTGATTTACTGTTGCAGCTAGGAAGATAAGAAGAATTAGCCGTAAAATATAGATGTAAAATGTGCAAACCAACTTTTCTATATGTACCCGATAATGCCTATACATTTCTGCCTTCTTATACATCATTACAGTCCGTAGAACCAATGATCTCCTTCCAACTATCAAGCATCTCCTGTTCGCGGGCAATACTCCCCCCAATGGCGGCCAAGGAATCTCGACCTAGGGCTAATCTTCCGGGGAGACTACGTCCCTCGCAGCGACCAGTCTTAGTGAAAGCCTCGAAGAGAACTTGAGCGCCCTTAATGGGGTCACCGGGTTGATGGAGACTGTAAGCAGCGAGGGCATCGCGGGTGGCCTGGGTGCCGGCGTCTAACTCGAGAATGCGGTTCTTGGCAGTGATCTTGTGGCCACCAGTAAGGAAGTTGGTGCGGAAGTAGCCCGGCTCAACACAGGTGACTTCAATATTGAAAGGAGCTAGTTCGTTGCGTAGGGATTCGGTGTAGATCGCGATAGCGGCCTTGGTAGCGCAATACATACCCGCCGCCGGGGAGCCCTGCCAGCCGCCGATCGAGCCAAAGTTAGCGACGACGCCGGATTTGCGGGCGCGCATAGAGGGGAGAGCCGCTCTAAGGACGCGGATCTGTGAGAAGACGTTGACGTCGAATTGGTCCACAATTTCTTCGTGGCTACATGAGTTAGACTTGCATTAGGCCTTAAATATCGCTATAAATAATAGGGCTTATTCACCTGCACTCTTCTACACCTCCTTCCAAAATATACCCCGCGTTGTTTACCAGAATGTCAATTGGACCAATAGTAGAAACAACGTCGTCGATAACCGCTTTGACTTCGGCATCGCTGGCTTGCACATCAAGCTTCTTCGTAATAACACCTATCGAGGCCAGATCGGATAGCTTTGAGGGGTCGCGCGAGGTGGCAACGACAGTGTCCTTGTTCTCAGCGGCCGTAATGGCCAACTGGCGTCCGAAGCTGGAGGAACAGCCGGTGATGAACCAGATACGGGGCATGATGGGTAGCGAATTTGACTGGTTTTATTTTTAATAGATTTAGAAAGAATGAAGGTATAGAAACCAATTTAGAATGATAAAACAACCAACACATCCTGAAACTTCAACTATATATGTATGCGTCAACGAAAGTCCGATATCTCCGGATAACTCCAGTTGTCCTAGTTATCTACTTACAAGGACATTACTTCTCATTCTCCGTCGGCTAGCGCTAATCTCCGTATTTTGCGCTAGAGTACGGAGTATACAGTGTCCCTTTCACCTCGTCGGCATCTTCATCTGCTACCACCTGCACCAACTACAATATCCACCAACTACAATATCCACCAACTACAATATCCACCAACTACAATATCCACCAACTACAATATCCACCAACTACAATATCCACCAACTACAATATCCACCAACTACAATATCCACCAACTACAATATCCACCAACTACAATATCCACCAACTACAATATCCACCAACTACAATATCCACCAACTACAACATCGCCGTCCAGGTCAATGACACAGTTGAGAGATATACCTCAGGTCTACTACGCAGAGCATTAAACTACTATACGCCTTGGCTGCCAAAAAATCCTAATATCCAACAGCTACAATATTTCGGTGATCCTCTGCGTGCCGCCCAACACTGACCTACGATCAGACCCTATCCAGCTGTTAGTGCATAGAGCAACATGCAATAAGAACATTGAATGCATAAGATGCTTATATGTACGAGGCTAGAATTAAACCCTACTCAGCAAGTCAGAAATACAGGCACAGCAAATAACGTACAATGAATGCCCAACAAGAAATGATTTGTATGGTGGTGATCAAGTCAAACAATAAGTCCCAACCACCTTATGTACAGCATTCCTTTAAGGACTTTGCTTTAGGCCGATTTTCACTTTTTTTCTATTCAATTGGAGCATATGAAAGCGAAAAGACAGAGACAATAATTATAGGGGGCAGATTTAAAAGGCAGAATGATGCAGGGGTAGTAGCCGTGTCAACGCGTTAATTTGACGACACACCGACCGTGTTTTCCACTCAAATCAACTTGGCAGGCTTGGAACTTTGTATCAGCGCATCAAATGAAATCTTTAGTAAGAGGAATTTTGAACGATCGCCTGCGTGCGAGCATAATCAGAACACATCCAGGGATAAACCCCGACTATCGCATCCCTAGGGGGGCCTCACCAACGACAACAATCTTTCAATTGAGACAATCATCAACATTGGACCCTGGCTCTACCAAAGAAAGGCCCCTATCCTTTCCAACAACGGGATTCCCAATCATCGAAGCAGACCAGCCAGCCGAAGAAGAACAATTGTTCGACTACAGCGCCTATCGATACTACCCAGTACATATCGGTGAGATCTTCGAGGACCGCTATCAAGTATGTTCAAAGCTAGGCTGGTGTAGTTCTTCGACTATATGGTTATTTCCTCCCCGTTTCGATAACTGATATTGCATTATTGCAGAGACAAGAAATATGTCGCATTAAAAGTTTATATCCACAACTCGGTATTTCACCGTGAGCTCCCATTTTACCAGCACATTGCTCCCCACATGTCAAGTGATCATCCAGGGAGAGAGAATATTCGGCGATTCCTCTATTCTTTCACGGCCACTGGCCCATATGGCAGACATATCGTACTGGTTCAGGAACCCGCGTATATCAGTGTATTCGATCTCAGAGAAAGAATGCATGAAAACAGATTTCCAGAGGAGATGGTCAAATCTATCCTGACGGAGTTACTCCAGGCCCTGGATTTCCTGCATACCGAATGCAAGACTGTACACACTGGTCGGTTATTATCCCATGTTCAAGTGTTTATCGCTCTTATTTGTTTACTCACCCTCAATAGATGTTCATGCCTGTAATTTACTAGCATGCGACAACGAGAGCGAGAACGCCAAATTCAAACGCATTGAGGAATCGGAAATGGCCTCCCCCTCGGCACGCAAGCAGGTATCGCATGACAGAACTATTTATCTCTCGCGAGCCATGCTTCCGACGGAGGGACCGTTGCGGCTTTGTGACTTCGGTGAAGCTAGGATTGGGCCTGGGCCCTATGACTATCCGGCCATGCCGATGCCATATCGCGCGCCTGAGATAGTGCTCGAGGTGCCGTGGAGCTATCCAGTTGATATTTGGTGTGTTGGGCTTACGGTGTGTTCTGTCTATATTCCACTTCTAATGGTTTCTTCTTAACACAAGTGCTGATTTCTTTAACGTAGGCATGTGATCTTCTCGGCCTGAATAGGCTGTTCAGTGCCGACCACACGGCCGGCGATATGTATGAGGCAACCCACCTTGCAGAGTTGATTGCTATCTTGGGTCCGCCGCCTGCTGCGTTTCTAGAGCTCAATCCTGAGATGGCGGTTCAGTTCTGGGATGAAGATGGTATGTGGGGTTGCTTGATACATTCGATCTGTGACAAGATTTATTGCTAATCTGATTATCTAGGGAGATGGAAGGACATTGTCCCCATTCCTGAGACGGGCATGCTCGAGTCACTAGAAGGTCAAATGGGTCTACCTCTTGCATTTGTGAAGTTCATGCGCAGAGCCCTAACCTGGATGCCGAATGAGAGAGCAAATGCTAAAGATCTTCTAGAGGATCCTTGGTTGAAAGACTGATGTTCTATGTATGATATCGGGACTGCCTGAGAACAATCTCTACTCAAACCATTCCTAATTGTTCTTTTGGTCTAATTTTTATCATTGAATTCGGACGGATTCCAAAATGAACGAACTACAGGTTCGTTGGGCCGAGTGTAGACAACGTTTTTGGTTTCAGTTGAGGTGTAGGGATTGATAGATCTGACTACACCCATGGTTTGTGCATGTTGGCCGCTCTGCGTCCAACTAAATCCCAGAAAAATCACAAAAGAAAAAGAAGAGAATTCGATTCAACACCACAATTACCAAAAACAAAAAAGAAATTGTTGTGCATCATCCGTGAATCGAACACGGGCCTCGTCGATGGCAACGACGAATTCTACCACTAGACCAATGATGCTAGTTGATGTGTGGAGACCCGGGTCTTGGCTATATGAGCGGATTGAATAGTTTTGTGTGTAAACTCCACTATTTCTGTTGAATTGCATGTCACTTAGTTCTTTGATATCTATTGAGATATATGCTATGGTGGAATACTTGAATATCAGATTGAATACTAGAATTAGCTTGTATCCTTCGTCCAATATCTTATTCCCGGGATTTCGGTATTTCGTTGCACCATGTGTTCGGACTATAGCCGAAGATATATATCCCCGATATATATCTGGGATAGATTTCAATTATTTTCCATTTCCTCTCATATCAACCTGAAGATATTTGTCCCTACAAGATAATAAATAGATATACTGAAATGATGTCGATGAGATAAAAATGTAGTTAGTCATTAAGACTTGAATAGATGAACAGATACTTCAAATGCAAAAGAGCCAGCCCCATTGAAGAAAGGAAAAATATGCAACAGAAATGCAACAGAAATGGTATATATAGAGAAATCACTGTTCATCAGTGCTCGGGGGGAGGAGGAGGGTTGACGATATTCGGTATTGCCGAAGAAAAAGGATATTGATCGTCAAAGTGGTCCAGCTCACTTCCGTCGCCACTGTACCCAATGTTATCGCGATTGTCATCGATGATGCGTCCGTACTCGAGGAGAAGAAGATAGAGATAGATGTCAAGATCTTCGTTGCGTAGCGCGTGCTGCGCCCATTCCCGACTTTGAGATGCAATCACCTCAGCCTCAAAGTCATGCTTCTGGATGTACGGCTCGTTAACCGAGAACGCATCCACCGGGGATGCCTGTGGATCTAGACCAAGGAAGTAGGTCATTAATCCGTATAGGTCATCGTAGCGATTGTCCATGGGGACGAAGTGACGCCAGGGGAAGAGCCGGGAGTCATGCCATTCTCGGAAAATAGTTGCCTTGATCCCCAGGGATTTGCTGAGCTGAAAGGCGCGCCACCGACCGGAGAAGCTGTGACCGTCAATGTCGATGAGGTATTTTGCCTTGAACTGTTCGCTGAAATCCTTCGGCTTTTTGTAGGTCCAAATATCGTCGTAGAAGGAGCAGTTCGGGATGCAGCCCCAAGCCTCGGTGAAGCCGACATCGAAGTGGTCCAGTGAAAATTTGCTTGGGTAGAAGTTGGGATAAGCACGATACTGCCCCAGGCTGGTCTCGGAGAGGATAGAGACCGTCTCTGATCTCATACTAGTGTTGTTGGTAATGTGCACAAAGCGTTGGCGGTGCATATGCTGCCAATTATCTGCAAGTTGAACACCCCCAGAGGTGACGCCGCGCCAGAGGAGAGTGTCCGATTTGTCTTTCCAGTCATAGTCGTGTCGCGAATTGTACACGTACCGCTTGTCGTTCATGAAATACATATTCGCAGGGAAAAGGATATCGTTGTTCACGCTAACCTTGCACTCGCTGAAGACTGGGATCAGTTTCCTTGTGATAAGGTTGCTGGATGCCGAGAACAAGAACCCATGGTTCTCCCCAAGAACGGGACCGACGGTACAAAGATCAGAGGAAGCAGTGAAGTTAGTGACAAACCCACCCGAGGGCGATTTGTATAGCTTATCGGCATCCTCTACAGTGAGATTGTCATTCCGAGCGGGAGAGTGAGGGTCACAGGACTCCTTAGCGAAGTCCATGTATAGCTTTCCAGCAATCGAGAACCAGGACGGGTCAACATGATCATCGATGCTGGAACCCTTTTTAAACAGATGGTTCATGCCTGGAGTGAATCGATCCTGCGCATCGCTGGGTAAGCTTCTGGTGAGGGCTTCGGTGCGGAGGTATTCCTGGGTATCCTCAAACGAAACCATGACTCGCGGTTGATCCATAATATTAAGCGCAATATCCATGTCCGGAAGATACCGAGCAATGCGTTTAATCGACTTCCGCAGTGTTTCAACTCTCCACCCCTCAATAGGGGAGTAAACAACCTTCTTATTGCGGATTTGCACACCTGCAATGCCGTCGCTGGATTGTAGTTTTGCTGCCATCTGTCGGATTTCAGCCGGAGGAACTGCCCAGAAAGGCCGCAAATCGCCCGTAATCTGCTGGAAATCGTCCACGTTATGCGCCTTCTTTTTGCGTGCGAACATGTACCATTCCTTGAAACCGGGAGGTGGGTGTCGTCCATATGTCTCACGGTATTTGGCGACTGTTCGGCGGAAACTTGCTGAGCGACCATTATCATATTTCAGCCATTTTAGATTCGCTTCCCTCATCAGGTCGGCGATAGGGTGTTCATCGTGCGCATACTCTCCGAACACGGGTTTTGTTGTTGCGGCGAAGAGACTCAGATTAGGGAGGCGGATCACAGAGTTGTCGACAACATGGGTGAGGAATAGGATGTTGATGAAGCATATGGAGGTTGCTGCGCAGGCCAGTAGCAGGTAAAATGACCTGCGATTCCGAGGGAACGGGCCGAGCATTGAGAATGGTTCCCAAGATCGGGAGCTACCTAGGTTCTAGCCGCACACTCAATTTTGACGATCTTGCAGGGATTATTGAAAAGAAAGCACGAAGGCTATGAAAAGAAGGTGAAAAAGAACATGATTGGAATAAACACCTAGGAGTTGAGAAGAGGAAAGAGAAAAAGAAAGAAAAAGTCGCCATAAGGCCCCTTAGCTTCCCACTTCTCCAAAGCCCGTCCCAAGACGCCAAGGGTTCACAAACAAACATCATACTAATAGAGTTCTTGGCTGGTCTTTTCCAAAGGTTATTTAAAATTAAAGTATTATTTTAAGAGAACTAGAAGGGAGCTGTTAGAATCAATATTATACCGACCTACTTTGTATGGACAACGTTGTATAGAATATGTAGATCACCTTACTCCCTACAGGAGAGGGGGTTGATCAAAGGAACGTGGCCGAGCAACCCGTGGATCTGCCCAATCAGGAACCTTCGAGATGGAGCAGAGGCCGAGTCCAATTTGATTTGGATACGGTCGGCTCTTTGTGTATCTGCCAAGCATTACAATATACGACTAACATATTACATATTTGCACTATAATTATTTTCCAAAATTAGAGAATGGAGCAAGAATTTCAAGATCTATATACAACATTAGCCTTAAACATTAGGGTTATTGGTCTTCACGGACCGGGCGGTGAGACATTCCTGACTCGGCTCTTATATAAGCAAGAATTTTGGATGCCTCAGGCACAAATCCGTAGCTAAGAGCTGTCAATGCGACTCTCACACATCTTCATTACGACTTCTTTCAGCGCTCACAATTTCTCCCATGCAGATGACGTGATCAATAACTACTCATGGGTGACTGTCCCATCCGAAAATTATGGCCCTAAAACGTACTCGCGCCGCGCTCGAGGCCGATCTTCAAGCAGAGCAATCTCCATACGCCTTCTATGGAACCCCGTTACCACCACTTGAAGAGGGGGTCCGCGATGACGGATCCTTTGTGCCAATATGGAAACAAGAACTGAGGGACGAACATGGGAACAAACGTCTTCATGGTGCCTTCACCGGTGGATTCAGCGCGGGGTGAGTAGTCTCTAAACCAATGACCTCGGAAGGACAACCACTGACATCTGCTAGATACTTCAACTCCGTCGGCTCGAAAGAAGGATGGACCCCCGCGACGTTTGTCTCGTCCCGCCAGAACCGTGCCAAGAAGGCCGAACAGCAACGACCCGAAGATTTTATGGACGCGGATGACCTGCGGGAACAGGAAGAAGCCAGACAACTACAGACCGCCGATGAATTCGCCGGCTTCGGCTCGACCGAGCTAGATGCTACACGCAGAGCAGGACTCATGGATATATTGAAAACCGGCGGAGAAACCATGGGAGTGAAGCTCTTGAAAAAGATGGGTTGGCGCGAAGGTCAAGGGATTGGGCCTAAGGTGCGACGCAAAGCCAATCTGGACGAAATATCTGCTCCGGATGGTGATGCGGAGGAAACACACCTTTTTGCTCCTGAAAACCCACCCATGGTTGCCTTCATTCGCAAGACCGACCGCAAAGGTCTTGGTTTTGAAGGCGAATCGCGCCTAGAGTCTCACAATGCTTTGCAGCCCATTCCAGATGTCGAGGAATCAGACTCATTCTTTGGGGGGCGATTGGCCATTCAAGGGAAAGCTCAGCCCCCAAAGCCGAAGGAATCACGGCGGGGAGGACTTGGGGTTGGCCCTCTCAATGACACTGGGTCGGACGACGAGGATCCTTATTCCTTGGGTCCACAGATCTCATATAACAAGACCATTGGAGGAGATAAGAAGAAGAAGAAAAAGGTCAAACCAGAACCAACAATCGCGTCATCCAACCCACTTTTGAATTCAAAACCCGTGTTCATATCGAAGAAGGTGGCCGCATCACGAGGGATTGGGGGTTTCAGAAAGTGCCGCGACGGGCGCCTACCGCTAGATGGATTCATTCTTGCCGATGGCATCACGGGACTGTCGATTTCAGACAAGAAATACGATCCCCCCGTGATACCCGAGGGGTGGAAACCAGCCAAGGAAATCTCGTCAGAAAAACGAGACCAATCGAATTATGTCTCTACAGCTGACGCCGCAAAAGCCTCGTCGCTTAATCCCACGTCCAGAGCAGCACTTCTGGGCGAGGATCAATTGCCTGGGAAGTCTATCTTTGATTACATGACCCCTGAGGCACGAGAGAAGATTGCCAAACTTACCGGCAACACCAATTTACCTCCGGCTTTAGGAGAAAAGGCACCCAAAGGATACGAATTCCCTGAATCACAGAAGCGCAAGGATTTTTGGGACCTCGTGCCAAAACTCGACAAACAGATTGCCGCCCAAGCCCTAGCTCGGGCCGTTAGTGGGTGGATGCCTTACCAAGAAGATGAGAAAAAGCGTGCACGCTACCAAATATTCCTCGAAGTCAGTGCTGGGATTCGCTCTACCCTCCCAGAACGGGTGGAAGGGTCCAGCACCGATGAATGGGTTATAGAGATGCAAGAATTTGGCCGAGCTGCAGAGGTCTTCAAACCCATGTCCGGAGTTATGGCATCCCGATTTACCTCCTCATCGACCGCGCCCAAGGTTGTCTCAGATGCCCCCGACTCTGCAGAATCTGGGCTCAGCAGGCCCGCTGAAAAGCCTGACGATCCCGCAGTAGCAGCTGCCAAAATTGGCATGTTCGGCCCAATGACTCGAAGCACAATCCCCTTTTACCCATCTCGTCTTCTATGCAAGCGATTCAACGTCAAACCACCAGAGAATGTGCAACTTGACCCCGGCGAACGGCCTGGAGCCTCCAGTTCCGGACCTGGCACGCACTTCCAGTCCGCTGGATTCCAAGCTGACACTGCGCCAAAGCAATTGGTGTCGCAAGATATCATGAACCAACTTCTCATAGACTCGTTAGGTTACCTACCAACAGCAGATGGCCAGGATCCATCTGCAAGTGGTCAGCCTGCTAACGCGGCGCCACCACCAGTAGTTGTTGAACCTGAGCGCAATGATGCCCTGGAGGCAGAGCGGCCCGGCGATGCTGTTTTCAAAGCTATCTTTGGGAGTGACGACGAAGATGACTAGAATTACTTATTTGTATAATCCAATGAGAATTCATGTATTTTTTTTAGTTATAACCCTGTACTCTGTACGAATTAAGCAATTGCGCTCTGTAGATAATTCAATGTTGTGTGACTGCTGGAGTCGTCCCGGCGGCATTAGAAGCGCGAATGGGAGAAATTGTGGAATGTAGCCTTGTTTCTCTTTGTTTCTGTTTCTGTTTCATTTTTTATTCCTTTTCCTTTGACGGCCGCCTCTTTCTGCCTCGTCTCTAATTTTTGCCTCGTCTCTCACCCAATAGGTCTGTGCTCAACCTTAAGGATCTAGTTCGCTTTAGAGCGTTGCCACTACTCCACGCCAACCCCTCTCAAGCTATTTTCCCCTCCTCACATGGAGCTGCTTGATCGCAAGCAAGATGGTAAGAATCCGACCCCAAACCCCCGAACCCCCGAACCCCAGAACCCCAGAACCTATACATATATCATCATCATTAAGACCGGTGATATTTCTTGGCATCGCATGTCACACGACCTAAAGCCCCGGCTCTCATCTCCATACCATGCAAACCCGCAATGGCCCCATAACTATAACTAACAATCCCCCCTTTCAACACAGGGCTGCTGCGAGTCAGTACTGTCGCGTAATGTCGACGACCAACCCCCAACCCAAGAACGCATCTCACATACAACAGCGACGAGGGATACGAGCGACCGTTCCACGCAGCCAAGGCAACGAACGCGGCGCCCCCCCAATGTCCCTCTAATCGAGCACTACAACGAGCCAGTACGCAGCCATGTGTGGCGCAGCAAGCGACGAACATGGACGCGCGCACAGCTGGACCGCGAGCGCGCCGAGTTCTTTGAGACGCGCGTTGCCGGCAGCCCAGAGATCTGGGCTGCTGTTTCGACAGTGATATCATTGATTCGAAGCGGTGACTTCGTTACTGCGCAGGGGATCATTGATGCTGCGGGGATTACTGTTCCCACCGGGGATCTTTGTGAGGGTTGCTATGATGAGCAGGGCGTGCTTTACAGGGTTCCGCAATGTGTTGTTAGTGATCCGGAGAATATGGCTCCTTCGTCTTCGCGGACGGCTAGTGAAGATGGCGGTCCTGCTGGATCTGAAGAGGAGCCGGATACTGGGACGCTCTCCGATGGTAAGCTCGCTACGGATGATGCTTCCGGGGACGAGTTGATTTCCCAGGATGTTGAACGCCGCCGTGATGAGAAGGGGAAGACGAGTGAGCGGGATTTGATCCGTGTGCTTGCTCGTTTGAGTGATCGTGGAGGTCCGGATATCTTGCTTTCTATTGGTAAGGGTCAGACCGTGGGGTTCTTGGCGAGGAAGGTGCATCAGGAAGCCAAGGTTGGTATTTGTTCTTATTGATTTGTTCGTTTCGTTTTGTGGACTGTTGCTGATTTGTTCTTTAGCTCAAGGATGATAGGCGCGTTCGAATCGCTTACCTAGGTCACTTGCTGAATGAGCGTGAACCGCTCGTTGATCAGGGGTGGAAGACTGGCCATGTTGTCAATGCTTTCGTCGTTTCCCCCGTTGATGATCTAGGCCTTTGACACCGATCCTAGGAGGGCTTGCTTCGGAACCTTTTTTGAGGCATCGCCAATCGCCCTCTACCAACGTCACTCCTTTTCTCCCCCTCTCGATTTGGACCTCCAGCGTTCTGGCGTTTCTGTCATCTGATCTCTTTTTTGCATAATACCCCGAGTCTTTTCTTTTGTTTTTTGCTCCAGGTACAACCTGGCAGATACTCTTCTTGCGCCCATCTTCTGTTTATCTGTTTACTTTGGCATCTTACTTGGGGATATTCATACCCGAGTGAAAGCAAACTAGCTCTCAACACGATGTCATCGCTCTTGCCTGTCGAATTTTGTGCATCTAATTACTTGATTTACTTATGACCATGCAATGTCTCCATTCTTCCAAGGTTCCAAGGTGTGTGTCATATTCTTATGTAAACCCAGGCTGGCCACCAGGTACCCGTGGACCTAGGTACATAGAGGCCCTACACCTCCATAATAAGCATTTCAAGCTAGCTCTGCCACATTTGACCCATCACTTCAAGTTCTGAAAGTTGTTTTAGCGAGCTCTTTACCGATTACCCACCACGCGATCGGCACATGCAGGCGTCACGTGCCATGACGTACGTGGAGTACACACCAGGACTATCATAACCCCAAACCTCCTTTGGCGTGCAGCTGGTAGCTCTCTCACCCCCGCGTGTTAATATCCCACATTCTCTTATAAATCTGGGGGTATGGACAATCCACATAGCCATAATATGGACTACGAAGCAGACCGTCAGACACGCGAAGTATATCGATATTTCCAGCCAGAAAATCCGGCGGCGCTTAATGCATCACTTCAATTTGATGACCATGTGGCGTCAATAACAGATTTTTCAAGAGTGACGACCCCTTTTGCACCCGATGCCTCTGACTCAGAGAAAAGTTTCGCTGAAGGTAGCTCTCCGTCAAGTCCAAATACAACTTTGACTTCTTTTGCACAACTGGCCGCTCTACGCCTGAACGCACAGCGTGCTTTTATTACGTACATTACTCTCCTGCTCCAGCGTGGGACTTGATCTGACTTTTTCCAAAGTGTATTGAACACCGACTCTCAGTTTATATTGGCTGAAGCCACAAGAAACACCAATCTTGGAAGCTCAAAGTCGTCTATCGGAGAAGGAGATACACTCTTCGCTGGAACATCGACATTGTTAGATGCTTGGAACATATGCCAGGTAAGCCGATCTTTGAAATATTGCAATATTTTACATATTGACGCCTATTTCCTCGAATAGGAAACAGTTGCAATTGGCTCAGACAACGAAGATGGATTGTATTCATTTTTGGTTGTCAACGATCTTCAACAGGAAGAACGATTCAGAGAATTGCCTTTTGTAACAAAAGATCCACACTCCCGTTTTTATGCCGGAACGCCCCTAACCAGCGATAGCGGTATCAATTTGGGATGTCTGTTTGTATTGGATTCTGAACCCCGCCAAGGGCTATCTGATATCGAAAAGGATACATTGGGAAAAGTGGGAGAGTTGGTTATGGACTATTTATTGGTTAGCCGTCAAGCCGTAGAAGGGCGACGCGCCTCGCGGTTATCGCGTGGCCTCCATCTTTTCGTCGACGGCAACTCCAGTTTTGCCAGCAACGCTCACATGTCTTCTCGGTCGAACAGCTCAGCACAGAGTTTGTCCCCGGGAGCATCACCTCACCTCAGAGCCAGCAGATCTCCAATTTCCCAAAACGATGGACTAGATTTTCGCTCAGCACGCTCTGGATCGGGAAATGCGTCTCAAAACGGCGATACACAAACTTTGAACCAAGATTCCAACCAGAATGACACATGTGTTCCCCCTAGTCCAACGGCATCGTTGCATGGCTCACGACAGGACGACAGTATCTCGGAGGACCCCTCGAGTAGCAACCACTGGCTTTTCCAACGTGCTGCGAACCTCTTGCGACAAAGTCTGGACTTGGACGGTGCTGGCGGTGTCATGTTCTTGGAGACCAGTGATAACTCCTCCGAATATGTCGCAGCCGGTCATTGTGACCCCGCTGAATCCATAAATCCTGCTCCTATTCTTGCGCTGTCCACCAGAGATGATCCATTTTCATACCAGGCAAGCTCTACGTTGTCAGATCCTGCTGTCAATCTTGACAAGGTCTTCCTGAAACAGTTGATGCACCGTTATCCTAAAGGGAAACTCTGGTCATTCCACCGCGATGGGACATTTTCAACTTCGGAAGATCAGTTAGCCGACGAGTCTCGGAAACAAAGGAAGAAGTCCAAGGCTTCGGAGACCAGCAACCTGAATGAGTTCTTCCCTGATGCATGTCAAGTCATGTTTGTCCCACTGTGGAATGCCACAGATTCCCAGTGGTTCGCTGGGTGCTTTTGTTGGACTCCCCGGCCAACGAGAGTTTTCAGCCCTGCTGTTGATCTGAGCTCAGTATTTGCCTTCGGATCCTCTATTATGACCGAATACAGCCGTGTTGAATCAGTTATCGCAGACCGCCAAAAGGGTGATTTTATAAGCAGTATCTCTCACGAACTACGCAGCCCGTTGCATGGTGTCTTGGCTGCCGCCGAGCTTTTCGGAAGTACTGCCTTGGACCAGTTCCAGGAGACCCTCCTCGATACGATAAATGCGTGTGGTCGAACTCTCTTGGATACGATGAACCAAGTTTTAGACTTCAGCAAAATCATGTCATTGGAAAGACATAAGAAAACCTTCAGACGTGGAAAAGATCCGTGGAAACCAAGACCCTTTGAAGAACCTGTGGCGCGTCTGGATGCATTGGTTTTGACAGATGTGGCTCTTTTGACAGAGGATGTTATAGACAGTGTGTGTTTGGGTCATTCCCATATACAGAGGTCAGCCACGTCCACCAATCGCCCCACAGATATCTTGTCAACACTGCCTTCCAAGTCAGCAAAAGCGGACAGTCAAGTTGGTCCCATTTCAGGAGTGGACGTCGTTGTTGACATTCCTGAGGATGACTGGATGTACAAAGTCCAGCCGGGGTCACTGAGACGCCTAATTATGAATATCCTTGGCAATGCACTGAAGTATACCAAAAAGGGTCGGATCTCAGTCTGCATTGAGGCCACTGAGCACTCAAAAGGTCGCTCTCGACGCCAGGGTCTCGAAGATATGGTGACATTGACCATCTCAGACACGGGTAAGGGCATCTCGACGGAATATCTTCGGAAGCACCTATTCACTCCGTTCTCACAAGAAGATCCGCTGTCAGTAGGCACTGGTCTGGGTCTATCAATTGTTCGCGCCATCGTGAAAACTCTCAACGGGAAAATTAAAGTTCGAAGCCGACAGGGCGAAGGCACTATTGTCAAGGTGTCACTTCCTCTCGAACGTCTAGTTGGGGATGAAAACCCACAATCGACCTCTCATAAGGAAAATTCAGACCAAAATACTATACTGACGGCATCTTCTCAACTCCGACGTGTCGGCTGTAGTGGGAAACGTGCTGCTATCTGGGGAATCGATCCGTCTCGTGTCGGCGAGCATCAGTTCTGGGCTTCCATAGCTCGGTATATCACGGATTGGTATGGTCTGCAGCTTGTCCCTCTGTCTGCCAATGAGCCTATTGATATCCTGTTTGCGGACGGAAGGGATCTGTTAGGAAAAGAAATAAACGGTTTCCCAGCAAAATTACCAAGTTTACTCGTCTTTTGCAGCGAGACAGGCGATTATGGTGATTCTAGGGCACAATGGTCACAACTTGCTGACTATCTGGCAATTCTTCATCGGCCTTGCGGTCCACGAAAACTTTCTCGCGGTATTCTGAGCTGCCTGGATAGAAGACCGACAACCCCTACGTTAAATCGGCAGAATTCCGGGCAAGGCTTAGTACTTCCAGAGCGACCCTTTCTTGCAGTCTTGGATTTGCCAATCGAACAGTCCAACTCCTCATTACCAGTAAATTTACGATCACCAGATGCTGAACCATCAATCCCCATGGCGGGGTCCAGCAATCGCACCATTGATCATACAGAGCGCAGCGCTTTTGTTTTGACGTCGCGTACTGACAGCTCTGGTCGCACAATATCTGGGGGTACTGACTCCACCAATGCTGGGTCTTCTTCATCTACTCGATCTTCATCTGGCGGCTCAGGTCATGTTAGCACCTTATCTGGGAGCCAAAGCAGACCTCGGGTCTTGGTGGTAGATGACAACAGCATCAACCTTCGCCTCATGATGACTTTCATGAACAAACGAGAAGTCGTGGTTTTAGATAAAGCCGAGAATGGCAGAGTGGCCGTCGATGCGGTTGAAAGGATGTCACAGGGATATGATCTTATTTTCATGGACATGTCTATGCCAATCATGGACGGATTTCAGGCGACACGCGCCATTCGTGCGATTGAGAAAGAACGGGATGACTGTATTCCGGCAACAATCATCGCGTTGACAGGACTCAGCAGTCCACGCGATGAATTCAGAGCCTTGGACGCAGGAGTGGACCATTTCCTTATGAAGCCTGTTTCTTTTAGGGAAGTATCAAGGCTTATTGATAAATGGGAAGCCAAACTGGCGAAATAAAATATGGCGATCGGTATCTTACTTGATGCAGGCTTGCCACCCAGACGTGGAAGACCACGTTAATGATCATGGGTTTCTTACATTGGCGTTTTCGGTTTCATTGGCGTTTTCGGTTTCTGTCTCCATACCCTTGCTGCTATTTGGGCTGCACATATGATGGACGATGAGGAGATGATGGCACGATTCGATTCATTGTCTAAGGTTTTTTCTATTGCGCCCCTACAGCTTCAGGGGCGATTATATCTACACACAACGCTCAGTGGCGGTAAATTGGACGCCGCAAATGGCTACTTTTGATGCCATTTCCAGCATTCTGTTTACTAGAACGGTTGATCATCACGATCCTGTTATTCGGACTAACTTTTCTTTTACCAGGCGCTTATTGGGCGCTGCTCACTAGGCGATTAGTCCTATTTTGGTAAGTAGTCACCCATATCTCTCAACCTTGGAAGTATGAACGGCCGCATAAGGCATATGTATAGACCACTGACCCATAATCGATGGCTTGAATATGCTCAAGCCTCTAGAGAGGGACTTATGAGGTAAGCTTTGACGATGGATTGATGCACTACCTAGGTACTTGGCTACTCGTTACCTATGTAGCCCATCTATAATCAAGGAAGGATAATCCTCCAATACTTTTCATAGCTTCTCTCTTTCAGCGCATCGGTATATGTAACGGTTCTATTCTCAACTTGCATTCAGCGGATGTTGTTCTGCCTTATGTATCAGGCTCCAAATAATCTTAAGTAATCACCGATCTGGAGCTCCTGGACAAACAATGCAAACACCTCTATCGCAAAGGAAAAAAATAATTTATCGCAATCTTCGATCTGGATTTTGAATTAAGACAGCAGTTCGATAGTCTCGAACTTTTGATTGAACTCAATTCAATTGCATACCTCTTAAGGGTAGTCTCTGTATACCGTCACTGAGATCAACGACCACCTCTACCTTGATTCAAAAGCTTTCCAATCGCTAGTCTTGTCAATTCGTGACATAAAACCGTACCAATGGACGGCCAAAAAACTCCTTTCGTGAGGGAGCTCGGCTCGAGTGGTATGAATATTTTTTTTCCGAATTGGAAAACTACAACGCTAATCGATCTCTTTAGACCGGAAAGTCCGCGACAAGGCCCTTGAGTCTTTAACCAAATTCGTGCGCTCTCGCACCGATCTGACCCTTGTGGATCTCCTCAAACTGTGGAAGGGCCTGTTCTATTGTATGCACTACCTCTATATTCGCCGAACACAAATCGCAACATAAACTAACCTCCTCCCAGGCTTCTACCACTCCGACCGACCCCTCACACAACAAGCCCTCGCCCGCGCACTCTCCTACTCTCTCGTCCCCTCCCTCCCCCAAGCAACTCTCCACCGCTTCCTGCGCGCCTTCTGGATCACCATCGGCCGGGACTACCACTCACTAGACCGCATCAGACTGGACAAGTACCTGATGCTGATCCGTTTCTATGTCGGCGTGGCATTCGAAGTTCTCGTGAAGAACAAGAGCTCAACAAAGAACGCAGACGGGAAAAAGCGCAAGCGCGAAGACGCAGCCAAGCAGGGCCGCGGCAAGAAGCAGAAGAAGCAGGCTGAGGCCGAGATCGTCGAAGACGAGGAGGAGAAGGATAGTGCCGAAGACCTCGAGGCTAAATTCCCCGATCTCGCGGCTTATATCTCCATTATCGAGGAGGGTCCTTTGTGTCCGCTGAACTATGATGAGGATCAAGCTCAGGATGAGGGAGACCCAAATTACGTGCCTATGTCGCATGGTCCTGACGGGCTGCGCTACCACCTTATTGACATCTGGGTCGATGAGTTGGAGAAGGTTCTTGAGTTTGAGGAGGTGGCTGGTGATGACGACGAGGAAACCCCGAAGCGGAAGATCAAGGGCGATGTGCCCATTGAGCTTATTCTGAGGCCGCTGGAGAAGCTGCGCGCCGAGAGTGCCTACAAGCCTGTTCGGACGAGGGCGGCTGAGGCCTTGGAGGATGAGCGGTTGTTCGAGTGGGGCGTTCGGACAAGAAAGTCTGAGGAGGACGATGACAGTGAGGAGGAATGGGGTGGCTTCGAATGAATATTCTAGTTATAGTATGTGAAAAGGATTTGTATAAACAGATTGAATTCATTGCACAGCGTGCGAGCGATTATGTCCATCAGTTCATCCCGGTTCTATCATAAAGAAGCCGGTGCTAGGTATACAGGTGTAAAGGGCTACAGAATGTATTCACATGTCTCCTGTTTCATTTGGTTTTACTGTACAGTCTGTATAGCCTGATCACAGAGTATCAAATGTCTAATGCGACTTATCGATAAAGCACCAATTCTTTTGCGCTAGGGTATCATGAGTGGATGCAAAGACCCGGCAAGCAGTGGATATATAATGAGCGGACTCCCAACAATGATAGGGGGCGGATTGAATGCACACTTTAGCGAGGACCTGCCGCCTCATAGAAACGGCCGGATTTGGTGAGTATCGTGCCCAGTCCCTGGTGGACCTCGGCTTGGAACGCCTCGAAAGGCACCCGTTCACCATCGATACTGATGTAGCCCTCCTTCTGGTGAGGAACTAGACGGAACGCAGACGCTTTGCGGACATTCAGGTCTGGCATGTCGAAAAAGCGACCACTGGGTACTTCGTTCATCATTGTAATCGCTGTACCACGACTGACTGTTCCGTCGATAGTAATCACGTCCATCAGGCCATCGTCCGGCAATGTTGCAGGGAACATATTCGTGTCTTTCGACATGATGGCCATATTTCCCGCGTAGAAATTGCCCATAGTTTCTCCCGAAATCACCTCCCATCCCTCTGGCAGTTCGTCCGTCACGGTGCCGTACTTGAGCTCTGGTAGGCCTGGGGACTCTGCAGCAATTTCGAGGCGTTTGCTGTCAGCATCCAGCTCCTGTGGGCGTGTAGTCCACGCAGCGTAGTGTTCCTTAATTCCCTCCTTGTCACCAATCTCCACCTTGATGGCTATATCACAAGGCCATATGGTCCGCCGCAACAAACGGACCAGGAAACCGTATGTAAACCGCTGAGCGCCCATCCAACGGATGTTCTCGGTACCCAAATCACACTCGGCGACGATTCCAAAAGATTGCGAGAGGAAAGAGAGCGTGCGCGAATCTTTCTGGGAGATCGAGATGAGGTCCAGCGGAGTTCTCAGCCCCTTGACGATTGCCAGCGCCGCAGTCGAGACGCTACCAGTTCCGAAAGCATTCCATGTCAACCCGTTCCCAGAGCCACATGGGAGCAGCGCAACGGCAGTTTGTGCCAGCGCTTTTCGAGCATCTGGCCGCTTGCCCAACCCGTTGAACACCTCGTAGGGCAAGCCGTCGCCAGAGCAGCAAACAACCGCATCGTAGGCGTCGATATCGAGATTTTCCGCAATTTCAATTGCATGTCCCCTGTATTCCGTATTCTGTACATCCACCTGGCACTTCGCCGCGGCGAAAACTGGCGCCGCGTATCGCTGATACAAACTCGCAGCTGTGCCCTTCCCACCAAAAGGATTGACCAATACCTTTAGCCGTTTTCCGCGCAGTGCCTTGGCATAAGCCGCATCAAGTAGTTGCCGTGCCCATGTCTCGATGGTCTTTTTTTCTTTTTCGGAGATTTGGTATTGGACGGTCGTTACGGAAAGATCGTCCTTGGCAGCAGGCTGTGCATAGGCGATGACGAGATTTGAAGCAGTGACTTCGGCACCGAGGATGTTGTACAGCGAGATGGCATGGTTGGGTTTTGGTTCTAAAATGCGCGCAGCTTCGTCAGACCATTTTCATCAATAGTAGCGCCAGCGATAACGCGGCATCGCCAGAGGGGCTGGTACCAACTTACTAGACTGGAGCAATCCGCAGCAGCGACGATCTGGTTTAGCTGGGCGGTCATCTGCGTGGGTGAGCATATGTCCAGGCGCCGGGTGTGGAGTAGTCCATACCAAGTATGAGGAGCGAGTCAGCGCCGATGGTCAAAGAGACAGATTGGTCGACAATCAGCGTTGTGTCATGCGAATCCTGCGAGGATTCGTCTGGGGAGGACATTTTGGATAAGGATGGAGATTCAGGACATTATAGATAAAGAGGAATAACCTTAAGAGTCTAGGGGAGGGAAGTGGATTATAGAACAATGAAAGTGCCCATATGCAGCCGCGGAGTTCCGGTGGGCCCGGGCATGTGGTCCCTGCATTTCAAATATGTCAACATTCGAACATACAGATAGTCCTGTACGGAACATATGTTGAAATACTAAGACATTTATGTACATAAATATATAATAGCTGTTTAGAGGAGACTACTATAATACCCTGGAAGTATCAAAGACATTGTTCTCTATCCACTACTCCTGATGAGACATGCATCTCATCTACACAATAAAGAGACATATAAGTAAACAAATTCGTCTCGAATGAACAGAACAGACAGTTAAGAAGAGAGGGGGAAAAGGATAAAAAGCATAATATAGACCGCAAACCGCTGGAAAAACATTGACTTATGCAGTCGCTGCCTTGAGACCCTTCAGAGAGCCTAAGCTCAGTGCCAGACCCTGGGAGCGACTTCTTATCCGCACAAACCCTGTAATTGGCCCATCGTCTCCCTCCTTTTCGATGCTCAGGTTTGCTAGTGCATCCTCGCCTGGTTACATAGTCAGCTATCAAATCAAGTAGAAAGGGGTGGCTTATTAAGGGGTTAAAAACATACCGAACACACTGCGCGCATACAGGTTCGCGCTCAGGAAGCGGCAATCTCCCTTGAGTGAAGCATCGGGCGTCAAGCAGGCCATATTGGTGCTCTCCATCAGCTGCTTGAGGAATTCACGCAGAGTCTTGGCCTTGGAATTGATGTTGACCTTGTTCTCCCACTCGAACTCAGTCCACATGGTACGGAACTGAGTCTCGGTGCAGTGAGCAGGCTGGATGTAGTCCATGATGTCGGCATGGATGTCGTTGAGAATGACCACATGGGTCTCGGTAGAGCTGGCGCCGTCATAGACAATGTTACCAAAGATAACACCGGTATCGGTTGACGAAACCTTGACCGTAGCCTGGACATTCAAGAAGTCGCGTGGGCCTAGGTTGTTGGTGGATGGCCGCTCAACGACCTTGAGGTCACCCAGAGTTGCGAACTCCACGCACAGGTTTTGCAGAGTTTCCGTTGTTTGGTTGACCAGCAGGACATCAAGAACAATGTCAAACTGGTGAACGGTAACATAGGCTTCAGCATAGACCGAGTCGGAGAAACCAGTCAATTGTACAACCCGGCTGAGCTTCGAAGAGACGTCCTCCACGGTCGAATCGCCACCGGTTGCCTTGGCAAGATCCATTTCGATTTCCTCCCCGCCCTCGACGGCGTTCTTCTTGGTGAATTGGCGAATAGGGATGGTATCGTCAATCTGCACGGCACTCTTGGCCTTCTCCACTGCCTCCTTGGCAGCCCTCTTCTTATCCTCGACCTGGACCATGGCGCGGAACGCCTTGCGAGTGTCTTCCAAGAAAGTGGCTTCGAGCTCCTTCTTCTCGGAAAATTCGGCGAGGGATCGTACACAGGTCAAGATACGATCCACGGAATCCTCATCAATAGGAGCCTTAACGAAGTGAGATTGGCCAACGCGCATGATGGAAATCATGATAAGCATGGCCTCGGCACGGAGAGCGTTGGTACGAGCAGTATCCTGCGACACCTCGGAATGGCGCATCACCAACTTGGTCAAAGTCGAAGAAAGCACCGTTGCCAGGTAGTAGTCGCCGTCCAAAATAAGCTGGCGCAGAGGGGGCTTCTGTGCGGCCTTGACAGCCTCGAGACGAGCAGCTGCCGCCGATTGGCTGGTGAGAGCACTTTCGGTGGCGTAGGTGCCATCTGCAAGTACCTTTCGGGATCCAGTAGGTGCGGCCTTGGATTGGCCATTGGCCTGCTCCATCAGCAGGGTGTTGTCATCCGGAACCTCATCCAGGAGTCGTTGTTCGGATGCCAAAATTGGGATTTCACCAAGGCTGGCTCTGATTGTCTTCCAAGCATCGCGGATATCCTTCTCCTCCAGGGAGTATTCGCCAACAACCCAGAGAACTCCGCGGTAGACCTTTCCAGCTCGAACCTCACTCAAAGTTGAAACCAAGCGGGCAACAATCGACCCACGCAGGTCAGGGAATTTCTCCACGACCTCTTTGACGAACGAAATCACATCGACAGCGGAGTTGTTATTGAAGTCGGCAATGAAGTCCATGAGGAGATCAACCACGCTAGCAGCAATTTCGGAGAACTTGATAGCGCAGGAGTGTATTGACTGTACCAAGATTTGGCGATACTCGCTGTTCTGTGGGGGTCGTTAGTACCGATGGGTTGTGCAAAGTGACTGTATAACCTACCTGTTCATATTGTTCGTCGACGGTCTTGGCAAGTTCTTTCTTGAGCAGCATGATGATTTCTTCCACGTTCTTGCTCGAGACCATCTCCATGGCAAGGTTGAGGGCCTTTCTCCGGACATCAATGTCAGGGCTGCTGAGAACCCGCAGGGCCTCCATGGTCAGGTCGTCCAAGACACCCTCATTGCGAATTCTGAGCTGGTTCACACGTTCCAAACAAATGAGCTTGACGTTGTTGTCGGCCTCCCGAATCGCGAGCTCGATCAGCTTGCTCGCAGCGGCTTTGACGGCTACAGGGTTGCTTGTGAGGGCGGTAAGAGATGTTGCGGCTTCGTAAACAACGGTGCTAGTGGAGGCGTCGAGGAGCTCGAGCATGAGTTTCAGGTATCGCGACTATTGTTCGTTAGTGACCCCGACACTATTACTTTGAACGCTGTAAACCCACCTTATTCTGAGGGTTCTGTACTGCGTCCTTCCGGAGGAACTCCAACTCGGCTAGCTGGACCAACTCATCTGTGTTTGGGATTGTGTCAAACGTGGTGCGCAGATACTCGAGTGCCTTCTGGTGGCTAATAGACATGAGTGCCGCAAAGGCATTACGCTTGCAGGTGCTGTCAGTCTCCGATTCGAGGAACAACTGAAGCAACTCCGGCGCGTCGGGAATGAGAGACTCGGAGTGCAGGAAAATAGACGATACAGCCCAGACTGCATTCTTGCGAACATAGGCGTGACGATGTTGCAGGCACGAACGTGCGGAGGAGAGGAGGGGCTCAATGAGCTCTGGTTCGCGGAGTTTGGAGAGGAATCGGAGGGTATTGCCTCGAATGTATTCGTTGGGATGTTGAAGATCGTTGCGAATGCCGTTACTGCGAAAGAAAAACTTGTCAGACATGAAATATTATGTAGCAATGGCCAGGGGCATCCTTACCAGACCAGGATCATCTCTTGCTTGAGCTTGCCAGTAGAATCGTGTTTGGGGCAGATTTCATAGAAGAAATAGAGCAACTTCTTCAATGCCTTGCTTTTCGACGGCATCACAAAACGAATGATGTGCATGAGGATTTGCGGCATAGGATCTCCGTTCAGCATGATGGTGACAATTGTCCGCATTGTTTCCAACTTGGTCTCATCGTTGCCTTTCTCCAGCTGCAGCTTCAGCTCCTGCACGGTCGGCTGGTCGGCAGTATTGTCCACATGGAGCAAACTGTAGGTATTTTCGAGAAACGACGCCATGGTGGTGGATTGGGGGGGGAATCGGAACGAAAGAGAGCTGCAAGTTGTCAGTTCCGGGGTTGTTTTGGGGACACATCAGCATATAGGAATCAACACATACAGTAGGGGTAATTCTCCCAGGAGTAGGAGTTTGCGCCAGATATCAAGAACAAGCAATTAGTGTAAAGCAACACCCCTCGCCAGCCCTGAAATCATTAGATGTTATATGATGCGCAATGGGGAGGGACCATCAACTTGTCCCTTAATCTGGCCCCCCGGCGCCGTCTGTGTGGATGACTAAGCCTCAACCCGCCGCTTTTCAACTGCCACTTCGACGTCGATTGCTACTTTCCCCATTCACTTACGACCTCTACGATTGAGATTCGCCAGGATGTCGAATGAGAATTTCTACCTCCGATACTAGTAAGGATGATATGAGTGAGCCCGGGTTTCCTCAGCTGCTGACGGTCCTCACAGCTCAGGTCACTCTGGGCGGTTTGGACATGAGTTCCTAGGTAAGTCTACGTGCCGGTCATGATCACTTTATTCTACTCGGTCGCTAACTTGCACGCAGAGTTTGATCTCCGTACCATTTCCGAAGGTAGCAGCGCCGCCGTACGATATGCGAACAATTCGAACTACCGCAATGATTCCCTCATCCGCAAAGAAAGTGAGCAGGAGCATACATACCAAAAAAGAAGCGAACACAAGCTGATATAGTAACAGTGTGTGTGAGTGATGCGATGGTCGAAGAAGTGAAGCGCATTATCAAGGATAGCGAGATCCTGAAGTATGCACTCGGATTACCCGACAGGAAGACCACCCGCGCTGACCCCATATAGGGAGGATGACTCTAAGTGGCCCCAGAAGAACAAGGACGGACGCCAAGAGCTGGAGATTCGGATTGGAAATGAGCACATCTCCTTCGAGGTAATTGACCGAGGTAGCTTATGGAAGCGGCCATCATCTAACACCGAAATGTATAGACCGCCAAGATCGGCTCGCTAGTCGACGTGACCGAATCCGACGACCCTGAGGGACTTCGAGTCTTTTACTATCTTGTACAGGACCTGAAGGCCCTTGTATTCTCGCTTATCTCCCTTCACTTCAAGGTATTATCGATCTTCCCCCCATGCTTGGAACATCGTTTGACCATCCCCTGCTTTACAGATCAAGCCCATTTGAGTATTGAGCGCATAAAAGAAAACTGAAGAATAATTGGGGATTTTGATTTGATGATACTCATCAGGCGTTCATTGAGGGTTTCTAGGGTTGCGAACTCAATTACAGCGCAAAAACAATGAGATTGATACCCCTCAGGCATGTCTACCTTCGATCCTTTCTGGGAAAGTTCAATGTCTTGCGTGTTTGTAGCTGCTTGGGTTAGTATAAAGATGTCGAAGCAAGATGCTCAATGCTATGTTAGAAGATATGTAGCCTGGGAATATTTGTTCGAGCCTTAGGTCCTAGTATTTCCCATGAGAGATGGGGAATGTATCGAACCCATTCCTAACACAGGTGATCTTTCTCGCTTTATATATCCAATTCCCCACATTAGCAAGCCGGCCCTAATTCCTGAAGTTTAGGCCAAGTTCCTCGTAGGGAGCTCTTCCAATTGTGTGTGATCAAGGACTTTCAGTTCCTCTACTAGACCACCTTGATAATAGTGGCCACCAGGATATTGTCGGGTTCGTATTTGATATCCACATCAGCGATGTCGGAAAGTACCCCTTGGGACTGGGACTTCACCTGGGCATCTAAGTTGGGCTTGTATAAGGGAAGATTGAAGTTGCTTGGGCGTGGTTATATCAAAAATCGCGCTCTTCTTCAACTCGTCCTAGAATGCCCAAGAATGCCCAATATTGCCCAACCAGTCTAGATTTGGACCAAAGATTGGTCATGGCATTGGTCTTTACAACATACAAGATTGTATACCAAAGTAGAACGACTTTGATTGGCTTGTGGCCTAAGGCATGCATATTACATAACCGATATTGAAAGTGGCGCGCCAGGCGCAGAAACAGCTGACCCACCTGGGCTGTCCCCGCATTGCTCGTTCCTCAAGGCCTTAAAAGACTTAGTTCGCTGATCTCGAATGATCCATCCCCTTGCTCTCTTTTTTTCTTTTTGATTTTGCTTTGGAGTTTCTTGCTTCGATTCAATGTCCCCTCCCCTCTTTCCCTGATTTGCAATGCCGACTCCGAGTAACAACTCGATCGCCGCGGCGATCGCCGCCCGCACGACATGCCCACCGGAGCCCGAAAGGATCTCGGCTTGGCGAGACTCTCCAGATACTGTATCGAATAGCGACCCTCTTGATGCTCTCTCGCCTGATATTCCAATTGCGCCCTCCATGCTGAGTCGATCCCATGATGGCAGCACTCCTGAACCGATGAAGGCGGAAGGAAAGCCGACAGGCGTTGAGGAAGATGACCCAGTCCGGGCTACCTCCCCTGCCGAATCAACCTGCCTTCGCAGCCAGTCACCAGCAGCGCCCCCGGGATCCTCGCTTCTCAACTGGGAATTCTCCAACGTTCGTGTAAGTATCGTCTGTATCGCAGTATTATGCCACCTTCTGACCATCGTCAAAGCTTCTGCCGAACCACACCTCGTTTCTTCGTTCAGGCAGCAAGTTCGCGGGAACTCAGCAATCAGACCGCCAAGTTTACAATGTCGATGTTGAGATTAAGCATGTGGATATGGCTGAGTCTTATCTCTGTGGTTACCTTAGAATCCAAGGTACGTGATTCGTGCGCATCGGGGACGTGCATTGGACTTAGCTCAACTAATGTTTGTTGTTCTCCACAGGCCTCACAGAAGATCACCCTACCTTGACTACCTTTTTTGAAGGAGAAATCATCGGTACTAAACACACTTTCCAGACTCGTAATGAGGAATGGGGCGCCTCGGAGAAGACAGACTTGCACCATTGGTCTCGGTTTCCTGCCTGGCGTCCGCTGGCTAAACAGGCCAAACGAGCGGATTTCACATACCGCAACTTCGCCCAGCGTGAACACATATTCATGAGATGGAAGGAATCTTTCCTTGTTCCCGACCATCGAGTACGGACGATTTCAGGTGCTAGCTTCGAGGGGTTCTATTACATCTGCTTCAACCAGATCGAGGGAACTGTGAGCGGCGTATACTTCCATGCGAAGAGTGAGCGGTAGGTGGATGTTATGTTTCTGAAAATTCTCGATTTTTCTGATGCTAATCCTATCACAGATTTCAACAGCTTGAACTCAAGCATGTCGAAGATCGTGGATGTGCACCAGCAGTCGAGTTCCGCTAAATATCGCCGAACCTGCTTGCTGGTGCCTAAATCGATATCATGTATGACTTCCTACGTGACTAATTGGTCTTCGTTTGTTTCATACCCCCTCTTGTTGTTGTGTCTGGTACTACATGGCTAAGCTGTGCTTCCTGGTCACCATTCCGAATGAGATGCTTGGTTCTCTCAAAACTCCATTGGGTTCACTATCCCGTTTGCTTTTCCTCGAATACCCTCTACGCTATCCTCTATTTCTCTCGCTCTCCTCCGCCTCCTCTTATTTTTGTGTTTGATCATCCTTTTGACTGCCCATGTCATTTGAGGATTTCCAAGACCATATCCCTTTTCAGGCAAAGCCTCAATCCACACAACTCATCCTCAAATTGACCCTCATGTCTCACGATATTGCAATCTACGAAACGGCGTTTCCGTCCCCACTTCCGGCGACCTGGTTCTGGTTACCCTACATCCTCTGTTTGGAGTCCTAATCTCTCATCTTTTTCCTTCATGTTTTCTTATTCCTCACTTATCTTGTGTTAACTTAGTGTTATTATCTCCTATGTGAGCTGTTGGCTGACCAGCCTGGTTATTGAAAACTTCACGTGTGCCTGGTAATCGTATATATGCTCCAAGGCTTTAGGGCTATATTTATATTCTGCTATATAGCTCCTTCACTGGCCCGCCCACACCTCTAGGGACTGGAGTCTGCTCATAGCTGCCGATTGATGATTAATTAGGAGAAACGCAACAGCCACCGTAAACCAGCTATACAACGTAATCATGCAGATGCCGATCGGACGACGAACAGATGCGAGTTGCTCCTCCTCATGGGTGGGAAACCCTCTTGCCGACCATCCAACTGTTTAAACGATGTGTGTACTCCGTATGTTGCGTGGATTAAACTATTATACAGGGCTGGGAGAAGCCGGGAATACTTGAGATGAGTAGATTGTGAAGATCGAGGTGTACCTAGGTAGATCCACGGGTAGACATACATACTAAGTTGGATGTTGAAATCTAGCAATATAACGAAGTGAAAAGAGTGAATTCAGAACAATGCACAAATGCAATTACCACGTATATATGTACTAGAAATAATTACGCAACCAACAAAATACTAAAACAGACTTGGCCTCGATTCGTTTATATCCGAGGGCCATAGTGAGAAATGCCGAAATATCCTCGCGCCGAACGTAGAAACACCCACGCGTGAAACGAAACAAAATAAAGAATCAAGGAACCCAAAAATGCGTTGATGTGACATCCAGGACATAAATGAAGATATAACCGCAGTAACATGAGATGGCGTTATGGTATGGCTTTGGTGAACAAAGGACGTTAAAGCAAGAAACAGAGGCGAGATGGGGTATCACATGCGATGTCAGTCGAGGATAGCGAGATCGAGCGAGGTTGGATGGAAAAGAGGCTTTTAAGCTCCATGATAATCAAAGTTCAAATGTCGTCCACGTAAAGAGAGCGAGATCATGGAAATAGAGATCAGGAATGAAGGAATGGGGCGAGAAAGAGAAAATCACATATATGTCGAGTTTTGACGAGAGCTTGAGTTGGAACCGCCGCTGTAATCGCTGCCCGGAGTAGGGGACTCTAAAACAACTTGTTGACGAATGGAGATAATCCACTCGTGCTGTAGGAGTTCGGCGGCAGTGGCGCGGCGAGCGGGATCGCATTCGAAACAGCGGCGCACGAAGTCGATACCCTGGTCGCTGAGTTGATCGCGGGATGGAAGCGCGGGCTGTTTGCCTTGGGCGATGTTGTACATAATTGCCCACTCGTTGTCCAGCGTGGACCATGGGCGGCGCCCAGTTGCCATTTCTAGAACCACGCAGCCCAGGGACCAGATATCCACAGCGCCTTGGCGGTTGTCTAGATTTGCAGCGTCGCCACGAATCACTTCGGGTGACATGTACATCGGAGTTCCTGTGGTGGTCTTCTGGTTTTTGCGGTTGTTCGTGGGATCTTTGGCCGGCTCCTTGAAACCGGCTCCTTGAGGGTTGTCCATTGGGGCAACTGTGCGGCCTGAACGAGCGATGATCTTGGCTGCACCGAAATCAACGTATTTAATGACACCGTTGTGATCGAGCAGGATATTCTCGGGTTTGATGTCACGGTGAACAATATGGGCTTCGTGGAGATACGCTAGGCCTTCTAGGAGTTGAAGAGCATAAACCATGATGACCGTTTCGTCCTCGATACGCCCGTGCTCTAGCAAGCTAGCGAGCGAGCCACCTGAGCAGTACTCCATGAAGATGTAAACCTTGTCACGGTGCACTTCGATGCCGTGATACGAAACAATATTCGGATGATCGAGCACTTCAAGCACGCCCATTTCGTCTCGGATCTGTTGGGCGATCTTGGGAATGAGCTGGGGGTCTTGCAGCCGAATTTCCTTGACAGCCATCAAGTAGTTGCTGTCCAAGTTGATAGCCACATAGACAGACCCAAAGGTACCACCACCAATGAACTGGCCTTGCTGCCAACGCAGAGTAACGTTGGTAGCCGAGGACGATAGAACGGTGAGTGATCGGTCAGCCTCGTCAGATCCTTCTAGCACCTTTCCTAGAGCCTGGCGCTTCGCATCTTCCTCAATTCTCCTATCTTCAATCTCCACAACACGCGCATACCATGTGTCGCGAACGAGTTTTGCTGCTTCTTCGTCGCTGGTGATCCGGCCAGCGCCAATCTGTCGGGCTCCATTGCGTTCTTCCATGCGTTTCTCGTTCTTCGCCGCAAGGGAAGACCGCGCACCCATGATATCGAAATGAGAAATGAGAAGGGACATGCATCCCGCCACTTTCAATCTGAAATCACTGAACTGTTCTTGGTCCATAGACAGAAGATGTCGGCTGGATGTGATCGCCATCGCAAACTCAAGGGCTGCCACAGCCCACTTGAAGGTTTTTCGGTCCGCAGCGTCACACTCATCACAGATGAACGCAACCCAGTCGAGAGACAACTCCACCAGCCGGGCACTGTTCATAGCACGCCTATTCGCGTCGACATAGTTGGAGGAGCGTTTGCCAAATTCTGTTGCGAATGCATAGCAGGCTTGAATCAAATCATTGTTCTCCCAGTTTCTCTCATGTAGCTGATCTTTGATGATAGCCACGCTATCCATAATGGTCATGGACAGTTTGAAAGAGATCTTCTTGATCTTGTTCAACTCGACGTTTACACGTCCAAGGTTTGCACGTTGTTCAATGACCATATCAAGCTGGATGTTGGTGAGTCGTGCGAGCTCCACACGTGCGTTCTGCAGTCGTTCTTGCATGCCCCCAACAACAATACGTAGCTTGCCCAGCCGCACATCTGTCGGATGTTCCAAAAACTCCATTTGCATTTCCTTTCCTGCCCAGGCAAGGGGCCTTTCGGGTCGGATGGCGAGAACATAGGGAACATGGACATCCTGGATTGTATCATCTTCTTTGAAGGAGGTAGATAAGATACCTTGGATATCGGCGGGACGGTTCCATAATGCATGATGTGCAATCAGATAAACACCTTTCTGCCCAACGGATGTGGCAGAGGTGACAAGGAAATGGTCTGAAATTAAGAGCGCCTCAAAGAAATCATAAGCGATATCGGTCGTGATGTTGTATTCGGTAGCATTTTCGAACAACTGGCACAGAAACTTGGAGAATCGATAGAGCTTGCGCTGACGAATTCGCGTTGAATCCAAAATGCTCTTGTATCGTTTGTCCATATCCTGTACAGTTTCCGTGGGTCTCGGGACGAGCTCACGTTCAAAATGAATCATGAGACGCTGCAATGATCTGGCAGTGAGGGCACTGTTTTTCTTGTTAGCCTTTGTAAATCGTGAAAAGCACGGGAACCATACCTAAATTGCTCGGCCACCTCAATATCTCCACCGTCAAGCCGGCAACCAATATCATAGGAAAATCCCCATTCCTGTTCGAGAATTTCGGCCTCCTTGAAAGTGTTCTTGTTGGCATTCAGCTTCCAGTTGAGGAGCCGGAAATAGTATTTCATAGCATCCAAGACCGAATTGTCAAAGTTCTCATCAACACATGGCGGCAAATCCCAGCCGGGTTCTGGCCTTGAGACATCAAGATAGCGGAACTTAATATCGACCGCTACTTTCATCAGGATTTGGAATTGGGAAATCATCTGATCAATCAAAATGGGGGCTTGCTGGGCTGGGTCTTTCATGTTCTTGGCATAGGACAGACGGACTCGAATGATTTCCTGGATCAACCGAGAGGGGAAGTTAATCAATGTTAATAGTTCTTCGATATATGGTGGCAGGTGCCGCGCGGCAAACGCTTCCGAGTTCTCGATTAGAGTACTCTTCGCTTTCTGAATGACGACGAGAATGCGAAGAAGCATGCCGTCCTTGTCCTGGAGCGTCTTCAACCCATCTTCCTTCATAATACGATCAAGGAAGGACGACCCATCCGAAAGATCGTCCTTGGCAGACTTGACCCTCGGCTGGCTGAAATCAAGAGCCTCGTTCCCTACCCAGCTCTGTAGCACAGCCAGCTCGGTGTTGATGAGAGCCGTGATGTTGTGCCACGCAAAGATGGCTGCGCGACTAGAGGTGAATTCCTCCGAGGCCACACGGGGGTTTGCAACTTCCATTTCCTTGTGCGAAGAGTAGAGAATCTCGCATCGCTCGACCTTCTCCACAATATCCTCGACTTGCTGTTTTGGCGGTTTGCCGATCTCAGTCTCGCCTTTAATCTGGAATCCGATGATATCCTCAATTAGGGGACCCAGACGTGACCGTGCATCCTCAATCAATTTTCGCTGCAGAGGAATACTTCGGCCGCACGTCCTTGCCCGAACTCCGATCCAAAGTGCATAGCTCTGGGCCGCCGACCGCTTTGATTCCGCAGATCCGATGAGTCGCTGTTTTTCTTGTTTCACTACATCTCCCTTCAAGACCGACGCCAGCATGGAATGCCACTCAAGCCGCTCCTGGTTCTTGGGATGCTTCAGTTCTTCCATACTTGGTAGATTGTCGTCCGGGAGGAAAAGTTGGGTATCAGGGTCGTAAGAATCATCTTCAAACGGCACTTCGGAGGAAGGAGAGGGCTCCTCCAAGTCACCATCCCCTTCTATCACGATGTTGGGTTGCGCGTCTTTGGAATGGTGATACCAGGCTTGGGGGTTCGCTCGAATCCGTTGGACGTAGGCTTTCTCTTGGGCACGGTATTGCGCGTTCGGATCCCGTCGGTTTCCTCGTTTGACTGATGATGATCGCTGGCGTTCTTCCTGAAGGCTGATGTATTGTGGTGGGCGCCGCTGTGGGGCATACGTATTCGACGGCGTTCGCACCGGGGCGGACGGGCGCTGAGGTCGCAAGTCGCTAGCCATGGGAAGTCCATCGGGCTTGTCGAGGAGAGTGGCAGCGCCAATGCTAATTCCACGCGGTCGTACTGTTGGCGTACTAGACCATGAGGCAAGACTGGGTGAAAGGTTTGGAGGGGAAGATGTGATGGTGCTTGCAGGTGTTTGGATTTGCTCGTCGACGGTCTCTCCAAATGATGAGTTGGTCCTCACAGGGTACTGGGGGAATTCATCAGAAGAGCCTGAGCCATCCGAATCAGG